GGCCAATTGAAACTCTTGTTCATGCCTTCATCACCTCCAGGCTCGACTATGCAAACGCCCTGCTTGTCGGCCTTCACAACTCCTCCCTCCACAGGCTGCAGATAATCCAGAACTTTGCAGCCCGTGTCCTCTCCCGCACCAAATCCGTGACCCCATCTCCCCCATTCTTGCCCGACTCCATTGGCTCCCTATCCTTCGGAAGATCCAGTTCAAGATCCTGGTCCTAACCTACAAAGCCCTCCGTGGTCTCGCCCCACCCTATCTCTGTGACCTCCTAATGAGGGGTGAGATAGTGGCAGAGACGGGCGATGTTACGGAGGTGAGGGAAGGCAGAGCGGGTCATGGCTTGGATATGGGGAAGAAGACAGTTGAGGGTCGAACAACACACCCAGGTTCCTGACTGGCTCGGTGAGTTGTAGTGTGCAACCATGGAGGTTGATGCTGCCAGAGCCTGAGATGCAGAGGCACCAACAACAAATTGCATTTATATAGTGCTTTTTCCTGTTGGGAGGATGTCCCAAGGTACAAGGATGAACACTGAATTTTAAAATAAGAAACAGGGGATGAAATGGGGGGTTTTCTATTTTAAACAACATACAGTAATTCCTGAAGCAAATTCCTTTCCACACTGCTTTCAAGCATCTATAGTAAACCACTCAACGATTTAAGTTCAGCCACATTCACTACAGAATTTTCAGTCAACATGACAAAATAAACATCCATCTGGTTATTTGACAAAAATTTTTTTTAGAAAGAGTATGCAAAAATATGATTCAATTGAGGTTTAAATAAGATGTGCAAGAGGTACCAACCTAAAAATAGATTCTCCTCCACGGCCAGTCCCAGTTGGGTCACCAGTTTGTATAATGAAGCCTTTCTATTATAAAACATATCAAACTGGAATGAATTATATGTGCGACTGGATATTTTCAGTAATAATTACAAAGTAACATTAACAAATCAGTAAACAAAAACAACCTGTGTACCTAAAATTCAAAAGTCTGTAGTCTATTTCATCTATTTGGTTTCATTTCTGTTCTGCAATGTTATGCAAACTTGTTGTTTTCTTGTTTCTTTTTATAGGTTACTTAATAATAATAATAAGCTCCTGGTTTGGATCTAACTGCAGCTCGCTTGCTCTCATGCACTTTTTTTCTCTGGTTTCTTTCTGTTCTGAATCCCTTCCTTCAAGAGAATCAGTACTTCAAATACTCCCTGTGACATATTGCAATAGCTCGAGTCCACAGTTATATGACTGCAGAACCAAATGAAGACTCTATGCTTAAATGTAAAGGATCCTGCTAATTCAATTCCCACCCAAACTGCAACACAGGTAGGAAAAGACCCTCACAGCCAACAGAGAAAGATTTATCATATAAATCTGGGCTGGATTTAATGCAGATCCCAAATAGGAAAGGACATAGCGCGTACCAATTGTAACCCTCAGGAACACTCTTCTAATATTTTGTAAGCAGTTCCATATTTCCATAGATTGGTTTCTAAATATATTTTCCTGTTACTCCCAATTTTTCTTAAAATAAATAATTATACATTGATGTAAATATTCATAAAGTGCTGCAAATTAACAGGCAACTCACCTGAACATTATGGAAGAGGCAATAGTTATAATACTTGACTTTACAAAGCTTCAAAAAATTCAAACAGGCTGCAAGCAAAAAGAGAATAAGAAAATTTAAGAACAAGAAAAAAAACACTAAAATTGTGTTGAATATCAAGTTTCATTTTTAATCTTTCCGAGTTTTTTTTACCTCCACTACTTTAAGCATATCCAAATATGCCTTTGAAGAAATAAAGCTTTCTAATATGTTTTAAAAGAAATTCCTAATGTATCTTTAAAGCACTCCGAGGCACCATCTGGCATGAGGGGCGCTATATAAATACAAGTTGTTGTTGTTCTGATCTGTAATTTCCTGGTTTAATTTGAGGTAATATTCCATATTAACCCTATTTACATATTCAACTGTTTGTTAGAATGTTCTATTTTCACCTACACATTAACTTTAATTCAAATAATCTTCCTAACTTGTTCAATCCTCCCTATAAAACATCCGCGCTCTCTCTCCAATAAAACACAAACTAGGGATTCCTTTTGAGTCAAAAGGCTGAGTTCAGGTGCACATCAAAGCTTTGAGCTCAAATACTCTTAAAGACACTCCAGTGCAGTACTGGAACAGTGATGTATTTATCAGTGATACTGTCCTTCCAATGAGACTGAGGACCCATCTGCCTGTTAAGATGGACATCGAATGACACTATTTGAAAATTAGTTAACTGCAAATAAAGAATTTCTCCTGGTGCCCTGGCCAACAATCCTCCAGGTAACTATTAATCATTCACTTCATGGCTATTTGACAGACATGATTGCACATAAATTGGCCGTTGAGTTTGCCTATACAGTCACTACACTTCACAGTAAAATCCTGCGAGAGGAAAGGTGCTCTGAGAGGATTCAACAATATAATAAGGCTCTAATTTAAATATATGGATTATCTATTTGGACAAGCAATGTTCAGATGATTTGTCATGCCTGGTAATGCTAAACAACAACAACAAATTACATCTATGTAGTGCATTTCACATCAGGAGAACGTCCCAAGACGCTGGACAGTTAGGAATCAGCACCCAAGCTAAGCTGTTGGTTGGGATCAGGAGTGGAGGGCGGGGATGGTAGGGGTAGGAAGGTGACCAAAGGCCTGGTCGAAAAGGAGGGTATTGACACGGGTCTTGAAGGAGGCAAGCGAGGGGGCAAAGCAGAGGGACTGTGGGAAGGAGTTCCGGAGGGTGGGGGCACAGTGGCTGAAGGTCCGCCCGCCAATGGCGGAGTGGGCAAGGAGGAGCACATGAAGCAGGAGGAAGTGCACAGGTTGGTCGGGGGTTAGGAGGCCACTGAGGTGGGGGGGAGCAAGTCCGTGGAAGGCTTTGAAGGTGAGGACCAGGATCTTGAACTGTATCCTCTGTGTGATGGGGAGCCAGTGGAGTCGGGCGAGGATGGGGGCGAGGGGGTCACGGAGCCCGGTGGGGGACGAGGACACGGGCTGCAGCGTTCCGGATGATCTCCAGCTCGTGGCGGGATTCCTCCGCGTTTCTTCCGCGCTGACAGCTCAGGCCCGATCCGTCAAAGAGCCGCACGTGTTCATTTTGGGTCAGGCCAGAGCTAGGTTTTAAGGTCTCAACCGAAGGGCGGAGGCGGGCGGGCGGGGGGGGGGGTGGATCGCAGGACGGCGAAGAGCCAAGGCTTGGGACCGCCACCGCGCGCGTGGAGTCGAACCATCTCAAAAAAGAAAACTTCTTCTTTGGGAGCGTCCGACTCGCCAGTAGGGAGTCGTGCCGTTGACACTGCTGTGCGCCAAAGCATTCCCACTGCCTGTTGGGACCACCCCCACCCCGACCCCAACCCCAACCCACCCCGACCCCACCCAGAGCATCGGTCTGACCCCCCCCCAGTGACTGGTTGGGAGGGGTTCAGCTTCACTGCCCTCAAGGTGGGGACAACTCCCCGAGTCACTCCGCTGGTCATCCGACCAGTGAGGCTCTGAGCCTCAGCAGGTGGGGCGGGCGGCGGGTACCAAGGACCCCCACCCCCCGCCCCGCCCGCCCGCCCGCAGCGGGGACCAGCGCAACTCGCGGAGGAAGCCTCACCCCGGGGCCGCTCCTCGGTGTAAAGGTCGACGACGATGTCACCGGCCGTGGTCTCCAGCAGCACCGCCATCTTGTGTCAACCCCGAGCGGGCGGGCGGGCGAGCGGGTGGGGGAGGGAGGGAGGGAGGGAGCGGCGGGGAGCGAGGGAGAAGGGGGGGGGGGAATCACGGCGCAAAATGGCGGCCGCCCCGCCCCGGTTTGGGTCACGCGGCGCGCCGGAGCGTACGTCTGTGCGTCATCGCGTTGACGTCGGCGGAGGGCGGCCGTGGTGCTGAGCTTCGTCTTTTTTTTTCCTCTCCGCGAGAGTCCCGACCGCCGGTGAGTGTCTGAGCGGCCATTACCGTGTCCCGTGTCCCGTGTCTTTGGATAAAAATTAAAGGTGGGAGCATTGTAATTAATTTGTTCACAATAACAATTGAGGTGAATCTGCAATTTTAAGTTGTAACGTAACATGGTGTCGCTGGAAACAACTGCAAAAAAATAAACTTGAGATAAATTGTAAAGATTAAATTGCCTTTAATACCTAGGCTTGGTATCGCCCAACCATTTCAATAATTTATGATTTGTGACTCACCCGTTTGTCTCCTGTGAGTGTCTGCCTTTGTGTTGGATTGCACTGTGGGTGGGGCACAGTCCTTCACCTCAGCTTCTCAATTTTTTAAATAAAAGCATTCTCCTTCAATCTTATTCATATCTAAATATTTAGTAGTGTTGCCATCATCTCTTTACCGTGTGTAACATTGTTCACTTCTGCTTCTTGGCCATCAACAAGTACCATACAATACAAATTTACATTTATATAACTCCTTTCATATCAAAAGGACATTCCAAAGCACCCGAACTGGGGGAAGGAGCCGATGGGCAAAAGCAGGGGGAAAATAACCACAAACACTCCTTATCTATGTTTACAATATCTTTGTCGTTTCTTATGCTTAATCTGGTTGAATGAAATTTATATTGTTGCCTCCACATTTCCATCCAGCAGTTTAAATTTCCCACCCTCTAAGGTGCAACTGATAGGTCTGTCAAATTCCAAATACACTTTAGATATCTGTATAATATTGTTTGTTCCCCACAGTCATATTTAAAACAAACCAAAAAGAATTTCAAAATCTCTCACCACTATGCTCTCACTGTCTTCCTCTCTAACAGGCTGCTCGTTTTTTTTTAGCAGGACTGTAATAACCATGTGACTAATTTTGTCCTATTTAATTCAGCATCCCAGTTTTATCAAAATAGGAAGAGTAATAATAATAATCTTGCATTTGAAATGGCACCTTATTACGCCATTGAGACGTCTCAAAAGTGTCTCAAACCTAATGGATTAGGTTGAAAGGTGCACGCCAGCATTGTGTTCACCTCTTCTATTCGAGCAGATGTAAGATAAATCCAAAGCCCATAACTGAATTACAGTCCTGTTACTCCTGTGTATATCCAATAGGTATGGCAAGAGATAAGTGAAGAATGTAAGCACGTCAAGGAGATTATTACAACGCTGGATGGCTTTAAACATGAAAGTTCGCCTTTGCAGGCTGTACGCCAGGAAAGACCAGCTCAGGATTTAGAAGTCTGGTCACTGCCAGTGCCTGTAGAACGCAAGTATGTGAAATCTTGTACATTTTTGTCTAGCAAACTTGGTTTGTCACATGTATTTGTTCTAATCACATTAATGAATATTAGTGTTCTATTGTGGTTACAATAGACTTTAGTTGAATAGTTTTATGAGTTAGCTAAAGTATTCTCTAAGTACCATTGAGATGTTAGGTCTTCAGGGTATAATCTCTTTCAGGTCTAACTGCTGGTAGATATTTAGATCCCGTAGCACTATTCTAAAAGTAAAAGGGTTGTCCTGGGAAAGAATCTCGCAGGTTAATCAGTAATTCAAATGCAAGTACAGTCCAACTCATTGATGGCTGTGAGACCTTGCTGTATGCAGAATGGTTGATGGTTTGCCTTAAAAGCAATCACTACAAGCTCTTTTGTTAGATGTAACCTCCGTAGATATATAATGTAATATAATTCCCATGTAACATCCACTGCATAGTTCAAAGTTCTATACATTTACACAACCCAGAGAAAAACATTTCCATGAGAAAGGCCTTCCCCCAGATAGGAGGAAGAATTGCTCTTCTTGCATCTTTGGGTATTTGTTCACTTTGTCTGGTAGTTGCTATAAGACTTTATACCCTTAACCTTTTTGGAGTTTAAAGTCACCTTTCCATTCACATTCTCACAGCCAGGTCCTGCTAAGTGATGTTGCAAGAAATAGATAAAGAGCTGAGAAGATTAAATTCCTTTAGAACAGAAGAATTGCTGCTGTCAGAAAGGTCACCTACTCAATAAAATAATCCTTACATCTGATACCGTCATGTTGAGACATCATAATTTGTACACTTTAGTGAGCCACAAACAGCCATGAAATAAATGACCAATTTTATCTGAGGGAATGTTGGCCAGGACACCAGGAGAAAATCTCTTTTCGAACAGTCATGGGATCTTTAACATTCACCTGGCAGAGGGGATTTTGGTTTAACATCTCATTCGAAGGAAGACACCTCAAATAATGCAGCATTGCATTAGAGTGTCAGCCTAAACTTTGAGCTCAAAGTCCTCACTAGGGCTTGAACCCACAGCCTTCTAACTCAGAAGCAAGAGCGCGACCATCGGAGCCAGAAGACACACAGAGTTGACAAATATCTAATACAGGGTGACCAAAAAGTCACCCTAATTATCTACCCTAATTATCTAAAAAAAATCATAATTTCTTTAAGACTTATTAGACATTGTAATGGTATCACAACTTTTTGGTTGCCCTGTATATATTGTGTATAGTTATAGCGTGCAAGTTAGTTAGTAAGAAGCATTAAGATGACGGTGGTTCACTCAATCTGACCAAGCTGATTTGTATACTCTTTGTAGACCATCGCCTCATCCAAGAAAACGGCAGTCTACTCCCTGCAATGACCTCAAACCTCAAAAGGACCGTTCAGGAGGTCCAGTTAAAGGTTCTGGCCGTCCATCAAACCGAATAGGAAACAATGACCGAGTCAGACCAGTCAAAGGCAAGGAGAGGAAAGAAATTCAAAACAAAGGAAAGGAGGAAAAGGTACAACTTCTCTAGCGTTGAAAATCGTATTGCTGTTTGTTCCTTACTCCCTAGCATGGAATCAGTTATAATGCAGTTGCAACGTGTGCCCAATTGACAGGACATTTGTGCAGCTGATCTGCTCTCAAACTAAAATGGCTAATTTCTTAATTGTCGGCTGAAATTAATGATCCAGAAGGTGTGTATTTTAGCTTCCTACACCTTAAATATGGCTGACTTCTGTGACATCGGGTCACCACCAACTTCCTGCTTTACATACACGCAGCATAGGAGAAGACATATTGGCAGCAATTTTATGATCTGGAAGTTTGTCATTTTTTAGTGCAGGAACTGGCCAGCCAACACTGAAATCGGTTATCTATCCCAACTGCCACATTATAATGGAGCTTCACTGTATGTATTATATTCTAATGGGCATTTACTGGTGAGATACTAGACCTAAAATCTGATTTGAGACTTGTATGGCAGCTTTTTGTAGAGAACCTTTTTTCAGGGAACAAGAGGGATAAAATCAAGAAATAGTCTTTAGGTGAAGATTATATTGTAAACGACTGCAGATTTTAAAAGAAAGTGAATATTGAGAAGGAAGGAATTATTGGGATCTCGTAAGAAGAATGATACAGGCTACAGTATAGGTTAACTCCACTTCCAATTATGCCATAGGTAGACTTGAATAGATGTATATTTCCAACTCTTTGGGGTAAATATATTTTAATTTTATATTAAAATAAAGGTATTTTCTGTAGAATGTGATTAGGAAATCATCAGACATGTGGATAAGTAGATTTTTTTTATTGTTAATTGTAGTCTAAACCTCCTGAGACCTCTGAAAGTGAACCAAGAAAATTTGATAGCACAGGATATGATCGAGATCTTGTAGAAGCTCTGGAGCGAGATATAATATCACAAAATCCCAATGTTCGATGGTAAGTAAATTCATTGGCATGTCATGGTACCTTCTGAACAATTTGTTTTAAAAGAACAAGTGATACAACAGTTTGATCTATGTCTACAGTCTGAGACCTGATCTTTCTTATAGTCCTATCCTGAAGACCAGTGTCTTAACATTTAAGATCTAGCAGAATCATGGAAAATTATTAAATCTAGTATTAATTTTGAAGCTGGTTTTCTGCAGATTTTTCTAAGAAAAAAATGAACTTCTGAATTGAAACTAAATTTAAGTGTTCTCCAAATTCTGCCTGATCTTAACATTTTAGGATGATAGTGTTCAGTCTTTAAGACGCAGGAATTCTGGTGTGTACGCTTGAGAGATATAATTAACAAATTGTTAAAATAATCAAAATACACTGTCCTGTTGTACATATTTTTGTGATGTTTAATATGTGCCAAAGGTCAATTCCATTGTGCTCATTGTAAAACTAAGTCAGAATTCTAGATTTGTAAAATTCTGGAGTGTGTAAACTTTGAATTAAGAAATTGTTTTTCTTAGGGATGATATAGCTGACTTGGAGGAAGCCAAAAAATTACTGGAGGAAGCAGTGGTTCTACCTATGTGGATGCCAGACTTCTTCATAGGAATCAGAAGGCCTTGGAAAGTAAGTTAGATGCAAGTGTTTTTGAGATCTACACTTCGTTAAAAAGGTACCCAACCCAATCCTGCTGTAAAATGCAAAATACTGCAGTTGTTGGAAATCTGAAACAAAAATAGAGATTGCCAGGAAAACTCAGCAGGTCAGGCAGCATCTATGGAGAAAGGAAAGTGGGTCAATGTTTCAGGTCCATAAGAACATTTTGGTTCCTGCTGTGTGTGTAGATATTATGTTATTCATGTGAAACAAAGCAAAATCTGGAATCCTAAAAGACTATGGGTGAGCCTTGCTGTTATACTGATGGGATGCTAAAGGTACTGTTTGAAAAGAGAAGTGAGTTTCTCCAAGTATCCAATCCTGTAGATAAATTGGTCATTCACCTCAATTGTTTATGGATTTTGTTTTGGACTAAAATACATATATTTGCCTACATTGACAGCAATTACTGGAAAACATTTTATGATGTTTTGACATTGTGAGGCAGTGGGTTTTATTGGATGCTACAGTTACATGCTGAATAATAAGAGTTTGAAAGTAAGTGTGCTTGCATGTAATTCACAGGGTGTGCTGATGGTTGGTCCCCCTGGGACAGGGAAAACTATGCTGGCTAAAGCAGTAGCTACGGAGTGTCGAACAACATTCTTCAATGTCTCTTCATCAACACTCACTTCCAAATATAGAGGAGAGTCCGAGAAACTTGTCCGCTTATTGTTTGAAATGGTAAGTATTTATGCAGATCTGGACTTCATTAACTGAATAATGATCTATTGTAACATTAAAAACATTGTAATTAAGCTTCTTCCAAACTGCTATCTTAACGACATTTGCAACGTCTCATTTTGCTGTTTCATTTGAGCATGAAGTATGTTAGTACCACATATTAAATAGCAGCAAGGGAACTTTCAAAATCATATTATTTTTTAATAGCATTGAAAAGAAAACTGAATCTGAGGTGTAAGAAACCTGTAAACATGATTTGGCTCCTGTTCGGCCAGGTGGGGAGATGATCACAAATCATATTCGATGTCTTAAAATTCCAGCTACAGTAAATTGGTGTTAGACACTGGAGAATATGTAGCACTTTGGTTCCAAGTTAGTGTTGTTAATGTGCAGGAAATAGATTCTTATAGTTTGAGCAGGGCTAAAGATAAACTTCTATGCCAAAACTGCCATAGCACTCTAAATTTAATGAACATACTGATATTCATCCTGCTCGTACTGTCGGCAACTCCTCCATCAACCAGACGACATCAGCTTTGACTATACAAATATCTACAAAAAAGAAAAATCAAAATATAAAAAGTAAAAAATAAAAATTGATGGTAAATATCCCTTCTAAGTTAAACAAAGTTTAAAGTTTAACTGTTTTAGTCGTTTTAGTTAAACAGTCCCACTCTTGTTGTGGGACACTGCTGTGCGCAGTTCGTTACTGCGTTTCGCCCACAAATATACAGTCAGTTCACTTTACAGTATATTCTGTGAAGCGCTTTGGGACGTCTAGAAGACGTGAAAAGCGCTATTATCAAATGCAAGGATTATTATTTATATTAAAATCACACTTTAGTGTTTTAGCCCCAGAGCAGGATTTGGAACTCCTGTAGGCTAAGATGACACCAATGCAGTGCTTGGGGTGTACTGCACTGTTGGAGATGCTGTCCTTCAAATGAGATATTAAACTGAAGCTCTGTCTGCCTGTTGAAGTAGCTGTTAAAGATCCCATGGCACCATTCAAAAAGAAAAGGCAATTACTCCCGGTGCCCTGGCCAAAAACCCCGAAATAAAATTGGTCATTCATGGCCCTTTGTGGGGCATTGCTGTGTGTAAATTGGCTGCTGGGTTTGCCCACAAGACACATAGTCAATGCAACTTTATAGCGAATCCTATGAAGTGCATTTGGAATTTCCTCCAATGTGAAAGGCAGTATACCAAATGTAAGGATTACTATTATTGTAGGCAAGTGTTAAAAATTACATTTGGTAACATATGCACTGTAAAAGCTCCCGGGCCACTGTTGACCTAGTTGCTAGCAATGTCATAATAATAAGTGTTGCTGTGGAATCATGACTACGCGTTTGTGTTTCTTGTTTTGGAGGCCAGGTTTTATGCCCCAACAACTATTTTCATTGATGAAATTGACTCCATTTGCAGTCGGCGAGGAACTGCTGAGGAACATGAGGCCAGCAGACGAGTGAAAGCAGAGCTACTTGTTCAGATGGATGGTATGCACGCATCTTAATGGAACTCATAGTCAAGATCAGGGTCTGCAACCGGTCGCTCGTCGCGAGGTGGCGTTCTTAAGCATGATTAAAAAGACAAAGAGAAGATGTATTATTTTTACGTGGATTTAATAAGTTATTCCCACCTCGGGTGAATGTAGCAAACTGACAGTTCAGACCTCAGGGCTATCTGGTTCACAAACTCAAATGTAGCCTTCAGTCAGTAATACAGGCCTGAATTGCCAAGTTGGAAAAAGCAGTTTTTTTATTTTATGGAGCGTTGTGGCCACAGAAGAACAATTAAATCATGTGATATGCAATGTCTTGCAAAAATACAGCCATTTGTACTCCAGGAGCACCAAGAAATCACTCCAATCTTAGATGATGGCTGTTTGAGTGAATTGTAGGGAATGTGTATCACTTATTGATGCAGTCTCTCCATATACTCTAGGTGTTGGTGGTGCTTCAGAAAATGATGATCCTTCTAAAATGGTCATGGTTCTGGCAGCGACTAACTTTCCCTGGGATATTGATGAAGCTCTAAGAAGACGTCTAGAAAAGCGAGTTTATATTCCTTTGCCCTCAGGTACTGGTAATACTTCAGATGATGGAGACTACACCTAATGCTTATAATAAGTATGTAAGATATTAAACAATTGCCTAATCTTTATTTAAGCTAAAAGTCTTTTCACCACTATCCTTCGGCATAGTCCTGAGTATAGTAGTGACGATCTCAAAAGATTCTCTTAGCAAACTGCATTTGTATAGCATTCTATCATGTCAAAACATCTGAAAGGCCTTGACAGATAATTATTGTAAAGTATATTGACTGTATGTAGGCAGTCGTGATGGACATTTACACCAGCGAGGTATCTCTAAACCACCATGAGATGACCGGTTGATGGTTGAGGAGATTGTTTTGCTAATGATGGATTAATTCAGTTCTGTTGTGCTGTTTCTCGCAAAATTTAAAACGTTGTTCAAGTATAAAAGAAAAACATATGAAATGGGAAGTTGCTTAACTTTGGCTTCACACTTAAAAGATTTAAATTCAGGATTTTGAACTTTTCAGTACTAGCTTTGAATAAAGGATCCACTAGATGTCAATATTATACTGCCAACCCGAGCATTTACTTCAAAATAATTTACTTTTTCAGCAAAGGGCAGAGAGGAACTGCTGCGGATTAACCTCAAAGAACTGGAGGTAGCAGATGATATAGATATCAAGAAAATAGCGGAACAAATGGAAGGTTACTCTGGAGCAGACATTACCAATGTTTGCAGGTTTGTTTGGGGTGAACGATATCTTGGTTTCCATGTTTTACTTTGTTTCCATGTTATTTCTCTTGTGCCTTCACTTAATCCCCTGTTCCCAGTCAGTTGCATGAGATTCTTTGAGATGTCCTCCCAGTGTTAAAGATGTATAAATTATTGTCCTCTTGATCCGCTTTTTATTTAAACAGATAATATCGATGTTTCTTTTACCTTATTTTTAGTGGGGGGTTTTAACTACAAAAATGATTGTCGTGTGCAGTGCAGAAAGTGACATTTTTAAAAAAAAATTATCAGTGGCAATTAATTTTCTTCAATTTGAAAATCCAACAAATACCTTTTTTTAAACAGTTAAAATCAGAAACTAACGAGCCTAGTTTGAGGGTAAGTGCAAGGGATTAAAGGTCAACCCTGTCATAAGATAATGGTTTGGGTCCATAAACTTAAACCCCGCAGTATAATGTGGCATGTTTATGAAAGTGGCCAACATCACTTCTAGAATGTCAGGACAACTTTGACATCTTTTCTTGCACATGTGACGTACACAAGTGTTTCCAGCAATTCCTAGTGCACCGCTAGACTGATGTAGATATGACTATCGATCAAAAAGACTCCTTTATCTTTCTGTTGACCAACTTGTTTCGTACAGGTCACTTGCACCCAGTACAGGAGGCTTCATCCCAGCAGTCTGGACTTAATTGAATCAGGTTCCAGAAGTAAAAAGGCAGTTGGCAAAGCCACTCCAGTACTTTGGTTTTTAAATTTCTTCCTTTTGTGCACAATATTCAAGATTGGAAATGTATATATCTGTGTTGAGGAATAAGATGAGGTAATGGCTGTGCTCTTCAGTTACTGCTGCCCTGTGTAATATATCAAGGTATTTATTGTGTACAGGGATGCCTCCATGATGGCTATGCGACGGCGCATCCAAGGTCTGACTCCAGAGGAAATAAGAAACATATCGAGGGATGAGCTGCAGATGCCAACAACTATGGAAGATTTTGAAATGTCTTTGAAAAAAGTCTCAAAGTCTGTGGCTGCTGCAGACCTTGAGAAGTATGAGAAATGGATAACAGAATTTGGTTCCTATTGACCCATCGGGAGCATCCATCTCACAGTCAAATAAAACGGATTCTATCATATCAGCAACTGCAGATTCACTTGGGTGGACTAGAAAATGGACTGTTTAACAAAGTGGCAAAAGACTACTGTCGCCATCAGTGCCTTACTTAAAAAGTTAAAGGGCTATAAAGAGCTGCAGTTCATGTCCTGCATTTGCTTCTGTTGATTTTCTGGAAATGTTTTATTCAAATTGCAGAGCTCAGCACTAAGTTGGAGATTCTCACCCAGACTCTTTTTAGACCACTCTGATGAATTTTAACAACCTTTTCTGTTCTCGCTTTGTCGGTCTGCTTTTGAATAATTTTCTTTTCAACCATTGCATGTTATTTGGGGCGCTAGCTTGTAAGATGGTCCTGTAGTTAACAGCATAGGTAACGTTCGCAGTCGATGCTGAACCATAAATTGACTCCATCGAGGTCTCTTTCAAATTGTTACTCCCATGAGCTCAGCAACTCGCATTGTTTTAATAAAAATATCCAAAATTGAAAAATATTAGAAGAACAAAGTCAAGTAATTTTTTGTAATTAGTGTTTTTAATGGCTCTTGTTGGTGAGATTCTTCTTTGAAATTGGTGTTTTCTTTTATGATTTAATTTGTAAAATAGGAAAAATAGTCCTTTATAAGACGTCTTGAAAGTATAAAATTCCTGCTGCACACCAAAGAGTGAGTAATGCCCGATGGCCCTCGGCAAAAGTAGTCATCAGAAGATCGCAGCCTTTGTGATATTAGCACCCAGTGTTTGAAATTCCTGCCCTTTTACAATTTCCAAATACAAACTACATTCGAAGATTTATAATGAATCACTACAATTTTTTTAAAAAATTCTGTTAGAATGTAGCATACGACATCAGAGAACACCAACTCAGCAGCAAGACTTGCTTGATCTATATTTAAATGGAAGGCAAGCATACTAAGAATGCCAGAGTTTACTTGGAGAAGTAATGACACCCCCTTCTCACACACACAAACACATACTGTTGCTTTAACAAGTGAACAGTACGTCCTTTACAGAACGGAGCAGCCTCTCCAGAGAGCCTGAGATCCTCCCTATATACAATGGATACAAACAGACTCCAATTTCAAAGCACAACAGGACCATGAGTTGCTGCTTCGCATTATATGGCAAAGACTCCAGACTTAATTGCTAATCTGCTGAGTTCACTCAATCAAGGCAACAGTTCACACTTAGAAAGGAGGAAACAAAGTCAAGAGTAAGATGTGGAGAAGAAAGACTCACAATGCCTGTAGGTGAAAGACACATTTGAAGGAAAGAATGCACAGCCATATTTTGAAAATATCCATTCATTTACACTGGTCTACTACATTAACAAGAGTCCTGGTGCTGTGCCTCAATACCTTTCACACATGACACAATGCAAATTGAATACTATGGATCTATTAAACAAGATGCTGAGGCTCAAATTAGATGGCACTTCCCCTCGGCCAGGCCACCATCTCACCATTTGGAGGGAATCCAGTTTTTGGCAAAGGGGGTGGGCTGTCCAAAAATAGACCCTCCACTGTTTATTTACACTTTGAAGGATGGGACTTTCTGGGGGAAGGATGAACATTCTTCGTAAAGCAGGCACTTCATGTGTTTCTGAAGTACTCAGGTCTTTAAGCACAACTGTCCTGACCTTATAGCAAAAGGTAATTAGTGTACGTGGCTCTCGAGCTCACCATTAGTTTTTGTACTCTGGATACGTTTTTATGTTAAAGTTCAATGATGGGGGAAGAATGTTATATTCGCTACTGCAGGTATGGTCTTCCTCATTGATTGAACTTGACCATTGAATACATCGAATACATTGTTGCTTTACGCAGGAGTGGTACAGGCTGGAGATGCTGCTGTTTGTGTTGGTTTCAGGTGTTCTTGCTGTTGCTTGGTCTCAAATAATTTGCTCCCATTTATTTGGGCAAATAAGTTCAAGCTACTGAACAGGTTTTCTTCCACTGAGAAAACAAGAATCTCATTGGTGTAAAGTGTACACTAGGCATACAGTAGGGACAAGAAGTAAGCAGTGAACAATGAATCAGTCCTTTATCGAAGCAAAATATTTAGCTTGCTCAACGCGTTTCCTTATTTTGCAATCCGTACCAATAGAAGATTGGTTTACTGGTCTTTTATTGTCTTGAGTGAACCAAATACAAATTCAGAGCATTGGGGCATCCTTGAATCTCCATTTTAATTCTGTAATGTTTAGAAATGTATAAATCATGCTCTATAGAGATTTTTTAAATCATACTTTGATACACAAATGGCAAGTATAATCTTTTAGCTGGAAATACATTTCCAGCCTCTGTTATGAGAAACTATCTTAAATAAAAATTAAACTTATAACCTTGTTTCTACCTCTTTATTCTTCATAAGCACAAAATTCATACCTCCTTGAAGAGAATTTTTCCCAATATGCCATTAGGTTTGATCAGTTGTGAAACACTGGCAATTGCTGTGATTGAAATAACTAAGCTCTAGTGTGTGTAGAAATCGATTTATTATAATTTTCTCCATAATACCAATATAAATTCACTTTGATGTAAAAGCCTTAAACAAAATACAAACAATAAGTAAAATACAGAATATTTAGAACATTTACTGAAATCATATCAAGGTCATTCAGCTCTTAGAAACATATGAGAATACACTTGCATTTTTGTTCAAACTGTTTCACATTGTGCAATGCTAACACTGGAGAGTACAGAAGAATCTTGTACCAAAATAATGAAGCAAACACTAATAAGAAAGTGGGATAGAATCTTCTTGTGCAAAGTGTGGATCAGATTAACCAGTAATGAGGGATCTCATGAGGGTGATAACGTAGCAAAATTGCTTGAAATAAATGTTTTGTGCCAATTCACTCATTGTTAAAAGTAATAAAACTATATTTTTATATTATATATATATATATATGTGTATCAATTGATTTAGGCTGAAACCAGCCAGTTGTGGCACAGTAGAGTTGATCTGCCCATTGTGCTGTTGATGGTGTTGGGATAGCAAATACTGAAGTATATTGTTGGCTGTCGCTGTAACAGTTGACCAATTACTTAATAACTGCAGCATTTCAAATACATCTCTGCTAATTTACAACATGCCAGTCAGTCATATAGATATCCCATTATAACTGCACACTCCTATTCAATTGGGTAATGCAATCTTGTTTTCCAAAAAAAAGAAGTGTATGGTTTTGCAGGTTGAAGCTTTGTTATCACTGTTGCAAACTATAACTTTATCACTTAACCTTTTGTACTATTTGAGCACAGGCTACTTGATCAAAAGTGGTCTGATTCTTAGATGGTATTTGTCTTGATCCTGTGGTGGGAAGATAATTGGGTGGGTATTCTGGAAGAATGAATTTAAATGGATCTTCTTCCTCAAAACCAATCTTGTGATCTTTAGGCTCCATTTTACCTGAATCCCTTTACAGTATTTCTTCTCAGGATTGTATTGCTTTCTGCTTCTAATTACTTAAGACCCAGACAAACTGAAACCACACATTTGCGGAGCTTCCAGTGGGTTGATCTGGTGACTCTTTGAACATGATAATGGTTTTCCGGCTGAACAAAAAAATAGACGCCAAACAATGAAAGAGTATTAGTGTGAATCACCTCTGCCAAGACGTGAATGGATGATTTCCACTAAACATTTCGACTGGAAGAAGAACCACAAATTAGCAAATTAGATGCACCAAGTAAATTTGTAGTATAATTGACAGCAGGAAGGCTCAGTCGCTTTAAATGTGGCACCTATATTTAGATTTTCTAAAAAGTATTTAACAAAACAATACTTATAATTAAAAGGGCAGTTAGTGGTTTAAAAAATACCTCCCTGTACATTTAGTACAATGCATCATAAAACACCATTCACAGTAAATACAGTTGTATTGTTCTGTCAATTTATACAACAACAATTTCCATTTATATAGTACCATTCACATAGTATAGTGTCTTGAAGAGATGCAACCAGTTCTATATTCCAAACATAAGAAAGCATGACACTCGAAAAGGTCAGTCAGCCCAAAAAGCCAACTCCTTCCACAACTGAACAAAATTTACCCTGTCTCAATCAATCCGCCTTCTCCCTTCTTTGCCGGTCTTCAGATAACAACTGAAGACAAAATCTCTCTCTTCACATCCCACTCGGGAACATTTCTGCTCAACTGTGTCTACGGTCACCTCCCCTCTCTCCAGCTGGGTGCCAGGCTCCTCCACTCTTAAGCACCACAAAACGCTACCCACATGAATTATGCTATATAAAGTTATTTTATTATCATGGAAATCACACCATTTATGGGATTAAATTCAGCAGATATTCCATGATCCCACAGGCAACATTTTCAAATCATCATCCACCTCCACATTGCCACTGTTCAAACCTAATATCTTTCCTTCAACAGAAATTATTCCATTCCCATTCCTCAGAAGTGCATTGTATTTGTAGCATATTTGTTCATCTCACTCTACAATTTCTCTGTATCCTCAAATACTGTTTGGAAGCAGTTACTGATCCAGTTTTTCTTAAGGAGTTAACCAATGCAACACTTTATTGGGAATATGTTTCACACCTCCACTGCTCTGTGAGGAAAAACAAAATCTAATCTCTCTCTTCACATCCCATTCGGAAACATTTGTGACTATTGAACTCCGAAAGGAGGGACGTTTCCCCCTGCAGCAAAATCCTAACTCAAATCTTATTACAAATATTAAAGCAACATTAATGGAAATAGATGCTTTCTCCAGAACATTTCTAACAAGTGCAAATTAGATACACCGAGTACATTTTAAGAAAAAGGGAAAAAGTACAAAGAATAGCACCACATTTCTGTTCTCTATAATAGCCCATGTTTCTGCCTCAATCGATATAGCTTGTCACAGAATTCACAATAGATCTTCAGATGTTCATAGTCAGGAGGAGCCACTGTTTAAAAGGAAAAAAATGAACAGGGGTTATATGTGGAATGATCAGAAAGTCTCCAGTCTCTGCTGGTGGCAAGAGTGCGGAATTTCCCTTTAGTCTGGTGTTGTGTGCAGTGACAGCATCAAATGAAAGGGAAAATCTTCACTAATTCACACTCAGGAAGGCCATGCATAGGTGTAGAAAATGCAGGCATTGACACTGGTGCAGTAGCTCCATATGTCAACGTGTGAGCAGAAGGATGTCATTATAAGTGAGAGGGGTGTAGGTGACAAGTACGGCCAGGGGGGATATCATTGTACATACAGGCTGAGGGTGAGAACTGTAGGTATGGAAATGAGGGCATGGGCTGTACGTACAGGAGTGAGGGTACAGGCCCTATGTACAGGCATCAGGGCAATCGCATGTATATTCCACGTTATTGAAAAAAAGATTAGAATGTATTTTTTTTTACCTGCAACATATTTATGGATATTTCACCAGTCTTTTTGGTATCAAAATTCATGAATGATCCTGTTTGTAAAGAGAATGTAAATATCTCAGAACAGACCCACACATATTGCTCAGGATATCTCAATCCTTAAACTGTACTTAGAACATCTTAATGTTTTCAACTTAAAAAGGAAGGAATTGGTTAGATGAATTAGATGATATTATACATATATTTATACAACCACATTAAAGGTGCTGTATATTTTTGGACGGGAGCTTGAGAATGCGTATTTCGTATGTGTTTAGCAGTGTTTTGTAAGTTATATATTGAACCAGAAATAAAGCTGGTTCTTTCAGTATTCATTGTTTCAGTTTAACAGTGTAACATTAGGTCAACAATCAACATCAGTTGTCAGAGTTTCTTGCAGTTATCTGAAAGCATTTTTCTTTGTAAGGAGAATCAAGGCTTTGTTAGAAATTAACGTACACACATGTGGGACAAGGGAATGAGTGACATATAATAATATTCTTGATAATAATCTTACATTTGGTATAGCACCTTCCACGTCAGAAGGACGTCTCAAAGCACTTCACAGGATATATTGTATAGACTGTGTATTTCTTGGCAAATGCAGCAGTCCATTACACAGAGCAATGTTCCACAAATAGCCATGAAGTGAATGACCATTTTTATCTGGGGGATTGTTGGCCAGGACACAGGGAGAAAATCCCTTCTCTTTTCAAATATCTTTAAAGGGTAGATGGGACCTCGGTTTACCATCTCATCTGAAGGACCACACCGGAGTGTCAGCTTAGACTATGAGCATTTAAAATTTTAAACATGTTGATGGGTTTCTTCAAGAGTGTATCAGACACACTCGCTGACCAAAAAAGAAACCTCAGAGTCCCGTCATAGCTAAGAAATACACATTAGACACACATTAGACACCATTGAACATGATCTACTAATTAAATAGTGGATTCTGTTTGATCACAAATTTCCCTAAACTCTAACTTTCAACACCCTCCGAGGGATTACAGATAAACAGGAGGTTGCCAACAAACACAGTAGAGATGACAGTATACAGTATCACATTAGCAAACCATCAAATCCAGTACTTTGCGACATTATATCACGTTGAAGGGTGATAGATAAATGCAAGTTGTTGCTGTTGTTTAACTGGTTCTACTTACTGAATGACGTCTCCAGACGCACGAGGCATCGGATGAAGTTATCAAAGTAAATCTCCATATAATCGTTGGCGTATCGCAGGACTAGCAACTGTATTAGTTGGTTGTTAACTTGAAATCCTGGAAAGCAGGAACAAACAGGATTCTCATTAGCACCAGGAATTCAGTGCAGTGAAAGGCATCTGCAGTGAGAAGGAGATAATTGGACAAATCAAAGTATCAAGAGGTTAGGTCGCAAATGTCTCTGAACAATACACTGAACTGTGGAGAGAGTTCAACAAATTCTCAGCTCACGGGAGCAAGGGATTCAGGCTGAAAACCGGCCAATAATAACTGACTGAAATTCTCCTGTTTCTAATTACCACATTGGATCGTTTCAGAAACACCACATTTTCAGCGTTTCTAAATCAGCATTATTATTCGACGTTTACCGACAAACATATTCCACCAAAGCTACCGGCTTAAGGTCAAAAAAGTCCTTTCTTTGTATTATTTTATAATTCTTCGTTATTTAATATCATTTCCATACAGTATTTGTACTTCTTGGGGATTGAATATTATAATCATAATAATAATAATATAATATGTGAATATTATGCAATTAATTGTGATTAGGAATTAAAACTTCTGCCTTCTGTTTGGACTGTGGGTTTTTTGTTTGCCTCTTTTTACTGTGTCTTTCCTCCAAGAGAGACAATGGAGAGGTGGGTGGGGGGAACTGAGGATTTATTTACAATATAATTGACATTTATACAGTGCCTTGAGGTAGGGAGGACGTCTCAAAGCACTCGACCCTGCTGGCTGGGCATCTGAGCTGGAGGTGGGAGCCGAGGGACGTGGAGCAAAGATGATGGCAGCAAAAAGAGATACGCTTTGCAAAATAAGAGTGCCTTTGTGAGTGTCAGGCTCGAGGCTGGTTTGCTCGGTTTATTACCTGCTTCTTCGATGGCTGAACGAAGCTCGTAAGAGGATATCGTGCCAGAGTTGTCATTATCACACTTCAGGAAAGCAGTCTGCAAAACAGAAAGTGATTTCTCCTTCATCAGCCAGGTATCTGACATAATTGAAAACCCATCACCATGCTTAAGAGTATTCAAATCAAACCAAGAGTTTCACATATGTCATGTACAAATGGAAATTTCCTTTTATTGGAATGCGCACTCTCTCCCTGGAGAGATGCATCCTGCTTACCTAATCCTGGAAAATATTGGCAAGAGTCAAGGCTTGGGGACCCCAGAGTGCACATAGGGTAATGCTAGAGTTCAACCAGCTAAAACCACATAGCTTGCCATTGATATTACTGTCTGGTAAGCTGCCCACTGCTTGTCCAGCTAGGACCACCGTTAGGGCTGTGGCTTTAGGGAGAGTTTGCAAGATCAAGGACAAGATGACTAAAGGTCAGGATGGCTGGGAAATAGGAAATGCTGGAGTACAAGCCAGGCTTCAGACCATCTGCTCACAAACCTTCCACATCTTCATCCTGGTCCAGAGGTACTTAAACTCTTCAAATCCGAGCATCCTTCTTTCATCTTTCTGTGTTTCAGATGCAGTCAAAGAAGACAGCACAGTTTCTTATCCTTCAGATCACTCTAATACAATGTGTTTGTTAGTTCATACATGAATGTGAATACATGACGCTACTGGGCTATTGGTTTACCTGGAGATGGCAAGCTTCTCCAGATATGGTTTGCCTACCATAGAGGGGTTTCTATTACATAGATCTACCACACTGGAACAGTCCATCCCAGTGTTTATACTCTGTATAAGCCTCTTTCCTCCAAATTCCCCCCACTCGCCAGCCTCCTTTTATACCCCTCCTGATTTTAACCATGAACCTCTTATTTTGGTACCTTTTCAAAGGCCTTCTAAAAATTGTTGGTAACAGTGCCAGAGCTAAGTTATTAAATGGTTAGTTTTATATTTTCTGCTTTAGAGTCTTGGGTAGAGATTACACTTGGGTCTGGATTTGCTTTATGTAGCATTTTAGAGTGTCTGGAATTTGGCAAATTCTTCAAACGCAGCTTTAATTGCGAAGCTGGGTCTCAGTAAGTTATTTTTAAGAACAAAAGAAAACCGGCTTCAAAGTTAAGACTGAATTCAACAATTTGCCAAATTCTGGGTACTCTGAAATGCTGAGAACACCATGTCCATCTAAATCCAAGTAGAACCTCTCCCCTGCAGGAATTTTACTTGTGTTATTTGCCGAATGGCTACATTTACTGCTTTTACCAAGTAGTTTGTCTCACTAGAAATCAAACAAGCAAAGGGTTTGGAAAAGTACTTTAAGTATGCTACATGCTGGCAGTGGACTTTAGGATGAGGTGGAGTTCTGCGCAGGGATACACCCACACATGTCCATCCACCCATCTATTTTTTGTCTGTCTGTCTGTGTATCTGTCTCCTCTCATCCGTACAATGTCATTCTTTAACAATGAGAGCCAGTTTTTGCAGCCCTGTTTTCTAACAAGTTGTATTATTACTGGATCACTTAGTGTATTCTCTGTAGATTTCATGGATAGTTTTACATACACATTTAAACCAATGAATACTAAACAGAATTTTTTCAAATGAACCAGTGCTCCCTAAGTATATGATTTTTGTTAAAATGCTCAACACTTGTTTTAAGTGTTCCATATGAGGTATGTATGGGCTCCTTTTAAATGCACAGATGTGGAAATCTGAATCACTGAACAAGTATGTGAGCAAATACAGAGAATAGGATACAGCGTACAGAGACACAATACTTCGGCACGTCTCAATGTCAAACTGGTCAGTCGCCAGCTCCTTTTCTGAAAAACAAATACCTTTTGTTAGTAAAGCAAAGGCCAGAAATTCCACCTCGTCCTAGCCTATAAAGCCTCTCCAGCCACAAAATGTGAGGTAAGAAGGTTGGAGAAACAGAAATTCATGTATTTTTATGAGCTGCTCATAGGCAGTAAGTATACTCATGTTAGAGAATAATAATAATAATCCTTGCATTTGATATAGCGCTTTTCACGTCAGGAGGACGTCCCAAAGCGCTTCACAGAACACACTGTAAAGTGAATTGACTGTATATTTGTGGGCGAACGCGGCAGCCAATTGCGCACAGCAATGTCCCACAAACAGTCGTAGATTGAAAATGACCAATTTATTATTGTTTTGTTTTGGAGGGACATTATTATGTGTGTGGAGTAAGGAAACATGCCCAAGGTTTCGCCCTCTGCCTGGAATTGAACTCAGGTCTCTCGCTTGCAAAGCGAGTGCTCTAACCACTGAGCTACAGGACTCCACTGATGGAATCAGACTGTATCAAACAAGCTCCAAGATCAGTGGTCACACAATTGGACAATCAAGTACCCACCACAAAGATTTTAACCCTAATCTCAGTGAAGGACAGTCTGCTGCACCAGTGTGTGACACCACTGTTCCCATAGCCTCTCTGTGCAAGATTGTCATCAGCACTAAGTTAGGGCCAGTTTTCATTATGTGTGTTCACTAAACTGTGAGCGTCCAAGCCTATTTCACAGACGACTCTTACTTTCATCCTATCAGTCTAAGTTGGTTTCAAACCCAGGCCCCTTAGGTAGCGCTCTCACCCACTGCACCGTTCAGTCCCTCGTTCTTAACATGGCAATTATTTGTGGCCATTTTACTCTCAGATCTTAAAGTCAACTAGCCTGGATCCTTGTATCCAGTGGAGATTGGCAAAATAGGACTGATCATCCATTCAGTTTGCTGCAGGAGAGAAAAGGGCTGCAGGCTAAACAACAACAGAAATAATAGAACTTATATCCCTGTGGAGTGGCAGTACTTTGTGAGTAAGCTCCATCCTCTCTCAATCGTAAAATTTACTCCAATGTTTCACGTAAACAGTCTTAGTGTCTGTCAGCAACGGGCAACATGTGAGGCAATCAATTTAACTTACGTGCTGCAAACACAGTGCTTAAAATCTTCTGCAGTTCATATGCGTCAATTTCCAGGTCCTGAAAGTGGTACATAGAAAGGATGAAGGATTAGTTTGGCCACACAACTGCAGTCTGCCCTGAAAAAGGATTCACTTTTCACAGAGTCTAACATGCAGCAATATCTAACAAGATTCTTTATAAATAATATTTATTGCATCTGATCTAATGTTGACAGTTCTTTACAGTAAATAGTGACAAGTGTAGTGATTGTGCACAGCTATTTCCCACCAACTGTCAAGAGGTGAATGATCTGAAAATTATCTGAAAGATTGTCAGCCAGGATTCCAGGGAAAACTCGTCTTGGTGACCTCAGTCCAAAACTGTTTATCCTCACTCCAATTCACTGTATGTCAATTTAACTGTACAGTTCTCCTATGCAGTAGTTGGATGAGGGATGGTGAGATACCAGCAAAAGTACTGTTGTTTACATGTGCATGGTTGACAACTGTGGCTCAACAATGTAACTCAAACAAACTTGTGTGTAAGTTCGCATATACAGTGGGATCCAATTATAACATGCCGATCCAGATTGCGAAACTTGCTAGATTTAGTAACAAGATGTGTATCGCCATCTTATATCTCAATACGGATTCATTCTCCACTCCCAGACTGTTAGACAAAACACCTTACCTCTCCTGATATATCTTCGAAAAGTTTGCGGAATTGCCTTTCCTCTTCTGTCTCCCTGTTGAGTTTGGATGGTGTAGGTGGCTGCAATGGGTTAAGTTCTATTTCAGTCATTAACAGCAGAAGACACAAGTGTCTATTTCTATTCACAAAGGCATTTTACTTAATGTCCAAAACTGACTACAGGCTCGATAACTTCCCCTCACGTGAATTAATATTGAACAATGACACAAGAGGCTTGGATATTGCAGAGTGCAGGAGCATGGTCATGTTATCACGTAGATAAAAATCCAAATTTAGTCCAAGCAACTAAATGTTTCACCAACTAACAATTTACAATCATGCAGAATAAATTGGCACAGCAAGTTATGTGCAGCTCTTTCGCCTCAAAGACCATTGTCCAAATCCAGCCCAAACCAATGAAATGAAAATTGCCTTTTTGTTGACAGCAAGGATCCCACACATAATGAGATGTGGTCTCTTAATAATAATAATGATAATCCTTGCTTTTGATATAGAGCCTTATCTTCGAGACATCTCAAAACTCTTCACAGAATATACTGTAAAGTGAATTGACTGTATATTTTGTGGGTGAAACACGGCAGCAGTGTCCCACAAACACAGTCGTTGATTGAAGTGACCAATTTATTATATTTTTTTAAATTTGGAAGGAATTATTACCCCCGGAAAAGCGATTCGCCAATCGACTAGTTCCTACTTACTGCTAGGTACACAAAGGCGTGGGGCATAAGGAAACTTGCCCAACGTTTTGCCCTGCTGGGAATCGAACCCAGGTCTCTCACTTTCGAGGCAAGTGCTCTAACCACTGAGCTACAGGAACCATAAGCACTCTTACGGGACTCTTAGACCTGTAAGAAACTTGGATTCAAGTTAATATCAGAGCCACGTGGGTTTCCCAGAAATTGAAGTGAGGGTAGAAGTTTAGAAGCTAGTAAATAAAGATAACTCACATCAGGAAGATCCATACCAATTTTATCCCCCATTTCACTGTAAAGAAATTAATATATCAGTAAGAATGGAATTCATTGGAAGTCATGTACTGTCAATTTTAGTATAGTTATAATATAGTAATATTATTATATTATAGGAAAGGTTGTTGATGTCAACAGGCTATAGTTAGGAAGATATTTCAATAAGAGAACTCAGCAGGCAAATAAAAGCTGAGAGGGAGAAGCTTTCCAGGCAATAGGGTCAATGGGGAAACCAATACAGATTAGCACCAAGGTTTCGCCCTGCCTGGAATTGAACCCAGATGTCTCGTTTGCAAGGCGAGTGCTCTAACCACTGAGCTTCAGGACTCCACAATAGCCATATTATCAAGAGAACATGGGTTTAAAGTTGCAAAGAACAATTTCAGGACAGACATCCGTAAATATTTATCACCAGAGGGTAATTAGCAACAGGAACAGGTTGCCAGGATGGGTGATTGTGTCCAGGATCCTGAATTCATTTAAGAAATGCTTGATGCTGTAATGGGAGGATGGTAGGGTGGGTGTTCTGGAAGGATGAGATCAAATAGATCAAAGGCCTCCTTCATCTGAACCTCTCTTGTGATCTTGTGAAATCATTCCACACAATTCTAATCCACTTTATACTGTGGCCCTTCACGCAAAAAGACCTGGTGACCGGTAATGTCACTTCTCCTCCCCACTTTGCTTTATTATGAGATTCTACTTATTATAGAGAGAAATTTTTTTTTGAAGGAAATAAATATTATTATATTATTATTATAAACTGGTCATTTCCACCAGGTGACTTACAGAGATTCATTTTTCTTCTCTGAGAAGATCCGAATGACAAAATCAGCTTCATGGTGAGGTTGAAAAGTAGTTGGAACAAGGATGTAATCTCCAGGTGGAAGTTGGAACCTTTGGCAGATTTCTCTTACATTAATGTAGCTCTTACTTCTAGCTACCGAAGCATGAAATTGGAAGAATTCTTCTGGCAAATGGTCATCACCAGGTTCTGCCTACAAAATAAATTGTATCATTTAGTCTTTTTATTAATTGGGAAGCATCCCTGCCCCCAGTGACTGGTCTACCTTTCCAAGTCCTGACGATGAGCCAGTCTGTCATCATCAGGACTTACTACTGAGACCACGATAAAGGGTTGACTCGATTCTGACAATCCATTGCCAAACATGTCACCCTAGAGCCAGTTCAGCTCTAAGGAGACCCCACTTACCTCCCCTCCACCCCAAGGAGGATAGTCACCAATTTTATTGTAGACGATCTTTGGTCAGAACACTGGGATAAACTCCCTTCTCTTTTCAAATAGTATGATGAGATCTTTAACATCCACCTGGACAGGCAGACAGAATCTCAGTTTGACGTCTCATCCAAAGGACAGCACCTCCAACAATTCAGCATATCCCCAGTATTGCATTGGAGTGTCAGGCAATTTGGATTCCAGTGCTGACATGAGGTTTGAACCCACAACCTTCTGACTCAGAGGTGAGAGGGTTACCAATTGAATCAGCCTGACACATTACGTTATATAAGTGCAAGTTGTTGATGTTGACTGGAAATACAGTGGGAACATATACAGTACCTTATAAATAGCAAATCCAATGGTTAACAAATCAACTCCTTCTTTCCTCAGTTTACGTCTGTTCTTTTGAAGGATAGCTATCATAAGTGTAGAGTCGTTTTTACCATCATCTGCATCATGTAGCCTCAGCTTATACTGAGGATTTGTCCAGAAAGTTTCTGCACATAGAACACAATCACAACATGACATCCATTCAAAAAGAAACCTGCACCTTCATTTTTGCTATTGGATTAACTCCTTTCCAAAATTAACTCATCTGAATAATAATAATAACCCTTGCATTTTATATAGAGTACTATCACACCTTCAAGACGTCTCAAAGCACTTCACAGGATTTACAGTAAAATGTTGTAACTGTGTGTATTTGTGACATGCTCATCTGGGTCCATTCAATGTTCCTAAATCTAAGTATAGAAAGGATTGTACAACTTGTTACAATTGACGATCCTTTCTAGATCAGTTCCCTTTCAGATATGCTGTCATTCTGATTTGAGCTCAGATTTCCCTTGTTTGCATCTTTCGCTTTCAATCCTGAGAAAAGTCTCATCACTGCCAGCAGAAGCTGCTCTTCAAGTATCCGGTTCCAGGCCAATAATTCCGCAGATAACATTGGTCATTCACTTTGTGGCCGTTTGTGGGACAATGCTGTATGTAAATTGACTGCCACGTTTACCTACAAAATACGCAGTCACTCCACTTTACAGTATATCCTGAGAAGCACTTTAAGATGTTTCAATGACGTGATAGGGGTCTTTATATCAAGTATAAGTAATAATAATCGTTGCATTTGATATAGTGCCTTATCAAGTCATCGAGATGTCTCAAAGCGCTTCACAGAATATATTGTAAAGTAGATTGACTATGTATTTGTGGGGAAAACATGCTGCTATTAAACACTGAACTAATGGTTATAGTGACCTACTTACTAAAACTCCACAAATATAACCACAACTCTTTCCATAAGGGAAATATGTAGAGTGAACTATATGTTATTTGTAAAGTACCTGGGAAGTTTCTGCAGCCTCCCGCCGTAGAGCCTTTCTGCCACTTCCCTTCATAAACCGACACGTTCCATTTCCGAGTCGAGTCACCATACAAAGAATCTGGGGTAAGGTTACAGACTTCTAGTTTGCCAAAATGTTTGCAGAAATCTTCAAAGGCCATCCTAAACATAGGAGGAAACAAGAAAGCACCTACATGTAAATGATCTGCTCCACAGAGAAAATACCAAGGCACAAGAACAAGAGGTGGCAGGGTTTAGATTTGCAATGGGCAATTTCAGGAGACAGGGATGCTGGACCTATTTACAGGTGCCAGCCTGGCTCAGTTGGCAGCACTCTGAATCAGAAAGTTGTGGGTTCAAGCTTCACACTGAGCTGACACTCCAGGTTCACTCTCTTGGTTAGCCAAAACAAAGTTCTTCAATGTGCCCTTACTTATATAGGAACATAAGGTTGTACAGGACTGAGATCTATAAACCTACCTATGTGATCTCTTGCATTTCTCTTCACCAGCCCAGTTCCTCCACTTTGATAACCAAGGCCTGCTTCATGTCCCTTGCCATCCCCCCAACCCACAATTGGTGGGTGAGCTTTCAGCCATTTTGCCCCTGCTCTCTGGAACTCTCTTCCTAAATCCCTCTACCTTGTTCCCTCCCTCTCTGCTAACAAAAACCATCTATAAACCCATCTTTTTGACTGTGCTTTTGGTTACCTCCCTCCTCTCCCCCACCCCCCACCCCCAGCCCTCCTCATCGCACTCCGTCCCTGTCAAGTGTTTGAGACATTTTTCTATGAGAAAAGCACTATATGAGGGGCAAGTTGTCATTAACCCACCCTACCTCACATTTATCATGTGGGATTTCACTAAGCAGTAGGACCGTATCATGTATGCTTCCTATCCACTTTATCCAGTACTTTTTCTTAAATATAAAAACCAAGGCTGGTGATATCTTTTGTTTAACAGTTAGCACTTTACCAAAACTCCCCGTCGTCTTTGGAGACCATGTTCAGTGTGCGATGTTCAGACGTGTCGATCATCTTCCATTCAGCAGAGCTGTAAGGCAGGATAAGGTTGAATGCTTCCTTCTCACTTTCTTTGTGTTTTAAACCCACTGATGTCAAGAGTATTGCAATTACTTGATGCGGTTTGAAATTCCACCTAGTCTTAGCCTGAAAGACCATTTGGTCTTAAAATCTAATATCAGATAAAATCACAGGAAATTCCTAAATTCAGGCATAATTCAAAAAAGCCTTTAAAAACCTCTGCCTTTTCCCCATGGTGGTGGCCTGCAGCATTTTTGGATGAATTTTGGCATTAACACTAATCAGAAGTCAGGGGGAGCTGTTTGGGTTCTTGAAATCAGGGGTCAACTTTTAGGCTTAGTGAGATTCAGGCATTAATCAATGGTATTAATCTGTAGTTAATCAATCAGGTATTAATCTCAATCAAGTATTAATCTCTGGTCAGGCCTTTATACTCTGAGAGTTAGTCCTGATGGAGATTGAGGTCGGGGCAGGTAGACTGAAGTAGTTGTATGTTAGATTGAGACTACAAATTAAACAAGTTGGAAGACATCCACAGTGTGGTACCTATTCCTTGTGTAACTGACAGGCTTCCTGTCGTTTGTCCAGCTCGGGTCACTCCACCTGTCAGGGCTTTGGCTTGCAGAATTAACAGGAACTGAGAAGGAAGGAACTTATTGATTGAGATTGAACTCAATATTGATTGAGATTACAACAAAGATCGTGTTGTGTGGGCTGTGATTGTGACAGATAGCCTGACTCCACTGCTTCTTTATTAACAGATCACATAAAGTTATTGTAGACCTACTTGTCACTCCATGCTCCATTCCACTCCACTTGACCCCAAGGGTTTCTTACTCGGATCAGCCGCACTGGCTTCCCCTTGTATTTTATCTTTTAAAAGAAAATGTAATTTGAGTAAAGGACATCAATCCCCAGTTCATATCATCAGGTGAACGTTAAAGATCTCATGGCCTGATTAGAAAAGAGAAGGATGTTTCTCCCAGTGTCCTTAATATATAAATTGATCAGGAAAAAACAATTATTTGCATTTATATCGCGCCATTCACATTGGGTTACATTTCAGAGGGCTTTATGGTGTTGGGGATGGATGCCGGTAGCAAAGGGAAAGGAGGAGGTGACCATAGACATGGTCGAAGAGATACGTTTTAACAGAGAGCTGACCCAAGGGAGCAAGTTCCAGAGGTTAGGGCCATTGAATTGGAAACCTTAGGTCACTAGAGTTGACAGTAACTACTGTGAAGAAATTTGAGAAGTTTAGACATGACAATATTAAAAACACGTTGAGTTCTTTCTTAAACTGAGGGGGTTTAAAAACATTTGTCGCTCCACAGAGTAACACATGCAGGATCAATGTGCTATGGACCCTCCCATGTGACAGGACAGTAAAATAGGAAGGGCATCTTGAACGAGTGGAACATGTCGCAAACTACACTCACTCAGTCCATTAAAGGGTCATTTCACCACTTTGAACATTGTCATTTGTTAACTGCAGTGGTTCAGATCACAATTTGATGGAAAGCTATTTGACAGGAGATATAAACTATTACTGGAGAACATAACAATAATCCTTACATTTGGTATAGCACCTTTCACATCAGGAGGATGTCCCAAAGTGCTTCACAGGATATACCGTAAAGTGTAGTGACTATGTGTTTTGTGGGTGAACATACCTCCTGGAGCCCAGTGACAGAATATGCGTGTCCTTTAATCAGTCCTGAAGGGGTGCGAGCCTCAGTTTCAGCAGAGCTTGAAATCTTCAAATAAAAGAACAAATCAAAAAATTACTTCTGCAAAGAACTTTCATCATCCATCACAAAGCTCCGTCCAACAAAGGATTACTCAGGTCATTTCTGGCCAAGCAGCTAATTTGCTTTGTGCCCACGTCAACCACAACAATTTACATTTATAAAACGTTCACATTGGGAGGTCATCTCAAAATGCTTCACTCAAAGCACAGCTGACTGGGAGCCTGCAAGGAGGAATAAAAAGAGGGAAAAGGTGTCTGAAAGCGCTGTTGAAGAAAAAGGTTTTCAGATGGCTTTTGAAGGTTGGGGGGGGAGTGGGCAAGAACTCCTGGATAGTGATCTGGAGAGCAGGGAAAGAACGTCTGACCATCACATTCTAATATCTTTTACACTTGAAAAAGAATCTAGTATCTGGTTTAGTTGGTAGCGCTTTCATCTCTGAATAAGAAAGTTGTAGGTTTAGGTCCAATGTTGAGACTTTGAGTTCACAGTCCAAGCTGACATCCAATACACTGCTGAGGGGAGCATTACACTGTCAAAGGTGCCTTCCTTCAGTTGAGACATTAACCCAAGATCCTGTCTACCTGTTCAGATGGACATTAAGGATCCCGTGACACTATTAGAATAGAAAAGGGAGTTTCTCCCAGTTTCCTGGTCAACAATCCCACAAATAAAATTGGTCTTTCACTTTGTGACTGTTTATAGAACACCGCTGTGCGTAAATTTGCTGCTGCGTTTCCCTGCAAATAGAGTCGCTGCACTTTATCAAAAACTCTTTGAATCTCTTTCATACGTTCTTAAATTAATAGCTACTATATCAAATGCAAGGGTTATTGATTATATTTACTCACGTCAATGGAACAGCCCACCATGGAACGCCTTTGCAGTGCCTTCTGAATGGTTGCATACATGTCTGAAGATGACTCATTGAGATCAAACATCTCTCCCAATCCCCCAGTGAAGTCCTCCATGGCCTCCAGTGTATTTCCTCCCTTTAGCGATTCATAGTTGCCATTTAGTCTGTGGACAGCAAAGACTGTGTTATCACTAGGGCTGCAGATGTAGATTGTCAAAAATCAGAGCAGTCAAGGTAAATTTAGTGAAGGTCAAGAGTTTAAGGGCAATTTCAGGAGGAACAGCAAGAAGTATTTCTTTGCCCAGAGGGTAAGTAACGACTGGAAATGGTTACCAGGAAGGCATTGTGACTGTCACTGAGATCAGACCTCTGGGAAGACAATAGGCTGGGTATTCTGGGAGCATGAGATCAAATAGGCCAAAAGACCTTCTTCATCTGAACCTCTCCAGTAATCTTGTGAAGTAAGAACATTCCAAGACTTGTCAGTCAATCCCCGCGTACGATATCCATACTCACTTGGCATAGGCCTTTTCCAACAAGGCACTCCAGAACTCATTTTGCTCAGCAGAGTGAAGGTAGACCAAGCGATTTCTGAAGGTTGGTAACCGATCATCAACCACCACCTCCACCCACTCGTTGTATTGCCAAAACTAATGATGTGATGAGGAAAGTTCAAAAAAGATGAAGGAGTCACAAAAGTGATTCACACTCTAGAGTTCACACAGAAAGCCCCTTTCAACACACTGAGCGTCCCTTAAAATGTTTACAGCAAATCAGATCTCAGGATTACCAGGGGCCCCGCTGACAACGAAGGGCAGTCCCTAAGGATGCTCCCCTCCCCCCCTCCCCCCGCCCCGGGAGCTCAAATCTGCAATTCCCTCGCCCCCTCACTCTTGGAACATCTTGTAGGCTCCCCTTTGGACAGAACCTCAATAGCACAGATTGAAAGGTATGAAAAAACACCACCAGTTCTAAATACAGGAAGAAAACAAGGGCATCATGATACCACCTAACAGCTCTTGGTGAAGACTGCACTTTGTTCTGTTACCTACAGTGTATTATGGCTAAATCGTAACAGTTACAGTTATGGTGACCATGATATTAGGGGCCCTATGCTGGGCTAAATTGCCAAATCACTTGAGTACAGATCCCAGATGTCATACAAGAGCTGTGTAGTGCACTTGTCAGGCTGTATTTAGGCAAGGTGAACCTGTTACTGTAGGGCTTGTTTTCTCCCCTTCTTTTCTGTGTGGGCATCTGGTATCAAAATTAAAAAATTTAAAATAATAGAAACTCGTTTTTTTATAGATTCGGGACATATCAGGACAATTGGTGGTTACAATGAAGCTATAAAATGTTAATACTATCTGTGTCTTTCACGTGTAGTTGCATAAACTCAAGAGTAATTTGTGCTGTACCCAAAAATGAAAAATGCCAGCATAATTCTCCTGAAAATTCTGCTTTGGTGGGACGACTCGATCTAACAGCTTCTGATCCAGAGTCAATGAAGCCACCGCAGCCAGCAACCAGCAATCACCTGGTGAGCAAGCAAATACACAGCAACAGGCCTTTACACACATCACTGAAAACACATAACCCATTAACAGAATCTCAGAACATCTCCCATTCACATAAACATCCTAGGATTACACAGAATTACACATTATACAGCAACAAAACAGGCCATTTGGCTCAATGTCATAGGCTCTATATAAATGTAAAGTGTATTGTAATTTTGTTCCCTTATATTGCCTTCTCCCAGGCTCATGTGTATCAATTGCTATTGTATTATCTGCTTGACAGGCGAACTTACCCGCCAGCAGAAGAGTTGCTTCCCTCTAATTCTTTCCCACCACCCTCCTGAACAGCGGCTGAATATCTGCACACTGTGTCCAATTGCAGCACTGTCTGTGGCAACCAGCGCAAATGACCCCTGTCAAGTCCCTTTCACTGGGCTGATGTTACTTACCCAAATCTCCCTGGCAGATATCTGTCCTTGAAGCTCCACCAGTAATAAACTCTGGGTTATTTACAATTTCCTGCAAATAAAAACGGAACAATATGTCAATGGATAGGAGAACAAGTACTGACAAATACTATAATATCTGTACAGTTTTTCAGCTGCTGCAAATGTATTTTACAAAATTCTGTAGACTTTTGGACTCTGACTTCAGTCAAAATCAGTGCCATTAAACAAAGCCTTAAGACAGATTTAAATACGCTGGGAATCATTTGTGCCTGAAAACAATAATAATAACCCTTGCATTTTATATAGCGCCTTATCATGTCTTTGAGACGTCTCGAAGCGTAATATACTGTAAAGTGAATTGACTATTTTTGTAGGTGAAACACAGCAGCCAATTGCGTACAGCAGTGTCGTACAAACAGTCGTGGATTGAAGGGACCAATTTATAATTTTTTATTTTTTTGAAGGAATTATTACCCCCGGAAAAGCGAGAGAACTCCGCCGAACTATTCATACAAGAAAAAGCAAAGGCTTGAGACGCTTTTCACTCTGATTTACAACTTGTCCTTCAAAACAGCATCCTGCCTTTTGCCGTGTTTTATTAGGTCAAAATAAACAGAATACCATATAAAGTACGTAAAATATTCATTATAAAATATAATGACTGGTTTGAACAACTCGCTCCATGATACACAGCCTGTGGGTTGTACTGGAGAGAGTTTCAATACAGTACAATACAAATTTACACTTATACGGTGCCTTTTACATCAGGAGGACAGCCAAAGGCGCTTAACAGTCCTGGTTTGTTACCTGTTTCTGTTACAGAATGGAATGCTACAAAAGAACATTAATTTCAATGGTCAAAATTATAGCCTTTAAACAGCTGTAATAATAATCCCTACATTTGGCATTGTACCTTTCACATCTCAAAGCATTCCAGTATTCGCTTGCTTGCTCGCTCCCCTCTTTCCTGCCAAACATGCCTCTTTGACTGCACTTTCAGTAATCTTTCCCCACTTGTCTCAGCTTCCACTTCAGCTCAGGTGCCCATCCAGCGCTGTGAAGTACTTTGAGACATCCTCCCGATGTGAAAAGTGGTACATAAATGTAAATTGTGTTGTACTTACAGTAAGTAGAGGATGTGTTTCGTGGGAGAATACAGCAAGCTACAATTACATACATGCACATGCCCGTCCATATGAACACAAACACACTTACGCATATATGAGCCATGTCAATCTGTCTAATCTGTCTATCAAAACACATAGCAGTGGAATTCCAACCTTCTGATGCTGTCAAAAAGGAGGTGGGTTACCCACTCTAACTAAGGTAAGAACAGCGCACATAAATTATGGGCTATATGTACTGCAATCACCCAGTATTAGACACTGGTGAGACACAGAAAAATGGTTACTTCGACAACTTATTGGAAGGTGGCTGCTGGCTATAGAACTATACAGCAAGATAGATTGATTTCGGGAGGAGAAAATATGAAGGAATGTGTCAACATTGTGTAACAATAGTTTAGCAGCAGTATTACTAGCACACAATGTAATAGTTCCTTTAAACTTGCGTTGAGAGTGGTATTTGGCCACACCTGAAACCACAAGGCAGAATGTGACACCCTTTTCTCTACAAATATTTGCAAATGATTGAGCAACCAGTGGAGAAAGTTCAGGATTTACAGTGGCAGCTTGTGTCCTGAATCAGATGTTGCTTATTTTATGTTAGAAAATAAGGATTTTTTTAAATCAGAGGGTTATCAATGACTGGAACAGTTTGCAAGGAAAGGTGCTAAAGGCCAGGTCAATGGGCACATTTAAAAAGCTGTTTGATGTTGTGGTAAGGGAAATGGTAGGGCAGGTGTTCTGGAGGGATGAGATCAGATGGGTCAACTGATCTTTTTCATTCAGACCAATCTTGTAATAAAGCAACAGCTGTCCACCGAACGTAAGAGAACAGGAAAAGTAAACTTAGCTAAATGGTTACCCGTTTTTTCAGGTCTCAATCTGCAATGTCACACTATCAGCGACTGGCATTAAAATATTCTTTGCATTTGTATTTGATATAGTGCCTATCACTTCTTTGAGACGATTCAAAGCACTTCACAGGATATAGCGTAAAGTGTGTGTATTTTGTGGGTGATCATTCTTCATTCTGAATGGACACCACAACAATCCAATCTACTTGCCATAATCACTGAGATTGCAAGTCTGCAACTCTTCCCCCAAATATTTCACCTTTTACCTTCTCTCCCTGCATTCCAAGCCAAACCCTCTCTCTTTGACCGTGCTTCTGGTCACCACCATCAAACTCTCCTCCCTCTCCTCACTGCTTGTGCTCCTCATCATTCATCCGATTTAGAAGGTGCTATTTAAGAGTAAGTTACTGTTATTTCATTCAAGTTGCTCTCAAACATTTCAATGAACTGTGTCCACCAGCCACCAAGGGGGATAGGTCAGAGCAGAGGAGCCCCCTGTAAATCAATGCTCATTTGGTAAAGAGGCAACAGAGGGCCTCCCACTGGTGGTTGCATTTAGTAAAGCTAGCATCCAGTGAGAAACAAGTCAATCTGGCCACTAAGTCCAGAGTTGATATTCATTCTGTGTTGAGCTGGTGGTTGTATTTTTGGTCAGCCGGGTGTCCGACGCACGCAGTTACCATCACCAAGTTTAAGAGTATCCAAACCAGACTGCGAGTTTCATGTTTGTATGGAAATTAAGGAGTATTGTGAGTCAGATGATTTTGAGAAGCAACTGAAGAAGTTAAAAACTTGATAACTATACTTACTGATAGTAAAATCTTACAACAGGAAATTTTGGGGGATATAAACACAGAGCATCCTACAATGTTGGATTTTAAAGGAAATGCTGATTTTATTAGAAATCTAGGTAACGACCCCTTGATTTAGGCACGTGGAAGAAAATTAGAGGTGTATTTCAATGTTTAAAGAAAATCTGAGATTGCAACCCACCTACAAACATGAAATCTAACTCCAGTCTTTGCAAACAAAGGAATAGTTTCCAACAGAGCTGTTCTCTGAAATTACCGCACACTCGTTGTGTACTGTACATATTCAGTGTCGTCTCAGTGAATCAACGGGTGGAAAAAAGAGAGTGCCAGGAAGCAGCACATTTTTGTCAATCTTCTTGGCACTGTTTCTCTCCCACAATGAGAATGTTCTCAGACAAAATGAATCATACAAGAGTCTGATTGGGATAATTTGATTTAATGTAAAGCTATGATTTGTAATACTGGTTTGTCCTCATTCACTGTCATATAAAAACATGGGTTTCAAGGGCGCAGGAATTTGGTGCCTACAATTAATAATCATTGGAATTTAATTTCATGTCAACACCTTTCATGTCAGGAAGATGAATGAAAGCCATTCACAGGCTTCCCAACCCAACAACTGGTCACAGTTAGCATCCTGAGTTTGGATTGCATCTTTGCAAATTGTTCATTAGCCTTGAAGAGAAGTTGGTTAGGAAATGAGCCATTACACTGGAAAATTAGACTGATTTCTTTGCTTCATATGAGATGTCATCCTTCACGTCACCTTAAACCAAGGTCCCAAATGCTTGTTCAGGTGGACATTAAAGATCTAATGGAACTACTGTATTCAAAACGAGAAGGGAGTTTCTCCCAGTGTCCTGGCCAACAATCCCCCAGATAAAACTGGTCAATCCAAGACTAGGCAATGGTTGTTTGTAGGTCAATGCTGTGCATATTCACTACGAAACAGTCACTGCACTCAAAAATAATTACTCGTGAAATACTTTTGAGTCATTCAAAGTGAGAAAGTGTTAGAAAAATGCAAGTTATTTCTGTATTTAATTGGTTGGGAGACTCAGCTGCTATAGAATGCAGCCTGGGTGGAGGTTAACATTTTAACACTGCCTTAATGCCTAATTCTATCCCACCCAATACCCTCATTGATGAAAAGCAGCAATACTGGTCCTGGAATTATTTCAACATGATCCATCACCTAGCAAACATTTGCAATTCACAGCTGGTTCTGAATAGCTGCACAGCAAAGGCAGTGAGCTTCATTGAGTTTTCAGTGTAAATCACTGAAGGAGTTTTATTCTCAGACTGACCAAGTATGAGTTTCACCCAAAATCAACTCGCTTGGCAGAGAATTCCTATTGCAACAGTTTCAAAGTGAAGCTGTTATTGGGACATCATCCTGACATAAAAGGCGCTATTTAAATGCAATTTTTTGTTGTCATGAAAAACCCACCTTCATTCCTGGTCTAGCTAATCACAGCCACGGTAGTGGTGGGATCTACAATAGGTCTTCACTCCCTTTCCTAGACAGAGAATGGAGGGAAAGTTCCCACTCCTATCATTACCGAGTGATATTTGCTGGAATGTTTGCAATGTTTTAACATGGAGAAAAACTCCAAACTCAGCGTAATTTGCACAATGCTGTGAACCAGTAAGAGTGCAAAACACGTTCACACAAAAAATACTCTACAAAATATCCTGTAAAGCGCTTTGGGACATCCTCCTAAAGTGAAAGGGTACACCAAATGCAAGGATTATTATTATTGAGGGGAAATATGTATTACATATCCCAATACAGTAATTCACATTAAAATCTGTCAGCCATTCATAAGCATTCACTTTGATTCCACTCTGTGTTACACTTCTAAAGAACAGGTCACTTTTCAATAGTTGCTGGAGCACTCTGAAATGCTTCCATCATATAAGGGCTCTTAAGGGTAAATGCATGATGGTCTTATCTCAGATTTACACAGAATTTACAAAGGTCTGGGACTCTACCCTGCGTGAGGGGTGCTATATAAATGCAATATCTGAGAAATAACCCAAGACTATTAATAACAATAATAAACCTTGCATTTGATATAGCGCTTTTCACGTCTTCTAGACGTCCCAAAGCGCTTCACAGGATATGCTGTGAAGTGAATTGACTGTATATTTGTGGGCGAAAGGCGGCAGCCAATTGTACACAGCAGTGTCCCACAAACAGTTGTGGATTGAAAATGACCAATTTATTATTGTTTTGTTTCAGAGGGATTATTATTAGGTGTGTGGAGTAAGGAAACTTACCCAAGGTTTCGCCCTCTGCCTGGAATTGAACCCAGATGTCTGGCTTGCAAGGCGAGTGCTCTAACCACTGAGCTACAGGACTCCAGGACTTAGGAAACATTGGCATGATATTCTCTGATTTCACATGTCAAACCTGTCATCGCTTTCTAAATGTTTCAAATTCAATATCCCTTTGTGCAATAGATTGGGGTTTTTTTTAAAATCTTTTTTGAAAACCTAGAAAATGTACTTATTTATCAATTAAAGCTGCATTGAATGCAGCACCAAAATAAAAAAATGTTTGTTTTAAATCTCTGAAGGTGAAATACATTGGGTGGATACTCAAACCTCAAAAATCTTAGTCACTCAACACTGGCAGTCATGATACTATCTATCTTGTCCAACCTGTTTATCAAGTGCATAACAATTATTCCAACAATTGCACTGGGTGGGGTTTGAGATGCCTCCATGAGTTAGTGAGTTGAACAATGTGATAATAAGATATAATACTACTTTCGTGTCAGAAGGACATCTCAAAGTGTTTACTATAAAATGTAGGGACTGTATATTTTGCAGGTAAACGTCACAAGGCAAGCGTGAGGTATCCTTCCCACTGAGTAAAACGGGGATACATACTTTCTGGTCCTGTAACTTGTACAGAGTAATGACTGATCTCACTGTGTACACAGACTTGAAGTGGGTACCTTTAGCCTGCTGCCCAGTGGACAAGACCCACATGCAATTCACACACTCACAGTGTTCTCATTACGCACAACAAATAGATAAATGTGTCCCAACTTGGGCAGCAAGTCCTTGGTCCTTGTTCAGACAAAATATCTGAGAGACAAATGGTGCTGTGGAGCAGTACAGACTGTACATGAGGCAGAAAAATAACCAAAAAGGATTTGAAGATTGTAACACTGCAGCAATGATCCACTATATTTTCAAAAGGTTAAAACTATAAAGAAAAATTGGATCTATTAGAAGTTTTTCTCTCTGGAAATGAAATATTTGAGAAGGGACCTGTTATGATTATGGAAGGATTTGATCAGGTAGAAATAAATAGGCTATTTTCATTTGTCATTTAATTTCAAGGAGACTTAAAATAACCAATAGCTGATCTAAAAGAGAGATTCAGAGGAATTTCTTTCCACAGTAGGTGACGATTGATGTGAAACAAAAATAAATTGTCTTTAAGAGGAAACTTAATGCATTCAGGAAGAAAGGAATAGAAGGGAATGGGAGGGGCATTGAGGAAAGGATTTATGGTTGAGGGGATTAGGGGATGGAGATTTATGGAGATGGAATTATAAACCCTGACATGGACTAGTTGGCTGAATCGGCTGTTTCGGTGCTGCCCAACCTCTGTAATTCTATGTAACAAGTTGGATTTAGAGAAGTGAAACTTCTGAGTGATGGCATCAGCTGACTTCCATTTCCTTAGAATCCCCACTAAGGGGAACGCTTATCAAGGCAATAAATGATACAGAGAAAAGTTGTTGCGGCGTGGATACATAACAGGTAGCAGTGACACAGGTAAGATGAGAACCTGCTACAAATATATGGGTTTTTCATCAAATTCACCAAAATGCAAGGAATACTAAGTAAGAGTGGGGAGCAGTGCTCAGCTGTGAATCAATGGCTGGGATAGGTGCAGCCCTGTTTATGAAGGAGTTGGCAATGCAATTACTGTAGGTCTGTGCTGTATATTACTATCCTGGGAACAATCCCAAGCCCATTCACTTCATGTCTGTTTGTGGGATATCACTATGGGCAAATGGGCTGCTGAGTTTCCCTTACAAAATGCAGTCAATACATTTTACACAATGTCCTTTGAAACGTTTTTGGGGGGAACTTGAAAGGAGCTCTGCCAAATGCAAAGATTATTATTACTGTATATAGTGAGGCTATGTGTGTGTGTGTGTGTGTGTATGTGTGTGTGTGTGGTTGTTGCCCATTCCCCAGCAGATCCCTGGAGCTGCCAATGCAATACTCACATGGGGTCGTTTCCACTCGAAGGAGACTTGGGGTTTCTGGCTGAAAAACAGAGACGAGTCCTCGGCTGGAAATTCAGGATCTTCGAATAAAACGCCCTGATCCAGGCACCGGCGCTTCAGCAGTTGGTACCTGGGTTTCTTGTCCGCCATCACCACAGCAGTCCTGGCTTTCACCGCTTCTTTTTTCTGGGAGCCCCCAGACACACCGCTAAACATGTAAGTGGGCATGTTTCCCTGTAGTTACTGAGCTGATCCCAGACACTACCATAAACTGCAGCACCTGTTCTCACTGACAGCCCAGAGCAGTGCCACCTTATGTACACTCCACCTGTCACACTCCTCCCTCCCTGTCAGCCTCTACAGGACTCCCCCTGCCCCTGTCACACTCCTCCCTCCCTGTCAGTCTCTACAGGACTCCCCCTGCCCCTGTCACACTCCTCCCTCCCTGTCACCCTCTACAGGACTCCCTCTGCCCCTGTCACACTCCTCCCTCCCTGTCAGTCTCTACAGGACTCCCCCTGCCCCTGTCACACTCCTCCCTCCCTGTCAGTCTCTACAGGACTCCCCTGTACCTGTCACACTCCTCCCTGTTAGTCTCTACAGGACTCCCGCTGTACCTGTCACACTCCTGACAGGTAGAAGTGGCACAGTTTCAGGGGGAGCCATGTAGAGACTGACAGGGAATGTGACAAATTCCTATATAAATGCAATGTGTTGTTGAAGGGGTATGAGGATAAGGCAGGACAGTGTGATGTAATAAACATGTTACTCTGAGACCCTGTGTAGACATGAAGTGTCAAATGATCTCCTCCTGTGCAGTGAACTTCTATGATTCTATAAATTCTTGTTCTCCACATGTCTATGGTCTCTCCACTGGTCTCCACTAGCCCAACTTGCGCCACACTTGGTCCGCAGGACTTTTCCTCCTGGTTTTTTCTCCCACTCTTTGACTGTCACACCCACCAAAGCAGGCATAACCGGTACCTCACCTCAGAATACTTTGTTTCTGTTGGATTGCTAACATAAGTACATTCTCAAATGGGTGATAATGCGGAGACAGACTGATTCGAGAGCTGTCACTGAGGGCTGAACCTGAAGAACTTGCACAACAAGAAACAGAGATTCTTAATTTCCTTCAGCTCTTCTCCCAGACATCCACTGCCTTTGACCATAAGTTAATTTTGTTTCCGCAGTATCACTCTCAGTGTTGCTATTTGTCTATCTGTCCTGCCTTGCAAACCCAAAAGGTAAAACAAATTAATCAGCTCGCCAAGTGGTTGATTCCTTTTCAAGGAACAGTTATGACATGGAGAGCATTTTAACATTAATTTCCCTGTGTAAATTCAAATCTATCTGACATCTGGGACAAACTGCTTACCCATTAACCCAGCCATTCCCTTCCCTCAGTGGGCGCCAGCCTGCTTCATGTCCCTGACCACCTACCCCACAACCTAAACTCTCTGGGTCTCCATCCCGGTGTCCTTGAGTCATCCTCCAGACATGAAAGGTGCTATGTAAATATAAATGTGTATTGTATTGTACACCCCACTATCATCTGTGCCAATGTGGAGACCGTTGTGATGAATATTTTTGCAGAGCCTAACCTTCTGGACTGTGTGATCTTTGAAACCATTAATCTCAAGAGGATCAACAATGCCACAATGAAAATTCTGGAAACTTTTTAAGTTTAAAGAGAAACAAGGAAACAACATTTTTTACTGAAACTGGCAGCCACAGGTCTAAAACAGATTGACAATTATTAAAGGCACAATGTCTGAATTGGTTCAACTCCCTTGACATAACACAGCACCTTCATCTCGTGTGAGTAACCTTGTGGAGTCCTGTAGCTCAGTGGTTAGAGCACTCGCTTTGCAAGCGAGAGACCTGAGTTCAATTCCAGGCAGGTCAGGGCGAAACCTTGGGCAAGTTTCCTTACTCCACACGCCTAATAATAATCCCTCCAAAACAAAACAATAATAAATTGGTCATATTCAATCTACGACTGTTTGTGGGACATTGCTGTGTGCAATTGGCAGCCGCGTTCGCCCACAAATATGCAGTCAATTCACTTTACAGTGTGTTCTGTGAAGCGCTTTGGGACGTCCTCCCGACGCAAATCAAATGCAAGGATTATTATTATTATTAAGGACTTTTGCTATGATTTCCGATATATTTGACATTTTTTATCACTGCCAATCCATGATGTTCTCAAAATTGAATCCATGAGATCAGTACAGAACAAGATTCCAACCTGTGGCCTGTTCATCTCTATGACCTTTCTATTGCCCTGGGCAGTGTCTTTAACTACCAGACCATTGGAGAAACTCAAGAACAAATTGCTATGTTGCAACTGAACTTTTTTTTCTATCTGGATTCCAAACACACCTGTGCAGCAAGTAAATTCATTGAGAAAACATGGCAACATTGATTCCATTTCTAAGCAGCCCAATGTGTTGAATATTGCTGTTTATGATGGTTAATGTAAGGGATGCTCCACAGGAGGTTTCTGTCCCCAAGAACTCGCATGAGGACACCTATTCAGTGTGAGAGGTGCACCACCCCAGTCACTGAGGAGTGATTCATGGTTATGTCTTTCACAACACTGCATCTCAGAAATAATCATGCCTAGCAGTACAACAATAACTTGCATTTATATAATGCCCTTCTCAAGGGGTAGCGTCTCAGAGAACTTAATATTGATGGAGCTTGATGCCAAGCCCATCAGCCGAGACCTGAAAATAGGAAGAGAGGGGGCGAGGTGAAGGGAGTGAGGAAGGGAGTTCCAGAGCTTTGGGGCATAGTGGCTGAAGGCACGGCCGCCGAGAGTGGAGCGGAGGACTCGGGGGACAAGGAGGAGGACAAGGAGGCCTGGTGGAACGAAGGCAATGGGCACTATTTTAAGGAGAGAGGAGGTCAGAGAGGTAGAGGTGTGCAGAGGAGTGGAGGGATTTGAAGACAAGGGTGAGGATTTTGAAGTCGATCCTCTCTGGGACAGGCAGCCAGTGCAGTCTGGCAAGGACTTGGGTAGTCGGGGAGCGGAGTTTGGTGCGGGTGAGAATGCGTGCGGCAGAGTTTTGTATTACCTGGGTTTTATGGATGGTAGTGGAGGGTAGACCGGAGAGGAGGGAATTTGAATAGTCCAGCTGAGAGGTGACAAAGGCATGAACCAGGGTTTCAGCGGCTTTTGGAGTGAGGTATTGGTGGAGACGGGCGATGCGTTGGAGGTGGAAGAAAACGGTGCTGGTGAGGGACTGGACGTGGGGAGGAAAGATAATTGGGGTCGAACCTGACGCCTAGGTTGCGTACGGGTTTGGAGAGGTTTAGGGGGAGATCGGGTAGGTGGAGGAGGTGAGAACCATATCAGGAGAGCCTCGATCTTGTTGACGTTCAACTGAAGAAAGTTAGCTCGAATCCAGGATTTGTTGTCTGACAGACATTCTGTCAGCACAGCAGTGGTCCTGAAGGCAAGGGTGGAGACAGAGGTAGAGCTGAGTGTTATCCCCAGGCATTGCTCTCTCATGTCCACACAATAATCTGGCCTCAGAGTTTTGGCAACTGATGGCTTTTTATGACCATCAATCATTAAGTTACACAAACATCTGTGACCTTCTGACAAACCTTGCATCTCTGGCTGGTGTTGCACCACCTTTTGTATCCTGATGTACAAGTTATAAGTGAATCTTTCTTTTCATGTGTTATAAAGGTTTTTTGTTTTATTTTACGCATCACATCAACAAAATTAGATTTGTATAGTGCCTTTCATGTCGGGAGGATGTCCCAAGATGCTGGACAGTCAAAGTTTTAGACCCGAGCTGGGGGTTGGGAATGGGGAGGGTGGAGGGCCGGGAGGGGGAAGCAGGGTGATCGAAGAGGAGGGTCTTGAGATGAGTCTTGAAGGAGGCAAGGGAGGGGGTGAGGTAGAGGGACTGTGGGATGGAGTTACAGAGAGTGGGGACAGAGTGGCAGAAGGCCTGCCTGCCAATGGTGGGATGGGCGAGGTGGGGGACGTGAGGCAGGCCAGAGCCCGCTGAGCGGAGGGAGTCGGCAGGATCGGAGGGGGTTAGAAGGTCGCAGAGACAGGGGGGAAAAAGACCATGGAGGATTTTGAAGGTGAGGACCAGAATTTTGAACTGTATCCTCTGTGTGATGGGAAGCCAATGAAGTCGGGTGTGGATGGGGTGATAAGAGTCACAAACTTTGGCATTCAATGTAACAGATAAAATCATTATTAAACCTACGCATGTGAATTTGAGCAAAACTATAATATCCTGGCCTCTCACTCTTGACGGGGTTGGTCCTATGTTATTTTACACTCCACACAAATATCTTCCTCTTACATTAGTAAAGACATTGTGTTTTCAAATCACTTAATTTCCTCGCACCTCTCTACCTATCCGATCTGCTTACCCCCCACTCCATCACCCGCTGCCCTCGTTCAGCTGACTACGGCCTCCTATTTGTCCCTCGTGCCCTCCATTCCATCATCGGTGGCCGAACCTTCAACCACTACGCCCCCAAATTCTGGAACTCTCTTCCCTCAATCCCTCTGCCTTGCCCCTCACTCCCCACCTTCAAATCCCACCTAAAGACCTTCCTTTTTGATCATGCTTACGGTCACCTCCCCACTCCCTATCGCCCTGGCTTGTTGTCAGACTCAACCACTGTGAAGTGCTCCGGCACTCTTTCCCACTGGAAGGGCATTATATAAATGCAAGTTTTGTTGTGGAGATCAAAAGATCTTTCATCCTTAAATACTTACAAGCTCCCTTCATTTCAAGGCTCGACTACGCAAACTCGCTGCTTGTCGGCCTCCCCAACTGCTCCCTCCACAGGCTGCAGATCATCCAGAACTCTGCAGCCCATGTCCTCTCCCGCACTATGACCCTATCACTCCCATCCTTGCCCAACTCTACTGGCTTCCCATCACACAGAGGATACAGTTCAAGATCCTGGTCCTCACCTTCAAAGCCCTCCATGGTCTTGCTCCCCCCTACCTCTCCGACCTCATAACCACCTACCATCCTGTTCGCTCCTTCCGCTCAGTGGACACTGGCCTGCTTCACGTCCCCGGCCTTGCTCACCCCACCATCAGCAGGCGGGCCTTCTGCCACTCTGCACCCACCCTCTGGAATTCCATCCCTCAGTCCCTCCGTCTTGGTCCTCTCCCTCACCACCTTCAAGACCCACCTAAAGACCCTCCTCTTCGATCATGCTTTCGATCTCCCTGCTTCCACCCCCTGCCCCCCCCCACCCCGACCCTCAGTTCGGGTCCGAAACTCTGTCTGTCCAGCGCATTGGGACATCCTCCTGACGTGAAAGGTGCTATACCAATGTAATTTTGTTGTTGTTGTTCACTTCTTGTTTACAAGAGAACTATCCCAAACTTGCCAAGTTCAATGTGCAGTACTGTACATCATTTCTGCAATAAAGAAATAATTTTGGATTCACTTATCTATGTAATGAAAGGCAAGGCCCATGTCAGGACTTTGAACTCATTGTGTAGACTGATATGCCATGCTATATTAACTTAGAAATACACAATTACTACACTTCACGTGAAGAGCTTTGAGATGCTGGCCAATGACTTGGCCAGCGTTGTATCAAATATAAGGACAAGGATTATTATTTATAACTATCAAACAATTTACTCTCAGGTGATCTTTGACGATTTTTCAACAGAGAATTGACCAAGGTGTAACCCACACCTTTCTAAGAGTGTTTTTTTACCGATTGCCTACCCTTAAAAGGACCACAATAATGGCACAATGTGTCATTTAAGTAACAGCTCAAGAATAATAGCCTGTACACTGAGGGCCTTACACACTGAGCCCACCCCAGGCTGTACACTGAGGGCCTTACACACTGAGCCCACCCCAGGCTGTACACTGAGGGCATTACACACTGAGCCCACCCCAGGCTGTACACTGAGGGCCTTACACACTGAGCCCACCCCAGGCTGTACACTGAGGGCATTACACACTGAGCCCACCCCAGGCTGTACACTGAGGGCCTTACACACTGAGCCCACCCCAGGCTGTACACTGAGGGCCTTACACACTGAGCCCACCCCAGGCTGTACACTGAGGGCATTACACACTGAGCCCACCCCAGGCTGTACACTGAGGGCCTTACACACTGAGCCCACCCCAGGCTGTACACTGAGGGCCTTACACACTGAGCCCACCCCAGGCTGTACACTGAGGGCCTTACACACTGAGCCCACCCCAGGCTGTACACTGAGGGCATCACACACTGAGCCCACCAGAGGCTGTACACTGAGGGCATTACACACTGAGGGCATTACACACTGAGCCCACCCCAGGCTGTACACTGAGGGCATTACACACTGAGCCCACCCCAGGCTGTACACTGAGGGCATCACACACTGAGCCCACCCCAGGCTGTACACTGAGGGCATTACACACTGAGCCCATCCCAGGCTGTACACTGAGGGCATTACACACTGAGCCCACCCCAGGCTGTACACTGAGGGCATCACACACTGAGCCCACCCCAGGCTGTACACTGAGGGCATTACACACTGAGCCCATCCCAGGCTGTACACTGAGGGCATTACACACTGAGCCCACCCCAGGCTGTACACTGAGGGCATCACACACTGAGCCCACCCCAGGCTGTACACTGAGGGCATTACACAAGATGTTGGAGATAACTCGAAGGCACAGCCACTGGTGGTGAAGCGGAGGGCATGAGCAACATGCAGGAAGCTGGAACTCGCTGAATGGAAAAGGCGAGTAGTAAAGTGGGGTGTAAGCAGATTGGAGAGGGAGAAAGGTATCAGGTATGAAGTGATTTGTACACCAGTGTGAGGATCTTGAAATTGATCTGTTCTGCAATAGGTAACCCCAGGGAGAGAGGGTGCATTTCAGACACAGGGAAATTTCTTTGCACAGGTGGTGTTGATATGGGAACTCTCAGTCTGGTTTGAATAGATGCAAGCAGATTTTGACATGTGTCAAACAACTATTTAACCAAAATTAAATTGGTGGTACCGTGTGGTACTAATTGGGAATTGATGTAACATACCATCTAAAAATATATGGTTTTAAATGAAAATAATTCTAGTGGCTCTCCCATTATTTACATTGCAATCATCAGAGAGAACTATTTTGTCATCAAATGTATTTGATCATTAAACATCAGACCATTGGTTAGAGGCCTTTGAGCAGGATTCTCACCGTATGTGACTACGTAGGTAGCTCCACCTTCCCCAACTCCACAGCGCGCGAGTTGAAAATGTGGCTGCCGCAAGGTGCCATTCCCATTAAAGTATACCATATTGCAATCTTCAGCACGGGTATAAAATAAGATGCTATTAACATATTTGCCGCCGTGTTCCTACTTCTATATTTTGCTACCCTTTATTTCGCCCACAAAATACAGTTAATCCACTTTACAATATATTCTGTGAAGCACTTTGAGATGTCTCAACAACATGATATAGCGCTATATCAAATGTACGGATTATTATGTCACCCTTCGTTTTTTTTCTTCCCTCCTATTTTGCCCCACGCTGTTTATTCACAGCCATGAAGTTGCACTTGGCAATATTTTCTGTCCTCTCCGGCCAGGGAGGGGACAATGGACCCTGAGCTATTCGAGCATCCTCAGCACAAGTGCAAGTGCCCTATTGAGAGTGTGGGGCCCACGGTGTTAATAGGCCACGTGCACACCCACAGGGCATGCTGGGCTAGCGCTGACACCATGCACTTCACTCGTTGGTGCTGGGGAGCTCCACAACAAGGGCAGTCAATGTGGCCACATTAGGCAGCTTGACCGCCAATTGGTTAATTGTTTTGTTCTACTGTTTTAATCGTTTTATATACTATTCAAATGCCCTCCTCGCTGGTCCCCCCAGCTCCACTATCCACAAACCCCAGTTAATCCAAACTTCCGCCGCCCACATACTCACCTCCCCCCGGCATCTTGCTCTGCCACTGTCAAGTGTTCTAGGACGCTACCCTGCATGAGGGGCACTATATAAATGCAAGTTGTTGTAGTTGTTGTAAACCTCTCTCTTTGTTGAAATTACAGTCCTTGAAAGTGAAACCACATTGAAATTCCTTGGGGGAATGGTAAGCGGGTCTCATTGGAACTAAACTGGCTCCAAGGGGACATGTCTGGCAACGGAATATTGGGACCGAGCCAGCACTCTGTGATGGTCTGGGTAATCCCGTTCCTGTGCCTGAAAAATGGCTTTGGGCAGGTGCCTCATTTTAATATTTTTAATTAAAACTGGAGAAAAGTTTTTTCCCCATTGAAAACACAGTGTCAAAAGCACTGACCTAAGTTGACCAGTCTGCTACCCATAGGAGGCAACGCATAATATTGGGCTACTTTTGGGCTGGTATTGGGTTGACTTTGGACCACAATTTCTGACAAACTCTGGACCAGAGACTTTTCCCCCTCCCTCATCCCCATCCCTCCCCTCATCCTCATTCTTCCCTCATCCCATCCTACTCCTCATCCCTCCCTCATCCCCATTCCTCCACTCATCCTCATCCTTCATTCCCATCCCTCCCTCATCCCCATCCCTCCCCTCATCCCCATCCCTCCCTCATCCCCATCCCTCCACTCATCCCCATATCTCCTCTCTTCCCCAGCCCTCCCTTATCCCGATCCCTCATCCCCATCCCACCACTTATCCCCATCCCTCACCTCATCCTTCCCTCATCCCTCTTCCCAATCCCTCATCACTATCCCACCTCTCAGCCCTCCCTTCCTCATCCCCACCCCTCATTCCCATCCTTCTCCTCATCCCTCCCTTATCCCCATCCCTCATCCCTCCCCTCATCCCCATCCCACCCCTCATCCTCATCCCTCCCTCGTCCCCATCCATCCCTCTCATTCCCATCCCTCCCCTCTTCCCCATCCACATCCCTTCCCTCATCCCCATCCCACCCCTCATCCCCATCCCACCCCTTATCCCCATCCTTCCCCTCATCCTCGTCCCTCCCTCATCCCCATCCCTCCCCTCATCCATCTTCCCAATCCCTCATCCCTATCCCTCCCTCATCCCCATCCTTCTCTCATCCCCATCCCTCCCTCATCCTCATCCCTCCACTCATTCCCATCCCTCCCCTCTTCCTCATCCCTCCCTCATCACTCCCTCATCCCCATCCCTCCCCTTATCCATCTTCCCAATCCTTCATCCCTATCCCTCCCTCATCCCCATCCTTCTCTCATCCCATCCTCCCTCATCCCCATCCTTCCTCATCCCCATCCCTCCCTCATCCTCATCCCTCCACTCATTCCCATCCCTCCCCTCTTCCTCATCCCTCCCTCATCACTCCCTCATCCCATCCCTCCCCTTATCCATCTTCCCAATCCTTCATCCCTATCCCTCCCTCATCCCCATCCTTCTCTCATCCCCATCCCTCCCTCATCCCCATCCCTCCCTCCCCCCCCTCTCCCCCCCTCCCCCCCCCCCCCCCCCCAGGCCACGGATGGCAGTGGGGCTGCTGTCTTGGCCGCTGTGGGTGGCGGCTGAGCTGCGGGGCCCCGCGCATGCGTTTGTGTGTGTGGCTGAGTCAGTGCTGTACAGAGAGAGAGAGAGAGAGCAGCACTCGGGCGGGAGAGGGACAGTGCAGGAAACACGAGAGAGAGAGAGACCGGGATCCTGTTGCAAAGTTCAGGCAACTCCGCAAGAACCGACATCAGGAACAGTAATCCGAGTGAGTGGCAGTGAGGACCGGATCCGGGCTCACACTCTCAGGTGAAGGCTCAGTCACTTACTCACAGCACAACACAGCACAGCACAACACAACATAGCACAGCACAGCACAGCACAGCACAGCACAACACAGCACAACACAGCACAACACAGCACAGCACAGCACAGCATAGCACAGCACAGCACAGCACAACATAGCACAGCACAACACAGCACAGCACAGCACAGCACAGCACAACACAGCACAGCACAGCACAGCACAGCACAGCACAACACAGCACAACACAGCACAGCACAACACAACACAGCACAACACAACACAACACAGCACAACACAACACAACACAACACAGCACAACACAACACAGCACAACACAACACAACACAGCACAACACAACATAGCATAACACAACACAGCACAACACAACACAACACAGCACAACACAACACAGCACAACACAACACAACACAGCACAGCCCAACACAACACAACACAACACAGCACAGCACAGCACAACACAACACAGCACAACACAGCACAACACAACACAACACAGCACAACACAGCTCAACACAGCACAGCACAACACAACACAGCACAACACAGCTCAACACAGCTCAACACAGCACAACGACAAACAGTCGTAGATTGAAAATGACCAATTTTAATTATTATTTTTGGTTTTGGAGGGATTATTATTAGGCTCTGTGTGAAGTAAGGAAACTTGCCCAAGGTTTCGCCCTGACCTGCCTGGAATTGAACTCAGGTCTCTCACTTGCAAAGCGAGTGCTCTAACCACTGAGCTACAGGATTCCACGTCGTTGAGTCGTCTTAAAGAGCTTCACAGAATATACTGTAAAGTGATTTGACTGTACACTATACTGTACAATCATTGTGATTCTTCCCTTTCTCACTGGAATTTTACACAGCCTTTAATTTAAATTATTTCTTATGTTTCTTATTATGTTTTAGTTTAAATGCTCATTGCTGATGGGTTTCCACAAAAGTCAAACACCCCGGAGACCAAAAAACAATTGTTCATCTGATTAGATTTAATTGTAGGAAGAACTTAAATTTTCAATGATTTCCATGGGTAATAACTGTCAAATGTAGTAACTATTTTTTGTAGGCAAATGTGGCAGCCATTTGTGCCAGCAATGTCCTCAAACAAGCATGAGGTGAAAGGCATATTTACAGTATTTTGAGGGCAAACTTCTCTTGTCATAAAATATTTAACATCCACCTGAACAGGCAGCTGGGATCTTGGTTTATTATCTCATTGAAAAGCAGCACCTTCAAAAATGCAAGTTTATCCTAGAATTGTACTGGAGTGTTAGCCAGCCCAGTTGTTGAAAGACTGGTTTTCTGTAGAAAGTAAGTAGGAAGTATCAAACGTATCATCCAAGACATGTCTATACGCCAGTGAGATACACTGGTGTATAGACATGTCTATACAGGACAGTCATAAAAATATGCAAATGTTTATGTACAGTTGTTTGCAGTTTGTTACATAGACTTTAGACTTGGGTGTAGTTTCATTAATTGACTATGCAAACTCCCTGCTTGTTGGCCTCCCCAAATCCTCCCTCCATAGGCTGCAGATCATCCAGAACTCTGCAGCCCGTGTCCTCTCCTGCACCAGACTCCATGATCCTATCACCCCCATCTTCGCCCAACTCCACTGGCTTCCCATCACACAGTCACACAGCGGATACAGATCAAGATCCTAGTCCTCACCTTCAAAGCCCTCAATGGTCTTGCTCCCCCCTACATCTGCAACCCCCTACCAACTTGCTTGCTCCGTCTGCTCAGCGGGCTCCGCCTGCTTCACGTCCCCCGCCTCGATTGCCTCACTATTGGCAGGTGGGACTTCTGCCACTCTGCCTCCACCCTCTGGAACTCCATCCCGCAGTCCCTCCGCCTCACCCCCTCCCTTGCCTCCTTCAAGACCCATCTCAAGACCCTCCTCTTCGACCGTGCTTTCAATCACCATGATTCCCCCCCCCTGCCCTCCACCCTCTCCTATCCCAACCCTCAGTTCGGGTCTGAAACCCTTCTGTCCAGCGCCTTGGGACGTCCTCCTGACGTGAAAGGCCAGAAACAAATGTAATTTTGTTGTTGTTGTAATAATAATAATAATAATCCTTAAATTTAATATGGTGTCTTTCACATCAGGAGGACATCTCAAAGTGTTTCAGAGAATGTACTGTGTGTGATTTCTTTACAAGGTTAAGACAAGTGTAGCAAATTATCATGGGGAGGAAACATTCAAATGCAGCTTATGTTCAGTTGTTTCTATTCATGGCACTGGCTTAATCATAACCCTTACATTTGATTTACTGTGCCTTATCATGTTGAAATGTTTTTAAAAGTGCTTTGATTTTCTCTTCTCAGTTCAATAGTGGAGTCCTGTAGCTCAGTGGTTAGAGCACTCGCCTTGCAAGCGAGACACCTGGGTTCAGTTCCAGGCAGGGAGAAACCTTGGGCAAGTTTCCTTACTCCACACGCCTAATAATAATCCCTCCAAAACAAGAAAGCAATAATAAATTGGTCATTTTCAGTCCACGACTGTTTGTGGGACATTGCTGTGCGCAATTGGCTGCCGCGTTCGCCCACAATTATACAGTCAATTCACTTTACAGCATATTCTGTGAAGCGCTTTGAGACGTCTAGAAGATGTGAAAAGCACTATATCAAATGCAAGGATTATTATTATTAATAACTCATCCAAAGGATAACTCATCTGAAGAACTTAAAATGATGTCTGTATGCTACACATCTACTACAGTGTGTATATTTTTTTACAGGAAACTAGGGATTATACTATTAGATTTGTTTTTAGTGGTTTGATTATAATAATAATCCTTCCATTTGGTATAGCACCTTATCACATCTTCGATATGTCTCAAAGCGCTTCATAGAATATGCCGTAAAGTGTATTGACTATATAATTTGTGGGTGAAACGTGGCAACCAATTACGCACAGCAGTGTCCCACAAACTGTTATGGATTGGGTGAACAAATTTTTTTTTTTTGAAGGGATTATTACTCATTATTAGTCAAACCTTGTTCCCAATTCAATTTTAATCCTTTTTTTCTGTCTGTTTTACGTAATTAAACAAGAAGTAAAGATCATCTTTGTGCTTGCCTTCACTTTCTTTAGACCTTCCTACAAGTATGATTTAAGAAGCTACTTTTTTTGTTCTTAGACATTTCCTTTATTGTTAAGTCCTGGGCAAAATTTACTAGATTTTGTAGTACAATTGAAGATAATTCCTGAGCACTGATAGGAGCTCCTAGTGAATAGTGATTTGAATTATGCTTTTTATATTAGTGTGTACTGTATTGGAATCAAAGGTCATGTGTTAATCTTGGAACAGAACATACATTTTACACTGAATTGAAGTTAATTGAATTTGCATTCTTGGGTTGTGCTTTTAATTCAGAAAAGCTATTTGGAATAGATCGAATGAATCACTGCAGTGTAAATGCAAACAAAGGCTCACTCTTCATAAATGACCTGAAAAATGAGGGCATTTCTTACTTAATTATAACTCAATCAAGTGTAAGATGATTGCAAGCTTTGTGGTCAAATGATAAATATTCTGTAGGAATGATGAACAGTATTCCATAACTGGACTAATATGGTAAACCCCTGATAACTTGACCCTGGCTTAACTTGTCACTACCACTGAAGTCATTATATTGTCAATATTCCCAGCACATTTGTTTATGTATTTATATGTATGCCTATAGCACCAGGAGTGACTTTTTTTTATTCCTCACTGTGTGTTTAGTTTACAACCTATAATATTAATAATGAAACTCATAAAATGGTATCAGAAAGTAACAACGGTTTCACAACAAGTAAGACAGTTATAACATAGCACGTAGCACTAACATAACTAGTGTATTACAGCAAAATCATTTTGCAATAAGCAATTAAACCATGTAACTTCAACCAGAAGAGGAAATTGATTACCAATGAGATGTTCTTGCTAGTCTTAGCCAGGGTTACAGGGAAGGCTATAAAAGGGAGCTTCTCCTGGTATCCTGGTCAACATTCCCCCAAATAAAATTGATCACTTGCTCATTGGCTGTTTGAGGAATATTACTGTGAGCAAATTGGGTGATATGTTTGCCCACAAAATGCAGTCACACCACTTTGCAGTACTGTGAGCGCTTTGAGATGTCTTGAACAATGGTGCAACCAAGTGCCAAGTAAAGCTCTTGAGAGTTTGCACAGACTGAGCTCATTAGAGTCCTCATGTGGAGCTTGAACCCATAAAGTTGATCAGCAGATAAATTAGCTATGTCACACTCTTCATTACATGTACTTGGGCCAAATACTCCCATGATCGCTTGTTCCTGTTTAGCTAACTGGAGTATTGACCAAGCTTAAACCTCTTGGCTAATACAGTATGGTAAGCAGCCACACATTTATTTCCCATAAAACATTAGTCACAAATTCAGCCATCTCAAGCAGTTCCCTTTTTGTATTAATTTAGGTTTTGCAAAAATTATGGCTAAGGCAAAAGCGGACATTACTGAGATCAGCAAAGACATATCTGTTGGAACAATGTTTACTTCCACATATATTTCCCTACTTCCCTCTTTTTTATCCCTCTGCCCCAGTAAACCAAAGCAGGTGCTTTGGAATATGCCTTTGGAAGCCTCAAATTGTTAAAAGGGCAAGGCTCATTTGTACTGCAAATTGCTCACAAAACATGTAATTGACTCTCGTTGGGTCTATTTACTCAACTGTCAAAAAATAAAAGGTTATCAAGAATGCTTCAAACTAGACTATGTTCAAATGTATTGAACACGTTTAAACATATTAGTATAATAATTGGAACAACTGCCCCATTTGTTAGTGGTGATGGTTTGAACCAGATTAATTTTTAACCAATGATCACACGTGTTTTTATTATAGAGCTGCAAGCTGAAGTGAAATGACTTCACAGAATGGAAGTGGGAGAAGGGCACTGTGTGGCTGGCATTTCCTGCCTCTGCTTATTGTGTTCTTTCTGACTGAAACCTCTGACTGGTAAGAAAAAACATTAAAATTAAGCTTTGTTATGGGGGAGTTGTGGAGAATTAAACTGCACTTTAGCCTCATTTGCCTATTTACTGGATATTGACTGGATTTGAATCTGTAATCCTTGCATTTGATATAGCGCTTTATCATGTCTTCAAGATGTCTCAAAGCGCTTCACAGAATATACTGTAAAATGAATTGACTGTATATTTTTCCGGGCAAAATATTTCTCTTCTTTATAAGAGAAGGGGGAATTATTAACCAGACTCAGAAGTTCCTTTTTATTTTTGTTGGTTTTTATATACTTATTATTTTTGTAATTTTGCGACTGTATTCTGAAAGTACAACCTCAGCGTTTGCAAAGCCGCAGGACTCAGGCTGTTCCTTGTAAATCACAGGACTGGTGACCGCACTATACTCTTGGTGACATTGTGCTGACTTACTCATCCAGCCATTCTCATAAAACCCTGAGTCAGTCACTGTCTGTACAGTTCAGAAATTCCATCTGCGATACTAACACGAAATGCAAATTTGAAGTGATTTCTATTAACTCCACTCGATAGCCCACACCAGAGTTTGTTGTCTTATCAGCAACGTCAACTAATTTTTATACAACAACAACAAATTAAATTTATATAGTGCCTTTCACGTCGGGAGGACATCCCAAGACCCTGGACAATCAGGATTTTGACCTGAGAGGGAGTATGATTCTGATCACCAACAAAGTGCCAATAATTTAAATATTAATAACAACAATAATCCTTGCATTTGATATGTCAAATTTCATGTTGGGAGGATAACCTGCTAACCTCTTTTCAACCTGCCCGCTCCCGCCACTCAGCAGGCTGTGGCCTGCACCATGTCTCTCAACTGGCCAGACCCACCATTGGCAGTGGGGTCTTCAGCCTCCCTGCCCCCACCCTCTGGAACTCCAACCCACATTCCCTTTGCCTCACTCCCTCCCTTGCCTCCTCTATGACTGTGCCTTCGGCCACCCTCTTGCCTTCCACCCTTCCTGATACCAATCCCCCACCCCTGCTCAGGTCCTAATCCCTGACTGTTCAACACCTTGGGATGTCCTCCCGATGTGAAAGGTGCTTTACAAATGTAATTTTGTATTGTAGGACTTGAAGCGCTTCACAGGATTCACTGTAATGCGTAGTTACTGTGTATACTGTAGGCGAGCGAGACAGCCAATTTGCGACCAGAAATATTCCACCAAAACCATGAAGTGACTGACCAATTTTATCTGGAGGATTGTTAAAATGGCAAATTAAGGAAGCATTTGCCTCTAGATATTGTAACATTGGAAAGAGTGCAGTGCAAATTTACAAAGATGTTACCAGGGATGTGTGGATACAGCTATCAAAAAAAATAATAATTTGGACACTCAATCCATGACTGTTTGTGGGACACTCCTGTGTGCAATTGGCTGCCATGTTTTGCCCACAAATATACAGTCAATTCACTTTATAGTATATTCTGTGAAGATCTTTGAGACGTCTAGAAGATGTGAAAAGCGCTATATCAAATGCAAGGATTATTAAATCAAGAAAGATTGGACATGTTGGCAATGCAGGGGACCTGATAGAGGTGCTTAAGATTGCAAAATAATTTGATAAGGTTAATAGGCTGGCTCTACTTGTTAATGAGTCCGAAATGAGGGAGTAAATCGAAAGGATATTTAGGAGGAACTTATGTACTCAGAGGGTGATGAAACACGGAACTTGCTGCAGGAAGCTGTGGTTAAAGCAAAAAGCATCAACATACTTGAGGGGAAATACAAAGCACACATCAGGAAGAAGGTTACAAAGAGGTATAGGAGAGGAGAATAGGAGGTTCATGTTGAGTATACAAACCAACATGGACTAGTTGGGGCTAATGACCTGTTTCCATGCTGTATAACTATGTAATTCCACGTGTGAGTCCAGACACTGAGTGCTAATAAGCTGTTCGACCATGGGAGCAGGCAGGATCATACATCTGTGGTTTCAGCTGCAACAGCACACCTTTTAAGCATGTTAAAATTATATTGGTTGTTCTTTTCCAGCAAGAGCCACCCATGGAACTCAATCATACTCACTCAACACTGGCCTGAGTCTGTGTGTTTGGTAAGTTGCCATCTTTGTTGTGCAGTGAGATGGATGATGTGTAATCTAAGTGAAATGTCTCGCTGTCTCATCAGCTAGCTCAGCATCCACCATGGACGAAACCTGGGATCTCAAGACAATTTCCCATGAGTTTCTGTCTTGTCTTCTCTTCCCCTTTCCCACCCCAACACGCAAATACAGTATCTACATAAGCATACTACCTATACATACATACATACACACACACAGCTTACCTCCACACAATACTGCTAATGCACATGCATACATATGTAACACACAACTTATATGCACACACATACAACAACAACAACAAAATTACATGTATAGAGCGCCTTTCACATCGGGAGGACGACCCAAAGCGCTGAACAGTCAGGTGTCAGGGCCCGAGCAATGGGGGAGGGGTGGTGTTGGGGTGAGGGAAGGTAGAGAGGTGGGAGGGAGACCAAAGGCACGATCGAAGAGAAGGGTCTTGAGACCGGCCTTGAAGGAGGCAAGGGAGGAAGCGAGGCGAAGCGACCGTGGGATGGAGTTCCAGAGTGTGGAGGCAGAGAGGCTAAAAGCCCAGCCACCGATGGTAGGGCGGGTCAGGTGGGAGACATGGAGCAGACGGGAGCCCGCTGACCGGAAGGACTGGGCAGAATGGTAGGGAGTCAGCAGGTCAGAGAAGTAGGAGGGGGCAAGGCCATGGATGGTCTTGAAAGTGAAGACAAGGATCTTGAACTCGATCCTCTGGGGGATGGGGAGCCAGTGGAGTCGGGCGTGGGTGGGAGTGATGGGATCGTGGAGTGCGAGAGTACACGAGCTGCAGAGTCACAGTATACACATATAATAACAACAACTTGCACTTCTAAAGCTCCCTCCACGCAAGTTAGCGTCTCAGAGCGCTTAACAGTGGCGGAGCCTGACATACTACTTCTACACACACAAGCTATACACCAAAACACCCAGCATATGTATATTATTTACACACACACCACCTTAACAAGCCCACACTATCTATACACATCATATCCCAGCACCTTAGGACGTCCTCCGGCGTGAAAGGCGCTATACAAATGTAATCTTGTATATACTCGCATACACACTGTATTGAAGAGAGTACATTAAGTATTTCCTGCAGAGTAAGGCTCTTCATTTCGATAGCTTTGAGAGATTCCCCCAGTTAAATGAATTTTTTCCAAATACAATGTTAGTATTTTTTCCCCATATGGATCCTGGTGCTTTTCTTGCTCAGGTTTATGCCCATATTTTTATATAAAGGAGGGGAGTAACAAATATACTTTACATCCTGTTGATTCAACAACAGCCACAATAATAACTTAGATTTACATATTGCCCTTCGTGCTGAGTGGCGTCTCTGAGCATCTGGATTTGTAACTGGAACAACCTCTGGTAGAGAAATAGATGTACATTGATGGGATATCAAGACATTAATGTCAGAAATTGCCTTGAGCAGAGGTTTAGATGTCTCTGTTGTGGTTTATTGCAGCATTAGCACAATGAGTCTACGACAAGAATACGATCAGAACTGAGTGAGTCATCGAATGAGAGTACATTTTGTGGAAACTTACGGTAGATTTTTATTTCTCAACAGGTGGATAAGTGCAAAGAGCATCCAAAGATTGATTACTGGACTGTACACGGGCTGTGGTAAGGGAAATGACAGGCTTTATTTGTAATCTATTTGAAATTTTGTGCGATGTGCAATTTCCTTAATGTGGATTACACAGAAAGAGTCATTGTGAATAGCCACCAGCTAAAGTTGCATTGCAGAACTGGTAATCCTCATCCCCCAAAGTTCACTGCCCCATCTATCAGTACCATTAAGCTCATTTTTTAACCAACAAAATAAAAACCAAGATACTTTGCCAGTTTCTCTCTCCTTTCAACCCCCCAGTGCATTTGTGTATCTTTTTAAATGAGACAATCGAGTGTGGGGGTGGGGGAGTGTGGGAGGGGGTGGGGAGACAGCACTTGATGCAGAAAAGACCTAAGTAAATTTGGTGAAAATCTGCTTTACGTTTTCTGTCTATGTTAAAGGTAAGTAGAGAACACTACAAAGTTATTTACAGAACAATTCCTAACAGCTCCTTCACTCTCAGACCACTGGCAACAAAAACAAATGAACACACTCAGGCACCTTATATACATGAGGTCCCCTGTACCGCAGTAGACGGCACCTGTGAGCTTGTGATTTAACCGTCTGTCAGAGGGACTCTGATAAGTACATCCTGGAAACGAAAAGGAAAGTCAGAAAATTTGTTGAGGTTTTTAGTTTGGAGAAAATCATTTTTTACCAATTTGACTTTCACCATAAAACTCCCAACATTAATGGTAAAAATCAATAAAAATTGATTTATTAATGGTCCACCACTTCTTGCTCATAGAGTATCCAGTTTCTTCATGTCCCTAATGTTTTCTTTTGTCACCACTATTCCACCTGACTGATTCTTCCAAACATTCATCATTCTTTAAGTAAAATCATTCTTCTTTAAAATCTGTCTCAAAACTGGTCTTTAAATGTTTTAAAGTTATGAACTTTTTTGTTTAATCTGAAGCTACAAATGCTTCTAAGGAAATAACAATTTGGAATGCTTAAATTTCTGTTTTAATTTTAATTTCTATTTAATTTTCATTCAATTTAATTTAAATTTTAGTTTCTGTGCGCATTTGGCTGTTGCCCACAAAATACATAGTCAATCCACTTTACAATATATTCTGTGAAGCGCTTTGAGATGTCTCAATGACATTAAGGAGGTGCTATATCAAATGCAAGGATTATTGTTAATAAAGACCAGCATGTTAAAATTACAGTGAATAAAATTAAACAGAACTAGTGTGTATGTGTCAGTGTGTGTGGACTGAAATTCTGTTCTCACAGTAAAATAACCACTCCTTCACTCCTCTTCTAAAAAGCAGACTTGACCATGTGGAATATTGATGTCTTTTATAGGCCCAAAAAATCAATGATGTGCAACAACTCCTGGCATTTCAACATCAAAAATGTAGAGGTATGTATTTAGCCATTTAAATCATAGACATTACAGCATTTGGCCTGTTGAGCCTAGGCTGGTGCTATCATCCACTGGTGCCAATCACTCCAATCCCCAAACTCTTTTATAGAACCATAGATACGTACAAGACAGCAGATGACCCTTTGGTTCATCGTGTCTTTGCTGGCTCTTTTAAAGAGCGATCCTTTCAGTCCCATGTAACCTTCCCTTTCCCCATACCCCTGTAGTTTACTTCCTTTTAGGTTTTTATCTAGTTCTCTTTTGAAAGCTAATATGAATTCTGTCTCAGGCTGGGTACAGTTCTGTGTGCATCAGTTGTCCTCCAGCACTTGAACAAGGTGATATTCGTAATGTGTGAGTCTAGTCAATGAATGCCTGCTGGCTGGTCACCCATTGGGTGGTAATCACAGCTGAAGGGTGAAGAGTGCTATATGAACAGTTTGGTTTCTCTATAATGTACTTCAATAAATTGTGGGTTTGGATATAACGCGGTAACACAGTGAACCCACAGTTTCCTGTTTCTGTTTGTGGCAAGTGTAGAAAGATCACAAGGACTCATCGTTGCTGACTCGGTGGCTTCCTGCGCACGACCCTCAGCCATACCAGAGCTCAGAGATGCCAGGGACACTCCCGGCAACCCTGAAATTTAGCGTGAGGGTTCACCTTTTAACACGTCTCAATACCATGGTCTCAATTGAAGAACCCTCAACTATCATGTTATGATGGGGCTGGACTGTATGTAGATTGTGTTATGAATTCTGAAGTTTCTTATTTATTTGCAGAATATTTTAGTTGATCTGAAACACTTTTGGCCAGATGTGCTCCATCCCAATGGCACGCAGTTGTGGTACGTGTTTCTGTTATCAATTACTCGATACCCATACAAACACTTTCTGCAGATGTCCCAAATTATCTCAAATCAATTAACATTTGTGTGTCTTTAATATTATCTTCCCCTTCTATTTCGCTCTCCTCATTTTATCAACGGATGTCACTTTTCCACTTTGTTTCCAGGATGAAAGGAAAATGATAAAGAGGGGAACTGGTCTGATTCTCCCAAAAATACACAATCACTACACTTTACTCTAAACTCTGTGAGGCACTTTGAGACGTCCTCTAGATATGGAAATATTATGATGAGATGAGTTCCGTCTGCCTGTTGAGATGGATATTAAAGAACCCATCACACTATTCGAAAAGAGAAGGCAGTTTCTCCATGTGTCCTGGCCAATAATTGGTAAAATTGCTCTTCACTTCCTTGCTGTTTGTAGGGATATTGCTGTGTGCAAATTGGCTGCTGTGTTAGTTGAAAAAATGTTGGGTAAAGATGTAGATTTTATGGATTTCCTTGAATTCCATATTGTGCCTTTCATGTCAAGATGATGTCTCAAAGCTCCTCTCTGACTGTGCATTTTGCAGGCAAACAGATAGGCTACTCTGTGTTACTCAAACAAGAGAAACAATGGTGATTGTTTTGTTTGTAGGAGGAAGAAATATCTGATTGCAGCTAAGTGTTGTGTCAGGCAGCCTCAAAGGTAGAGATGTAGAGGGCAGGGCTGCACCCTTGTTCAATACGTATAACCAATTCCCTTTCAGACTCATATTGAGTTGACGTGGAATGAGAAGGCTTTTAAAGATCAGATTTGCTTGAATCTTCAACTTACTTTCTCTCTTGGCAGGAAGCATGAATGGCAGAAACATGGAACCTGTGCAGCTCTGCGGGAACCCCTGAACTCCCAGGAGAAGTATTTCAGTAAAGCTCTGGAACTGTACAAAAAGCTGGACTTGAACAGGTAACTTGTACTCGCGCTCCCACTTGTTGTATCGCTCTTAGCAACCCATAGGATTAATTTTAAAAGGCTCGTCTTTCACTTAAAATCATAGAATTATACAGCACTGAAAAAGGCTTTTCAACAGTACTTGTCCGTGCCAGTGTTTATTCTCCACAGGAGCCCCATTCCTTCTAATGCCCTATCCTTGGCCCCTACCCCTGCCCTCGGTTCAATTCTCCCTCATGTATCCACACAGGACTTGTTACTCCCTACTTATAAGAGTAGCAGGAAATTGTCATGGTAGGTGACAAGGCATTTAAAGAGTAGGACAAAGATCTGAAAGTCGATCTGCTGGGAGATAAATCTGTTAACATCAGTTGCTGTTTAATGTTGCAAAACCTGCACCATAAAATGTGAGGACTTCCTGTTTAATTTAACAGTACTGCAATCAGATCACTTCAGACAACTCAGGTCAGATAGACACTGACAGACACGAGGCAGGCTTGGTTCACCGATCAGTTTACTCATCCAGGGGAGCAACCGTTGGCAATCTCCATCAGCTCTACAGACAGACAACACAATCTCTAACAGTCTGGTCGGGAGAGGTGCAGGCACCTGGTGTGTGGCTATAAGAGGACCCTTGGGATATCCTCCCAATGTGAAAGGCAATTGTTTTGATGTTCTCACCACTCTGGTACTCAGTGCTCACACCTATACCAATATGATATAAATATAATATAGCCCAATATAACATAAATTTACACACATTTATACTTTTCACATTGGAAGGATGTCTCAAAGGCTTAACAGCACTGGATGGGCACTTGAGCTGAGGATTGGCAGCAATGGGTGTGTCAAGGGGAAAGGTGACTGAAAGTGCGGTCAAAAAGATAGGTCTTGAGACAGACCTGAGGTGAGGGAGTATGAATGAGAGGGATTCTGGGGTGGAGTTCCAGAGACTGGGGGAAGAAAGGCTGAACGTCTGGCTGCTGATGGTGGGGTAGGATGGGGCAAAGGACATGAAGCAATCTCTAAAGGACCTGAGCCAACCATGCGGGCCTCTCTGTGCCTGCTCTCCTGGGTCCCTTTCCTCAATCTTCAAAGCAAAGAGCTCACAGGTGTATACCACCCCCCACATACACACTTCCCCACCCAGGCCAGTCCTCCAGAGGAAGGAGCTGGGTGACTTTCTGGATGCATCACTGTGCTATTAGCCAATTGGACAGGTAGCATGCTCCTGCTCCCTCACTCCTGGTAGTGACCTGGATAGCTTCAACGAGCTGAGCCAGTCCCGCTACATAAAGCCCAATGTGCAGTCACAATATATTACAAAACAACAAGTATCTGATTTTTTTTTCAGTGTTCTTGCAAAGTTTCACATCGTACCATCCGCAGAATATTATATGGTAAGAGCTGTATTTCACATTACTTTTGAGCCTGTTTTTTATGCTATGGCTTTTACATGGTGCTGTAATTCTTCTTCTGATTTATGTCTTTTAAGCTGGAGGAAATTGAAAATGCACTTCTGTCTACCTACGGGACAATACCAAAGATTCAGTGCATTCATCCCACTGAGGTAATCTTTGGTTTCAGTTTATGTGAGCTGGGTCTGACTGGCTGGATGACTTAAAACCAATCTAAAAGCACTCGGAGTCTAAAGCTCTCCGAAGTGCAGAAATGCTTCACTTGAGCTTTGGGGCATGCTGCGTGTACATACTCCGCCTGGAGTCACAGAGTCTGGGCATTAATAAGGGCCCGGATTACAGCCCCTGGTACACACCTCGACTGCCTGTGTCAACAAGTGGGTTTCGACATAAACAAATGTAGAAATTTGTTTCCCGCGACGTTGACATAAACAGGTAGGACTGCATTAAGACAGTACTAGTGTGCACAGTTCAGTTGGGCACAGGATCATACTTGACTAGTCTACAAGTTTAATAACTGATTGACAACAAGTTGGAGGTCAGCAGTTTCCCTATAACAGAATGCGAGGCACCATTTGAGAGTCAGCATTCATCATACATATACATGGTCATGTGGCTTTTGATAGAAATAATAATCAGCTACAAGAAAGTGCTGTTTAGAGCTGGATCTTTGTTATGGTGACTAAACTAAATTCTGATGGTGTGCAGCTATTTAAATTTAGCTTCTAAGATGCTAGTTATCCTTGTTATTCTGGTGATTTTATTAACTATTTTGACTTTTTATTTTTGTTTCTTCTCTCCTCCCCTCAAACAGGAAGGTTCGGTGCAAACACTGGGCCAGATTGAACTCTGTTTCAACACAGACTTTCAGCTATTGAACTGCACAGAAACTATATATAACAAACTTAATTTGGGATCCAATGGACAGCGCAGTGAATATTTGGATCTATCTGTGTGCAGTCAGGACCTTAAAATCTATTACCCTCCTGTAGAACACCGCAACTAACAGTGTACATGCAGACTGGGCACTTTACAAGACAGGAATTTAGTATTATTTCATTTTCTCTTTCTAAAGTAAACAAAGGATAAAATACGTTCTGCACAGAATAAAGACCAGTGCCCTGGTCTATCTGCATTTGTCAGCCAGACTCAGTTGGTAGCACACTCACCTCAGAATCAGAAGGTTGTGAGCTTACAGCATTCATCTATAAATACATACGTGACTCCACAGTGAATCCTGTGAAGCAAATTGAGATGGCCTCCCAAGGAGCTATTCCAAATGTAAGATTATTATAAAATAATCCATTTGGAATTTTTTTAATATTGCACGATAACCAGTACTAACTTCTGTGTAAATAATTGTGAAATTAAATATATCCGAATAGATTTTACAGAAACTACATCTTTTAATTAATGTCAAAGTAATAAATCAATATTTTCTGCACACCTTTAAGGTATTTTAGCATTCCTAGTAGAACAGGACTTGTTTTAATTCTAATTTGGTTGCAGGTTAATCTTTGATAGACAACTCACTTTTTAATGTGCTATGTGTATTTTTATTGTATTTGTGCATGTTATAATTTAAATATATGTAGCTCCTATTTGCAAAACTTGAAACACAATTCATAGTTCACTATATTTATTCAGTGAATTACAGTCAATCAAAGCAAGTAAAAAAATCATTAAACTTTAAAATGGCATATTTTATATCAGGTCTAATTTAAAGTATTTCATAACAGGATTCCTTAAGAAGACCCGTCAGCAATTGCAACCCAAAGTAGATCGCATTTAGGGAAAGCTGGTTCTTGGCCGGAATCCCTGTTCATATTCCTTATTAAGAAATGCTATTAAGAAATACAGCAAACTAGGCACCGTTGTGTATGATTATTCCCATCCCATAAGGCAAAACTCCCTTATTGAAAGTGAGAGACTTCGAGTGAGATGTATACCCAGTTTTCCTTTAGTTGCTTGGCACTGCAGGCAGGACTGACTAGTCTATTCCTTCTGAGAAAGTGCAGACGATCAATGTACTACCATTAGGGTGTTATAACAATATCAATTAGGATCTAATACCATGCCTATCTGCTTTGGATGATTTCAAAGTAGTGTATTTGTTTTCTGCCCCCTCCCTCCTTTCTTTACTCTTGGAAATACCCATTTAATTGCACATTTGTATTCCTATCTCAGGTGCTGCTGCTATCTGTGACTATCATGCAAGACTATTGCTTTTCAAACCTTTTAACACAAAACCAAGATTTTAATAGTTGGACAAAGAGCAGTCAGCAGTTTCTATTAGCAGCCATTCAGAGAGGTGAGACATCCTGCAGGAATTCCAGCATGTGGAGGCCATCAGTAACTGCAAATGTCTTAAGTGTTTAGGCTATTCTTAGATGAAGTCCTATTGATAAATTGTTCATAAATAGACATGCAAGACATTCCACATTTCACAAATGTAATTGCAATCAAGTGTTTAAGTGAATAAATAGTTTAAAAGAAACTCCTGTACTGATGTGTAATTCAGCATTTCACAATGCAGGACTTCACCTTGCCATATAAGTTCTGTACTTTCAATATACCTTTCTCTCCAGAAAAAAATATTGTGTAGTACCTAGTTTTGCGCAGCAGAAAGCACTCTTCCAGAAAGCATTATCCTGCTGCTTCTGTACAGCACCCTTCCTGTGAATACAGCAGAACTGGTTAATGAAAGTAAAGCCAACTGTGGGAGATACATTTCAAGCCAGAACCCACTGCCACCAAACTTGGTTTTTCCATGATTTAGTTTTCTCTTTAATAATGTAAAATTGTAACATAGGTTGAGAGGAACAACTCAGATCAGCTGAATCTAGATATAAGCTAATACCCTGCAAATAACAAGTAAATAATGAAATATTACTGAACAGTGGGAGAATAGAATACATTCTTTAAACTTTATACACAAGAGATCCACAAAGGTCCAGTGCAGTCTGAGGCTAACACCAATTAGGTGCAAATCCCAGAGAGGACAAATATTCACAGAAATATAAAGATTTACAAAACCCTGGGCTTTATTTTACATCTGCCCACCAATTCCAATCAGTGTCAATTATATTAATCCATACTGATTGAAAGGAGTCTGTAGTTTTAAAAGTTCTGTAAATTCTTTTACATTTAGCTGCACATTAATTTCTAACAAAGTCTTGATTCTCCTTACTGAGCAAAACACTTGAGAGAACTGTGCAAGGAATCCTGACAAACTCTTGATGGTTGTTGAATGGAAGTTACAATGTTGAATTGAAATAATGAATCCTGAAACTAGTTTTATTTCTGGTTCAATATCCAACTTACAAAACATTGGTAAACGTCTGAAAAAAAATTTCTGCTTTGCTTTTTAAATTTTTTAATGTCAGTTTATATGCCATTATTCACTGNAAAAAACTATTTTAGTAATTATCTACAGTAACATCTCTGCTTTATCACAATACATACAAATGAATTTTCGTGGGGAAATTCCTTCTCTGTTCCTCATCTCTTCATAAGCTTGTCAGGCAAACTGGATGACAGTTAGGACGCTGCATAAACAGCTTCTCCGAATTGCAGTTCTATTTTCATAACCTACTGATCATAAAGTGGACATCCTTCAGGTGAGGCTGATCAGCCCTGCCTATTAAAGTCATTAGGGAAAGCATCTTCAAGTGGAGGAAAAAGCAATTGTCTTTCTCTCTCCTACAACCTAAAGCTGGAAAGATGTTCATGAATTTAAACCTCAGAATGTGTTGAAGTGAAAGGAGCCAGGTTGGAACAGGAAGTGGGAAGCATCCTGCACTAACATTTGAGTATTGAAACAATGCACACTTTATGCACATTCAAAACCAAAAAGCTTTGTAAGTCGTCACGGCACCCATACAGCTCAAGTCCATCTGGAGTTTGCTAATCATCATTGTTCAGGGTTGCGTTTTGAACCCTTAAACACAATAATCTGAGATCTATAAAAAGGCACACAGATAAAACCAAGGAACAAGCCATCCCAAGCTGTATAATTGAAGCAGTGACCACTTCAGCAATATCCATCCTAAAAATGATTCTTCCTCTTCCTTCCAGTGTATTTTGTGTCATCTCGAACAGTTCTGTGGAAGGTTGAAGGAAAGAATTTATGCAATTCTGGCTTACACTCATTTACTGTACATCAGTCTCCTACATGCCCTAGACACATGCATTCAGACCTTTCAAATTTAAATTTGAATGTAAACATCCATGGATTTCAAAAGTATCCTCATTTGTTACACGTTAAAATCTCTGATACAAATAAAAGTGGTTTATTTGAGTTTTCGATGAGCTACAGCTTGTGAAAATTCTGTTTCCTAAAGTGTTAACTGTGCTGAAATATTTGCTTTTAGAGTTAACGCTATAAAGTTCACTCCACTTACCTCCCCTGACGCCTTCGCCGTTCTTTCTTTTCCAAAATCCAGTCCCTACTTTTCTTCGCTGATTTTCCCTTCATATTTCTATGTCTCATCCTGTGGGTAAAAATCAAATAGGAGCTCGTTCAAACTATTGCAACCATTAAGCCACCAAGGCGTAAAAGTTTCAGAATACAAATGTAATATTCCTCAGAATTTTGTACATTATTGCCTATCTTCTCCACACCCCCAGCTTTTTTTCTTGGTAACAAGAGGCAGGATGGTCTAACAACGATCTTTAAATTAACATTAATTTGATTGTAAAGAAAATAATGCTTTAAAAACGGTCAATTTTGCACATTCCTTGATAGCAAATAGTTTAGGGCTGAGAACTACTTTAATAATAATAATCCTTACATTTGATATAGCGCTTTTCACGTCGGGAGGACATCCCAAAGCGCTTCACAGAACACACTGTAAAGTGAATTGACTGTATATTTGTGGGCGAACGCGGCAGCCAATTGCGCACAGCAATGTCCCACAAACAGTCGTAGATTGAAAATGACCAATTTATTATTGTTTTTGGTTTTGGAGGGATTATTATTAGGCTCTGTGTGGAGTAAGGAAACTTGCCCAAGGTTTCGCCCTCTGCCTGGAATTGAACTCGGGTCTCTCACTTGCAAAGCGAGTGCTCTAACCACTGAGCTACAGGACTCCACTGTAAGAGTTGTTGCAAATTGTTGCAACTATAATTCAGTCTTGACTCTACTAAGCAGCTACAAGGCAAAAGTGAACATCGGCAGTATAGTAAACTAAAGTGCGACACTATGGAATAGATTTGTGGCTTCACTCCACTACACATTGGAGATAGCAGGCAAGTGGAGCCCTGTAGCTCAGTGGTTAGAGCACTCGCCTCACAAGCGAGAAACCTGGGTTCGATTCCCGGCAGGCGAAACCTTGGGCAAGTTTCCTTACTACACACGCCTAATAATAATCGCTCACGAAAAAAAATAATAATAAATTGGTCACTTCAATCCACGATTGTTTGTGGGTCACTGCTGTGCACAATTGGCTGCCACGTTTCGCCCACAAATATACAGTCAATTCACTTGACAGTATATTCTGTGAGCCGCTTTGAGACGTCTAGAAGACGCGAAAAGCGCTATATCAAATGCAAGGATTATTATTATTTTACAAAAGCCAGGTCAGTCCACACAACGCATCTTCTTCATGCATGTCTAAGAGATTCACAGGAAATGATTCCAAAACTGACTCACCAGCACCACCCAAGTGGACACTACATACATGGACCTGAACAATAAGTGTTGGCAATCTGTCCAACTGTGGATATAGTATGCAACTCACTCCTGCCCTCATCTAACATCCACACTCCTATACTTGCAGCAGATATCAGTAGACAGCAATCGAAAATATAGGCTGATGGTTTCATATTCCTCTGATACTGAATGTAATGAGCTAATTCAGTACGTATCTGGGATCTTACTAGCATTTTTAAATTACAAAGTTTGAAAAATGGGCTAACTTTTCAGATTCCCTTCAGGACACTTAACTTTTTAAATCTCAGCCAGAAAGTACATGGGATCCAATCAGTTTCTGAATAATTTTCCAAAGAGCAATTGTAAGAGGCAGGAAAATATGACAGCTCATTGCTTAGAGTTGTCACAACAATGATCCTCTCCGTTACTATAGGTCTCTGGCCAACACAGCAAGGGAGGCTGCAACCCTTCACTGTATTACTGCAAAAGACCAATAAAGTCAGATGAGGAATTACAGACACTCCACCTACAAGTGTTAACATATGGGGTAGATATTAAAACATTGTGCAGCACTTCTAGCAATTGCTCTATCTATAAAAGTGGGCCGCTTTTATCCTCCAGTTTCTCCAAAATATCTTAATAATAATAATCCTTGCATTTGATATAGCGCTTTTCACGTCGGGAGGACGTCCCAAAGTGCTTCACAGAACACTGTAAAGTGAATTGACTGTATATTTGTGGACGAACGCGGCAGCCAATTGCGCACAGCAATGTCCCACAAACAGTCGTAGTCTTTCAGCACAGGAAGACCAACTTAGCTGTCATTTGCTAAATACACTATGTTCATTAGAAACTAAAGAACTTGAAAGGTCCATATGTGCATTTTATTTGCATCCAAGTTTCAAATGAATCTGTTAATGCAGTAAGGCTCTCACACTAAACTCTGGCTTCCACAGCTTCAGTGGCACACCAATCACTGTCAAGTCAACCTTCATTTATAACAGTATGAAAGTCATGCAGACGACATGATCAGTGTTATTTGGGGACATGGTGTCAAGTAAGATTTTAGTCACTTCCTTTATAAGTTGGTAGTACCCTTAACAAGCTGAAATGAACACCATACCTAGCATTCGTGAACTGCACCTCTGTTTGTTGCTTCACCTCTTCTGTTCCAAGGCCCTAAAGGGGAAACACATGTTTACACTGTTGTATTTGTTGCCAATCTGATTCAATTTAACACTGCATGTTAAAATGAACACCAAGCCATCATCACAGAGACAGTCAATGACCTCATCTCCTCTGAAGAGCTTCTTCCCACAACCTCCAACCTCACAGCCCTGCACTGTCCACCTCTACCTCCTCCCCAAGATCCACAAACAGGGCTGTCCTGAGAGACCTATTGTTTCAGTCTGTTCCTGCTCCACCGAACTGATCTTCTCATATCTGGACTCCATTTTATATTTACACGTATTGTTTCAGCAGTCCAGGCAAGGAAATATCTTTCAGAGGAAATAAGTGAAAGCTGTCCTTCCCCACTCATATTAAACAAGCCCATCAAAAATAATTTGCACATTAGTGTTAGAATGTTAACCATGAGTAGTTGTAGGCAAATTCTCTAAATACAGTCAAACCCGTCTACAACAACCTCACAGGGGATTGGGTCAAACTGTCCTTTACATAAGGGTGGCCTCTGAGTAACAGTTTGTTAGTGTGCAAACTGGACTTTTTCAGGGAGTGAAGACCCTGATCTCGGAAAGACATAAGAGTAAAAACAGTAAGTTCAATTTTTAAACTATTTGAAGTTCTAGAACATAGGTGTAAATCAGAAAACTAAATGCAACACAAGAGGCTGTGCGACGACATCACAAAATTAACGAGACATCACAGATCTAGATCAAGCTCGTGAGCTTTTTATTTAAAAGCATTCAACAATGAACAGAGCAGATACTGGAATAGTGTCAAGTTTGAGAGCATAATGGGATCGCAGATTAATCTAGTGGGAAGGTCTACAATAAGACGATCTGAACTATTCAAATACGGTCAACTTCCACATGTATGTAGATAACACCCAACTCTACCTCTCGGCCTCCACCCTTGACTCCAGGACCAACTGCTGTGCTGACAGAATGTCTGTCAAACATCAAGTCCTGGATAAGAGCTAACTTTCTTCAAGACGAGGCTCTCCTGATTGCCTCCCGTCAGCACCTCCTCACCTCAGACGCTAACAGCATCACCATCCATGGTTGCACACTCAACCTTGCTAAACCAGTCCAGAACCTTGGGGTCTTGTTTGACCCTCAACCATCCTTTCTACCCCACATCTGCGTCATGACCCGCTCTGCCTTCCCCCGCCTCCGCAACGTCTCCCGGCTCTGCCATTGTCTCACACCGCAGGCCGCTGAAACCCTCATACACGCCTTCATTACATCGAGGCTCGACTATGAAAACTCATTGCTTGTCGACCTCCCCAACTCCTCCCTCCACAGGCTGCAGATCACCCAGAACTCTGCAGCTCGTGTCCTCTCTCACACGAGGCTCCACGACCCTATCATCCCCATCCTTGCCCAACTCCACTAGCTTCCATCACACAGAGGATACAGTTCAAGATCCTGGTCCTAACCTTCAAAGCCCTCCCCGGTCTTGCTCCCCCCTACCTCTGCGACCTCCTAACCCTCTACCATCCTGTTCGCTCCCTCCACTCAGCGAGCTCCAGCCTGCTTCACATCCCCCGTCTTACTCGCCCCACTGTTGATGGGTGGGCCTTCTGCCACTCGGCCCCCCCTCTGGAACTCCATCCCGCAATCCCTCCATTTCGCCCCCTCCCTTGCCACTGTCAAGAACCATCTCAAGACCCGCCTCTTCGACCGTGCTTTCGATCTCCCTGCTTCCCCCCTGCCCTCCACCTTCCCTCACCCTGACCCCCAGTTTGGGTCTGTAACTCTGTCTGTTCGGCGCCTTGGGACGTGAAAGGCGCTATACAAATGTAATTTTATTGTTGTTTGTTGTTGTATTTTAACTCAGAATTTGAAAATCTGCCTTAGATTGTTCATTTCCTTTAATCGGGCTGGATTTAAACTAATCTATGAATACTGAAAGCACAATGTTGTCGCATACTGCATCACCCAGGTTTACTTTCAAAAGAAAAGCAAGCACCTAGAAAATAAAATAGTTACCAAATGGCTGGTTCATACATTAAATTACAATCTCTACCAAGGGTTACTGTCACAGTAGCAGTAGTCCACATAATTCAGAGAGAATTATTTGATATTTTGCAGATTTTGAAATATATTTCTGGATGAATTTAAATGATAGCATCACAAAACAACTTGTATATTTTAAAGAAATAAAAATACAATCTCTACACACAGACTACACTGTCAAAACTTAGAGGGAAGATCCAGCTTCCCTTGTACAAGATTATCACCAGTCCATTGTAAAGAGTGTCATTTTCCCACAAGAGAGACAACATGAGTGCAAGGAATCGTTCAATGCATTGATACAATGCAATACAATATAAATTTACACTTAGCTGAACCTCACTTGAACAAACCCCCTCAGGACCAGCAGAAAAGATTGTTATATTGGGGGTTCACTATATTAGGGTTTGGCCGTCAAAGAGGTGCAAAAAAAAATTGTGTCTTGCCGTTGGGATCATTAAAACCATGGGGTTGTTAAAAGCAGGGTTCATTATAGTGAGGTTCGACTGTACATAGCATCTTTCACATCAGAAGGATGTCCGAAAGGGCTTAAATGATGGAAGTAGATAGAAGAGGTTACCTTTGGTAAACTATCTGAGACTCCAGCAAACAAACACAAGAAGAATCTGAGAAGAAAAAATTAATAGTCAAGACATAAATTGCACCAGGTTATAATTTGAAAGAACTAAACTTAGGAACATAAGAAATTACAACAGAAGGTTATTTAACTCATCTTTGCCAGACTATCCATGGCCCATGTACTACAAACCTCTCCTAATCCCAGCTCCATACAATATCCTTTAATATTTACAATCCCAATCTCTTAAATCCCTCAACTCATTTCTCTTGTATAGTTCTTAGGCCAGCAGACTCAGAAACATGTCCTCATCTCAGTCCTAATGTTGCCCTAAGTCTAAGGTTATGTTCTCTTGTTATTAATACCATTGGAAAAAACTCACTCACTGCTTAATTTGTCTGGCTCTTTCGTAATTCTAAACACTCTGATCAAATCACCTCTTAGCCTCCTCAGTTCCAGAGATTATAGCCCCAACCTAACGAATAGTTTAGCTCTCACATCCCTGGTATCAACCCACACTCCCCAAAGCTCTCCTTCCTGTAATGAGGCAGCCAAAATTCCAAGCAGTTCTGCAAGGGCAGTCTCACTAGTGCCCTGTAAAACAATAGAACTTTACTGGCACAGACTGGTTGGGCTGAATGCCCTGTTTCCATGCTACATATTCTTTGTACTTCTTTGCTTTTAAATTACCCTAGCATTTTATTTGCCCTGCTAACAGCTCTCTTCATCTATGAACTACCTTCCAGTGGCCTGTTTAGCACTGTATAACCCCATAATAGCCCTTATAGCATGAATGCACTAAAAGATTGCCGCTTTACTTTGTCAAGGACGTCACTTCCAGCTGTGTGAGAAGCGACATGGCTTCCTGTGCTAAAAATGACCAACTTCTGGGTCATAAGATTACAGCCAACATAATTTCCTCCATGATACACATGTTGGAAGAGAGCCCACACAAATGTGCAATGAATGCAGTGGTGCTGACTGGCATCGCTGCCCCATTATAAGCCTGGCTTAGATGTCTTGTAAAAGGTAGAAGTTTATCAACGCCCAATTGCCACCTTTTAGCAAGACTCCACCGTAGCACACCAAAGTCCCTTCGTTTATGTTTCCTTCTAGAACTTTCCCACTTAATTTATATGTTGAACTCCTATTTTGATAGCAAAAATACAAGACTTCATATCTGGCTACTTTGAATCCAGTTGCCACACTTCTAATCTTTCACTTAATCCATCAAGATCTTTTTGCATATAACCTGAACCTTAAATCATTTTATTTACACCACAGTGTAAAATGCAAGCACATTATTTTCATTATTTTCAATTTATGGAAAATTAACAGTTAATCTTTTGTCTGATCAAAATGGAGGCAAACATTATAGTGGAGGAATAGACATACTAGAACAAAGAATACAGGCATAAATATAGTTAAGAGTAATGGTCCTTTGGACTTGCAATTAGTCCCATTAGTCCCAGTAATGGACTTGCAATTAGTCTCATCAGAGCTGAAAGGAATAGCAGTGATGCTACTACTTACTTCTTTGCTTTGGTGCTGTTGGGATAGTCCACCACCATCCCTCCTGTGAAACCAGCCTTCATTGCCTGCGCTGTGATTAACTCCAGCTGCAAGCAAAAACAAATTGGGTTTGATTTTGGTTGTAATTATAATATTAATCCTCGCATTTCATATAGCGGCTTATAGTAGAGTCCTGTAGTTCAGTGGTTGGAGCACTCACCTCGCAAATGAAAGACCTGGATTCTATTCCCGGTGGGGCAAAATGTTGGGCATGTTTCCTTACTTCACACGTGCCTGTTTACCTAACAGTAAGTGGGAACCCAGTTGTCAGTTGATTGTCGGATTGGTTTTCCGGAGATAATAATCCTTGCAAAAAAAATTAATAATTTGGTCACTCAATCCACGACTGTTTGTGGAACACTGCTGTGTGCAATTGGCTGCCGCGTTTCGCCCACAAATATAGTCAATTCACTTAAAGTATATTCTGTGAAATGCTTTGAGATGTCTAGAAGACTTGAAAAGCGCCATATCAAATGCAAGGATTATTATTATCACGTCTTGGAGATGTCTCAAAGCGCTTCACAGAATATACTGTGAAGTGATTTGACTGCATATTTTGCGGGCGAAACACAGTAGCGAATTGCTCACAGCAGTGTCCCACAAACAGTCGTGGATTGAAGTGACCAATGTATTATTTTTTTTAAGGAATTATTACCCACGGAAAAGCGATCTACTAACTGACCAACAACCGGATTCCTACTTACTGCTAGGTAAACAGAGGCATGTGGAGTAAGGAAACTTGCCCAACGTTTCGCACTGTCGGGCATCGGTTGTGAGGCGAATGCTCTAACCATGTAATAATGTAATATTTATCTATATGAATAATTTAGCATAAGTGGAAGCAACAGCTGATACTGCTACCAGGAAGACATCTAACACTTAGCGCTACAGAAATGGGAGTTGGAGCCAGGTACAGTGAGACTGCAATCCGTGTGTCAAAAACATAATTATAGGATTGCACACGGCTGCTAACAACTTCTCCAGGACCATTAAAGGCTGACATCATTAAGTGGAAAGCATCCATTTCCAGGAATCTCAAGGTTAACATTCTAGTCACCAGAATGCCTCTTATTTGGATGCAGTTTTACAGCACAGAACAATATAGATTGCAGTATGATTTGTAAACCATCCTCTACTACCCTTGGAAAAGGCTACCCCCTGAGACCCTCACAAAGGCCCTCGCATCATCAAACATCCTATCCCTCTGGCCTTCCACCCGCAGAGATCCTGAAGCAGCCGTCCAGCTGCTCCATGATCGCCTCTCCTCCACCTTCAACTCCCTCGTCCCCCTGAAATCCAGGACCATCTCCAAACTCTCCCGATCCCCCTGGTACAACAACCATCCCCGGCGCCAAAAAACCCAAACCTGGCTGCTCGAGCGCAGATGGCGGAAAACTGGCCTGACATTTCACCACCAACTGTGGCTCGAGCATCTCCACAGCTACTGCCGTTCTTTGACACACGCAAAAACAGCCTTCTACTCCCAACATCATCTTGGGAGGCTAAACACAACCCTAAAATCCTTTTTTCCACCACCCACTACCTCCTCCGTGCCCCCCCTCAGGCCTCCTCAATCTTCATATCAAATGCCAAATGCGAGGAGGTCATGAACTTCTTTTCATCTAAAATACATAACATCCGCCAGGCAGCCTCATTCGCCTGCCTCTTGTCACCCACCACCTCCTCTCCGTCTCCCTCACCATCATAAGCTCCTACCACGAACCGCATCCTACATTCCTTCCTCCCCATCTCTCCCTCCTCCATCTCACCAACCATCACCTCCATGAAACTCATCACCTGCTGCCTCGACCTACTCACCACTAACTTGCTGGTCACCCAGCTCCCCCTCCTCTGCCCACTACTGGCTGACATCATCAACCAGTCCCTCTCCTCTGGATCAGCCCCTGCCCTCCTCAAAACTGTTATCATCACACCCCTCCTCAAAAAATCTTCCCTAGATCCCTCAAACTCCAGCCACTATCGCCCTATTTCTAACCTGCCCTTCCTTGAAAAGTCCTAGAATGCATTGTTGTCAATCAACTTTGCGCACACCTCTCCTCCCACTCCCTCTTCGAACCCCTCCAGTTCAGTTCCCGCCCTGCCCACAGTACAGAGACTGTGCTTGTGAAAGTCACAAACAACATCCTCCCCATCTGTGACCAGGGCTCCCTGAACCTCTTCGCCGTGTTCGACACAGTCAATCACGCCATCCTCCTCCACCGCCTTTCCTCTGTCATCCAACTCTGTGGGACCGCACTCCCCTGGTTCGGTCCTACCTCACAAACTGCCAGCAGTACATCTGCACAAACGGCTTCTCCTCACACTCTCACCCGGTTACCTGCGGGTTACCCCAAGGATCCACCCTTGACCCCCGCCTCTTTCTGATCTACATGCTCCCTCTTGGGGATGTCATCCGCAGACATGGGGTACATTTCCACATGTATGCGGACAACACCCAACTCTATTTTTCCACCTCTCTTTGCGACCCCCAGTCCCCTGATGTTCTGTCAGTCTGCCTGTCAGATCTCAGGGACTGGATGAGCACAAATTTCCTTCAGCTGAACGTTGACAAGACGGAAGACATACTCTTTGGCTCTCGTCAACGTCTAAAGTCTCACGGCTCTCACCTCCTCCACCTCCCCAACCTCCCCCTAAAACTCTCCGAACCCGTATGCAACCCAGGCGTCAGGTTCGACCCCCAATTATCCTTCCTCCCCACATCCGGTCCCTCACCGCTTTCTTCCACCTCCGAAGCATCGCCCGTCTCCGCCAATACCTCACTCCGAAAGCCGCTGAAACCCTGGTCCATTCCTTTGTCACCTCTCGGCTGGACTATTCTAACTCCCTCCTCGCCGGTCTCCCATCCACTACCATCCATAAAATCCAGATTATTCAAAACTCTGCCGCCCGCATTCTCACTCGCACCAAACTCTGTTCCCTGATCACCCCAGTCCTTGCCAGACTGCACTGGCTGCCTGTCCCAGAGAGGATCAACTTCAAGATTCTCACCCTTGTCTTCAAATCCCTCCACTCCTCTGCACCCCCTCTACCTCTCATATCCCAAACGGTACCAATACCATTGCCTTCGTTCCTCCGAGTCCTCCACTCCACCCTCGGCGGCCGTGCCTTCAGCCACTATGCCCCTAGGCTCTGGAACTCCCTTCCTCACTCCCTTCGCCTCACTCTCTCTCTTCCTATTTTCAGGTCTCTGCTGAAGACCTTTCTTTTCGACAGCACCTTTGGTCACCTTCCTCCCTCTCCCCCTGGCTCAGCCCCGGGATCCGTTACTGTGATGAAGTGCTCTGAGACACCGTCCGGCGTGGAGGGCGCTATATAAATCCAAGTTGTTGTTGTTAAAATTTGAAAAACAACTCGTGTCATAAGATTTTCAGAATTTCTTTTTACTTCTTTAACACAGCATTTATGTAAGCATCCTTCACACAGAATAGCATCTTGCAGCACTGAAACGTCAGTTCTTCTGACAAATTGGAATTGCTGTGTCACTATAGCACAGCAATATAAATTAATGTAGGGCCTCACACATTGAGAGGACGCCTGAAAGTGCTTCACTGGGGACAAGCCCCCCTCCAATTGGGGGGTGAGGGGGGGGGGGCAGAAGAAGAAAGTGGCCAAAAGAAAATGAAAAGATAGATCTTGAAGAGTGCCTGAGAAATCTGCCTTTTGACAGTCACGGTTCACTCAGCATGCAATACATCAGTTGAATAAATAGAATAAGAACATCTGCTGTTCAATTCTATATTTTTGTAACAAACCTGCTCTGAGTTCTCAGGGTACATCTGAAACACAGCTCTACCTCCTCGAGCCTGTAAAACAGACCAACAAATTCACAGAAAATAGCTATGCTGGTCACTAAAACAATGAAATGATTGTGCCTGTTCTGCTCGATTCAATCCAGTTATGCTTTTATTGTTTCTTTCCTAAGGCAATGTTTCTTTGTTCAAGGAAAACAATAATAAGCCACCCCAAACACTAATGATACTGCCCTCCTCAAAAAAAACTTCATGATGAGTAATAGTGTGAATAAGTAAGCTTGAACAGGGAAAAGAGGAGATACAAATTAAAATTCCTTTCCTAATTCTTCTGATGTAATTTTAGATCGAATGTGTATATATGCAGAATTGCTCAATTAACACTTTTCAATCTATATTTCAGGTCAATACTTAAGATGATGGTCTATAAACAACTCAAGACATGTACACTTAGAATCAATTAATCCTTGCAGTAGCTGACCAGAAATGTTGTGGTTCTGTAGATTGGAGCTTACCAGGCTGGCATATAAGGAGCTGAAAAACTTGTACAACCTCTTAGGAGGACTGTGACTTTTCTTATCTGCATTGCACAGCCACTGGAGGGCAGAAATACTGAAGAAAGAAAAAACATAGTTAAAGGCATTCTTTCTACAGACTGTTCTTTTGCATATCCAGGCCCTGCCCCTGAAGCAAAGAAGCAAATGAAGACTACAAGTAAGGTGACCACAATGTTGTTGCACTCAATTTATCCTCCTTTAGTTAAAATCCAATTGTTTAATTGCCTTCTTCATTATCATACCAAATGCAGTTTCATTTTGGCACTAATAATGTAGCTAGAATATAATACAGAACACTAAGTATACAGTGTTGTGGAATTTTAAACATAAATGAGTAAAAGGTATGTATGTCAAATAAAGAATCAATTAAATAATAAATAACCGTTCCATCTGATACAGGAACTTTCAGATCAAAACGTCTCAAAGCACTTCACATATGCTGTAAAGTGTAGTGACTGCGTATTTTGTAGTTGAATCCAATAGACAATTTGCACATTGGGAAAAACTTTCTTCTCTTTTTGAGTAGTGTCATGGGATCTTTAAGTCTACCTATACATGCAGATGGGATCTTAGTTTAACATCTCATATGAAGGACGGCACCTCTGAAATACAGTGCTTCCTCTGAACTGCAAAGTCCCACCAGCGCGCTTGAACCAACAACTTTTGACTCAGAGGCAAGAGTGCTACCAACTGAGTGAGGCTGACACCTAAAATTCTCCCACTGTACCTGAATTCTAATACTTGTCTCAGTGGGTATTCACACTACCTAATTGCAAACCCAATCCAACATGGGGACAAAAAGAATGATTGAGTATCACTGTGCCAATTCAGTCATTTTCCGTTGCTAATACCTGATGCAGCCATCAAAAGTACCAGGCCGGAATGGGACTCCTTGACCCATGTCCCCCAAAATGAGATCACCCTCCACCTCTCTCTCCAATGCGATATCTGGTAGGAAAATGAAGCAGAACAAATACAGGGTCATATAATACAAGAGTTGAGAGAACAGTATTTTCTTTGTATTGTATAGCACATTGCCTAAAACACTGGTGTAGAAGTTAACAAATAAGAACTGTGCATATAGGTCCAATACTTTGGAGACTGTGTTGAAAGCAAAAAAAGGCAGACTAAAAAGGGCTGACAATTCACTGCTATCACTTGGATGGTGCAGGAAGTGTCATCTGATGTTATTTCCTGCACAAGCACTTTTTTATTGCTCTTATTAAATACGCATGAGCAAATTCTGCAAGATAGTTGCATGTTTGAATGTTTACAACAGAGGTACAAAGAACAAAGCTTTCAACTAAAGTTTATCCATATCATTGTTGGCCAACATCTCCAGCTACTGCACTTACCAAGCATGGCAATGCTGATATCTAAACCAACCCAGTAATGTCCCTCTTCTGTGAGATAGTCTCCACTCAATCCTGAACCACACCTAGAAAAAATACAGAAACATATTTTAGTCACCTTCTCCAGTGGTATAAATCTAATAGTAAGGCCTTTCATGTATCTCAGTAGTGTGTAGCCTCAATTACCTTCCTAGTAGATGGAACAAATTGCCCCTTCCTACCCGTGGATAATCAAGGTTTTAATTTTATGTCGAAAGGAGTATTCTTAGTGCATTTTTATACATTTAATTATTTCATTTTTTGTGCATATGTTGCCATTTGACATACTGAAATCATGTGTGTGTCAACAGCATGCAGCCATCAATCACAAACAGGACAAAACCACACATGCACACATTTCACTTTGAAGCATATAAAAGAGACAGAATGCACTAAAAGGTACAGGTGGAAACAAAAACTGGAAGTACCTACTCTTTCCCACTTTAACCACAGATATCCACTACAATTCTGGCAATTTTGTCAATTCACTTTTCAGCAACTTGACATGCGCGCTTGTCAATTGATGCCGTCCCTTTCTCTCTCCCCTCCCATCCCCCCATATGAAAGAAATGAAAAGAAACGCATGGAGACAAAGAATATTTTCAACAGACGAAAGGTACTTTCAACACTTCTTTCCTCAATAATCAGCTACTTAGCCACAAGTATCCCGCAGCAGCGCTAATAATCTTAGGATACATTTAAGGTTATCAAACATACACTTTTTTAAAAACAAAACTGGCCTTTGCATGGTCGAACAAATATTATTCTACGAAAAACCACCATAGAATCCTAAATTCCTGCTGCCAGGCTGAGAGCTCTAGGGGATAGCAAAAAAAAATCTCAAACAGTGCCATTCTTACACAACTATTGTTCAGTTAAAACTATTAGGTGAAGACTGCTCAGGCTGTAACAGTTGGGCAACTGAAAAAGGAAACGTTTAAATAAAACCTCCACCAAAAATTGTTAGCATTCAATGAAAATCAGCTTTTATTAGAATTTTTAAAGAATAAACAACCATACCCAACATCCAACAAAAAACAAGGTTGGTTTTCAGGTAAATTTAGTAGCTCAACGGCTCTTTCTGACATCTGTGTCTGGATTCCAATCATACGAGAGCTGCAAAGTGAAAAAAAAGTAATTAACTGCATAATCAAGTCTATACATTACACCAGTAGCATTCTTCGTTTTTTAAATAAAACAAGGTATCTTTTTTTTAAAAAATTGTCCTTTATTCCCATTTCTCTATAAAGTGGGTAGTGACACTGCGTTAAGATCTTTGCTGCCCACCAAAACACACAGACAAGATCTCAGATGATCTAAACTAAGTCTTAATAATAATAATCCTTGCATTTGATATAGTGCTTTTCACGTCTTCTAGACGTCTCAAAGTGCTTCACAGAATATGCTGTAAAGTGAATTGACTGTATATTTGTGGGCGAAAAGTCATCTCCCTCATTGAAGCACTCCCTCAGTTAGAGTTAGAGTTTCACCTTATGTTATAAGCTCAAGTTCTAGTGTGGGCTGCAACCCATGAACATCTGATCCAGAAGTGAATCTTTCAGGTTTGAGCCCAAACCAAGTAGACTGTTGCAGCCACTTAGTAACAAGAATCCCACAGCAATGCTAATAATCCTAGGATACATTTACGTTTATCAAACATTCACTTTTTTTCAAAAACAAAAATGTCCTTTGCATTGTTGAACAAATATTATTCGAAGAAAAACCACTGCAGAATCCTTCAATTAGTAAAAATGAACTAGTGTCCAGAACGTAATATGTTCACACAAATGTGAACACTGATTGGCAAATAAACCACCCTCTCGTAAATAGTATGGCAATCATTTGAAGGTTATGGATTCAAGTCCACGTCCGGACTTCAGCTCACAGTCCAGTCTAAAACTCCAGTGATGTATTATTTGAAGTGCACTTGTGAATTGAAGCAAACCCTTTCTCTCTCTCCTTTGGATGCGATGCTAAACCAAGGTCCTGTTTGCCATTCAAGTGGACGTTAAAAAGTTCCATGGCATTGTTTGAAAAGTTAAAGGAGCTTCCCCTTATGTCCTGGCCAACAAATGGTCATTCAGTTCATGCTCATTTGTGGTACCTCCTGTGCCTACAAATACACACTTCGCAGCAATTCCCTGTGAAGTGGTTTGAGACGTTTTGGCATTATTGGCACTACATCAAATCCAAGGAATATTACAACTAATTGATAGTGCGTATATTGCAGTACAACTTCATGTGAATAAGTCTACAAAAAAGAATGGAGTAGAAGGTTACAGAAAGCTCAGAAAACTTACTTCTGGGTATATTTTCTTGCTTCTTGCTCATTGTAAAACTGTGAAGAGAAAGAAAAATGACTTTCAATCTACTCCAGAAATCAACCTTATTGTGATTATTGTAAATAATACCGTGTATAGGTTAGCTGATTCTTACCACATAATTAATAGTCTTTGGAAGCCAGAGACTTACAATTAACACTGTCTTAAATAGAAAACACAAATGCAAAGGCAAGACTATCCTTAAACTCAGGGGAGCGATCATCTTCAAGGCCATTTTGTTTTCAAATTTAAGATTGCTCAAAAATAAGGAAAATTCGGCCTTAATTTACATGCCGGCTCTTTTTAAAATCTGAATTGTTTAACAAAATGGTATTACTGGCTAAGACAGAGTGGAATTTCAAGCCAATTGTATCTCCAAAGGAAAGGGGAAAATAAATTCTGTTTCATGTTTCCACACAGTGGATCGAGGAGACATTTGCCCGCAGAAGGAAAAAAATAATATGAGGTCAAATTGACCTGAATCACTTTTGTGCCCTATTAGCAGCTTGTTCAGAGTTGCTCTGACAGATGTATTGGAGCAGACTGCTTTTCCAGCATTGAGGCAATGTGTTCAGCAAAGGGAATAACAGAATGTGTGTGGAGGGGGGGGGGGATGGAGAATGCAGAACAGTGAGAAATTAACAGCATTGCTAACAATATAATAGACTGCCAGCTCTGCGCAAAAATTCAATTAGACAATTACCATTTCATATTCTGCAAAGAGCGCAAAACTAAATTTGGTTGAAGATGACTTTTCTACACATTCAATCTCATCCTCCAGTTACAATCCTATCGTTTGCCCATTACAGCATAGCCTGTACACTGACAAGATTACACCCCAAGCTCAGCCCAGGCCTGTCCATTGAGGGCATTACACTGAGGGCATTACACACTGAGCCCACCCCAGGCTGTACACTGAGGGCATCACACACTGAGCCCACCCCAGGCTGTACACTGAGGGCATTACACACTGAGCCCACCCCAGGCTGTACACTGAGGGCATTACACACTGAGCCCACCCCAGGCTGTACACTGAGGGCATTACACACTGAGCTCACCCCAGGCTGTACACTGAGGGCATTACACACTGAGCCCACCCCAGGCTGTACACTGAGGGCATTACACACTGAGCCCACCCCAGGCTGTACACTGAGGGCCTTACACACTGAGCCCACCCCAGGCTGTACACTGAGGGCATTACACACTGAGCCCACCCCAGGCTGTACACTGAGGGCATCACACACTGAGCCCACCCCAGGCTGTACACTGAGGGCATTACACAGAGCCCACCCCAGGCTGTACACTGAGGGCATTACACACTGAGCCCACCCCAGGCTGTACACTGAGGGCATTACACACTGAGCCCACCCCAGGCTGTACACTGAGGGCCTTACACACTGAGCCCACCCCAGGCTGTACACTGAGGGCATTACACACTGAGCCCAGGCCAGGCTGTACACTGAGGGCATTACACACTGAGCCCACCCCAGGCTGTACACTGAGGGCCTTACACACTGAGCCCACCCCAGGCTGTACACTGAGGGCATTACACACTGAGCCCAGGCCAGGCTGTACACTGAGGGCATTACACACTGAGCCCACCCCAGGCTGTACACTGAGGGCCTTACACACTGAGCCCACCCCAGGCTGTACACTGAGGGCCTTACACACTGAGCCCACCCCAGGCTGTACACTGAGGGCCTTACACACTGAGCCCACCCCAGGCCTGTACACTGAGGGCATTACACACTGAGCCCACCCCAGGCTGTACACTGAGGGCATTACACACTGAGCCCACCCCAGGCTGTACACTGAGGGCCTTACACACTGAGCCCACCCCAGGCTGTACACTGAGGGCCTTACACACTGAGCCCACCCCAGGCTGTACACTGAGGGCCTTACACACTGAGCCCACCCCAGGCTGTACACTGAGGGCATTACACACTGAGCCCACCCCAGGCTGTACACTGAGGGCATTACACGCTGAGCCCACCCCAGGCTGTACACTGAGGGCATTACACGCTGAGCCCAGGCCAGGCTATACACTGAGGGCATTACACACTGAGCCCACCCCAGGCTGTACACTGAGGGCCTTACACACTGAGCCCACCCCAGGCTGTACACTGAGGGCCTTACACACTGAGCCCACCCCAGGCTGTACACTGAGGGCATTACACACTGAGCCCACCCCAGGCTGTACACTGAGGGTATTACACACTGAGCCCACCCCAGGCTGTACACTGAGGGCCTTACACACTGAGCCCACCCCAGGCTGTACACTGAGGGCCTTACACACTGAGCCCACCCCAGGCTGTACACTGAGGGCCTTACACACTGAGCCCACCCCAGGCTGTACACTGAGGGCATTACACACTGAGCCCACCCCAGGCTGTACACTGAGGGCATTACACACTGAGCCCACCCCAGGCTGTACACTGAGGGCCTTACACACTGAGCCCACCCCAGGCTGTACACTGAGGGCATTACACACTGAGCCCACCCCAGGCTGTACACTGAGGGCATTACACACTGAGCCCACCCCAGGCTGTACACTGAGGGCCTTACACACTGAGCCCACCCCAGGCTGTACACTGAGGGCATTACACACTGAGCCCACCCCAGGCTGTACACTGAGGGCCTTACACACTGAGCCCACCCCAGGCTGTACACTGAGGGCATTACACACTGAGCCCACCCCAGGCTGTACACTGAGGGCCTTACACACTGAGCCCACCCCAGGCTGTACACTGAGGGCATTACACACTGAGCCCACCCCAGGCTGTACACTGAGGGCCTTACACACTGAGCCCACCCCAGGCTGTACACTGAGGGCCTTACACACTGAGCCCACCCCAGGCTGTACACTGAGGGCATTACACACTGAGCCCACCCCAGGCTGTACACTGAGGGCATTACACACTGAGCCCACCCCAGGCTGTACACTGAGGGCATTACACACTGAGCCCACCCCAGGCTGTACACTGAGGGCATTACACACTGAGCCCACCCCAGGCTGTACACTGAGGGCCTTACACACTGAGCCCACCCCAGGCTGTACACTGAGGGCATCACACACTGAGCCCACCCCAGGCTGTACACTGAGGGCCTTACACACTGAGCCCACCCCAGGCTATACACTGAGGGCATCACACACTGAGCCCACCCCAGGCTATACACTGAGGGCATTACACACTGAGCCCACCCCAGGCTGTACACTGAGGGCATTACACACTGAGCCCACCCCAGGCTGTACACTGAGGGCATTACACACTGAGCCCACCCCAGGCTGTACACTGAGGGCATTACACACTGAGCCCACCCCAGGCTGTACACTGAGGGCATTACACACTGAGCTCACCCCAGGCTGTACACTGAGGGCCTTACACACTGAGCCCACCCCAGGCTGTACACTGAGGGCCTTACACACTGAGCCCACCCCAGGCTGTACACTGAGGGCCTTACACACTGAGCCCACCCCAGGCTGTACACTGAGGGTATTACACACTGAGCCCACCCCAGGCTGTACACTGAGGGCATCACACACTGAGCCCACCCCAGGCTGTACACTGAGGGCATTACACACTGAGCTCACCCCAGGCTGTACACTGAGGGCCTTACACACTGAGCCCACCCCAGGCTGTACACTGAGGGCATTACACACTGAGCCCACCCCAGGCTGTACACTGAGGGCCTTACACACTGAGCCCACCCCAGGCTGTACACTGAGGGCCTTACACACTGAGCCCACCCCAGGCTGTACACTGAGGGCATTACACACTGAGCCCACCCCAGGCTGTACACTGAGGGCCTTACACACTGAGCCCACCCCAGGCTGTACACTGAGGGCATTACACACTGAGCCCACCCCAGGCTGTACACTGAGGGCCTTACACACTGAGCCCACCCCAGGCTGTACACTGAGGGCATTACACACTGAGCCCACCCCAGGCTGTACACTGAGGGCATTACACACTGAGCCCACCCCAGGCTGTACACTGAGGGCATCACACACTGAGCCCACCCCAGGCTGTACACTGAGGGCATTACACACTGAGCCCACCCCAGGCTGTACACTGAGGGCATCACACACTGAGCCCACCCCAGGCTGTACAGTGATTATGCCCCGGGCCCTGTGTGTGGTGGGCACTGGTCGGGTTGCGGGCACTGGTCGGGTCGCGGGCACTGGTCGGGTCGCGGGCACTGGTCGGGTCGCGGGCACTGGTCGGGTTGCGGGCACTGGTCGGGTTGCGGGCACTGGTCGGGTTGCGGGCACTGAGGGACGGGCAGTACAGGATTTACCACATCAGGCGGTGCGCGGTGCTCCGGTCTCCCTGTCCGAGACGCCATGCTCCCAGCGCGCGCCGTCCCTCCTCACGCTCAGCACGTTAGCGCGATGACGACAGCACGCCGGCCCCGCACCACGTCACTCCCCCGCCCCCTTACGAAGACCCGCCATCTTGGTAAAGGAGCCTCTGGTGAGCGAGTGAGTGAGGGAGTGGCTATGGCTGACGCAAGTCCGAGCTTGACCCTGGGCTGGCAGTGCACGTTGCTCGGCGTTTATCTGTGAACCAAAATGAAAATCTCAACGTATTCCATCTCACAGGATTGTTTTTTAAAATATGGTATCGACGCTGCTGTGTGCCATTGGCTGACGTGTTTCACCCACAAACATACAGTCCATTCACTTCACAGTCTGTTCTGTGAAGCGCTTTGAGACGTCGAGAGGATGTGAAAAATGCTACATCAAATGCAAGGATTATTATTATTATTAAGAATTATTTTAAACCCAAACTGGTTAATTTATGGTTTTTGCTGACAAAAGTTCACCCCTTGCTTCCCTGAAGACATTTGATACTTTTTAATCTTAACTTTTGCAGAAATTAAAGTTCTGTGGAATCGAGTTATCTCCAACATCTTGTGTAATGCCCTCAGTGTACAGCCTGGGGTGGGCTCAGTGTGTAATGCCCTCAGTGTACAGCCTGGGGTGGGCTCAGTGTGTGATGCCCTCAGTGTACAGCCTGGGGTGGGCTCAGTGTGTAATGCCCTCAGTGTACAGCCTGGGGTGAGCTCAGTGTGTAATGCCCTCAGTGTACAGCCTGGGGTGGGCTCAGTGTGTAATGCCCTCAGTGTACAGCCTGGGGTGGGCTCAGTGTGTAAGGCCCTCAGTGTACAGGCCTGGGGTGGGCTCAGTGTGTAAGGCCCTCAGTGTACAGCCTGGGGTGGGCTCAGTGTGTAAGGCCCTCAGTGTACAGCCTGGGGTGGGCTCAGTGTGTAAGGCCCTCAGTGTACAGCCTGGGGTGGGCTCAGTGTGTAATGCCCTCGGTGTACAGCCTGGGGTGGCTCAGTGTGTAAGGCCCTCAGTGTACAGCCTGGGGTGGGCTCAGTGTGTAAGGCCCTCAGTGTACAGCCTGGGTGGGCTCAGTGTGTAATGCCCTCAGTGTACAGCCTGGGTGGGCTCAGTGTGTAATGCCCTCAGTGTACAGCCTGGGGTGGGCTCAGTGTGTAATGCCCTCAGTGTACAGCCTGGGGTGGGCTCAGTGTGTAAGGCCCTCAGTGTACAGCCTGGGGTGGGCTCAGTGTGTAATGCCCTCAGTGTACAGCCTGGGGTGGGCTCAGTGTGTAATGCCCTCAGTGTACAGCCTGGGGTGGGCTCAGTGTGTAAGGCCCTCAGTGTACAGCCTGGGGTGGGCTCAGTGTGTAAGGCCCTCAGTGTACAGCCTGGGGTGGGCTCAGTGTGTAAGGCCCTCAGTGTACAGGCCTGGGGTGGGCTCAGTGTGTAAGGCCCTCAGTGTACAGCCTGGGGTGGGCTCAGTGTGTAAGGCCCTCAGTGTACAGCCTGGGGTGGGCTCAGTGTGTAATGCCCTCAGTGTACAGCCTGGGGTGGGCTCAGTGTGTAAGGCCCTCAGTGTACAGCCTGGGTGGCTCAGTGTGTAATGCCCTCAGTGTACAGCCTGGGGTGGGCTCAGTGTGTAAGGCCCTCAGTGTACAGCCTGGGGTGGGCTCAGTGTGTAAGGCCTCAGTGTACAGGCTATTATTCTTGAGCTGTTACTTAAATGACACATTGTGCCATTATTGTGGTCCTTTTAAGGGTAGGCAATCGGTAAAAAAACACTCTTAGAAAGGTGTGGGTTACACCTTGGTCAATTCTCTGTTGAAAAATCGTCAAAGATCACCTGAGAGTAAATTGTTTGATAGTTATAAATAATAATCCTTGTCCTTATATTTGATACAACGCTGGCCAAGTCATTGGCCAGCATCTCAAAGCTCTTCACGTGAAGTGTAGTAATTGTGTATTTCTAAGTTAATATAGCATGGCATATCAGCCTACACAATGAGCTCAAAGTCCTGACATGGGCCTTGCCTTTCATTACATAGGTAAGTGAATCAAAAATTATTTCTTTATTGCAGAAATGATGTACAGTACTGCACATTGAACTTGGCAAGTTTGGGATAGTTCTCTTGTAAACAAGAAGTGAACAACAACAACAAAATTACATTGGTATAGCACCTTTCACGTCAGGAGGATGTCCCAATGCGCTGGACAGACAGAGTTTCGGACCCGAACTGAGGGTCGGGGTGGGGGGGGCAGGGGGTGGAAGCAGGGAGATCGAAAGCATGATCGAAGAGGAGGGTCTTTAGGTGGGTCTTGAAGGTGGTGAGGGAGAGGACCAAGACGGAGGGACTGAGGGATGGAATTCCAGAGGGTGGGTGCAGAGTGGCAGAAGGCCCGCCTGCTGATGGTGGGGTGAGCAAGGCCGGGGACGTGAAGCAGGCCAGTGTCCACTGAGCGGAAGGAGCGAACAGGATGGTAGGTGGTTATGAGGTCGGAGAGGTAGGGGGGAGCAAGACCATGGAGGGCTTTGAAGGTGAGGACCAGGATCTTGAACTGTATCCTCTGTGTGATGGGAAGCCAGTAGAGTTGGGCAAGGATGGGAGTGATAGGGTCATAGTGCGGGAGAGGACATGGGCTGCAGAGTTCTGGATGATCTGCAGCCTGTGGAGGGAGCAGTTGGGGAGGCCGACAAGCAGCGAGTTTGCGTAGTCGAGCCTTGAAATGAAGGGAGCTTGTAAGTATTTAAGGATGAAAGATCTTTTGATCTCCACAACAAAACTTGCATTTATATAATGCCCTTCCAGTGGGAAAGAGTGCCGGAGCACTTCACAGTGGTTGAGTCTGACAACAAGCCAGGGCGATAGGGAGTGGGGAGGTGACCGTAAGCATGATCAAAAAGGAAGGTCTTTAGGTGGGATTTGAAGGTGGGGAGTGAGGGGCAAGGCAGAGGGATTGAGGGAAGAGAGTTCCAGAATTTTGGGAGCGTAGTGGTTGAAGGCTCGGCCACCGATGATGGAATGGAGGGCACGAGGGACAAATAGGAGGCCGTAGTCAGCTGAACGAGGGCAGCGGGTGATGGAGTGGGGGGTAAGCAGATCGGATAGGTAGAGAGGTGCGAGGAAATTAAGTGATTTGAAAACACAATGTCTTTACTAATGTAAGAGGAAGATATTTCTGTGGAGTGTAAAATAACATAGGACCAACCCCGTCAAGAGTGAGAGGCCAGGATATTATAGTTTTGCTCAAATTCACATGCGTAGGTTTAATAATGATTTTATCTGTTACATTGAATGCCAAAGTTTGTGACTCTTATCATCCCCATCCACACCCGACTTCATTGGCTTCCCATCACACAGAGGATACAGTTCAAAATTCTGGTCCTCACCTTCAAAATCCTCCATGGTCTTTTTCCCCCCTGTCTCTGCGACCTTCTAACCCCCTCTGATCCTGCCGACTCCCTCCGCTCAGCGGGCTCTGGCCTGCCTCACGTCCCCCACCTCGCCCATCCCACCATTGGCAGGCAGGCCTTCTGCCACTCTGTCCCCACTCTCTGTAACTCCATCCCACAGTCCCTCTACCTCACCCCCTCCCTTGCCTCCTTCAAGACTCATCTCAAGACCCTCCTCTTCGATCACCCTGCTTCCCCCCTCCCGGCCCTCCACCCTCCCCATTCCCAACCCCCAGCTCGGGTCTAAAACTTTGACTGTCCAGCATCTTGGGACATCCTCCCGACATGAAAGGCACTATACAAATCTAATTTTGTTGATGTGATGCGTAAAATAAAACAAAAAACCTTTATAACACATGAAAAGAAAGATTCACTTATAACTTGTACATCAGGATACAAAAGGTGGTGCAACACCAGCCAGAGATGCAAGGTTTGTCAGAAGGTCACAGATGTTTGTGTAACTTAATGATTGATGGTCATAAAAAGCCATCAGTTGCCAAAACTCTGAGGCCAGATTATTGTGTGGACATGAGAGAGCAATGCCTGGGGATAACACTCAGCTCTACCTCTGTCTCCACCCTTGCCTTCAGGACCACTGCTGTGCTGACAGAATGTCTGTCAGACAACAAATCCTGGATTCGAGCTAACTTTCTTCAGTTGAACGTCAACAAGATCGAGGCTCTCCTGATATGGTTCTCACCTCCTCCACCTACCCGATCTCCCCCTAAACCTCTCCAAACCCGTACGCAACCTAGGCGTCAGGTTCGACCCCCAATTATCTTTCCTCCCCACATCCAGTCCCTCACCAGCACCGTTTTCTTCCACCTCCAACGCATCGCCCGTCTCCACCAATACCTCACTCCAAAAGCCGCTGAAACCCTGGTTCATGCCTTTGTCACCTCTCAGCTGGACTATTCAAATTCCCTCCTCTCCGGTCTACCCTCCACTACCATCCATAAAATCCAAGTAATACAAAACTCTGCCACCCGCATTCTCACCCGCACCAAACTCCGCTCCCCGACTACCCAAGTCCTTGCCAGACTGCACTGGCTGCCTGTCCCAGAGAGGATCGACTTCAAAATCCTCACCCTTGTCTTCAAATCCCTCCACTCCTCTGCACCCCCTACCTCTCTGACCTCCTCTCTCCTTAAAATAGTGCCCATTGCCTTCGTTCCACCAGGCCTCCTTGTCCTCCTCCTTGTCCCCCGAGTCCTCCGCTCCACTCTCGGCGGCCGTGCCTTCAGCCACTATGCCCCAAAGCTCTGGAACTCCCTTCCTCACTCCCTTCACCTCGCCCCCTCTCTTCCTATTTTCAGGTCTCGGCTGAAGACCTTTCTTTTCGACCGTACCTTTGGTCACCTTCCTCCGCCTCCCTCTGGCTCGGCCCCAAGATCCGTTACTGTGAAGTGTTCGGAGACTCTGTGCGGTGTGAAAGGCGCTATATCAATCCAAGTTGTTGTTGTTGTTATTTGACATGCGACAAGCGGAAGTTTGAGCCTTCACTTGGTGGATTGTAGATATTAGGAACTCCTTGTGAACTATATCATGTATACATTTGCTGTTTGTAGGGCAGTGCTGTGCGCAAATTGGTTATCGTGTAGGGCCACAAAACACATACAGTCGACTGCACTTTACATTTGCAGTAGGGTGACCATACATCTCTTATTTCTGGTGACAGTCCCCAGGTGAGGTATTGTGTCCCTGACCAAATTTGCCCTGTCTTAACTTCAACAACAAAGTGAGCAATAACAAGAACATTCAAGAACAGATACACTCATCTGAGAAACACAGCCATTAAATCAACAAACTTCTCCACTACAGTTCATCAGAAATTATGGCGAGTTCAATTTTTTTAAATACATGTTGCAGATTTTATTTGCACTTTGCCAAATATGGTCACCCTAACTTACAGTACATCCCATGAAGTGCTTTGGGACATCTTCCAGATGTGAAAGGCTCTGTACCAAATACAAGGATTATAATAATAATAGTAATCCTTGATTTGACATAACACTTCCATCACATCATGAGAAGTCTCAAAGCGTTTCACAGAATATACTGTAAAGTGAAATGTATTTGTGGGCGAAGCGCGGCAGACAATTGCGCACAGCAATGTGCCACAAACAGTCATGGACTGAGTGACCAAATCATTGCCATTGTTATTTTTTTGGAGGGTTTATTACCCCTGGAAAAGCGATCTGCGAATTGACTAACAACCGGGTTCCCTCTTGCTGCGAGGTAAACAGGCGCGCGGAGTAAGGAAACTTGCCTAAGGCTTCGCCTTGCCCGGGAATCAAGCCCAGGCCCTCTCGCTCGCGGGGCCAGCGTTCTGACCGCTAATCCACCGGACTCCCAACACATGCTGATGTGCAACCACTGTGAACCCCTCGCCTTCGATGTGGCGCCGTGTCGCGTCTTCCAGAGCCTCTCGAGCGCGCTGCGCGGAAATGGCGACAGTTAATAAAGTGACACCGCCGGCCCGGGGCGCGCGGGGCGAAGCGCCAACTCCGGTGCCGAATGCCCATTCGAAATGCCCCAAAGCCAGGGATTAGCACTGTGAGTACCGTTACTCTTCACCAATATTATCATCATGAGTTAGTATGGGCATTGGCATCATTGTCGCTGCAGCGCCCGCCGACCACTGGCGGTTGAAGCGCGCACTGCAAACGCCGGGGGGGGGGGGGGGGGGGGGCTGGTTTGACAGCTGTGCGTCGTGACGTCGTGACGTCAGGCGGCGGCGTCGGCGTCGTCCTGGGCTGGCGGTTGGCGGTTGGCGGCGGCTGCGCGGTGTGAGTCGGTAGATCCGATTTCCAGGGGACGGTTGAGCTGCTGTTTTTGTTCTGTTTTATTGGTTTGCAGAGACTCCCCCTCCTCCCCCTCCTCCATTACTGGCCCTTTCTGGACGGGGTTTTTATTTATTTGCGGGTGTTGCACATAAGGAACTCTCTTTAAGTATTCCCCCCCCCATTCCCCCTCTCCCGGGAGGCGGCCGTCGGAATTGATGCATTTTTCGCCAACTTGTTTTCATTCACCAAGATAGGTGGGACAGGCTCCAAGATGTCAAACCGAGTGGTTCGCCGGGAAGCCAGTCACGCCGGGAGCTGGTACACGGCCTCAGGTACCTCAGGCGGGCGGCTCGCGGTGCGGAGGAGTGGGGAGTGGGGGCACCGTATCCCCCCCCCCTCCCCGGGCATCATATTCCCCCCCACCCCCGGGGCATCATATCCCCCCCCCCACCCCCGGGCACCATATCCCCCCCCCCCCCCGGGCATCATATCCCCCCCCCCCCCGGGCATCATATCCCCCCCCACCCCCGGGCACCATATCCCCCCCCCCCCCGGGCATCATATCCCCCCCCACCCCCCGGGCATCATATCCCCCACCCCCCCGGGCATCATATCCCCCCCCCACCTCCCGGGCATCATATCCCCCCCCCCCCGGGCATCATATCCCCCCCCCCCCCCCCGGGCATCATATCCCCCCCCCCCCGGGCATCATATCCCCCCCCCCCCCCGGGCATCATATCCCCCCCCCACCCCCCCGGGCATCATATCCCCCCCCACCCCCCGGCATCATATCCCCCCCCACCCCCCCGGCATCATATCCCCCCCCCACCCCCCGGGCATCATATCCCCCCCCCCGGGCACCATATCCCCCCCCCCCCGGGCACCATATCCCCCCCCACCCCCGGGCACCATATCCCCCCCCGGGCACCATATCCCCCCCCGGGCACCATATCCCCCCCCCACCCCCCGGGCATCATATCCCCCCCCCCACCCCCCGGGCATCATATCCCCCCCCCCGGGCATCATATACCCCCCCCCCCCGGCACCATATCCCCCCCCCACCCCCCGGGCACCATATCCCCCCCCCCCCGGGCACCATATCCCCCCCCCGGGCACCATATCCCCCCCCACCCCCCGGGCATCATATCCCCCCCCACCCCCCGGGCATCATATCCCCCCCCCCGGGCACCATATCCACCCCCCCCCACCCCCGGGCATCATATCCCCCCCCCCCCCCGGGCACCATATCCCCCCCCCCCGGGCACCATATTCCCCCCCCCCGGGCACCATATCCCCCCCCCCGGGCATCATATCCCCCCCCCCGGGCATCATATCCCCCCCCCGGGCATCATATCCCCCCCCAGGGCATCATATTCCCCCCCCCCGGGGCATCATATCCCCCCCCCCCCCCCCCGGGGCACCACATCTCCCGGCCTCCGCGCAAAACAATAGCCTCAATCATCCCCGTGTGGGGAAAGGAAGAGGCTGGGGGATGGTTTGTATGGGGGTGGAGAGAGAGATGGAGGGGAGGGTTTGTATGGGGGTGGAGAGAGAGATGGGAAGGTGGGGAGGGAGATGGGGGGGAGGTTTTGTATGGGGGCGGGGAGGGAGATGGGGGGAAGGAAGGGTTTGTATGGGGAGGGAGATGGGAAGGTGGGAAGGGTTTGTATGGGGGTGGGGAGGGAGATGGGAAGGGAGATGGGGGGTTGTATGGGGGTGGGGAGGGAGATGGGAAGGTGGGGAGGGAGATGGGGGGAGGGGAGGGTTTGTATGGGGATGGGGAGGGAGATGGGAAGGTGGGGAGGGAGATGGGGGGAGGAGAGGGTTTGTATGGGGAGGGAGATGGGAACGTGGGGAAGGAGGGGAGGGTTTGTATGGGGAGGAGATGGGAAGGTGGGGAGGGAGATGGGGGGAGGAGAGGGTTTGTATGGGGAGGGAGATGGGAACGTGGGGAGGGAGGGGAGGGTTTGTATGGGGAGGAGATGGGAGGGTGGAGAGGGAGATGGGGGGAGGAGAGGGTTTGTATGCTGAGAGAGGGGTGGGGGAGGAGAGATGTCTGGGGGAAGGGGTAAGGGAGGGTTTCTATTGGGGAGAGAGTAAGGATTGGGAGGATTTAGTGAGGTGGGGTTTTGATGGGGGGAGTCGGAAAGGGAGGGGTTTGAGAAGGATTCTCCCATGCTCTCCTTTTGATCTTCTTATAATTATAACCCCTAATACAAATACAATACAAAATTACATTTGATTAGCACCTTTCACGTCGTGAGGAAGTCCCAAGGCTCTAATCTATGACTCCCAGGGACATCAAACTTCTTCAGTCTCTTCTCTTAGGCCCTCATCCCTGATATCATTCTTGTAAATCGCCTCTGCATCCACTCCATGGCCTTAACATCTTTCCTGAAGTGAGGGGCCCAAAACTGAACACATTATTCCAGTTGCGGCCTAACCAATGATTTTAAACAAACAGTATTATTGCTTTAAAATAAAAGGCAAAATACTGCAGATGTTTGAAATTGGAAATAATAACAGAAGTCGCTGGGGACACGTAGCAGGTCAGGCAGCATCTATGGTGAGAGGAAAGTGAGATAACGTTTTAGGTCGATAACCTTTCATCACAACATTATTGCTTCTTTTCTATGTATAAAATCCAGGATACCTTTAGCTTCTTTTACTTGCGATACCACTTTCAAGAACTTCTGTACCTGCACTCCCATGTCCTGTTGCTTCTTGCAATATAGTGCCATTCAATATACAGTCCCTTCCCTTGTATTTTTTCTACCAAAATGAATCACCTCTGAATTTCACTTAATTAATCTTCATCTGCCACTGATCTGTCCATTGTGCTAATCTATTTTAAATCCTTCTGCATTCTCTTGCTACCCGCCCCCCACCCCTTACTTTTCACTACCCGCTAGCTTGGTATCATCCACAAATTTTGATGCTGTACCCCCTATATCTGTGTTGAGGTTCATTGGTTTATGTGGAAAAATGGAGAGGCCTCAGCACAGATCACTGCAGTTCGTCATTAATTACCTTCCACCAACCAGAAAAATATGTTTTGAACCAAACTGTCTGCTTCCTATCCTTTCAACGACTTTCTATCCAAACTGTTGCATTTCCCCCTGTTCCATGGCCCCTGAGTTCCTGCACTAGTCTTCTGTGTGGCACCTTATCAAATGCCTCTTGGAAATCCATATATTGAGCATCCATAGCATTACCTATCTGCACTTTCAGTTAGTAAGTTAATTACAGAATTAATTACAAAAATTGGTAAAAAATGAATTTACAAATTAGCCAGAATTCTATGGATTCTTCCATTTTAAGACAAAACTGCCTAAGCTCTGTGAAATTAGTTTGGACAAGTTTGACCTGTTCCTGTTTGTTGTAATCTTCCAGAACAAAACTACCTTTAATTTAAATTTTAGCTATATAATGAAATTCACTTAATTTCTAATCAAGCTCATATTTGGAAAAGGCTTTGAAACTGTTGCATGTATGTGTAAGGCAGTAATTAATTGTAAGTTGCATAAAGATTACACTGGGGCCACAAGATGGTTGTTATGGGAAATGGAAAACATTAAGAGTGGTGCAGTAGGATCTGTGGCCATTTTGAAGCTGAGGTTGAGGCATGTTGTTGGAACAGATTACAAAGACCTTTACCATGACCTGGGAGTGTTTGATACTGGCACAGTGCCCAAATTGAAAAGGTGGCCTATTTCTTAGAACTCTTCTTAATAAGCACTTTTTTGTTTGTGTCACTAAATGGAAAGTGGGGATATGGCAGGAGATGACTTTTGGGAGCTGGAGTATGGCAAACAGTGGTGTATGTCTGGTGTGATCCTGGTGTCTGGGTGATGGGACTGTCTCGGTTTGAAATGCCAAAACAACTGACAGTCACACATTGTACTGAATGTGTCACATAGAATGAGACCTGCTGCTGAAAGTCAGCAAACTTTTTTTCCAAGAGGATGCTAAAATGTGAATTCCTGAAATGCAGTGGTTAGTGCGCTTGCCTCGCAAGCAAAAGGACCCGGGTTCAATTCCTGGGTGGTGTGAAACCTTAGGCAAGTTTCCACATGCCTCTGTTCACCTAGCAGTAAGTAGGAACCTGGTTGTTAGTCAATTGGTGGATTGCATTCCGGGGTATTAATCTCTCAAAAAAAATTCAGGACTGCTCGTGAGACACTGCTTTGTGCAATTGACTGCTAAATTTCGCCCACAAAATACACAGTTAATCCACTTTACAATATAATCTGAAGCGCTTTGAGATGTTTCAATACGTGATAAGGCGCTATATCAAATGCATGTATTATATATTACTAATATAGCATACTATTCCAACATAATTATAATGTTGATCTAATTTTCTATTATTATTATGATCCATTGGAAATATAAAGGCCTCTTCACTGCATTCGTTCTTTATTTGGATATATCTGTGGTGTGCTCAACCTCTTATGCCCTGCCTTTTTCAGTGCTGAAAATTGCAATGTAATTTCTCCAGCTTTTATTGTTTTAACAAAAAGGTAATTGGTTGTTTTATTTAAACATTCTGGTTATTGAATTATTCAGTGCTGTATTGGTAGCTTTCTAATGATGCTGCTAGGCCAGTTGGTTGGTAAGACGGGCTATAAACTTGTCCCATGTTTAACAATTAATATAATTAATATAGTTGGTATGATGTCAGTATAGTTGAAGTCAGTATAGTTACAGTCAGTACAGTATCCTCTTCAGTAATGGAGGCTTCATAAACCTATATATAGCCGCATATTTTGGCAGTAATAATGAGGGGAATATGCTAGGTAGATGCCTTTTATTGTGCTTGTTGCAAAAACCTGGGATGAGTTAAAAGGGCAGCAAAGATTGAAAAGTTGATATATTACCTGGAGACTGCTATTTGCGTGACATTTTTAAAAACAAATCTCAAATTTCTTACTTGGAGACCTGACATCTTGTTTTTTCTGCACTCCTGCACTTTTCCCATGTGATGTCAGCTACTGGGACAAGTGTGGGTCCTCCATTCATTTTGATAGGTGCATCAGCACAGTTTGTAAGAGATCTGGAAGTGCTGAACCCTAAGGAAACCTCAGCAATTGGTCACTTACTTCATGGCTGTTTGTGGGGCATTGCTGTGTGGAAATTGGCTGCCATATTTGCCTACAAATAGTCACTACGTTTAACAGTAAAATCTGAAGGATTTTGAGACATTTCAATGACACTGATAATCCTTGAATTTATATAGTGCATTATTAATATTAAAACCATTCAGGAACATAGTGACCCCGCACCAAGTGTCAGATGTAATGTTGCCAAACATTTTGTCTTTCGTTTTTGTGTTTGAGAACTCAGTAGAGCATTAAGAATAGATTTATACTGTTGTGATTCTGCTGTCATGTTATGCCATCATGAATTTTCTTGATCTTTTTAAGCTATCAACAAAAAAACTATCATTTGTATATTTTCTTTGATATAGAATAAGTAAACATTGCTTTTGATATAACGCCTTTCATGTCAGAGTAATCTCAATGCTCTTCACATAATATGCTATTAAGTATAGTGACTATAATTTGTAGATTAATGCGACAGCCAATTTGTACACAGCAATATCCCATAAACAGCCATGGAGTGAATATCAATTTTATACACAGGTTTGCTGGCCAGGACGCTGGGAGAAACTCCCTTCTCTTTTCCAACAATCTTTGCCATCGGATCTTTAAAATCCACCTGAATAGGCAGTCAGTACCTTAGTTTAATGTCTCATCTGAAGGTTAGCACCTCCTGCAATGTAGCACTCCCTCAGCTTTAGCTCCCCCACCCCCCAACCACCACCAAACTCTTACACTGCTTAATTGTGACTTCTAAGCCCCACGTGCTTCCTGGAGTCCCACCGACATGTTCCCTCCTTCCCCACATTCAAAGCCCACCTCAAGGCATCCCTCTTTGACAGCGCTTTTGGTTATCTTTCCCCTCCCCACCCTCTTTAGCTCCCAGTTCTGGTTCCCAGCCAGTGGTGTGAAGCGCTTTGAGACATTCTCCTGAGATGAAAGGTGCTATATAAATATATAGGCTGTGTTTGGCTACTCACAGCGAATACATTTATATAGCACCTACTGGAAATTGAATGTGAGGAGCTTCTCAGTCTGCGTGGTTCCGTTTTCAGGCCAGGCAGTGAAATTACTAAATGAACCATTGAGTGAACAAGTCTATCTTCAACTAGTACTGCTGTTATATTAACTCTACAAAATGCAATATAAGGTGTGTTATAATCTGAGGTTTAGGTTTGTAATTTCTACCGGTGAAATTCACTCCCTATAAATTTAATATTATTCTATGGTGCAACACAATCATTCTTAAAGTTTCACAAAAACTGGACGTGAGGATGTTAAAAGAAAATGAGACCTGAGGTTTACCAGGTTCAGTAGCTGAGCAAAATCTGTGCAAAGGTTAAAATATGGTATTTGCAGATGGGTATGGGTGGGAGGAGGGAGACTTCATTCGGCGTGAAGATGCTGAGTGCCTTTTTTTGTTATTGGAAAGTATTGCTTAATTAAGAGCATTAATGTTCTCTCTGGAGGATCTTGCTGGAAATATATTGGCAAGAAATTTCTGATAAATTTGTGATCAAGACAATTAAGACTAATTTTTGTCTCTTTTTCAAGGATCTCAGTTGAACGCACAATTAGAAAACTGGCTCTCTCAAGCACAGTCTGCTGGAAGATCAGCTAGAGCCATTATTGCACCGTAAGTCACAGTGATAAATGTTCTATCCTGTACATGTATTTTTGGTGATGGTAATTGGATATCCTACCAGAACGAAGCATTGATAACTCAATATACTTATCTAGCTAGCAGCTCTAGACCTGATTTTTACCGCCTCCAAAGAAGCTGGTGAGACTTGGGTTATATTCCCTGGAGCTGAGGAGTTCCTCCAGGGGTGAACATATTGGTGTTTATAATGGGGAGTGGGGAAGACAAGTTAGATAGTGGCTGACTCTATTCTGGTGTAGGGATTCAAAATGAGGATTCTAAAATTAGAGCTAAGCTGAAGAAATGTTTTCAGAAAACATTTCTTCACACAGAGAGTGGTAGCGTTGTGGAATGCACTGCCACAGGAGACTGTATATGCAGAAGTAAATGGAATGTTCCATTCCTTCGAATGAGATGTTAAACCAAGACCCCACCCCGTCTGCCTGTTCAGGTGGATGTTAAGGATCCCTTAAAAAGGGGAAGAATAGATACAGGCCAACCTCATCATAAAACATTGGTTTGGGTTCATAAACTTAGTCACTATTTTATAACACAATGTGCTTCACAAAGGCTATCCTAGTAGCAGTAAATCAAGCTTGGGACTTTCCTGGTCTGTATGATTCAGTTTGAAATAAGTTTGTGTCTTTACTGGCTGGTTCATCAGATAGGAAGAAACTCTAGATTGGACTTTTAAATGGGTTTTGTAAGTGTGGCTGAATGATGGTCGTCTCTGCAGAAACCTGCCCTGCTGTTTTCTCTTTTCAGACACGCAGGATACACGTACTGTGGATCTTGTGCTGCTCATGCTTATAAACAAGTGGATCCATCCATCACGTAAGTGAATCTTAATGGAAGGCTCAACCCTGCAGCATGGTAAGCGTGCTCCTAGAATTACATAAGAATGGGCGTTTTGTGTTGAAGTGAGCAATCTCTTTGGTACACTGCACCAAATTCTTCTCAGAGCTCAACACTGAGGTTTCTTTATTTTTGCAGTGTAAGTTTTCCTAGAGTATGCAATTGATAGATGACTGGAGGTCATACCGCCATCGAAGTGGGACAATCAGTCCTTGGGACCATTCTGCCATGAGATTTCATAAACGGATCGGATATATTGTGCAGCTGAAGTGAGCCTTGTCTTTTTTTTAATAGGATTCCGATAATTTAAGATATAAATCAAAATTGTCCGTTTTTTTGGTAACTAGTGTCTTTGATATTAAAACAATTGTACTGCACCAATCTGCACATAATGTTATATGAAGAAATCTGTACATTTCCATTTTCACTCGTGAAATGTTTGCTGCTTGTATCTATAACGCAAACCGGTCAAATACAATGATGAGCAGTAGGTGACCTCTAACACTCCATTGTAAAGGAACCAAAACAATTTTGTAGTCAAAAAGATATTTTTTGTTCAGTAAAATCCTGCAAATGCTTCAAACTTCTAATACCCAATTTAGCTTCTCTCTTTCCCCATCTCCAACCTGCTCTTCCTCTCTTAAGGAGCTGGAACGAATTGTTGGTTCCAGCTCTGCTCCTTGTTTCTCACTATAAGAATCCCTCCAGTCTGGCTTCTGTCCCACCCATAGCACCGAAACTAGTCAAAAGTCTCAAATAATTTTTATTTTGTCTGGAACCAGGACTTTTTGTGCCTCCTTTTCCTTCTCAATCTCTTTGTTGAGTTTGGCACAATTGACCACTTCATCCTTCCCCACCGTCTCACCTCCTTGATTTATCTCCGAGGCTCTGTACTTTTCTGATTATCCTCACACCTGTTCCAGCGTCTTCCAATTTGTCTCTCTACGCGCTCATTCTTGGTGCCGTCATTCATAGTCACAGGGTCTACTTCAACATCCTCAGTGTCAGGACCTGGTTTGAAGCCACCATAGGATATACATCAGGACTTGCTCAAATCTCTTGGTATTGGCCAGCGTTAGCAAGCCACCTATCTCTGAAAACAAACCTCAAGTGCAACTTTAAGCTGTTCAGCTGTTGTTCAATTGACTGCTAAATAATTGCTTCTCGGTTTTGATTTTCCTGCAGACGAAGAGTTTTTATCCTGGGACCATCTCATCATGCCCCACTTTCCCGCTGCGCGCTGTCCACTGCAGATGTTTATAGAACACCTTTATATGACCTGAGGATTGATCAAAAGAGTATGTTTTTTTTCCTTCCTCCTCTGAGTTAATATGATATATAAATTAAAATATGCACAGGGCGGTTGCGTCTATAAGGCGCCTTACCAGAGTTCACATAACCCAGATGTTCAATGGACCTGTGCTACATTTCTGGCTTCCCTGTGCACAGAAAGCCAACCAGACAGCCAGGACCAATCTCAGAAGCATTTCCAGTGTTTATAACTGTGGAAAGCCAGCTTCTAAATTAAGACTCAATTTAACTTTTCCAAAAGTCTGCATGATCGTGAATCTTAAATTGTTAAGATCATGGACGCTCTTAAGGCTAAGACCAGAGATATTTTGTGGCTGAGAAGTTCTGCATGTTATTTACAATTAATTATCCCCTGATTCTGCTATACACCATGGAGTGTAGAGATTCTTTCCTCCCTCATCTAGATGTTGGTTTCCTTTGAAAGAATGGGTGTCTACCTCCCTCAGGGTATCTTGGAGGGCCAATGCACTGTGCGATCATGATGCTAACCACCAAGAAAATCCCAGTTTCAATCTTAGGGTTAGGTACCAGAGGGCAGTCAGCATTGTTAGGAACTATCCTAAGGGTACATCACCTTTTGGAATGGGGGGAAACCATTGAAGGAAAAAAAGGAAAAAGGCTGTGTTCCTCACTAACTGAGTCTTGGGTTTTCTGGATGTGTAAAAAGGTTTTGGTCTTGTTAATTTAAATTTTGAATTCTCATTGTGTGCATGAGTGAGAGAGACTCAGGAAAGGCAGAGCGTTGTGATGTATTGATGATCGAATGTTACGTTCCATTGGTTTGGAGGCGAAAGTAAGCCATTGACCTGACTCGTCTCCTGCTCGTTCCACTAGACTTTGATTTAATGATGATGGGGGTAGGGAGGGTTATTGCTTGACTTGTTTTGAGTTGTTAGAGTATCTCAGCTCTTTTGGGATCCAGTCAGACAGACACATTATTGTCACAATAAGAATCCTTGCATTTGATACAGCCCCTGTATATTGCAAAAAAATTCAAGTCTTAATGATCATCAACAACAACAACAACTTGTACTTATATAGCGCCCTCCAAGGTAATGTCTTAACAGTGGCGGAGCCTGACTCCGACCCGGGTGGTGGAGTGGGGAGTGAGGAGGTCAGAGAGGTAGGGAGGTGCTAGAGAGTGAAGGGATTTGAACACAAGTGTGAGGAACAAGTGTATTGACCATGTTTGCAGAGTTGGGTTGAGTGGCTATGCAGAGCCCAAGGGTGGCTGTAGACTAACTGACCTTTCTGTTTTGTCCTGATCAGTTTACGGAGAGCTATGGAAGACAGGAATGTTTGAGCGGATGAATATTCAGATAGATGAAGATGAGCACAGTATTGAAATGCATCTGCCTTACACAGCTAAAGTCATGGAGAGGTAAGTTTACGTGCTTCTACACTGGTAAGAGTGCAAGTTGTTGAAAGTCTAGGGAGAGTTGAAAGTTTCCCCCCTCTTCTCTGTTGGGATGAACGATGGATTGACAAAGAAAATCTTTTTCTCTCTTGGAACTATTGCTTTTCATGTGGCAAGTAGCCTTTTCCAATGCACCAGTGCACTGGAAAAGGCTATTTAAGAAAGCGATGGCAGATTTGGACTTTGTTTTTTACTTTTCTTTTCTCACCATGAGAGCTCCAAAGTATCGAGTATTCGGTTAGCACTGACAGCCCATCTATAGAATGGAACCAAATATGTTATAAGTGAACGAAAAGAAAGAACTTCTTTAGAGACTTATCATGTTAAAATGCCTCAAAATGCTTTGCAATAACTACTGTCAAGTGTAGTGACTTTTTGTAGGCAAACGTAGCAGCCATTTTATGTACAGCAGGGTTCTAAGTTAGTCATTCACTAAGTGTAGTGAATGACTAACTTAGGGACACCAGGTGAAACTCCCGTCTCTTTTCAATTAACAACATAAGATCTTCAGTGTCCACCTCAAGTAACAGATGGGTCTTCAGTTTAACATCTCAACTGTCGGATGACATTTCTGGCAATGTAGTGTTGCCAAGCATTGCAATGGAGTGTCAGCCTGGTGAGGTTTAATGAGGGACTTTGACCCCAACATACACCTCCTGACCCAGTAAGAACGTTACCAACTGAGCCAAGCTGATACCTAAACTCAGTGGAACTCAATGAGTCTAAGTGCATTGACCTTTTAGGCTTTTGACTGTGACTTGCTGAATCAGACCAAACGATGCTTAGCGTGATTACTTGTGGATAAAGCACATTGTGCTGAAAGGGCAGGATCACCTCTGCAGTGCATTGTCCAGGATTTATTTTTACACCGTTTATTTACACTGCAGCACACACTGATCACTAAAAACTGTCCTGCAGTACCATTCCCACAGTTTGAGAATCAGCGGTGATTATAAACTAGGAATGTTTCCTAAAATGATTATAATAAATACTACTTGTTTGCTCGTAACTAATAGCGAGTTGAACGAGTTGTCAACTTATGAACAGGCTTCCTCGGGAGACAGTGGAAGCAGAAAGTCTTGTTTGTTTCAAAAACAAATGAGATAGATTTCTGCTAGAAAATAATATCTTGGGATACAGTATATAGTTTGGGACACGACATGTCAGGATTGTGGAAGGGAACTCAATGGTCCTTGGTCTTCTTTCACCTAGCAAATTCTTATATTATATTTTAATATTGCCATTAGGTTGTTGCCTTCTGAATCTAGTGTGTGCAGCGGGAAAAACTAGGAAGGTCGGAAATTTCCATGACTGTTTCAGTTGTATTGAGATGCACAGATATGTGTTTTAGGATGAATATTTGTGTCCTTCGTAACAGATCAAAAATCTTCTGCTACTGCTAAGACTATTTAATTTTTATCCCCCTCTAATTTTGCTCCCTTTTCCTCTTCTAAAGCCACTAATTTGTATGGAGATGGCAATGCTTCCCGTGGCCATGTGTTCCCACTGCGCTTGGGACAAAGAGCGTCAGCAGTCCTTTTGACTGATTGAACTTCACAGCTGATTCTGTCCTCTCTTGATTTCACTTTCAGTAACGTAGTGATCATGAGTCGGAACATTGACTTGAGTTTTTTGACCACTATGAATTGACTCAAGTGACCTGGGAATACAGAGGCTAATGGTAGCACCATCCGGCCCAGCAATCTGACTGATGGCTTCCAGTAGTTTGCATCTGTTGAATTGTAACATACTTGTCGTCAATTGAGAGGGAGAGGGATGAGAAAAAAAAATGGGAAGGGTGTGTGTGAGAGAAAGAGAGGTGTAAGAAAATAAACCACCCAAGGGCACACGTTTGTGATTGCTATCTCGTAACGCTACCTTCCCTGGCGAATGGTACCTGCTGGGAAATCCTAACTTATACGCATTTAACTTGCAAGCTGAGATATCCCAACACCAAAAGAGAAAAGGGCCATTCTTTTGAGATTAACCTCTTCCTTCTGTTTTATCAGCCAGAAAGATGATTTTACTATCGTTCCTGTTTTGGTTGGAGCACTGAGTGATTCCAAAGAGCAGGATTATGGGAAACTCTTCAGCAAATATCTAGCCGATCCTTCTAATCTCTTTGTGATTTCTTCAGACTTCTGTCACTGGGGTATGTATTAGTCCAAGGTTCACATTTTGTGCAACACCCCGAGTGTGATTACTAGTGAGCACCCCGAGTGTGATTACTAGTGAGCACCCCGAGTGTGATTACTAGTGAGCACCCCGAGTGTGATTACTAGTGAGCACCCCGAGTGTGATTACTAGTGAGCACCCCGAGTGTGATCACTAGTGAGCACCCCGAGTGTGATCACTAGTGAGCACCCCGAGTGTGATCACTAGTGAGCACCCCGAGTGTGATCACTAGTGAGCACCCCGAGTGTGATCACTAGTGAGCACCCCGAGTGTGATTACTAGTGAGCACCCCGAGTGTGATCACTAGTGAGCACCCCGAGTGTGATCACTAGTGAGCACCCCGAGTGTGATCACTAGTGAGCACCCCGAGTGTGATTACTAGGGAGCACCCCGAGTGTGATTACTAGTGAGCACCCCGAGTGTGATCACTAGTGAGCACCCCGAGTGTGATCACTAGTGAGCACCCCGAGTGTGATCACTAGGGAGCACCCCGAGTGTGATTACTAGGGAGCACCCCGAGTGTGATTACTAGTGAGTATTCTGTCAAGTGTGAGAGAGCACTGCTGAACATAATACAGGCAAAGATCCTTTTTTTAAAACCTAATTCAGTGCTATTTTTGCCCATAATATATTTAAGGTTGCTGTTTTTCATTTATACTTTTTAATATTTAATGGATTTTTTTTACTTTTTATGCTATTCAATGGTTTTTTAAATTTTTTTTTAGCAATCTTGACTATAAAAATAGATGACTTCCAGGTCATAAACTGCCAAAGCTGTTAAAGATTCCTGTGCCCAGTGCTTGTATTTTATGCACAGGCATAGCTATAAACCTAATTTCCTGCCTGTCATTGTGAAAAAACTGATGATCTTGATGACTTTAAGGCTCGGAAGCAGCCATTTTTGTAGCTCAAAACTATTTTTAAAAAGTTTTGAAAATGATGCAATTTACATTTATATAGTGCCTTTCATGTTGGGAAGTCCTTGATAATGCTGGCTCCACGCCCGAGCTGAAGGCCAAGCGGGTTAGGAGAGGAAAGATGATCGTTTAACAATAGGAATTAATTTATAATAATAATAATTTGTCTGTTGGAGAAAATTGGAAAACCGAACGAATGCTGATTTTTACAGCTTTGAAAACAAAAATGAGCAAACCTAAATACATTTTATCCTGAGTGATATTGTGTTATTCCTCCCTTCATTCTTATATAACATACACCAAAGGATTGGATCCATTGGGTATGGACTGTTGGGAATTTCATGGTGACACAGTTTACTGCCCTCACTTTTAATTTCCTTCCAATATCCCCAAACATGGACTAAGTTAGGTACTTCCTATTTTTCTTCCACAATCTTTTCATTGTTTTTGTGGTGATTTCTTCCTAACCTTCTTCCTTTAGCCCCTCAGCTGACCAATACAATTGTACAAACACTTGCACAGCCCTGACATCAACAAGAACTTGCATTATATAGCGCCCTTCCCACTAGCAGCATTTTGGAGCACTTAATAGTGGCAAAGCTTAATATCATCTGAAGCAGAGATTTTTTTGGTGCATTTACTATTTAGTCCATTCTCACACATGAACAAATTTTGTGAATTTGAAAGGGATATTAATTCAAAGGATTATTTATTCACAAACTTAGAAAAGTGGGAGAACAAAAGTAGTTTGCAGCCTGAGAAGCAATGTGTATGTCTATGTGTATGTAGAATTGGATGTGCTTTGCATTCTCTTAACATTCTGTTCACTTTAGTAATGTGTAATGCTTGATCTCTTGCAGGACAACGCTTTCGTTACACTTATTATGATGAATCTCAAGGCGAGATCTATAGATCTATTGAGCACCTTGATAAGATGGTAAGGAAAAGAGGCTTATTTTATGAGGAGGGAGGAGACAGAGAGAGAGGTTCTCACTGTGCCTGTGTTGGCCCACAGCGAGAATTTCCAGGGGAAATTCCACGTGTAGGTTGGCATTTATATGTGGAACACTGTTTTTGATACTTGAACATGGTGGTGGGTTTCCATTCTTGGAACGAGTCGGATACCTGGCTGACCAAGTATAACATTTCACATATTCACATACTGCTCGGCTCCAGACTAGCAGGACAGCCAGGGCTCCATTAACTTTCAATTGTATTGTTTTTTTCCTTAAGAATATAAAAACTTTCAAAAGGTTCAGTTGCTGAATTGCCATGAGCAGTTCAGTTGCTTCAAATTGACTCTAGGCCAGGACATCTGTCTTTGTTTTGAATACTGAAATTCTGTGCTGACCCTGAACAGGACGTGTTTTAAAGGTGTAATAAATGAACCCCATGGTGCTAATTGATGCTAATTGCACAGAATACACAGTGTTAAACAAAGCAACAAGGTTTGAAGATTTCTTTGCCGTCTTGACTTTTGCTCACTTATTTTGTTTCTCCTTTACTCAACAGGGTATGGATATTATAGAGCAACTAGATCCTTTTTCATTTAGCAATTATTTGAAGAAATACCACAATACTATTTGTGGTCGACATCCTATCGGAGTCTTGCTTAATGTAAGTTGGAAATACAAAGTTGTGCCATTTTGAGCCATGCTATTTTAAAAAAAGTAATCTAGTTAATTGCTGCTAAAGGATACTATTAAGAAGAAATTGTGGCCAGGGTTCATTATTGAGATTTGTATTGTTCATTGCAGTGTCCAAAATTAATGAATTTCCTCATAAATTACAAGCTGTGCAATTACAGAAACTAGAATATTAAAGCTGTCAATCCTTTTTTCCCCAGAGAAAAAATTACAGTGGTTTGAGAGAGGAAACATCATATTCCTTGTATAATTTGTTGGGTTAGTTGAAATAGTCCAGTTACTGGTGGTTTTTGTGTGTTTCCACTGCTGTCTTAGTCTTCTGCATCAGTTATTTTAATCATAATAATAATAATCCTTACATTTGGTATAGCATTTTTCATATCAACAACAACATTACATTTGCATAGTGGCTTTCACATTGGGAGGACGTCCCAAGGCAATAGACAATCAGTGTTTCAGACCCGAGCTGGGGTTCGGGATCAGGGAGGGTGGGAGGCGGAAGGGAAAGAGGGTGACTGAAGGCACGTTGAAGAGGAGGGTCTTAAGACAGGTCTTGAAGGAGGCAAAGGAGGGGTCGCGGCGGAGGGACTGCAGACTTGAGTTGCAGAGGGTGGGGGCAGAGTAGCAGAAGGCCTGCCCACCAGTGGTAGGGTGGGCGAGGCCTGGGACGTGAAGAAGACTAAGCGGAGGGACGGACAGGTTGGTAGGAGATTAGAAGGTCGTAAAGGAGGGCATTACAATGCACTTGACAGTAATTACTGTAAAACAGAGTGACTGAGTTTTGTGGCAAATACAGCAGCCAATTTGTGCACAGCATTACCCCAATTAAGTAAAAGTAATAATATTAATCCTTACATTTGGTATTATGCCTTTTATGTCAATAGGATCCCAAAGCTCTTCACAGGATATACTGGAAAGATATACTGTGACTTGTTTTTGGTACCCATGTGAAGGGTGCTGTATAAATGCAAGTTGTTAAGTAATGGGAACACAACACTTAAAAGTGTGATACAATGAAAGACTTGCCTATGGAGCCTGTACTGTTAACATGTTTTCTATTTTTCAGGGTGTTACAGAATTGAGGAAGAGTGGAATGAACATGGCTTTTTCATTCCTGAATTATGCCCAGTCGAGTCAATGCAAAAACTTGCAAGATAGCTCTGTGAGCTATGCAGCAGGCGCTTTAATGGTCCACTGAATGACACTTGCTCAGGAAGCCACTGCACCCTTGTCCCAGGACAGATCTCGAGTCCAGCCTTCCCTTCTCAAAAGATATACCTCCATTATTTGGAGCTGTCTAATGTTGAACTTTTGATCTTTCTTCCTCAAAGTGTAGTCCCTCAGTTTTGATTGACATGTGCTTTTTTTTCTGTAGGTGGAAGCGGAGAAATATGGACAAAGTGTAACTTAGCATAAGTTGGAGAATGCTGGCAATATTGCATTAAAATTGTGCTGTCTGCAGACTTGTAGACGGTACTTGCTTAAAGGTAGTTTCGCAAAGTGTGGAAGAGTGTCTTTATAATGATGGGGTCAAAGCTGCAATACTCGCAATATAGGTCTCCTTCCTATAACCGGAATCACCTTGTGCTTGTGCCCAATCGTGGGAACTCGGCCTTGGAAGTAATTGCATTGGATGGGAGTTCCTGCAGGTGACAGTGACTCACTTTGGTTTATGGGCTGTTGTGACTCAAGTTGTGATTATTGTGGTTTTGAGCCCATTATGTCAGTTGCATTTATAATCCTATGCCGTACTTACTCGGATATATTAACTGCAGTACAGACAGCTGCTGCCCACATTGTATAACAAGTATTTTTTTGTTTAGTTGCTAATAAAGGGCTACACACCAAAAATGTCTTACGGTTTAGATTTTCTGCTGTTCAACCTGTGATCTGAACTTGTCACTAATTGTGTTTTGTTACCTAACCTAAAAATGATCAATTAAAGTTCAATTCTTGCTTGGCTATTTTCCTTACTTATGACAATGAAACATTTCTTCTGCTATTTCAAATTATAGACATTGTAATAAAATAAATTTGGTGTTTAAATATTTCAGTGTAGCTGAAAGAACCCACAGTATGTGTCTGCACTGACCAATTTTGGTTAACCAGCACGGTGTTGAACTTTGCCTTGTGGGGATCTGTTATGAGGGCAATTATTCAGGGCTATATCCAGACAAAAATCCTAAACTCATTATAGATTGCCCAGAATACCGTTTATAATTCTGAAATGCACTGTCATACTGCAGCAACCATCATTATAACAACTTGCATTTATATAGGCCCCACACAGGGATTGTCTTGGGAGTGTTCATCAATGGCAGAGCCTGACACCAAATGGGAAGAAGGGAGGCAGTGACTAATTATGGAAGGTCTTTGGGTGTGATTTGAAAAAGGGAAAGAAAGGGAGCCAGGCAAAGGGAATGAGGGAGTTCCAAAAACTAGAGTTTCCAGGTGAATTGTGCCATTCAGCAGAGGGAACATGTTGTTTCCAGTAGCAATAGCTGCAGGTCCCTCAGGTTAGGAACTAGTTGAAATGTGGATATATTTTTTTAAAAATTCAAATAAAAGGTTGAATGCATGTTTGGGGCAAATTGATCTCCTGACAATACACGACTCTTGTTTTTGTTCTGTTCAATCCAGGTGTGAGGCTCCAGCATAATACCTATCTGAATTTGCACCTAAATTTATCTACTGAAGCTAACTAGTCTAATGCTAATTCCGTTCTTCCCCCATTTTTATTCAAATGTTTACCTAACAGCTGTGCGGAGCCAATCATGGTTTGGAAATGCATAATGGATCGAGAGATGGATCGAAGTGGTTGACAGAGTGGATTGAAATTCTCTTCACAACGGAGGAGCAATGCCTGAACCTCCAGATAAATAAATCTTTTTGAGATTGTGTTTTTTTTAGTTAAATTAGAATACTTTGTGATTTTCTTTTCTTGAAAGTCTAGACCAATAAAAAGGTGGCTTAAAAACACTAATAGTAGTGGGCCAGACATACTTAGCAGAGAAGGGCATGATTTGGTCTGCGTAACAGGCATCTGCCCTGGCCATGATAGGAGTTAGGTAGCAAGTCTTATGTGACTCCTAGTCTTGTCCAGCACTGAACCAGTAAGGGGTGAAAGCCACTTCAAGTCTTCCATTATGCAGAGTTCCTGATCTCAGTCACAGAGCTAGCAATTTTGCAAACTGTACAGAGGTGATGATTATCAATTTATACCTATGTTGCAGAGCAGTGCATATAATCTTCCTTCATTTACCTTATAATCATTCATTATTTTGAACATCTCTGATGGGAGCATTAATGCCCACATTATCTTACTTCATGAGTTTAATCTAAGTCACCTTTCTGAAAAACCTATGCACCCTGAACTGGTGGTGATTTGGTGAGATAAGTGTTCACAGGACACACAGAACCACTAACATGTTTATTAAAGATCAGAAACCATTTTGAGTTGTTTACAAAATGCAAAGAAATATATAATATTTAAAAAAATATATATATATCAGATTAAACCCAGCATCAGAAAATGTTACCTGCACATACAGGAATTTCTCTTTTCATGACTTAATTGAAAATAGACAATGAGGTTAACCGATATGGAGATGCTGCCTTCTATGCAGAATACAGCATTTTAGAAACACAAGTAAATATGCAGAAAATAAAGGCACTTCTAAGTATATTTTGGGCAAATGATACAGCCAGAATCAAAACTATAAAAACGCATACAGTATCATCTGATTCTGAGTTTCAGTTGCAATGACTAATATAAAAGGACACTGAACTGACTGTAGCTGAATTTAAAAATATATTTTGGCAATATCTGCTGGTTCCTGCCTATGAAGCCAAAGCCCATAGCTCAGTGAAACAGCTTTGCACTTGGGTTTGATGAGTTAACCAATGTAAAACAACATCAGTTAGGGTGTTGTCATTCTATTTAGCATGCATGGACTCAGAAAAGGGGTAAGGAATGAGGGAGAATTCTTACTATGGATTATCTTGATGAAAAATGCATCTGTGCATTTCATGATAAAGTCTCCCCCAGTCAAATCTCAAATGAAAACTAACTGTTTAGGGTTGGTCAAACATGAAGAATGCCTCATTGCTTGAAATTGCAGAGAATTCCTGGAACGGTACGCCAGAAGGGTGTGGGGGAAATAAACAAATAGTTTAGTGCAGAGAAACATTTTAGTGGCACACAACCAGCTCAGCTCAACAAAAGCAATATAAACTGCAGTGAAAGGAGCAGCTAAACAGGAAGAGCAGTCTCTGAACTCAGTCTGTATCATCTCATTACCAATATGGAGGGCACTAATGTCCTTAGTAAATATAAAGCACCGCTTTTATTCAATAGTAATATGGTTATCAATGCACTTGGAGGTGTAATACTTTTTCCCCACAAATATAGACCACACTTAAATCCCGTAAAGCATTTTTGAGCTGTTTTGACAATATGATATCAAATGCAAGGATTATTATAACTGGCTAACTTTATATTTGGTTCTGCCTGTAAACACATTTTGTTTATATAATCTTGCCAACTTTCTCTTCTCTCCTGCGGGGGTTTAGACCCTTTACCTTATATATGGAAGCACTTTTTGATGCCTTCCTCAAATGATGGCACCAATGAGATATTTAACCATAATATCCACTTCATGTTGATTTGAATATTTTCATAACGAATCTCAGTTGGCAAATTTTCCTCGAAAAAAACATCTAAATTGGTGCATCATTACAAAGTACTATTAACTGTATTAATAAATTAGCACGGTGAGAGGTACTCAGTTGGGAAATACACTGCTAATGTACAAATAAGACATGATGACCAGCAGAGTTTGAACTCTGAGTTAGCTGATTTCATCCACAGGCAGCAGTAGGGATCCATAGCGTATTAGTGGTTCCTGTGTCCACTGTTAAAGATGTCAGTGTTTCCTTATAAAGCCCACATTATCTAATTCAGTACAGTAGATTCTTTCCTTGTATACTGAAAGCTGGGATAAGAACTTGTTCTTCGCAGTTTATGCAGTGTACTTTTCCTCTCCTTGCCTTTTGGTTTTGTGATAACGTACATAGTTGCTATACAGCGCCTTGAAGACCTCCCTCACACCCATCTGCAGTGACATGTTAATAAAATGTATGTCATAATCTACACAAAGATCTAGAACTTCATAGAGTCCTTCTGTCAAGTGTCTTTTCACATCTGGATGCAGGGTGACCTGGAAGTATAAAAACATATAGTTGTAAAGAACTCTGACATTTATTTTATAAAACGAATACAAGAGAACTTTTGTAAAGCACTTTAAAATAATTGTATGAAGTACGTTCACGTTGTGTGGTTATGTGATATTGTCACATCTTGTCACCAATCACTTATTCCTTCTGCAGAACTGTGCAACATGGTCAATGAGTCAGATGATATAATTAATTGTATGTCCCAGTCAGCAAGTTATGTGTGTAATCCCAGTGTTCTGCTGTACATTCAACTAGTTCGATCAACTTCATTTACAGAACAGTCCTTTGCCATTGCCTGTGAAGGAAACATGCAGGTCTTGGTGTATTTAGACTGATCCAAAGTGTAACCTCTTAGCTTCCAGCTTCATAGTAATATGAAGAGAAAATCCAGGTTTACATTACCAGCTCCATGTCACTTTTAATCAGGTTGAAAATAGTATTACAAGTATCATTCTCTTCACTTTAATGTTCACTTCTGTGTTTTACTTCAAATTCCGAACAACAGTGTTTCTGTCATTGACTCTGTACTTGCAATGGAAACTACCTAACAGTGGGTTAAAATAAGTGAGATGAATTTGAACAGACTGGCGCCAAAACTTAGGATTGTACTCTTTGAAATGACAACTAGGTGGAGCTTTTTTCCTACCAATTTTTCACATTGAATTTTCTCCCCCTCTTTTCCTAAAGGCATTTTAGCACCTTTTTCTTCTACTGAGATAAGACTCCACTATAAAAGGACCTTCATCTAAGTGGCTTGTATTCATGACTGAGCCTTGGCAGACGATTTCACTGCGGGTAATCACAGCCTAGCTGAATCCTGTCGTCATGCCGCATCCACACACGTGTACCTCCAGCAAATGTCACTGGTTAGTGATTAGGAATGCATCGCACTCCCCCCAAATTGTACAATTTTCCAAAAATAGCATGCTAACCACCCCCGAGACATGATCAGATACTCACACAGATCAAGGATTCGAGCCTTCAACCTCCCTACCTGTAACTCAGGAAACCAACTGGGACCCCTTCACACTGATTTATGACATTTATGTGGTTCTCCCCCAGCAAGGAACCACAGAGATTTACATCACAAGAGGTGGCCATCATGCCTGTCCTGGTTGTCTGAAAGATCTCACCTTTGCCCGTCTGACCTGCTCGTACTCCACTCCACTATCCACCCACTTCGCTCAGCGGACACAGGCCTGCTACGTGTTCCCCCAACCCCTCTCTGCTACAATCAGTGGCTCTGCTTTCAGTCACTACACCCCAAACCTCTGGAACTGAACTCCCTGACTCAATTCCTCTACCTCTCTCCTCTGTTTCTATCTTTAAATCCCTTAAGACTTACTTCTTTGATCAAGCCTATGGTGGCCTGCCCTTCCAGTGTCCAACCTCACCATTGTGCAGTATTCTGAGATGCCATTCTGCATGAAGGCACTATCTAAATGCAAGTTATATCCACTTAGTTCCATTCTCCTGCCTTTTCCCCCATACCTTATTATATTTCTCCTTTTCAGATACTTACCTAATTCCCTCTTGAACGCCTGTAGAGATTCTGCCTCAACTACAGTTCCAGGTTGTACATTCCATGTCCCATCAACATTCTGTGTGAAAAATAATTCTGCTACGCCTCCCTTTGCTCTTTGGGGAATTACTTTAAATCACTGCTCTCTAGTTACTGACTTACTGACTAGTACATATAATTTATCCTCGTTTAATTATCAAACCCTCTCATCATTTTTAAAAAAAGCTCTACCAGGTCACCCCTCAACCTTCTCTGTTCGAGGGAGAACAGCACCAGCAACATCTCCGAACTGCCTACTCCCCAAATCACTACCTTCTGCCTCCGCTCGCCTGATTCCAGCCTCCTGTTTGTTCCTCATGCCCTCAGTTCCAATATCAGTGGCTGCACTTTCAGCAACTACACCCAAAAACTCTGGAACACTCTTCCTCTAAACTTCCACATTGCCCCCTCCTTCTCCATCTTCTGGTTGCACCTGAAGACTTTTCTCTTCGACCATGTCTTTGGTCACTGTCCCCTTCCCCTCATCTCGGTGTCGTGCTCCACCACTCTCAAGTGCTCTGGGACGCTACCCTGCATCAAAGGTGCTATATAAATGAAGCTGTTGTTGTTAGTTTCTTCAGTGTCTGGCGACAGTGATTACCTTTTGTAGTTCATTGATGTACTGCGCCACGATGAAAGGAGAGAACTGGGTGAATTCTTTAGTCACTGAAGCAATGTGAGTGTACATTCTCCGCACTAAGAGTGCACATCGCAGGATAGCTTCATTTTCAGTTGAGCTTCCTGCAGCAACAATATTCAAAAAGCATTTATTAGAATACAGTTGCCATGCTTTTAGATTCTCAGCAGGCTACAACGATTGCAGATTCTAAGATGCGATAATTCTTGTGAATTATTTTCTGCATCTTTCCCCCCTCATTTTATGGCTCGGTTCAATTACACACACACACACACACACACACAGAGTGTCAACACTATAAAATAACATTTGTACAGTAAAATTCACATAAGTCTGATCTGTATAAATCATATAATCTGCCCAAATTCCATTGAATTTCATATTAAAACCCACTTAATTTTATCTGCACTAGTTGAATTAACAATCACGCAATTCGTAATGCTGCTACAGTACTTGCCACGACTGAAGTCACTGGCTGTCGGTCAAAACTTTGCTTCCCACACCTTCCTCCAATGGAACATCACACATACACACCCAGTAAGAGCCTGGACGATTTCTCCCTCCTTTGGTCTTAAATTGTAACTCTTAATACGCTAGAACTAGGTCATTTGAAACACCTTTACTCACATACCCACATGGGACACAAGTACTTACTTATTAACTGACCATCCGGGAGCCACTAAATTATTGGAAGTGTTCAAACCTGCTATTATTATTATAATTATTATTATCGCAGGCTTTCTCAAAGCATGCATCTAGGACCTTTTCAGAGAATGCTTAATATGTCAATAGAAAAAAATATATCTTTCTCTAGCACATACCTTTCTCTCGATCAGGTTTTTGACGACCCTCATGCATGATGGAAATGACTAATCGGTTAAAACAATTGAGGAAAGAGGGAGCTGCTTTTAGCATTACCTGTGTGTCAAAGTCAAATAAATCTCTGATCAGTAACAACATTTCCAACAATAACATGATATACAAAATCAGAGCAGATGAGTGTTTGACTCATGGGGAAACACATCACCATACTTAAAGAGTTAATATCTAAACCAGACAGTGTTCCACATATGCATGAAATTTCCCTGCATCTGGAATCAAATGTGTGCTCTCTCCCTGGAGAGTCATACCCTCCTTACCCAATTCCAGAGAGTATTTAGGCACAAGTCAAGGATTGGGAACCTTAGAGTGTGAGTTGTGGTACTGTTGAAGTTTAACCCACTAAAACCTCAAGTTTGCCATTGAAAGCACTTCCTGGCAAGCTTCCTGCTGCTTGTCCAGATAGGACCAACTTACCCATTAAGGCTTTGGCTTGCAGGTTAACAGGAGAGTGGGAAAAATCCCTGCTCCCAATCTGCCTCTCTAAGTCCTATGAGCCAGCCTGACTAGTCTGTCATCAGCAAATGCCATAGCATATTTTAGACCTACTCATCGCAGGATTACTGAGACCGCCACAGAGTCCTGATTTGATTCCAACATTCCATTGCCAAGCATGTCACCTTGGAGCCAACTGAGCTCCAAGGAGATAACATTTACTTGTCTCCAAGAAGAATAGTCAATTATCCAACATAAAGGCCAGTCGTTCAGTGAAACACACCTGGACAAGGGCAGTGCAGGTGTGGTCCTGCCCTCAGGTTGGTCTCTCTATCTCCTGAGCAAGGTGAATGTGCACATAATCCACCCTTCTGACCAAGGATCCCACTGTGATAGACCAAATGAGGGGAAGAACCATGGTCAAGGTTCTATAAAATAAACAGATACGGTTCTACACCAAGGTCACACAGCCTTGTTCTTACCTTAGGATGAAACTTTAAAACAGAAAACAGGACTTCATGTATTCCTTCAAAAACCTTTTCGTAATCCTCCAGTTTCAGACGTTCGAGCGGTACACATAACAGGGTGTTAAATGCAAGGTGGACGTGTTGTGGGTTTAGGAGTCTGCCCTCTCCCCGCCTCACCAGAATTGCCAACGTCTCCAATACAGGCAAAATAATTTTACAAGTCAATAAGGGTTCCTGGGCTGCCTCCTTGCTTAGAACCTAAGGAGCCAGAGGTAAAGAACAACAAATCTTTTTAGCACTGGGCACAGTGGGCAAAGTAGGTACACAAGTTTCTCTGCACAGTAAAAATATGCAGTTGGATGGAGAAATGGCTGGAAAATAGGATTAATAAAGGACAACTCAGAAAAATAGTAGCAGTAGCACAGAGATAAGGAACTGAATGGCCTCCTACAATGCTGACAATTTCTGTTTCTTAAATTAAGAATGTTGATTCTTGACAAGCTATTAACTCCGGTGAATGGATAACACTTCCCCCTTTTGTATTTTTAGACAAGCAGGGAATGTTTTTGCTCATGAAAGTCAGGGATATCTCCTCCCCCTCCCTCCCCACATACCATCTTGTCCATTCAGTGGGAATACATTGCGTGATTGGCAAATTGATTTGTAAACAGATGCGTGTGTCAGGTCTGTTTTAATCCTATCACCTTAATCTCTCAGGGAACAGAAAGGATTAGAAAGAACTAGCAACCCAAAGCATGTCACTCTAACCCACAGAAACTGAACACAACCTACTTCCAAAGCGGAGTTCCCACAAGTCAGAGGAATCAAACACAATTCTGCATATCAGGCCCAAATATTAAAAAAGGCAGTCACCGACTGCTTGAACCTTAAAGCAAATCCAACCTTCCAGACTCCCTGTTACTTACAAGCAGTGATGTGATGATCTGTGGAGCAACAAGCCAAAAAGCCTTTTGTGGGTCCTCGTCAAGGCGACATCTCAAGAAGAGCCTGGTCAGGGTCACGGCGGCCAGGACATCCTGTAGATCAGCAATGTTAGCAGATCGGATTGATAGCACATAGGTACACACAGAAAAATAGGTGAACGAGCGACAAAGTGGAAGCACCATAGGTATTTGGGCTCCATTCGCTTGAAGGGGTATGGGGATAGGGCAGAGCAGTGGGAGTGAAAGTACCACTTCCTCCAAGAGCCAGCGCAGACTTGTTGGGTCGAATGGCCTCCTTCTGTGCTGGAAACGTCTATAATTCTATCACTCACCGTGTGCTGACCTTTCCAAAGGTTAGCGACTTCAAATCCTTGTGTGATCACTCTTGCCATTACGTAGGAGCGCTCACCAGTGCACCTTTCTGCCAAATGCGTCAGGATCTCGATGAGCTGAGGTTCCAGTGACTGCACCCACTGAACTGTCATCCATGGAGCTGCCACACGGCACAAAATGGAGCAATTAAGTGACACTCGCAATATCATTTGGAGAGCAGGGTGCAAAAATACCGCGGGTAAAACCTGCAGACTGTTGGAATCACACAGCAGGCCCTACCAAGGCCTGAATGAGAGAGGTAGGCTAATGTTTTGGAGTGACCCTTCATCAGAACTCCCCATGGCCCGCAAACCTAGTGATGCGAAACATGCACCGTTTGTAAGCGAATCTCACCAGCTGGTGGCACAAGTTACAGGTGCACCTCCAGATCAGTCAATGCACCAGGCGTTAGCATAACCTTGAAATGCAGCACAACATCATACAATACAGCTCAACACAATGAGGGGATTTCAGAGGTATGGAACCCATTCACTGTCAGGAGCAAATAATAATAATAATAATAAATCAATATCAAATCAATAAGAGAAGGTCGCTTTGGTTCTGGATGGATTGATAACATCAGCAACAACAACTTGCACGCAGGGTAGCGTCTCAGAGCGCCTAACAGTGGCAGAGACTGACTCCTAGCCGGGGGGAGGTGGCCGTAAGCACGGTCGAAGAGGAAAGTTTTCAGGCGGGACTTGAAAGAGGGGAGAGGGGGGGCAAGACAGAGGGAATGAGGGAGTGTTCCAGAGTTTTGGGGTGTAGTGGCTGAAAGCACGACCGCCAATGGTGGAGTGGAGGATTCGAGGGACAAGCAGGAAGCGCTGGATAGTGGATTGTGGAGTGAGGAGGTCCGAGAGGTAGGGAGATGCCAGCAAGTGAATGGTTTTGAACACGATAACACCCCAATCAGATTTATATTGATTTCATTATCTCTACCTGCGCCCAAATCCAACAACAAACAACAAAATTATATTTATAGAGCGCCTTTCACGTCGGGAGGACGTCCCACATCCACAGTCAATTCATTTTACAGTATATTCTGTGAAGCACTTTGAGATGTCTCGAAGACACTGTAAGGCGCTATATCAAAGCCAAGGATTATTATTATTATTTTTGATTCCCACAGGAAAAGACTCGCTCGGTTACCTGCCAGCAGACTCTTCACAGCGCTGAGCACCGGGAGAACACCATTCTCGAAGCCGGCATCACTGCACAGCTCCAAGGCTGAAGAAAACACCCCCAAAAAGTCCAGCCTTTTCCTCAGACTTTCCAGGTCGTCCCCGCAAGAGAGGAGCTCCTCAAGGACTCTCGAGCACGTGCTCTGGTACAGTTGTGGGTATTGCAGCTCCACCTGATCTGGTGCCTTCACTTCCTCGCTGCCTGTCTTGTCTCCTTGCTCCAGGCTGCTGTCAGTCCTCAGGCACAGCTCCGCTTCCAGCAGGACAGTGACGGACAAAATGTAGAACGCTGGATCCAACCCACTGCTGGCGATGAGGTGAGCCTGAAGGACCGGAGCCATGAGTCCGGTGACTTGGCCGAGCAGGGCGAGGAGGGCTTTGCTTGCATACTGGTTCCTCTCCGACTGCTGTAAAGAAGTGATGAGGACTCGGGCCAGCACGGACAGAGCCAGCAGGAGGAGCTGCTCCGGCCCTGGCTTCCCGCTCTCTTTGGTTTCTTCACTGAAAACCGCCTTGAAGCTGGCGAGGAAATGGATAAACCGTTCCAAGTTCAGACACATGCTCTGCTTCCTGTCAATGATCACCTGAAGGAACCCAGCTAAGAACGTTTGGAAGGTGCCAAGAAACTCCAACCCAGCCGGAGTCTCTCGCTCAGCACCTAACTCCGCGCTGACTGAAAGCAAGGAGGCTACGATGGCTTCCAACAGGTCACTGGCGTGCAGCACTCTGAACACAGAGTTACAGTTTCTGCCTGTCTGCAGGACAGTCAGCAGGTAGTAGCACTTGTTCAGTAGCTGAAGGGGTCCGACAGCATGGCTCTGGTCAGAGCAGGGTCGGAGCCTGGTAGCCAGAGTGAACAGCAGAAGGAAACAGCGGATGTGATCGGCAGAGCGCAGGGCGTCCAGTTGCAGAGCTAAGAGCTGATCCAGCGCACACAGGAGCTCCTGCCGCTGCTGCTCTGACAGCGCGAGAGGGGAGGAGGATTTTGCTTGCGACAGGATGCTCTCAGCGAGAGCTTCGACCAGTTTCTGAGGAGAATTGGCGTCTTCCTGTGGCTCCTGCAATTGGGTCTTCGGAACCCTGTCCTTCCGGCTCCTGACAAAGAAGTCCTCGTGCCAGGGAATATTGGGGTCTGCTAGGCCCCGCAGGAGCTGTGCGGCCGCAATGTTCCCTGAACTGGCCACCAGCTCCCCGATTCTCTCAGTCAGACCGGAAATGAAAGCGGAATGCAGTGCTGGCATTTCAGGGAGAAGAGGGCTGCGGAGCAAACTGTCGGAGATGGCGGGAACGGTCAGCGAGTCCCGACCTGACCCTAGGAGATCTTCCCGCAGCAGGCTGCCCAGAACCACATCCGCTATGTGCCTCGTGTCCTCTTGAGAGAGGTAGGGAAAGAGAAGGAAGAGGTTGGAGGTGACCAGGTACCAGTGTGCGACCTCGCGGGTCTCCTCACTCAGTGTGCTCAGCTCCCCGTCCCACACTTGTGCACGGCCGCTCGGACTGGTGCTTTTCCCTGACAGCACAACGAAAGCCGCTGCCGATCTCAAGGAAGTGTTGTCCTCCTCGCTCCGCTCACCGCGCTGCATGATAATCTTTTTCATTTTCTGAAGGGAAAGCAACTCCAGGAAGTGCTGGTTTAGTCGGCTGTTCTTCCTGGAGACCTGGACAATCCGCAACCAAGCGTTGGAGTCTAATTCAGCCAGCAGACAATGAAAATCCCCCTCCTTCATCGCCTGGCCCTCTGCCAGTTTACCGGCCTGGCTTTCTGGAGAGACGTAGGAGGGGCAGTTCAGCTGGAGCATGGTGTTAACCTCCACCCAGGTGTAGGCGAGGAGCAGGCCGGCACCGCTCACACTGGCAGCCCAGGGAGATGAGCTTTCACCATGATCTTTAACCATGTTCAGGAGCGGCAGCACTACTGTTTGGGGCATCTCCTGCATTAACTGCTCTGTGCGCCGCCTGATCGGGACTGGCGTTTTGCTGTCGAGGCTCCTCATGTTGAAGAGAATGGAGTGCAGCAGGACACTCACCGCAAACATCTTCTCTGCCAAGTCAAAGTTCCCTTCCAGGTCTGGAATCAAGTGATCATGGCACTTCTTCAGGATCATGTCCCAAATGTCCAGGACCTGACTGGGTGGCAGGTCAGCTAAGCACTCCCTCAGCTTGGTGGTTAGCACGGTGGAGAGGACAGGCTGCCTCAGCTCAGTGACAGGCCGGCAGATCGCGTCCAGCACTTCATGGAAGAGCCGGGGCAGCTGCCGGAGCTTGGCGTAGGTCTGCAGCAAGGTGCCCAGCAGCATGTCCTGAGCCTTCCGCTTCTGTGGATCAGTTATGTTAGTGTTGATCCACGCCAACGACACCAAGTCCCCTAGCCTGGGCTCCACGATCAAATGGTTCAACAAGACCAAGGTCTTCAGACACCTGAACCAGGCTGGGATGGTCGGCTGGGGTTCACTTAGCAATGTCTCGGCTACCCTGCTGTAGAAGGCAAACTGCACCTCATGGTTCTGGATTTTATCCACTGCAATGTTGTAGATGTCATTGGCAAATGCAGAGGTCAGCAGCTGATCCAATGCCAGCAATGCCGAGGCCGGGGTCACGGGCAGGAGATTCTCACCCGCTGCAGGGCTTACGTGTGGCAGTGCGAAGGAGTGGAATAAGCGAGCGAGCATGTGGAAGCAAAGCAGTCGATTTTCATCTTTGCAGTAGGATTCGAGAAAGAGTTTGTAAAGCAGAGGCACTGAGCTGCCCACCACAGCGATGTGGGAATCGGGCCTGAAGAACTCAGAGTCTCCCAATCTATCCAGCATCTCCTTGACGGGCAACAGCCATAACTTAACAGCGTTTTTCTTTTTCCCATCCGCACCGTCCCTTTGGAGGAGCTCCTCTGGGTAGGAGTTCAGGTGATCCTGGTGGAAAAGCCCAGCCAGAAGAAACTCCTCTATCTTGTTTCTGATATCTTTGCTCAGGCGATGCCGTGCTGCCCCATCCTCTTCACCTGCCCAGGATTTGACCGTCAGCAGGTGCCTCAGTAAAAGGCACGGCTGCAGCAGGTGGGCCGAGACCTGGGTGAATACCCTGGTTTGATTATGCTGTTGCCTCTGGACCACAAGATAGTGATGTATTGTCAGCAGCAGGACATTAAGGAGCTGTGTTGAGCACAGTGCGTTTGAAGACTTCAGTCTGGAGCAGACCAGTAAGGAGAGTTTTCCCAGTAAATCCACTAGTTGTTCCCACTTGGTGGTGTAAATGATGCAAAGGGCTGGAGAGGAGAGGATGCTTTGGCAGCAGCTCAGCACCCTCGCCAGATATGCTGCACATTCACCCGGTGGCTCTTCAGAGGAACACTCAGATATAATGTCATTGATCGTCTGGAACAAAAATATTTTTATCAGGTGTTATCACTACGAGGTGTTAAAGGTATGATCACCAGTGAACTCACAAACACGCTCACTACTAAATGCCACATGTTGTTGATCCAAATCACACTTTTTAAATGCATAAATTCTGGAAATTTAATGTTTCATTTCCAATTATTTCATCGAAATATGTCACAGGTGTTTTATCCAAATCAAATTTTTTAAGTTTATTTAATAAAAATTTAAGGATTCCAACGATTTGTCTAATTTTCTCCCTACTCGCACACTACTTTCTGCTCCTGCTCTGGCCTCCTCTTGTTGGTCTATGGTTTAACAGACAGTGGTTGCTCTCTGGTCCCCTGCCCAAATGGCCATTGTTGATGTGCGTGCCTTGGCATCGAGTGTCGGCCACTTGACTATAAAAGGTGTCAGTCACAACCAAACCTAATCTCTCCCCACCCGGCTACCACACGCACACACACAAACAAACAAATCAGTGGAGGGTGCTGTCAAGGGACAGTAGCAAGAATCCTGGCTGGTATTCCCCTCCTTAACCTGGGAAGGTCAGGGCCAACTTATCTTCCCCGTGTAACCCAAACTGAAACTAACAAAGTCAGCATGGACTGGGATTTGAACTAGTGAGCTCCTGGTTTGTAAACTACAGCTCTATCCACTAAACCATCAGAGCTGCTCCCCTCCTCAAAATCATATTTAAAAAGCTACTGGTGACACACTTCTACCACTCTGAGGTACCCACAACAAAATATACTTGTTTCACCTGAGCAACTGTAAAGCGGAGGTTAACAACCCTCCCCTCCTTGATCAGCTTTTGGAGCTTAACGCTGTGAAGAATATCATCCAAGTAAGTCCACAGTCCGGCCACAATCTCATCACCGAACACCAACTTCTTGCTGTGATATCCAGTCAACGTGTGGCTCACCCAGTCCAGTAAAACCTCACATTGGAGAGAAACAAAAGGTCAATTAGTCAATCAGCAACAACACTACAACCCACGCTCTCTGGTTTCTGCTGTGCAGTATACTGAAATCAAAATTTGTCCCAACAGACTTTTTGCCTTACACCACCAAGATCTCCCCAAATTAATACTGGACAAACAGATTGCATTGGCCCAGCGGGGCTGGTTTCATTTCCCAACAAAAGCCGCCTCTGTTAGTTTCACGAGAAGTGAGATATCATCCTGCAAGATTATTGATCTCTACTCTTGCACATCTCTCCACAGCTAGAAGTGGATACCTGCCTGGCCTCTTAGCTAGGGAGTAGTCTGTGGTTGATCCCGAGACAGGTATACAGGCAGGGGATGAAATAGTGCAGGTCCTGAACAAGTCTCCAAAAGAGGAGTGAAATCAATGATCTAAACAGCCTTCTCTTCGTTAAACTTTTCCTGCAACATACTTGATCCTCAGATACTAAATAGCCCAGGCAAAGGCCATTAGAAAGATCTCAGCTTTAGCTTTTCTCTCTCTCCGACCCTTCTCTTTTCAAGGTGACAGACTGCTTTTCCTTCTACTGAGGTATGGTTTCACACCAGTACCATTCGCGTAGAGCTCTAAAGCAGGAACATTGGAAGATTTTTCCCAAGAGCACTGAGGCCAATTGTAGCGCCTCAGCTGCTGCCCTAACTGAGATCGGCTCGCTCAGCACAGCCAGAACTCAAACCTGCAAACTAGATGTCTTGTTACCGCACCAAAGATAAGTAATCGCTGAAGAACTAAAATCCATACCTGTTCTTTGTTGGGTATAAAGCACTGTTGTGAAATCCAGGCAAATCGAGCCAGCTTGAGTTTGTCTTGCCATGGGGTTTTGGGACTTTTTAGCTTTAGATGAATTCCAGAGTAAGCAACAGCCATGGTCGATCAACTCTGAAAGGAGAGAACAACAGTGAGTTACCGCTGTTATAAATAAGAGTCCAGCTATTTATTTGTAACTAACAAGGTTTGAAAGGGAAGATCACCACACATTATTGATGTTATGTTGCTCCAGTGTGTTTTTTCCTTTACTTAATAACTTGTTTAATAATTTATCCTTCATTGTTTATAAAACATTTTAGGTCTCTGCTACATTTTACACAGTATGTTGCAATAATAGATACCATTAGGAACCAGTAAATCTATGGAGAAAGCATTGGAGAAAAAAAAACACCCCTCCTGTCCCATTTCTCTCCCCCTCTGACCCAATTGTCTCCTCCTTCTGCCCGTCTCTCACCCTCCTAACCCCTTTCCCCCTTCTGCCGCTCCTCCTGTACCTTTCTCTCTGGCTCTGGCTGTACCTCTCTCTCTGGCTCTGGCTGTACCTCTCTCTTTGGCTCTGGCTGTACCTCTCTCTCTGGCTCTGGCTGCTCCTCTCTCTCTGGCTCTGGCTGCTCCTCTCTCTCTGGCTCTGGCTGCTCCCCTCTCTCTCTCTGGCTCTGGCTGTGGCTGCTCCTCTCTCTCTGGCTGCTCCCCTCGCTCTGGCTCTGGCTGTGGCTGCTCCTCTCTCTCTCTCTGGCTCTGGCTGTACCTCTCTCTCTGGCTGTGGCTTCTCCTCTCTCTCTGGCTCTCGCTGCTCCCCTCTCTCTGGCTCTGGCTGTGGCTGTACCTCTCTCTCTGGCTCTGGCTGTACCTCTCTCTCTGGCTCTGGCTGTACCTCTCTCTCTGGCTCTGGCTGCTCCTCTCTCTCTGGCTCTGGCTGCTCCTCTCTCTCTGGCTCTGGCTGCTCCCCTCTCTCTCTCTGGCTCTGGCTGTACCTCTCTCTCTGGCTGTGGCTTCTCCTCTCTCTCTGGCTCTGGCTGTGGCTGTACCTCTCTCTCTAGCTCTGGCTGTGGCTGTACCTCTCTCTCTGGCTCTGGCTGTGGCTGTGCCTCTCTCTCTGGCTCTGGCTGTACCTCTCTCTCTGGCTCTGGCTGTGGCTGTACCTCTCTCTCTGGCTCTGGCTGTGGCTGCTCCTCTCTCTCTGGCTGTACCTCTCTCTCTGGCTCTGGCTGTGGCTGTACCTCTCTCTCTGGCTGTGGCTGCTCCCCTCTCTCTGGCTGTGTCTGCTCCCCTCTCTCTCTCTCTGGCTCTGGCTGTATCTCTCTCTCTGGCTGTGGCTGTACCTCTCTCTCTGGCTCTGGCTGTACCTCTCTCTCTGGCTCTGGCTCTCGCTGCTCGCCTCTCTCTGGCTCTGGCTGTACCTCTCTAACTCTGGCTCTGGCTGCTCCCCTCTCTCTCTAGCTGTGGCTGTACCTCTCTCTCTGGCTCTGGCTGTGGCTGTACCTCTCTCTCTGGCTCTGGCTGTGGCTGTACCTCTCTCTCTCTGGCTCTGGCTGTGGCTGTACCTCTCTCTCTGGCTGTGGCTGTGGCTGCTCCTCTCTCTCTGGCTCTGGCTGCTCCCCTCTCTCTGGCTCTGGCTCTGACTGTGCCTCTCTCTCTGGCTCTGGCTCTGGCTGCTCGCCTCTCTCTGGCTCTGGCTGTGGCTGTACCTCTCTCTCTCTGGATGTGGCTGTGCCCCTCTCTCTGTGGCTGTGGCTGTGCCCCTCTCTCTGGCTCTGGCTGTACACCTCTCTCTGGCTGTGGCTGCACCCCTCTCTCTGGCTCTGGCTGTACCTCTCTCTCTGGCTCTGGCTGTGGCTGCTCCCCTCTCTCTGGCTCTGGCTCTGACTGTGCCTCTCTCTCTGGCTCTGGCTCTGGCTGCTCGCCTCTCTCTGGCTCTGGCTGTACCTCTCTCTCTCTGGCTCTGGCTGTGCCCCTCTCTCTGTGGCTGTGGCTGTGCCCCTCTCTCTGGCTCTGGCTGTACCCCTCTCTCTGGCTCTGGCTGCACCCCTCTCTCTGGCTCTGGCTGCACCCCTCTCTCTGGCTCTGGCTGTACCTCTCTCTCTGGCTCTGGCTGCTCCCCTCTCGCTGGCTGTGTCTGCTCCCCTCTCTCTCTCTCTGGCTCTGGCTGTGGCTGTACCTCTCTCTCTGGCTCTGGCTGCTCGCCTCTCTCTGGCTCTGGCTGCTCCCCTCTCGCTGGCTGTGTCTGCTCCCCTCTCTCTCTCTCTGGCTCTGGCTGTGGCTGTACCTCTCTCTCTGGCTCTGGCTGTGGCTGTACCTCTCTCTCTGGCTCTGGCTGCTCGCCTCTCTCTGGCTCTGGCTGTACCTCTCTAACTGGCTCTGGCTGCTCCTCTCTCTCTCTCTCTCTCTGGCTCTGGCTGTGGCTGTACCTCTCTAACTCTGGCTCTGGCTGCTCCTCTCTCTCCCTCTCTCTCTGGCTCTGGCTGCTCCTGTCTCTCTGGCTCTGGCTGCTCCTCTCTAACTGGCTCTGGCTGCTCCTCTCTCTCTCTCTCTCTCTCTGGCTCTGGCTCTGGCTGTACCTCTCTAACTCTGGCTCTGGCTGCTCCTCTCTCTCCCTCTCTCTCTGGCTCTGGCTGCTCCTGTCTCTCTGGCTCTGGCTGTGGCTGTACCTCTCTAACTCTGGCTCTGGCTGCTCCTCTCTCTCCCTCTCTCTCTGGCTCTGGCTGCTCCTGTCCCTCTGGCTCTGGCTGTGGCTGTACCTCTCTAACTCTGGCTCTGGCTGCTCGCCTCTCTCTGGCTCTGGCTGTACCTCTCTAACTGGCTCTGGCTGCTCCTCTCTCTCTCTCTCTCTATGGCTCTGGCTGTGGCTGTACCTCTCTAACTCTGGCTTTGGCTGCTCCTCTCTCTCCCTCTCTCTCTGGCTCTGGCTGCTCCTGTCTCTCTGGCTCTGGCTGTACCTCTCTCTCTCTGTGGCTGTGGCTGTACCTCTCTCTGTGGCTGTGTCCCTCTCTGTGGCTGTGCCCCTCTCTCTGTAGCTGTGGCTGTGGCCCTCTCTCTGTAGCTGTGGCTGTGGCCCTCTCTCTGTGGCTGTGGCTGTACCTCTCTCTGTGGCTGTGGCCCTCTCTCTGTAGCTGTGGCTGTGGCCCTCTCTCTGTAGCTGTGGCTGTGGCCCTCTCTCTGTGGCTGTGCCCCTCTCTCTGTGGCTGTGGCCCTCTCTCTGTGGCTGTGGCTGAAGCACGTGGGCTCCTCCCCGGTGACCTGTGACCCAGGCCCCGCGGAGTGGAGGCGCCAAAGCGTGAGAGCGAGAGGCCGAGCCGACCCGAGCCGAGTGGCGCCGGGCCCGGGCCCCCCCCACCGCCCGCCCACCCCCCCAGCCCGGCCCAGCCCCCCCAGCCCGGCCCAGCCCAGCCCAACCCCCCCGCCCGGCCCAGCCCAGCCCAGCCCAGCCCGGCCCGGCCCAGCCCGGGCCCCCGCACCGCCTTCTCCCCCTTGTGACCTCGGCCGCCATGCAGTAAGTATCCGAGCGGCTGCTCCGGGCGCTGTTGGGGAACTCTGCGCCGAGGCTTCAGGCCGGGCCTAGTCGCTCTCCCCCCCCCTCCCCCCCCTCCCGGGCCAGAGATTGGGACACGCACCCGAGTCGGGACACCCCCGAGAGGAGCGGCGGGTAAGACCTGTTGGTGTGTACAGAGGAGCCGCAGGGACTGGCCCGGCTCCCGCACTCCCCGGTCAAACCGCCTCTCACCCGCTGCTAATGCAACCGGTGTGTCAGCCTGGCCGGGGGCCGGGGGCCAGGGGGCCAGGGGGCCAGGGGCCTGGGGGCCAGGGGGCCAGGGCATCAGGGCACCGGGGGATCAGGGGACCAGGGACCAGGGCATCAGGGGACCAGGGCATGTGTCAGGGCATCAGGGTGTGTGTCAGGGGACCAGGGTGTGTGTTAGGACATCAGGGGATCAGTGTGTGTGTCAGGGCATCAGGGGATCAGTGTGTGTGTCAGGGCATCAGGGGATCAGGGTGCGTGTCAGGGGATCGGGGTGTATGTCAGGGCATCAGGGTGTGTGTCGGGGGATCGGGGTGTATGTCAGGGCATCAGGGTGTGTGTCGGGGGATCGGGGTGTATGTCGGGGGATCGGGGTGTATGTCAGGGCATCAGGGTGTGTGTCGGGATCAGGGTGTGTGTCAGGGCATTGGGATCAGGGATCAGAGTGTGTGTCGGGATCAGGTTGTATGTCAGGGGATCAGGTTGTATGTCGGGATCGGGGTGTGTGTCGGGATCGGGGTGTGTGTCGGGATCGGGGTGTGTCGGGATCGGGGTGTGTGTCGGATTGGGGTGTATGTCGGGATCAGGGTGTGTGTCGGGATCGGGATGTGTGTCAGGGGATCGGGGTGTGTGTCAGGGCATCAGGGATCAGGGTGTGTGAAAGGGGATCAGGGATCAGGGTGTGTGTCAGGGGATCAGGTTGTGTGTCGGGATCGGGGTGTATGTCAGGATCAGGGTGTGTGTCAGGGAATCGGGGTGTGTGTCACGTGATCAGGGTGTGTGTCAGGGGATCCGGGTATGTGTAAGGGGATCGGGGTGTGTGGCGGGATCGCGGTGTGTGTCAGGGAATTGGGGTGTGTGTGTCGGGATCGGGGTGTGTGTCGGGATCGGGGTGTGTGTCGGGATCAGGGTGTATGTCGGGGATCGGGGTGTGTGTCAGGATCGGGGTGTGTGTCAGGATCGGGGTGTGTGTCAGGATCGGGGTGTGTGTCAGGCTATCGGAGTGTGTGTCGGGATCGGGGTATGTGTTAGGGAATCGGGGTATATCGATCAGGGTATGTGGCTGGGGGTGGAGCTTTAGGGGACAGGTTACAATATGGGCTTCATATGAGACATTAAACTGAGGTCCCATTTGCCTCTTCAGGTAGACATTAAAGATCCCATGGCACTATTATACAAGAGAAGAGAGTTTTCTCCTGGTGTCTTGGCCAACAAATCTCCCAAATAAAATTGGTCGGTCATTTCTTGGCTGTTTGTGGGACATTGCTGTGCGCAAACTGGCTGCCACTTTGGCCAACAAAATACAGAGTCAATTCACTTTACAGTATATCTTGTGAAGCGCTTTGAGACATCTCGACGATGTTATACGGTGCTTCATTAAATGCAAAGATTATTATTACTGTGATTTTTACCTGATCCTTTCTTATGAACTTATGCAATAAAACTCTGCTGTTGGGTATCCCTCTTATAACACCAGTTCACCTTTACTTGGTCAGCCGTATGTCTGACACATTTGGAAACCCATCACCATTCTTAATATCATGCTTAAGGCTCCCTGTAAACCCGTGGCCAGCTTTGACACAGACCTGGCTGGATTCCCGCATGCTAAAGTGGTCAACTTCTGGATTAATAAATATTCTTTGCATTTGACCTTTGTAGCTTTATCACCTCTTCACAGAATATACTGTAAAGTGGATTGACTGTATAGTTTCTGGGTGAAATGCGGCAGCCAATAGCGCACAGCAATGACCCACAAACAGCTGTGAGTGAGTGAGCAACCTGGGGGATTTGTTAGCCAGGACACTGGGAGAAACTCCCTGATCTTTTTGAATAGTGTCGTGGGATCTTTATCGTCCAACTGAGCAGGCAAATGGGATCTTGGTTTAGTGTCTTATCTAATCGATGGTATTTCTGACAATGCAACCCCCCCCCGTCAATGACTTTGAGGAGTCCTGTAGCTCAGTGGTTAGAGCACTCGCTTTGCAAGTGAGAGACCTGAGTTCAATTCCAGGCAGAGGGCGAAACCTTGGGCAAGTTTCCTTACTCCACACAGAGCCTAATAATAATCCCTCCAAAAAAAAAAACAATAATTAAATTGGTCATTTTCAATCTACGACTGTTTGTGGGACATTGCTGTGCGCAATTGGCTGCCGCGTTCGCCCACAAATATACAGTCAATTCACTTTACAGTGTGTTCTGTGAAGCGCTTTGGGACGTCCTCCCGACGTGAAAAGCGCTATATCAAATGCAAGGATTATTATTATTATTATTATTGAGTGTCAGCTTAGACTATGTTATGGGGGGCTTGAACCCACAACCTTCTGACTCAAAGTTAAGCGTGATACCACTGAGCCCGGCTGACACACAGGTTGTGTTAATAGGTTGATTCTGATGTCACTTGTTACGTGTTTATGCATGTACACAAGGAGTGACATCAGTGGAGATCTGATGACCTGGCCAGTTTTTAGCTGGCTGGCCTTCTGCACACATGCACACTGAACGCAGAGCAATTGTAATTTTTAACAATAGACTTGGTGTTACATTTTTCAGATATTGTGATAGAATTGTGACTACGTCCTATCTGGAGTAAAGACTCTATGGGCTGAATGGCCTCCAGTTTTGTCATTTCTATTAATAAAATAATGCGACTAAAGGCGTAGTGTTGAAGGTTTATACTGAGTCTTATTTTTTAAATTTGAGTGGGGAAAGTCAGCCAGGATTCTCACTTCTGGTCTATAAACATTATTTCTGAAACTCATTGCAGTTCTGTTAAGGGGTGAACTTGCTATTGGTAGAATCTGTCGTAATATGTTTCATATCTTCATGTCCAAAGTCATTTTCATTTCTATTCTTTTACCTATGTTGCTCTACCTGATGATTATCCAGTTTCCTCTGAAGTTGCTCTATCTGGACTGTAGTTAATGATTATGTTCTATTTTTCGCCCGCTGTACTTTGTGTTGGCTTTGATTTTGTTTTGGGGTTTTAACATTTAGACCATGAAGCGGGTACGTACAGAACAGATTCAGGCTGCAGTGGCTCATTACCTCAGAAGACGGCAGTATGTGGACTTGGAGGGAGCCCTAAAGCAGGGACCTAAGTTTTCTCAGACTGCGGAAGAGATGGCAACTAACTTAACAGGTAAAACAATCAAAAATTCAGCAGTGGTAGGGGTAGAGGATTGAAAGATTATGTGTTCAAGTTCCACACCAGGACACTAGTTCATAATCTACAACAACAACAAGATCACATTTGTATAGCGCCTTTCATGTCGGGAGGACGTCCCAAGGCGCTGGACAGTGTACAGCAATTCAGACCCGAGCTGAGGTCAGGGAGGGCGAAGGGAGTGGAAGGGAAGGGGCGTGACCGATGGCATGGTCGAAGAGGAGGGTTTTGAGGTGGGACTTGAAGGAGGCGGCGAGGCAGAGTGACTGGGGGATGGAATTCCAGAGGTTGGGGGCAGAGTGGCTGAAGACTCTCCCGCCAATGGTGGGACGGGTGGGTCGAGGGACATGGAGCAACCGGAGCTGGCTGGTTGTTAAGGGGTTAGGAGGTCGCAGAGGTAGGGTGGGGCGAGGCCATGGAGGGCTTTGTACCAGGATCTTGAACTTGATCCTCTGAAGGATAGGGAGCCAATGGAGTGGGGCGAGAATGGGGAGATGGGGGTCACAGAGTTTGGTGCGGGAGAGGACACGGACTGCAGAGTTCTGGAATATCTGCAGCCTGTGGAGGGAGGAGTTGGGAAGGCTGACAAGCAGGGCGTTTGCAAAGTCGAGGCTGGAGGTGATGAAGGCATGAACAAGAGTTTCAGTGGCCTGAGGGGTGAGGTAGTGGCGGAGTCGGGCGATGTTACGGAGGTGAGGGAAGGCAAAGATAGAGTTGGGTGTCATCCGCATACATATGGAAGTTGACCCCATGTCTGCGGATGATGTCACCAAGGGGGAGCATATAGATATTGAAGAGGAGAGGGCCAAGGACAGAGCCCTGGGGGACGCCAGACGTGACAGTGCGAGGGCTGGAGGAGAAACTGTTAGAGGCAACAAAGTGGAGACGGTGAGAGAGATAGGAATCGAACCAGGCAAGGGCAGGTCCGCGAAAATTAAGTAAAGAGGAGAGGCTAATCTAGGTATAAAATAGCGTTCCAGTGAGATTATTCTCAGTTATGTGCCATGTCATTTGAATGAGATATAAATTGAGGTTGAGGTTCTGTTCTGGTGATTTGGAGGGCTAAAAAGGATCTCCTGGGTCTATTTTGAAGAAAACTTGGCCAGTATACTCCCCTCATGAAATTCACTTAAAATAGATTAATTGGTCATTTATCTAATTTCTGTTCCTGTCATTTTATTGGAACAAATTAACTAATCAATTTACCTATACTGCAAACAGCCTGTTATCCACACTAATTGGGGCGGGCTTGCTTATGGACAAGGAAACAATACATATAATTGGTCATCATCTAAATACTAATTTGTTACATTGCTAACCCAAATCTTTTTCTAACAAATGTGCACAGCTATGTAGTCACAACAGACTATACTGTGTCAACCCTTCCACTGCCTTTCTCTCTCGCTCTCTTTCTCCCCTGGTCTAACTCTACATCTCTTTTTTTCTATGCCTTATCCAGCCTCTTTTTCTTTTTATCTCTCTGATTTTCTCCAGTCTTGTAACTTTGACACTCTCCCTGTGCCTGAACTGCATAGTTAATAGACTGTTTAATAAATACTTTTTATCCTGTGTCAATTCACAGTTGGGAACCATGTGCGCAACAAGTTTATTTTCGCCGGAATCGCGGTTCCGCATTGGAGCCCGACGTAGATAAACTGACATGTCGATAATTGTCTTGTAGATACATGATGTTCTCCTGTTTTAACAGTTATTAAACATATTTGCTAGGTCTTCAACAATGATCATATTTGTTTATATTTTCAACACCAGTTCAGGCCGAGTCGGGTACTGCTAATGTAGTGTCTGCAGCTCCCTGTCAGGCAGACCCACATCAGTACCAAGTACAGTTTGGACGGCTGAAAAATTTTCTTTTCGGTAAGTTCTGATAGAAGTAAAACATATTTGATGGTGCAACATTTAGTGTACGGAATATTATCTTAAGTGGATATTTTTCTTAATCCTATGAAGATCACAGTAGCATCCCTGGTCTGCTCAGGATCCTTTTTTTTGGACCATATGAATTTGCTGCTTGTACAGTATATGCAGTATGGAACTTTGTTCTTATTTCATAATTGATATTTTGCCCTAGCAGAATGTGATTTTAAAATGGAGTAACATAAGTACAGTATGGTTTTCCTAGACAAGGTCACTTGCACAGGGAAATCTTAAACTTGAGCTTGTATCTAGACTTCAAGAATCTGTGTTTTTTCTGTGTTTAATTTTTTTAATCTATTTAGAGTTTGTCTGTTTTTTATGGAAAAGTATAAATATTTATGCCCCAATTCAGTTTTTGGACACTATCATTATACAATTGAACAGGTGTCATCTATGATGATGCCCCTTTGATTGTCAGCTTTTCAGGTGTCAAGTTTGATTCAGTTGGTGGAACACTAACCTCTGTTTGAGTCAGAAGGTCTAGGTTCAAGGCCAATGTTAGAACTTGAGCCCCTAGTAATAATGATACCAATAATCCTTTCATTTGACTTAGCGCCTTATCACATCGTTGAGATGTCTCAAAGGGCTTCACAGAATACACTGTCAAGTGAATTGACTGTTTTTTGAGAGGGATTATTAACCCCAGAAACAACTAAAAACTGGGTAAACAGAGGTGTGTAGAGTAAGGAAACTTATCTAAGGGTTCGGCCTGCCCAGGAATCAAACCTGGGACCTCTTGCTTGCGAGGCAAACTCACTTACCAACACTCTATGAGACTCCCTGGTCTAGGATTACACTTCAGTGCAGTTCTGCTGGAATGCTGCATTGTTGGAGCTGCCATCCTTCAAATATTAAAGCAAATTTACAAACTGGTCTGTACCTCGTTGCTACACTGACCAGTGAAGTTATTCAGTAGGAGGAAATGCTCAGAATATTTTATTTGCATATTCTGCATTACCCCTTTTTAAAATATCACAATTGCAAGTCAGGAAATTCCTGCCATTGTTAAAATTATTATTACACTTCCTTGCTCTAAACACAAGCATTCAGGAAGAAATACCATGTCAAGAAACAAGTTTAACTTCTCCCAGTCAAAGACAAACCTAATTTGCATTGTATTTATCCCCTAACAATTTCATACCCATAACACTCCCTGATCAAGATGTAGCTGGCATGTTTGTTGCACTACCCTTACATGATGGAGCTTTCAGTGGGTGGGCGATTGTAGACTTGAATCCATGTCCCACCATTCTGATCCACTACTCTTACCAGCTTGTAATTTTGTTCACTTTAGAATTTGCCAATTTAAAAAAAATTCATAATCTTTGGCTGGAGTGGTGGTGGTTTATTTCCTTATTGAACCATTTCACATATTTGATATTTAATCTTGTTATAAGCAACTCCATGGTGTACCTTTTATTTCATGATTTCACATTGTTGGTTACAGATACAGAATCAAAATACAGCCGGGATGTAAAACAACTGCTCTACCCTTTGTTTGTCTACCTCCACCTGGACATGGTACACAGTGGTTTGAAGAGCGCAGCAGACAGCTTCTACAGTCACTTCCATGGCATGTTCTTACAAAGTGTCAACCAGAAGGACATTATGGAACAGCTGCGGACTACACTGAACAGCCAGGATATTTATTCAAACTGCAAATTACGTTCTCTGATCGAAAATAAATACATTCTCAGCCTTACTGAAGAGAGTTATAACTATCTTCTTCGCTACCTCCAGAGCGACAACAACAGTGCTTTGTGTAAAGTTCTGGCTTCCCGCATTCAGTTGGACGTACAATGTTCTCCTCAAACTGACTATCAACTGTATAGCAGTGGTGCATTATCCCGATGTGAAGGAGGCAGCATGGAGCCCTCCGAAATACTATCACCCATATTGCAAAATGAAGCTGCACTGGAGTTGTTACAGGACAGCATAAAACGAGTGAGAGATGGACCACCATCTCTCACAACCATTTGCTTCTATGCTTTCTACAATACCGAACAGTTGCTTAATACTGCAGAAATTTCCCCAAATAATAAACTGCTCAGTGCCGGCTTTGATAACTCTTGTGTCAAACTTTGGAGCTTGCGTTCAAAGAAGTTAAAGGCAGCCCCGGGGCAGGTGGATGTTTCTCGAATCAACCTAGCCTGCGATGTCTTGGATAATGAGGTATGAATACAGCAAGTAGTTAGCAAGTGCTTTGGGATGTTTCAACTTGGTGTTATATCAAATGCAATGACTTATTATTTTATTGTTGGTTGTGTCACAATGTGGGAGCAGCATTGGGTTAAACCTGTGGATGTCAATGGCCACATGAGTTAACAGCTTCATTGCATAATATATTCTGTTAGATTTCGAGCGCAGTCCATCGTCACAGTATTCACTCGTTTATGGAGCTGTACCCCAATAATGCATTGCTGCCTTCAAGAGGGATAGGAGCAAACCAAAGGAATAGTAGTCATATAGTTGATATTTAAAGGGTTGTAGGTAAGGATAAGACTTTCATCCTGCGTATTTCGGCTAAATCAGAAGTCAACTCCCAGAAATAAAAGGACCAACCATCACTGAATTTCTTTGCTAAAAGTATTTTAACAAGACATAACAAATAAAAATGTCTGTCAATAAATAAATACAGTACAATAGTGTGTCAGCCTGGTAGTACTCTCACCTCTGAGTCATTAGGTTGTGGGTTCAAACCCTACCTTGGGACTTCGAACATGCATAGTCTAAGCCAGTGGTGACCAACCTTTATGGTCGGCTAACAAACTAATTTTTCTTTATTTGATTACTTCCTGTTTTAAGCCACAAATCAATAAATATTCAATCAAGAAAAAACTGAACACATACTTACTTCCGATCGAACACAGACTTGCTTAGACGCATGTAAATATTCGGGGGGAGCTTTTTGATGGCCCCGTGGGCCACAGGTGAATCATCACTGGTCTAAGCAGCCACTCCAATGCAGTGCGGGGTATGCTGCATTGTTGGAGCTGCCGTCTTTTAGATGAGATGTTAAACTGAATCCTTTTTGGATGAGACGTTAAAGATCCGTAATTCCACTTTTTGCGTGACCCACATTTCTGGGTAAACTATTAATTAGTTCATGTCTTGTATCTTTGTACAGCATTTCCCTGCCTGCTTCCATTCAAAAAGATAAGGGAATTCCTCCTGTTGCCCTGGCCAACAATCCCCTCAAATAAAACTGGTCACTCACTTCATAGCCACTTGTGGGATATCGCTGTGCACAAATTGGCTGTTGTGTTCACCCACAAAATACACAGTCACTCCACTTTACAGTATGTCCTGTGATGTGATTTGGGACATCCTCTTAACATGAAGGATTGATGATATATCAAATATAAAGATTATTTGTTAATATTGCACCTTTCACAACAGGAGGATGTCTCAAGGCTCTTCACACAGCCGTCTGAGCCAAGGTGTGGAGAGTAAGTTTGGAAAAGTGGTGCTAATCATAGTGATGATCGTTGATGATCCTTGTATTTGATATAGTGCCTTATCATGCCTTCGAGACGTCTCAAAGCGTTTCACGGTATACTGTGAAGTGAATTGACTGTATAATTTTTGGTGAAACGCAGCAGCCAATTGCGTAGAATCTGATTAAAAAAAACTTGCAATAGAAAGAGATTTGTGTCCAGGGGTGAGCTTGCTTGCAAAGCACGTATGTAAGGTGTTACTACAATATAGTTAAATGACTGTTGGAAATATTCTGGTCAAATATAAAAACTGTAATTCCACTTTTTGTGTGACCCACACTCCTGGGTAAACTATTAATTAGTTTATGCCTTGTGTCTTTTCCCTGCCTGCTTCCAGGCCTTCATCATGCATTGTGAAATACAACACAAATTTTCCTTTATACGGTGCTTTTTACGTTGGCCCAAACTTCTTAACAGTCCTGGCTGGGGACCTGAGCTGGGTGGGGTGCAGGGAACAGGCTTCTTTGAGCGAAAGTGCGGTCAAAGACGCAGGCCTTGAGACGGAACTTGAACAAGGTGAGGGTGGGAGCAAGTCAGAGGGATTCCGGGGTGGAATTTCAGAGAGTGGAGGCAGATAGGTTAAAAGCCTGACTGACAACGGTGGGTGGGTAGGGAGTAAAGGGAGAGGCCAAATTGGTACGGTTTGAGAAGGTTTGAGAAATCCCCGAGTTATAGCTCCAAGAAGGCGGCGAGTAACTATAGTTCTGAAAGAGCAGCTGGGATGACTCCCGCATGTATTTTTTCTCCTTGTGAGACAGATCCTCAGCTTGTTCCCCATAGTAACATCCAGTCCTTAGGAACTCCTATGAAGGACAATGGCTTGTTTTCCTCCATGACGCTATGTGGTTCCCTTGCACATTCACGCTAAGTCAACAAAGTGACATTCTGAAAGATGGCTGGCGAAGAGCAGTATGCAGCAGCTATAAAACCATGACAGACGGGTGCAGTATATTATCCTCCATTCCTGAGTTATATTTGGCTAGACAGGTTGGGTTTGAGCGGATTTTAGGGACGATAGAATGCATATAGAGTGAGACCCTGCAGTAAATGTGTAGGTAATCTGTACAGGCCCTATGGTTATCCTGAGCTTCAGTATGTTTTATATCTGCCTAAAGGATAGTTTTTACACAATTTCAGTGCTTGTCCATAAGTGGAAGCTAAAATTGTGTAATATTTTTTTTTAAAGAATGTTGAGAAGTAGCTCTGTTTTACTAGAAGGATGCTCTTTCCAAATGTGTGTGGAGAAAATCTGTTGGAAGCAAGTATAAACAATAATCTTTGGGGGGATTTGTGGTCAGCTGCAGAAACCCCATCACTATGGTAAAGAATATCTTGATTCAGGGCTGATTTCCGTGTGTACTATCTACACTTGGAAATTTCCCAGTGTGGAATGGAATGGGCACTCTCTTAATGAAGGGACGCCCACAGCTTACTTAATTTCAGAGAGTATTAGGCATAGGTTAGCAAGAACCAAATCTTGGGGACCCCAAAGTGTTTGTTGGAGTATTGCTGGAGTTTAACCAGCAAAAACTGCATAACTTGTCATTGCTAAGCACTTTCTGGCAAGCTAGGATCACCCTACCAATTAGGATTTTGGTTTGCATTTAACAGGAGCTGCCCCTAATCTGCCCCTCCATGCTGTTCCAGCATTCTGTTGCAAAACATGTCACCTTGGAGCAAGTTCAGTTCCAAAGAGACCCCAGTTCCCCCCCCAACATCTAACAACAGTGCTCTTTAAAAGGCATGTTTAAAATATCATTTGTTATTTATGCAAATCAAAGAATCATAGAATTCAAACTTTTTGGTTATCTGAATGAAAGTCAAAACTGGTCTGAATTCTATAAGGAAATGGGAACCCAGCTTGTTATGGTACAAAGACCTATCGGACAGGTCTTTTCTCTTGTATTGAATCACCTATTAATTGTGTTTCACTCTGCTTGTGTTTTTTTGATACAGGGGGAAGATGACGATGTGGGCAGTGAAATAAAGATCCTACGAGGGCACTGTGGACCAGTGTATGGCACAAAGTTTCTGTCGGATAGTTCAGGCCTTCTCTCTTGTTCAGAAGATGCAACAGTCCGCTACTGGAACCTGTGCAGTTTCACTAACACTGTTTTGTATCAAGGACATGCCTATCCAGTCTGGGACATTGATATTAGTCCCTTAAGCCTTTATTTTGTAAGTGGATCACATGATCGGACAGCTAGACTTTGGGCACTGGACCGAACATACCCACTGCGCATTTATGCAGGTCACTTAGCAGATGTAGACTGTGTCAAGTTTCATCCCAACTCCAACTACATTGCCACAGGTTCAACAGATAAAACTGTAAGATTATGGAGTACGCAGCAAGGAAGTACTGTACGTCTCTTCACAGGACACCGTGGCCCTGTACTCTCATTGGCCTTTTCACCCAATGGAAAATACTTGGCTTCAGCAGGTGAAGACCAGCGACTGAAGATATGGGACCTTGCATCAGGCTCCTTATTTAAAGAGTTACGAGGACACACTGACAATATAACTAGCCTGGCATTCAGTCCTGATAGTAGTTTGGTAGCTTCTGCATCTATTGACAATTCAGTTCGTATTTGGGATATTCGGAATACTTACTCCAATTCATCCCTGGATGGCTCTTCCAGTGAGCTGGTGGGTATATATACAGGACAGACCAGTAACCTTCTGAATGTGCAGTTTATGTCTTGCAATCTGGTTTTAGTTACTGGAGTTGCACAAGAAAAGAAAGAACAATAAACATAAGTGAACAACACTGGTATTATTTAGAAATGTACCTTGTAAGAGGACATGTCTCCAAGGTTGTAAAGGTTTGGCATACTACATCAATTGGATTTTGTCATGGCCATAAACACAATTGTTGCATTCACAATCCTCCCATTGTTTAGGTAAAAAAAACAATTTTGTGATGTACACAAGATAATTTCTTTTTTTTTAAAACCCCTTTCTCCCTTTTTTTGGCATTTGTCCAAGGTATCGTCAGAATTTTCTGAGTCGTTCAAAATGCTATGTGAGCTCTACGAGTCCAGTTACAACTCTAAATTTTAGATGTATGAGTTCCCACAGTTATTGTGCTGTCAGTGTACAAAAAGTACCTCTAACACTGTTACCTCCCTGCTAGAGTGTCAGTTTGACCAACTTGAGCCTCTGGTTCCAGACGATTGTGGGTTCAAGCCCCGATTAAACCTTGGGCTCAGTGTAACTGGGACTTCAGTACAGTTTTGGAGGAGCACTGCGATGTCAGCAGTAGATGAGACATTAAATTGAGGTCTCGCCTACCTGTTCAGAAGGACATTAAAGATTCCATGATGCTATCCAAAAAAAAGGGAGTTCCTCTATTGTCCTGCTCAACAATCCACAAGATAAAATTAGTCATTGACCTCTTGACTTTTGTGAACCATGCTGGCAAAAATGGCTACCTTGATGGGCTGCACCTGTCAGTAATTCTTGTGAAATGTTTTGAGGTAAGATGCTACAAAAATGCAAGTTTCTTTCCAGTTCTTGCATGTCAGGGATTGGTGGTGAATAGCTGATCAAGTAACACGTACACAACTGGCCAACAGGTGATCTCAAACTCCACAATGTAATTTATTTGTTCTAGCCTGAAATTTATATATTCCTCAGTTCACTTCATACAAAACTCCAAAATGTCAGATCAACTGAGCTTTCAGGCTGTAAAATGTTGCACTGATCCAGCTGTTAATTCTGAATGTTTCAAGCACATCCACTTGCATGGATGGTCTTGCATTTTGAAATCATGAAATCTTCTTCAATATACACAACAAACCTTTAACAAATTAAATAAACTTTGAAATACGCTCTGCTCTACATTTCTAGACAAAAGTTCCATATACATTTATCTTAAGATTTTGCATTATTAAAGTCTTAGTTTTGCACAGGGTTTGGCAACTTTTTCATGCTGCTTTGCAAGGCCATGTGTTTCTGCACAGTGTCAATACCAAGTTTCGTCCACAAAATGTACAGTCAATTCACTTTACAGTATATTCTGTGAAGTGTTTTGAGACGTCTCAAAGACGTGATTAGGCACTATATCAAATGCAAGGATCATTATATTATAGCAGGTCTCTCATTTCAAAAATGATTTTGCATTTTTATTTGTATGTGTTTTCTGGTTTATCCACTTTTAGAGTTCATGCGACATGCTTCTATTTCAGAAGCTTACAAACGAAGTGCAAGTACTGCTCCTGACCAAACATCCTTAACTGGAAGTGATTGTGGAAGTGGTTGCATATGGTTGCATTGAAGAGAAATTGTGCATTATAACCATGATTGAAATTGTTTAACTTACTGCATGAGTGAAGTGACTGGAGAAGTAAATCCATGATTAAGGCAGGCTTATTGTCAAATACTGTACACCAGTAGCAGCATCTGTCATATCTCAACCAAAACAATTGACCACATTAATGTGCATCTGGTTAGGACATCTTTACTGAACGTGCATTTGGACAGAAATATTACAGTATCATGGAACCATTGCAATTTCATTGTGTGATAGGCAGATTGTATTTGAAGGTTTTGTTTTTCAACCATTTTGTTATTTCAGGGGTTACTTATCTTGATACCTACAGCATCAGGTAAAATAAAACATTGCTTTAAAAAACTATCCAAAGGACACTCCAAATTCTAAATGCAACCAATTTTTGCTTTAAATCTGATGATCTTTACCGTCAGAAGCAGTGGCCAACAGACCATTTCTCAACAAAGAGGTAAGATGCTCTGCCCTACGTTTAATAATCCTTGCATTTGCATTACAGAACAACACAAGAATAGGAGCAGGAGTAGGCCATTTGTCCCCTCGAGCCTGCCCTGCCATTTAATACGATCATGGCTGACCTTCTAACCTAATTCTATTTGCCCGCCCTATCCCCATATCCCTTAATCCCTTTAGCTTTTAAAAATCTATCGATCTCAGTCTTGAATATGTTCAATGATTGAGTATCCACAGCCTTCTGGGGTAAATAATTCCATACATGTTTTCTCAACTCAGTTCTAAAGGGCTGACCTTTACTCCTGAGACTATGACCGCTAGTTTTAGATTCCCCGACCAGGGGAAACAGTCTCACACTATCAACCCTGTCAAGAGCCTTAAGAATCTGATAGGTTTCTAGAAGATCATCTCTTATCCCTGTTCTTGTGAAGCGTTCTGAATTATTATTCTACATGAAAGGCACGATATATAAATGCAAGTTGTTAATACATTATAAACTAATTAATATAGGCTAGTGCATTCAAAAAAATTCTGTTCTTTGAGGGAACAGCTTTCACTGTCACTGAAATTAACTGATTGCTCCCAACAATTAGGTTCAATAACAGCTGCTACACAGTGAGTGGACTGAAACTGTGATGTGAACCAAAGGTATTTGATGAAACGAACATTTGGGTAGGTCAGAACTAAAATGGGAACCTATAAAAAGGATGTGTTGGACATGTCATGTTTCTGGCAAGAGGTTGTTTCAGGTTATGCTGCCTGTGACAACTGCCTTCAGTGGTTCCACTTCAAGTGTGTACATTGAACAGATTGAGGAAAACGTTAGTGAAGGGAGCCTGACGATGTAAAACATGTAATTATACAACAGCAAAATTACATTTGTATAGTGCCTTTCACATCGGGAGGACGTCCCAAGGAGCTGGACAATCAGTGTTTTGGACCCGAGCTGGGGATTGGGGAGGGTGGAGACAAGGGAGGGGAAGGGGGGTGAAAGAAGGAATGGTCGAAGAGGAGGGTCTTGAGACGGGTCTTGAAGGAGGCAAGGGAAGGGGCGAGGCTGAGTGACTGCAGGATGCAGTTCTAGAGGGTGGGGGCAGAGTGGCTGAAGGCCCACCCACCAATGGTGGGACGGGCAAGGCAGGGGACGTGAAGCAGGCTGGAGCCCACTGAGCGGAGGGAGCAGGCAGGTTGGTAGGGGGTTAGGAGGTTGCAGAGGTAGGGGGGAGCAAGACCATGGAGGGTTTTGAAAGTGAGGACCAGGATCTTGAACTGCATCCTCTGTGTGATGGGAAGCCAGTGGAGTCGGGCAAGGATAGGGTCACGGAGCCTGGTGTGGGAGAATACACGGGCTGCAGAGTTGTGGATGATCTGCAGCCTATGCAGGGAGGAGTTGGGGATGCTGACAAGCAAGGAGTTGCATAGTCGAGCCTGGATGTTTTGAATATACGTATGAGGATCTCGGCAGCCTGCGTTGTGAGGCATTGGTTGAGCCGATCAATGTTGTGGAGGTGGTGGAAGACAGAGTGGGGCATGGCACAGATGTGGGGTATAAAGGATAGTTGAGGGTCAAACAAGATGCCAAGATTCTGAACTGGCTTAGTAGCGCGGAGGTGCATGCTAATTATAGAAGTTAAAAACCCAATGGAATACATGTTCTTCTGCCAATAAGAAATAATACAACGTTCAAGTAAGAAAATGCCCAAAACACCTATAACAATCTTAAGTCAATCTAAATACTTTGTTTATACATGATCCTCCCTAATCTATTACTGAAGTTACTATTTCTTTCCTGTAGTATGTGCCTGATCACTTGCCTTGTACAGTACTATATACTGAAGATCACAATGTTATTAGTTAAAGGAGGTGAACAGATGGTCAAGTGTTTTCGGTTTAAATTACTCTCCCAGACTGACACGTGATGTGCTATACAAATATTTTCTACCTAAAACTAAATATCCTTGTGTTTGAAGGATTGTGAATATTTTCCTATTGGAATCATGCTCTGGACTATTATAAACAGGAAGAACTTGCATGTATCCTGGAGTGGCTCTATTTATTGCAATGGCCTGGGAGTCCAATTAGAGTAGTTACTAGTCGGGGGGGACAGTGCTATCTGGATATTAACGCTTTAGCAGAAAAGTATGTTTGAATTGGTTCCTGACAGAATTGACCTGGATAGTCAAGGTCAATTTCCTAAATCACTTTTGCTCCCTTTCGAAGGAAAGCATCTGATACCACAAAAATAGGACTAATATCAGCCTTGTGGCATGTGGGCGCTGCTGCTTGTAACCACTCACCCTACAGCTGTTGAAGTGCCTTCTCCAGCCCCCTGTCATGATGCTGCCAACCTCTCATTTGCTGGCTAACAGGTTGGGCAATCGCCTTCCAAGCTTTTTGGAAATGCCCTTCTGTAACCTGCAGATCCAGATAAGCATCAAAAGAGGTTTGATGCTTGTTTTACACAGCAAAACAAAAGAAAATCAGAAACCAGTTCTGTGCATGTCGAGAGCACCTGCCTTTGACTTGAAATAAGCCCTGTAGCTCAGTGGTTAGAGCACTCGCAAGTGAGAGACCTGAGGTCAATTCCAGGCAGGGCAAAACCTTGGGCAAGTTTCCTTACTCCACACGCCTAATAATAATCCCTCCAAAACCAAAAACAATAATAAATTGGTCATTTTCAATCTACGACTGTTTGTGGGGCACTGCTGTGCGCAATTGGCTGCCGCGTTCGCCCACAAATATACAGTCAATTCACTTTACAGTGTGTTCTGTGAAGCGCTTTGGGACGTCCTCCCGACGTGAAAAGCGCTATATCAAATGCAAGGATTATTATTATTATTATTATTTTAACCCTGTGTTAGATCACTGGTTAATCCGCTTTCAAACGTGCAGTTGGACACATCATTCATTCAAAATGGGATTGACGTGTTGGGGAGGCTCCAGAGAAGATCAAAGAGGATGATCTGGGAACTTTCTCTGGAGGCAGCAACAACAACTTGCAAAATTCGTACTCACACACCCACACGCTTAGCATTTATGTACGTGTTGCACACCATTGCTTCTTCCCTGGATCTGAACAGATTGTAGCAGTCCCCCCCCCCACCCCCCGCCCTCCGTTCTGCTGTTAAGTTATTTCACCTAAAATAAAGGCAAACAGTCCACAACGTCGCAATACTCGGGAGGTGGAGAATATACGACAAGTTGTGGTTGGTTGGTTGTTGTTGTTGTTTCGGGGTCGTGTTGAGCAAACCCACTCAGTCACTTTAATGACATTATAAAGGCTTTATGATTAACCCTGGTTGTGGGACAGGGACCAGTGGCGGGGGCTCTGATCGGCCGTTTGCAGAAGAGCAAGCAGCCCGCAAACAGCCCGCAAACAACAGCCACGTTCTCAGCAGCTGCCACCGAAGAGCGGCTGTTGGAGACGGAGTGAGGAGGGGCGAGAGAGGAAAGACAGAGAGAGAGAGAGAGAGATAGAGAGACATCTTGTGTATTAGAGGATTGTGCAGTGTTATTGGAGAGGGAGAGAGGGAGGGAGGGAGAGGAGGAGGGATAAATGAATGAATGAATGACGTTGAGGGCGTTTCACAAATTACAAATTGCACTAAAATTAAGATTATTGCAAAGAGGCAAATGACAGGGAAGTGAGTGAGTCAATCAGTCAGTGAGAGAGAGAGAGAGAGAGTGAGTGAGAGTCAGTCAGTGAGAGAGAGTGTGAGTGAGAGAGTCAGTGAGTGAGAGAGAGAGTCAGTGAGAGAGAGTGAGAGTCAGTCAGTGAGTGAGTCAGTCAGTTAGAGAGAGTGTGAGTGAGAGAGAGTCAGTCAGTGAGTGAGAGAGAGTCAGTGAGTGAGAGAGAGTCAGTCAGTGAGAGTCAGTCAGTGAGTGAGTGAGAGTGAGTGAGAGTGAGTCAGTCAGTCAGTGAGAGAGTCAGTCGGTGAGTGAGAGTCAGAGAGCGAGTCAGTGAGTGAGAGTGAGTGAGTGAGAGAGTCAGTGAGTGAGAGAGTCAGTGAGTGAGTGAGAGTGAGAGTCAGTGAGTGAGTGAGAGTGAGAGTCAGTCAGTGAGAGAGTCAGTCAGTGAGTGAGTCAGAGAGCGAGTCAGTGAGTGAGAGTGAGTGAGTGAGTGAGAGAGTCAGTGAGTGAGTGAGAGAGTCAGTGAGTGAGTGAGAGTGAGAGTCAGTGAGTGAGAGAGCGAGTCAGTGAGTGAGTGAGAGAGAGTCAGAGAGCGAGTGAGAGAGTGAGTGAGTGAGTGAGTGAGTGAGTCGGTGTTGGCAGACGCGGTGGAGGGGATGATCCTGTCTCACTGGACGTGACGGAGCTGAAGCCACTTGACTGAGCCGAGGCCGGGGCTTGAGGGATGATCCCGGGTCACTGAGAGCCCCTCCTGTGGCTTCTCTCCCGGCTGGACCCCCCCTCCCCCGCCCTCTCTCTCTCTCTCTCTCTCTCCCCCTCCGCCAACACCCCTCACCCGGAGACATGGCCTATCGCCTGCTGCTGAGCGGCTGCCGGGCGGAGCGGAGTTTGCTGTGTGCCCGGCGCTGCTCGCTGCCCGCCCGCCTCCTCGCCGGCTGGGCGGCCGCGGGCCCGGGCCCGGGCTCGGGCTCGGCCGCGGCCGCGGGGCCTGAGCTCGGCCGCCGTGGTCATGGCAACCGGCCCCGCCGGGAGCTGCCCGCCACCGGCCTGCGCCGCCACACCGGCCCCGCGGGCCCGGCCTCGGTCAGCGGCCGGACTCCCACCCTCCAGCCCGGCGGAGGCGGCTTCCCCCCCGGCCCCGGGCAGCGACGGGACGACGCCGAAGAAGGTGACCGGACGAGGGTGACCTCCAGCCCCGCTCCCGCCCCCGCCGGTGCCCGGAGGCTCCTCACACTGGCTTACCCCGAGAGGTGGCCTCTGGCAGGTAAAGCTTTCATTGCTTCCCCCCCCCCCCAACCAGGAAAAAAAACACAGTCACTTCACTTTACGGCGTGTCCCTGTGAAGCACTTTTGAGACGGCGCTGTGTCAAATCCGAGGATTATTATCAATGATTATTATTATTGTTGTTGGTGTTGGTGTTGTCGTTGTTGTTGTTGCTGCTGCGGCGGCGGCCGAGGTTGGCTTTCTCCGGTCCTTTCCGTCCGCGCTCCTCTCCCGCTTCTTGTTCCCTTTCGGCGAAGGCGAGCGTTCGAACTGTTGGTTTACATCCCCAACAGATGTAAGAGTCGACTGCGAGTCCAGTCAGTGTCTGTGTCTGGTCAGGGTTACTCCCTTTTCTCTCACTCTCTCTCTCACTCTCTCTCTCTCCCCCCACCCCCCCACCACCCCCACCTCTCAGTCCAGAGGCTGAGAGCTTGTCCCAAAAAATACTTTTAATCAAAAGAATCTGCGTGTGAAGTTACTAAAAATGCCCCTCGGCTCTGCCCGCCAATGCGTTTCCACTGACACGGGTGTCGTTCGTTTTCCCGGTGACTTTTCAAAAGTTGCAGTTTGGGACCTGGATGCGGCGGTGGTTGGGGCAGAAGAAGAAAAATGCGGGGGATGGAAAAACACCCAAGTCGCTGCAGCGTTGGCCCCTTTGCCAAAAAAAAAAAAAAAATTGTTATCAGTAGAGGAGGAATGGTGATGCGCCCATCATAGATTTGCAACACAACCAGACCTGCTCCGTAGATTGTTCGTTGTGGACACACCTATTCCAAACAAAAATTCACGGAATGCCTCAACAGTTTGGGGTGATTGGATCCCAGTTCCAGTGTGAAAACGTCTCACATCTGCAACCGTACTGATAGCGTGCACTCTCTCCTCGATCTCGTCCCGTTTCTTGATGCTGATTCTGAACTTTTACAACCAGAAAAAAAATGTTGTCCACTCTCTTCAATCATTCAGAATCGCACCGTCAGTGGGAGGCCAATGAACAGTTTCTCCCCCCCCCCCCCTCCCTGAATAGTGGTGGATTACACTGTGTGATGGTCCGGTATTGCTTAATTTTTCAAAGATTCCAAGCAGAGAGTGAATAAGTAGTTCCTGTCTATAATGTCATAATAATAATCCTTGCATTTGATGTAGGACCTTATCACATCTTCGAGTCGTCTCAAAGCGCTTCACAGAAGGATAATCATTGATAATAATCCTGTAAAGTGAACTGACTCTATACTTTGTGTGTGAAACTTTACAGTATTTTTGTAGAGCCCATACTATATTTTTCAGTGGCCCATGAAAGTAACAAATTAATCTCCCCTTGTTTTTCTCTTTTCTCCCAGTTCCATGTTTGTGTCCCTCTGGCGTTATAGCCCTCCTCTCTACGGAATTTACGTAATAATCCTTGCATTTGATATACAATTGAGAAAACGAGTTTGCTCTTGTTCTCTCAACTGTATGTCAAATGCAAGGATTATTATTTATTTTTAATAATTACAAGAAAACTTGTGGAGGCATGGCAATCACAACTTTCATTGGAACAGTGAAAGTGCCGCCATTTAAACTTGTGCACCATACTTCTTTTAAATATTTGCTGTGGAGAGCCCAGCCTCTGTAGAGATCTTATAGAAGCGTAGATATTTTCAGTGTGGAACAAAGCCATGTGGCCTGCCGCATTGTGTTTGTACCACAGTTTTTTTAAGTCCCGCTTTTTATTAATCCCACTTTCCCATCCCATTCTTTATGTTTTTACTACCTTAATTTGCTTTCTCCCATAATATGCTGACCTGGTAAACTGGTGAGAACATTGACACATTTTTGTCCTTGTTTTCTGGACTAAAAGCAATGGTGTTTCATTGGTGGCCCGGGTTAGCCAGAGTTTAATAGATTTTACTTAGAAAAATATGGGTTAATAAACAGCCAACCCGGATTTGTTAAAGGAAAATCATGTCTAACAAACCTGATAAGAGTTTTCTTGTTGAAGTTGTATTTCTGACTGGAGGGAAGGTTGCAGTGGTATCCCCCAGGGGATCACTGCTGTTTTTGATCTATATAAATCAATGTTTATTCTTTGCTCATAACATTGCATTGTCAGACCAGTAACAATTCAATGTTTACCCCATAATGCTGTTGCACAAGTCAATGACGATACCCTGTAGCATAGATTTGCACAATATGAACTCATGCTTTAAAATAATTATTGAATCTGTCGTGTACTGGTGAGATGCAAGTTTGATCACCTACTTGACTGAATTCCCAGTCTTGGCATCCTTCCCTGGATCCATCCCTCTTCTCCAGCTACCGCCCCATCTCTAACCTCTCATTCCTCTCCAAGGTCCTGGAACAAGTTGTCGTGTCCCAGCTCTGCTCCTTTCTCTCTCGCCATTCCCTCTTGGAACCCCTCCAATCCGGCTTCCGCGCTGCCCACAGCACGGAAACAGCCCCGGTCAAAGTCACTAATGACATTCTGAACATCTGTGATCAGGGCTCTCTCTGCCTCCTTGTCATACTTGACCTCTCTGCCGCCTTCGACACTGTCGACCACTCCATCCTCATACACCGCCTCTCCATGGACCTGCCCTTGCCTGGTTTGATTCCTATCTCTCTCACCGTCTCCACCGTTGCCTCTTAACGGTTTCTCCTCCAGCCCTCGCACTGTCACGCCTGGTGTCCCCCAGGGCTCTGTCCTTGGCCCTCTCCTCTTTAATATCTATATGCTCCCCCTTGGTGACATCATCCGCAGACATGGGGTCAACTTCCAAATGTATGCGGATGACACCCAACTCTATCTTTCTGCCTCCACCCTCAACTCCAGGACCACTGCTGTCCTGACAGACTGTCTGTCGGACATCAAGTTTTGGATGAGAGCAGATTTCCTACAGTTGAATGTGAACAAGACTGAGGCCCTCCTGATTGGCTCACACCAGCGCCTCAGCACCTCAGGCTCTGGCAGCATCAACCTCCATGGTTGCTCACTACAACTCACCAAGCCAGTCAGGAACCTGGGTGTCTTGTTCGACCCTCAACTGTCTTTTCTTCCCCACATCCAAGCCATGACCCACTCTGCTTTCCCTCACCTCAGTAACATCGCCCGACTCCGCCACTGCCTCACCCCTCAGGCCATTGAAACTCTTGCTCCTGCCTTCATCACCTCCAGGCTCGACTATGCAAACGTCCTGCTTGTCGGCCTTCCCAACTTCTCCCTCCACAGGCTGCAGATATTCCAGAACTCTGCAGCCCGTGTCCTCTCCCGCACCAAACTCCTTGATCCTATCTCCCCCACTCTCACCCGACTCCACTGGCTCCCTATCCTTCAGAGGATCCAGTTCAAGATCCTGGTCCTCACCTACAAAGCCCTCTATGGCTGGGTTCCTAATTACTGCAAGGTAAACAGAAGCGTTTGGAGTAAGGAAACTTGCCCAACGTTCAGCCCTGCCCGAGAATCGAACTCGGATCTTCTCGCTTGTGAGATGAGTGCTCCAACTACTAAGCTACACAGGACACCATGATCAAGGGAGACCATCAATGCAATTCTAGGGATCATACTTTAGATTACAAATTAAATCAGGATTCTTTATACCTGCTGTCATGATTCAGATGATGCTATTCTGAAAAATCTGGGAGTTCTATTGCCCTGGCTACCTCTACCTGACCTATATTTATTGTATAATTGACTGATGCAATAGAACTTTGTACTTGGCTAACTTTTTATCTAAATGTTACTGTATCATAAACTTCATCATGTGGTTATTGCCCACTTAACTGTTGCATTGTTAAATAAATGAAGTAGATCCACTGTGTCCTGGGAATCGACTCCCCTCAGAGGTCCATGTAAATGCCCAATATGTAGGTTGGCCATTACTCCATTCCTTATCTCAGTTGACCAGAGGGTCTGTCTTACTGAGTTGTAATGGATAAGAGTTGTACCTTATTCTGATGCAATTGTTCTCTTTCTTTTAGCTGCTGTGGGGTTCTTGGGTGTTTCCAGCATTGTAACCATGTCAGCGCCTTTCTTTCTGGGAAACGTTATTGATCTCATTTACACGAATACCACAGGAGGGGATTTGACTGGTTCTCTGACCACTTTGTGTGCCATGCTGAGTGGAGTTTTTCTATGTGGAGCCGCTGCCAACACTGCCCGTGTCTACATAATGCATATATCAGGTAAAAAATGAGGGCAAGGAGAAAATTCAATCGTATTATCCAATAGGAGTGTGGGGGGGAGGAGTGCTGGTAATGGGAATTCAGGAGAGTTTCTTTGCAGCTCAGAGGACTCCAAGATTACATGCCTTACAATAGAATATTGCAATTGAGTCAATCCTGTGGCAGACTGGGTAGTCCGGTTCATGGTTAAGGGAGGTCTGCAATACTCTAAATTACTGTTGATAACGGATCAGCCAGCCTGATCATTTTAAACCAGGTGATGTGTTTCTATCCATGTCAGATATCCAGCTGATCAAAAAAAGTTCATTGTTTAATCAATTATTTTCATGTAACGTGTTTCATACAAATAGCCTACCACAAAATGATGCTTAGCAAAATACAATTTTCATGGTAAAAGTGAATTACTGTACTTACAATTAAATAGTTAGTGTGAGCGTACTTCACTTTACAATGTGTGTTGCACAGGATTAAATAGATGACTGATCTGTTTCATAGTTTGAACCCAGTTTCAATGTGGCACAAAGCTGCTTAATTAGCATTTATTCTGATATTAAAACATTTTAAAAGTAGTTAAAGCTACAGTAACAATCTCCACCACCTGAAAACTGCATTAGGCACAGAAAATACCTGCATATCTGAAGACTGCTTTTGCACAATGGACTCAAATGGTATCAAAGATTGCTATCTATTATGGAAGAATTGCGGGGAGTTTCATAGCCTCACATTCTTTCAGTGTTTGATGCCAGCTGCGCTAAATGTACAGTCAGGTTCTTGAATGAACTCCCTTTTAGAAGACTACATGTATGTACATGTATGGTTCACTCTCCTTCAAGTCCCGCCTCAAAATCTTCCTCTTCGACCATGCCATCGGTCACCCCCCTTCCCCTCCCTTCTCCTCCCCGACCCAAGCTTGGTTCTGAAATTGCTGTACACTGTCCAGCGTCTTGGGACGTCCTCCCAAAGTGAAAGGCGCTATACAAATGTAATCTTGTTGTATTGTTACATTTTATTTTTACATTGTCTATTTTGTACTGTTGTCTATTTATTTGTTTTTTAGTCAATAATATGTTGTTTTCCGTCAAATTTAATTCTGCTTCTTTCCTTTGTGTATGTTACAGAACAACAAATAATCAAACGTTTACGGACATCGTTATTTTCCTCCATCCTGTGCCAGGAAGTTGGATTCTTCGACAAGTCCAGCACAGGAGAACTGATAAACCGTCTTTCATCGGACGCTGACTTGCTTGGACGGTCAGTAACTGTGAACCTCTCTGACGGACTAAGAGCTGTAGCTCAAGCAGCAGCTGGTGTTGGCATGATGGTGGGTAAAGTGGGGAAAAGAATAAACGTAAATAATGACAATGACCCATATTTATCAAATTTCTGCAATATTTAACTCCTCACTATTAACCCTATTTGTCTCTTTTTTTAAAATTCAAATAGGCTTGTAATGCTCATGATGCAGCTTGCCACAGGTATTTTATTATAATTGTGCAAATTAAATCTTATTTGAATAACTTGAGGGCAACAGCCTTTTCTGTGCTTTATCTTCAATGTTATGTTTTAAATTTAACTTTCTTCCACAGCGATGGATATGCAAAATATGTGTTTTACTTTGATCAACTTTCAAGTCTTGTATGTGGATATTTTCGCTGGGACTTCCTATTTTATACTGTTGACACTGGGTGTGTACTGGCTTATATGTATGTTCAGAAGCTCATTTTGCATTAGTGCTTGGATTGACTTGGATTATGTGTTAAAAAACTTAATTCATTATTAGTTCTGATTCCTCTTCAATGTCGCATTAAAAATACAAGAGTGTACATGGTGTAGTGGTAATAAGCAATATAGCGAAAAAACAATTCTACATAGATGTATTCAAGGGGAAGCTAGATATACACATTAGTGAGAAGGAAATCAAAGGATATGGGAGGAAGTAAGGAGTGGGTAGAGACTCGTGGAGTATAAATGTTGACACTAGGAGAGTGAAATGGTCTGTTCTTTGACGTAGGATCACCTTTGTGATTTCTCAAATCATAAGATCTCTTTCAGACTACAATGGGGAATGACCACCTATGGTGCTTTGCATACCAAATTCACAGTAGCATTGTTGATGTGCTGGAAACTGACTGCCTGTCTCCTTGGCTACAGGAACATGAGGAAGAAGGGGAAAAAATTAAATGGGTGGGAAATAAAGATTTAAAAAAATTAAAAAATCAAATGCAAGAATCGTTATTATGCTGATAATTATTCTCTGCTAACTTTAAAATGTTTTCTTTGCAAATTTACTGTCATTGAGACTCTTACTACTGGGAAAATGTTCAGCAACATATTTCTTACTGACATCTACAGCATGTGTACAGAACAATGCTTAGAAAACCCATGTGATCCACAAATCCATAAATAAAACTTGACCACATTTAGCCTTTTACACAATATAATTTGTAATAAATCCTATTTATCCGATTGTTAATGGGATATTTCTAGTGCAGATTAACTTCCATGTTTACCTATTTAATAGCAGTCTTTATTTTCTAATTAATTATATTTTGTAAAGCGCTCTGTGACTTTCAATTTTATGTAAAAGATGCCATTTAAATGCAAGATGTTGTTGTACATTGGAAGTCAATTCTGTAAATCAAATTCAAAGTATACAATTCAAAAATGCTTTTTGGTTCCAAAATTCTTGTTTTTTTTTGTTGTTTTAACAGTTCTACGTATCTCCACAACTCGCCATGTTTGTCCTTGGTATTGTGCCTCCTTTGGCTCTCTTCAGTGTGTTTTATGGCAGATACATTCGCAAGCTGACTAAACTGACACAGAATTCACTAGCAGGTGCAACACAGGTAACTTATAGCAAGTGCTCTTCCAGCTAAACTAAAGATGTGTAGAGTATTTAGTAGACATCAGATTTAATACACTAAGGTCAACCGAGATTAGGAGTTGGGACAATCCTGATCTCGATGATGGTTTATCGTGTGTCACTTAGTTCAGAACTCCGCCGCCTGGATTCTCTCCCGCACAAAACTCCATACCCCCATCACACCAATCCTTGCCAGGCGCCACTGCCTCCCAATTACTGAACAAATCGATTTCATGATCCTCTCACTCATTTTCATGTCCTCATGCCCTTGCACCTCCCTACCTATCCGATTTGCTTACTGCTCCACCAAATACCTCTGCTTGGCCAGCTCCAGCTTCTTGTTTGTCCTTTGTCCCCTCCACCATCGCTGGCCGTGCCTTCAGCCACTAGCCCGAAACTCTGGAACTCTCTCCCTCAATCCCTCCGCCTTGCCCCCTCTCCCCACTTTCAAATCCCACCTAAAGACCTTCCTTTTTGATTGTGCTTAGGGTCACCTCCTCCTGCCTTCTCCCCATGGCGTGGTATCAGCCTCCGCCACTGTTAAGCCTCCAGGACACTACCCCACATGAAGGGCTGTAACTCAGTGGTTAGAGCACTCACCTCACAAGCGAGAGACTTGGGTTTGATTCCCTGCAGGGCAAAACCTTGGGCAAGTTTCCTTACACCACACACTTGATAATAATCCCTCAAGAAAAAAAATAATAAATTGGTCACTTCAATCCATGACTGTTTGTAGGACACTGCTTGAGCAATTGGCTGCCGCGTACTATCATTGGTAATAGTAACATACAGTCAATTCACTTTACAGTATATTCTGTGAAGCGCTTTGAGACGTCTAGAAGATGTAAAAAACACTATATCAAATGCAAGGATTATTATTATACTATATAAGGGTCCTATATAAATGGAAGTTGTTGTTGTTGAGAGATCCAAGCACTCAGTAATGCTGAATATTTTCTTCTGTAGCTTGCTGAAGAACGCATTGGAAACATAAGGACCGTCCGAGCTTTTGGCAAAGAAAATGTTGAATTAGAGAAGTACACTGAAAAGATCGATTATGTAGTGCAACTGGCCAGAAAAGAAGCAGTGGCACTGGCAGTATTTTTTGGAGCTGTAAGTACAATATTAAATTATTCTATAGCTGCGGACAAAAGGGCATCTTCCATTGAATTTTGGCACCCCTCATAAATAGCTGAAAACTGCATGCCAACAGTCACTGTGAAGTTAAGAATGTTTACTCCTAAACAGATAATATCGCCTGTGTTTTTATATTCAAGGGTGGAGGAGGTGGGTTGTTTTAATATAGCTTCTGTTGTAATTGCTAGGTCAGAATAGTTACTGAGTTCTTTTGGAGTGGCGAGTTATCAGGAATTTACTGTTTTTGGTTTCCTTTTAAATGTTATGGTTGGTGCACTCTCCCTGGAGGGATGCACGCTGCTTGCCTAATCCCAGGTGTTTAGGCAAAGGATAGCAAGGAACCAAGATTTAGTTTGGGCATCTTAGAGTGTGCATTGCTGGAATTTGACCAGCTAAAACCTCTTGCTTACTGCTGGTCCATCTAGGATCACCTGGCCCGTTTTATCTTGCAGGGTTAAATGGACCAGTTGGGTGTAAATAATCTGAGTAGGAAATCGTTGTACCATGGTCTTATTAAACTCAAGTCAACTATTTTCCCTTGCAGACTGGATTAACTGGAAACCTTATTATCCTCTCTGTGCTATACAAAGGAGGTCTGTTGATGAGCACTGCCCACATGACCATAGGAGAACTCTCCTCTTTCATGATGTATGCCTTTTGGGTAGGAATAAGTATCACAGGTACATTTACTGATTTAAAGTCCATTTTATATCATTCTAGTCCATAAGTATAAAAGCCTCTGAGTATAAAACGTTCTAAGAAAACTTTCTTTCAGTGACATGATGGGATTCTTTTTTTAAAAACACAGAAATATCCTTTGAGTTATTTGATCAACATATCGGAAACACTCTGATCAAGGATTATGTGCATTTTGACCCAAATTAATCATTTTTACAGTTCATGAGAAAAATTGCTCAGATGTGGATACCATTATAATCATTGGTAAGCAATTAGATTAATGTGATGATTCTGTATACTCCGGAATCAGGGTACTGGCATATGGGATGGTTTCACTAACACCAGCTACAATCAGTACCACACTCAATTGGTTAGTTTCGATGTAGTGTTAACTGCAGACTTAGCCAGCCATTTAAGCATATGCAGGTCACAATCGAGCCGAATCTGTCTTCATCCAACCTGCACATATTCCAGCAGGGTTAAAGAGTGGAGGCCTTGGCCACCCTTCTAACCTACGAACACTTAAACCAATTGTTATGGTCCTACTGCTGAGATCAGCTAACTAAGTACAGTATAGAGTTGAGCAATCCATCATCAAGGATCAGGGAACTGGTGAGTGCTTCTTACGTGAGAAGAGGTAGATCTATTCCGACTCTGCTATGACAACAACAACAAGATTTCATTTATAGAGAGTCTTTCACGTCGGGAGGATGTCCCAAGGCGCTGGACAGTTGGGTCGGGACCCGAGCAGGGGGGAAATGGTCAGGGTGAGGGGAGAGAAGGGAGGGAGCGAGGCAGGGGTAGAGAGTCAATGAGGCTAGTTAGGTGATCTCCAGTCAGTCTAGGGTGGAACTTGAACTCTGGTTGTAGTTTTACTATATTGGTATTGTCATTACTTTGCCGTTTATACTGGTTAGATGTTCTCTTTGCTTTTTCAACTTGGGTTCCACCTCTTTGGTGTTTGTTTTACACAAGAATTGTGCATTATAAATGTATTTTGTTTACTTTGTCAGGTCTAAGCTCTTTCTACTCCACGTTAATGAAAGGTCTAGGAGCTGGAGATCGGCTGTGGGAACTGCTTGACAGGAAGCCAGCGATGCCACTTAATGGTCAGTCACACAGTTCATTTATAAACACAGAAGTCGCTGGGAACACACAGGAGGTCAGGCACCATCCATGGAGAGAGGAAAATGAATTAACGTCGCAGGTCAATGACCTTTCGTCAGAATTAGCCTTAAACGTTAACTAATTTTCCTCTCTCCATGGATGCTGCCTGACCTGCTCTGTGTTCCCAGCAACTTCTGTGTTTATACCAGATTCCCAGCATCTATAGTACTTTGCTTTTTTTCCCCACACAGTTTATTGATGTTACTTATCTGATGCTTTGAACAAGGAACAGTTATGGGGGAAGTTGCAAAAGACAAACTTAACTGTTTAACTGTAATTCATTCCATCATAGTCAAGAAGTGCATTTAGAAGTCTTTCATGCAGCAAGAACTGTTAGAAACAACACAGGCTAAAAATTGAAAGCAAAATATATGTTGAAATCTAAGATGTGTATGGATCATTCTAATTCTTTTTTTCTCTCTTTGGTCTTCTGGGCCACTCGCGTTTCGCAATACAGTGTAAGTAGGTTGCTCTCAGAACTTTCACAATACAACTCCGAAACTAATTGTAGGAGACTTCTGGATTTGGGTATTTCCTTATCCTGTTTTATATTAATTCATTCTTCAAGGGAAGCTTGGCAGCATACCAGTATTTCCTTTTGAGTACTACATTTTTTTAGTCAGCTGACACCATGTGGAACCCCATCATCAGGCTTAAGAGTATCCAAACCAAACTTTAGTTCCATGCATCCCACCTACATATGGAAATTCTCAAATATTGGAATAGAATGCACACACTCCCTGAAGGGATGCATCCTGCTTACCTAATTCTGGAGAGTATTAGGTGCAGGTTGGCAAGAGGCGAGACTTGGGGATCTGTGTGTGTGTTGAGGTACTGCTGGAGTTTAACCAGTTAAAACTGCATATCGTGCCATTGAAAGTGCTGTCTTGCAAGCTCTCCAACTCCTTGTACAGTTAGGACCATCCTACCCGATAGGGCTTTGGCTTGCGTGGTTAACAGGAGCTCACCTTGAAGCCAGTTCAGCTCCAAGGAAATCTTGTTTACCTCCCTTTCTATTCCCCCTCACCCCCACTTACTAAGGAGAATTGAGGACAAAATCACAAGCTTCACTACAAGAGAATACACTTTACTACTTTACTTTTACATTTGTGTAGCTTGTTCTTCAACAAGAAAACTACATGGAGAAAATGTGAGATGTTTCATTCTAGGGTAGATTAAGAGCATCTTCCCTGCCTATCAAATTTCATCTATATGAGTCATAGAGTACTATTAGTGGTGGTTATGTAGAAATGCATGGCTCTGCTCCTGTCCTTCCTAAGGTGGGAAAGTATGTATTGACAAGTGGGATATGAGAAGAGAAGAACATTATGTACTCTACAACCTCTATCTAATTGAAATGATTTATCTGAATTGAGTCTATAGGTTATAATTAATGTCTACTTTTGTTTTGTTTTAGAGGGTATAGTTTTGCAGTCTGATCAGTTTAAGGGAGCTATCAAATTCCTCGGTGTCCATTTTGCATATCCAACCCGTAAGGAATCGCCAATCTTTCAAGGACTAGACTTGTCTATTCCAGCGGGTTCTATAATGGCAGTTGTGGGACCCAGTGGCTCAGGGAAATCTACATTGGTGTCTCTGTTACTACGATTATATGATCCTACTTCAGGTACGTTATATTATAACACATACCATGCAATCAAACAATTGATGTTCAGTATATATTAGCACACATTTTAAAAATCTAAACAATAAGATTAGTGATTTACTTTCAAATACCACCATTTGACAAATATTATAAAATAATGGTCCTTGCATTTGATATAGTGCCTTTTACGTTGGAAGGCTGTCTCAATACACTTCACAGCACTGTAAAATGTAGTGACTATTTTGTTGGCAAAACCAGCAAGTGATTTGGGCACAGCAATATCCTGTAAACAGCTACCTATAACTGCAACACTGTAACAATCCATAAATATAATTCATAAAAGTGCACCCAGATAGAAGAATTACTGTCTGCTAAAATATTGAGATTTTAATAATTTCAAAAGCTTTGATTTTTATTTTGCTTTTGTTTCAGGTGCCATTACTCTTGATGATCATGATACCAGAATATTGAATCCGTACTGGTTAAGGAAAAACATTGGTACAGTGAGCCAGGTATGTACAACATAGACACAGTTTTATTATTCAGATTATGTTGATAATTGTTCAATGGATTTTTTTTATTGCCTTATTAGGAGCCGGTTTTGTTCTCTTGTTCCATTGCTGAAAACATTGCATATGGTGCAGTTGATCCCTCCCAGCTATCTATGAAAGACATTGAAAATGCTGCCAAAATAGCCAATGCTTTCAACTTCATCGAAAGCTTTCCTGAGGGATTTGAAACTGTTGTTGGGGAGAAAGGCGTTTTACTTTCAGGTAGACTATAAAGCTTGCAATTGAAATTATTGTTGCAAGAATTTGTGGATGAAACTACTTTAAAAAGTTACAATAGAAAGTTATTTCAATTTGAGCTTTTGCTAATTTTGTTTCCTTGTCAGGTGGCCAAAAGCAGCGGATTGCTATTGCCCGGGCTCTGTTGAAGGTAAGACTGTTGATAGCTGGTGAATTAATATTTTGAAGGACTTTCCTTAGTGGTTTTAGTGGAGAGCATGACTGAAGGTAGTAGGTAGAATTTTAAACATCTGAAATGTAATTTTTTACTGTGCAAAATGTATTACAGAAATAATCAAAGAAACATGTCAATAAATAAAATGTTTCAATACAGCTCATTTAATATTTTTATACCATTTTGTTGGCTAGTCAGTGCATTTTAATGAGATTAAAACAAATTGTAGTTTCATTTTTTAAAAAAGTGTTTAAACTGCAATTTGCAGAAGGTCTTTACCAATGCTAAACCAAGAGAAAGCTTGATGGCATGCTCACTGTGTATCTCTGCAAGCAAACACTAAAAAGTTAATAATGATTTTAAAAATAAATTTGAGATGCTTTGACCCGGAAGGTAGAATTTCACATTCAAACAGTTCTTCATCCCAACTACAAATTGGTGTGAAATGGATTTACCGTAATTGTGTGAATAATTCTTTATCCTGTTTGTTTCTAAACTATCAAACTCTTTGGCACCTTGTTAATACTATACTAAAGATAACAAATATCTTATTTAGCAAACTATTGGGAGATTTCAAATTACAAAATAGTAATCAACTTAAATTACTCTATACCCTAATTTTCATGTATTTCATGTAATTCAAAGTGCTTCACAGAATTTACTGTAATGTATTGTCACCGTATTTTGTGGGTAAACGCAGGAACCAATTTGTGCACAACAATGTCCTACAAATAGCCATAAGTGAATGACCAATTTAATTTGGAGAATTGTTGGCCAGGATACTGGGAGAAACTTCCTTCTCTTTAGTAGAGATCTGTAACGTCCACCTGAACAGGTTGACAGGATCTCAGTTTAACGTCTCGTCCAAAGGATTGCACTCTCAGCATTGTCTTGGAGTATCAACACAGACTGTCTTGACATGGTGCTTGAACCCTCAAGCTTCTGACTGATAGTTTAAAGTTCTACCAAGTGAGCCAGCCTGACTTTCAAATATTTTGGAAGTAACTCATTCTGATGGTCATTGTATATTTTCAAAAAGGAAATGTCAGAAATCAAGAATTATTCAAGGCTACTAAGCACCTAATTATTTTTCAAAGCATATTTAAAACTTATAAATAAAAGATAAATTCTTAATGTAACATTTCTTTCTCTGCCATTTAGAACCCCAAAATTCTGCTATTGGATGAAGCAACCAGGTAGGACACTGAAGCCTTTATAAACTTGGCTCTGAAATTAAGATGCTTCGGACTCAGATACATTTGATAGTACTCTGGGCCGCTACCCTGTGTGAGAAGTGCTATATTAATGAAAGTTGTTATTGTTGATAGTCATTGATGCAAACATTTTCTTTATCGACGTAAATCAAAAGCCTTCCAGTAATATGAAAATCAACTGAAATAACATTGTGTGAAATGTGCAATTAAATCAGCTCTGGCTAAGATGAGTATTTTTCAATGTACACTAAATCCTCAGCTAGCCAGACCAATGGGTGTGGGAGTGGCGGGGGAATGATCTGGTCCAGTGAGCTGGAATTTCCGGCTAAGGGAAATTACAATGTCAGCACTTGCCTTTACTGACTTTGTTCACGGCCGAAATATGCCAGTAAATGCCGGTACCGACATTGTAATTGTTTGAGTCCCACAAGCAAGAGAGAGTGAATAAGCTATCTTCTGCTCGCAGGATTTGAATTGAGTCAGTCCATATCCCTGCCACTGAAGGCCAGCGAGGACAGGGTGTGGGTGGGTGGGTCTACACACACATGGGCCCACTGAATTTAAAAAACTTTCATGCCTGGTCCAGCTAGTTATGAATTCTGGGCACCGGGCTAGGTAAGTCTGGGTGCAGACCTGGTACAGAAAGTGGTCCTGAGGTTGTTTTGGGGATAGTGGAATGACTTCGTAAGATTTACAGCTATATTGGAGTCGAACCCATTTCAGCATTGCAAAATCATAATTGTGGAATGAGTTTACCAACATTTGTCTAGCTTCAGACACATTCATCACATTGTAACCACAGTATTATTGTTTAGCTCATTATAAAATGTGCTAATGTTTATTTTTAATCCCACCTTTAGTGCACTGGATTCAGAAAATGAGTACTTAGTACAACAAGCATTGGATCGATTAATGGAAGGGAGAACAGTGCTGATCATTGCGCATCGTCTCTCAACCATTCAGAACACAAATGCTGTTGCTGTTCTTGACCAGGGCAGGATAATTGAATGCGGCACACATAAAGAATTGCTTGCAAATTCCAATGGATTATTTCGAAAACTTGTGGAGAAACAAACATTTTTACAAGACAGTCAAATGGTTGCTTTGAATGCTTAAATGTGCCTTTGATTTTGTTTACACATTACAATTGCATTGCTGTTGAAGGATGCAGGTTTTAAATCTGTAATTTCCACACACTAAAGTGCATTCCTGATCTGAATTGTCTGGAGGTCCTTAACAAAGGCCAGGTGCTTACTTTAGGGAAAAAAATTGAACGATAATTCCAGCCACATTTTGGAGGCAAGTTACAATGTGACATCAGGAAAGTCCTAGGATTGTTCCCCTTCTTGGTTGATGGGAAAAGCATGGTGGGTGGGGGGTGCACACAGAGAATCTATGAAGGTGAAATAAAACTAGAAAGGAAAAACTTGAATGACCCAACATCTTCTGTGGAGTATTAAGAATTCTTTTTATATTTAAGGATTTATTGTAAAGTGCTGGAGAAATACATAAACTTTTTCAACATGGTACAGATTTTTGACAGGGCACTGGATCCGCCTGACACTATATTGTGACATAACGGCGATGTATAGACATTACTGTTTTTTGTTGAAACTGGAAAAATAAGTTTAGAGAATATGTACAGGTATGTTAATTTTGTGAAATTTAGAAGGATATTAAAATGTTTATTATTCAGTGAAGAAAATTTTAAACTATGAATATTGGTTGTTTATATATAGATATGTATTTTAAGTTTCTACAAAGACACTTTAATCCTCTGTGGTCTATAATAGCATTTTTACACCAAATAAATATATCCACATGTTTAAATTCTGAATGTGCCGTGAATAAAGTAATCTGTGGTTTGAAATTCCTCCAATTTTAGTGTAATCTTCAGCTTCAGTAAAAGAACAGAAAATGATTAGTAAAGCCGTGAAGACTGGTTTCAAAAGATAATCTTGCAGATGCTGTTTTCAGGAGGCTTTCAAAAACAGGGACAAAGCAAAGTGAATTGGGGAGGAAGCCAATGTTGGACAGGTAAGGTGGGGGACGTGAGAAGCAGCCTGGTGCCCACTGAGCGAACGGAGCGGTTGGGTTTGAGTGGCACATAGGTAGAGTGGAGGGAGAAACAACAACAACAAGATTCCATTTATAGAGCGCCTTTCACGTCGGGAGGACGTCCCAAGGCGCTGTGAGTATGAGGAAATCTTGATCTGCTGGCTAATTGGGGTGGGGGGGAGGCAACAGAGCTTAGTGAAGATGAAGGGAATGGGTGATAGGCCTCAGAGCAAAGACATTGAAGTGAAAACATAAGCGCTCCCGAGATGCTACCCTGCATGACGGGAGCTGTAAAAATGCAAGCTGTTAATAGTATTGGTTACAATTCATAATAATATTCCTTGGGTTTGACATGGCACTTTATCACGTTGTTGACTTAAAGCGCTTCACGGAATATAGTGTAAAGTTCAGTGACTGTGCTTTAGGGTGAACGCGGCAGTCAGTTTGTGCACAACAATCTCCCATAAACCACCATGGATTAAGAGCAATTTTATTTGGGGGATTGTCGGCCAGGACGGGGAGAAACTCCTTTCTCTTTTTGAATAGTGCCAATGGGAACCTTTATCGTTCACCTGAACAGGCAGTCGGGACCTCGGTTAACATCTCACCCGAAGGCCGGCACCTCTGACAAGGCAGGGTTCACCCGGCCCAGCACAGCACTGGTGTCAGCTAAGTCGGTCATATCTGTTGTGAATAGACCTAGATTCTCACTTTGCTTCTCTAACCTGGTCACACTGCGCTCTCTCTCTCGCTCTCTCTCTCTCTCGTGTCTGCTCCCTCTCCAACAAAATACTCACCATCCAAAAAACCTCATGGTCGACGAAAACATCGACATTTTTCTCCCTCGCTGTAACCTGGATGACTCCAAGCGACACCTTCCCCCTACAACAACAACAACAACAACAAGATTCCATTTATAGAGCGCCTTTCACGTCAGGAGGACGTCCCAAGGCGCTGCACAGTTGGGTCATGACCCGAGCATTGGGGGGAAATGGTCAGGGTGAGGGGAGGCCACCCCACCCCTCACCACCCCAGCTCGGGTCTGTCTGTCTGTCTGTCTGTCCAGTGCTTTGGGACGTCTTCCCCCCGACCTGAGAGGCGGTTTACAAATATAATGTTGTTGTTGTTGTTGACGCCTCGCGGCCACGGTTCGAATCAGCGGCGCCGTCACCACAGCAGCCCTCTGGCCGCCAGCCAATCAGTGATGCCGTTCCATGAACGCGTGCGAAACAGAACCAATCAGCGGCGCTGGCGCGGCATCGGGCGGCGGGCCGCGCATGCGTGCAGGAGCCGGGCAGAGCGAGCGAGCCAGCGCGCGCGCGCGCGGGCGGGCGGGCGGTTTGAGACGAAGCGGCTGCTGGGGCTGCGGGTTCGCTGTCGGCGCCATGTTCTCCCCGCGGGCTGCTTCGGCCGTCAAAAGGCCCCACTCGGGCTCGCTCGGCTCCCCCATGAACCGGAGCGGAGGGGCCTTCTCGGCGCCGGGACGGAGGAGCGCGACTGCGGCCGGCGCTTGTGTTTACTCCCCGGCCTGGCGCTGCTCCCTGGGGAACCGGTGAGTGCGGGAGGCCGGGGCGGCGGGACCCCGGAGCAGGCCCTCCTGCCAGAGCCGCACACACCCGGGGGGGTGAAAACCTCCCAGTGCAACAGCTCCTTACGTTATCACACACGTCTCTGCTGCCGGGTTTGTGGGGGTCCAGAGAAGAAACTAACCGTTCAGTGTAACGCATATGTACTTGGGAAGCCCTCCCCGGTCTTGCTCCCCACCTTCCTCTGCGACCTCCTAACCCCCTACCATCCCGCCCGCTCCCTCCGCTCAGCGGGCTCCGGCCTCGCCCGCCCCACCATTGGCGGGTGGGCCTTCTGCCACACCCTGCGGTCCCTCTGCCTGGCCCCCCCACCCTTGCCTCCTTCAAGACCCATCTCAACACCCTCTACGATCATGCCTTCGATCACCCTCCTCCCCCCCCCGCCTCCACTCTCCCCGATCCCGACCCCCGGGCTCGGGTCCGAAACACTGACTGTCCAGCACCTTCGGGACGCCCTCCCAATGTGAAAGGCGCTACACAAATGTTGTTGTTGCTGTATGTAGCATCTTTCATTGTTGTACATTGAATTTATGCAGCAGCTTTCAAACCTGCAGCAAATTGCATTTATATAGTGGCTTTCACCACAACCACAACAACTTGCATTTATATAGGAATTTTCACGTCAGGAGGACGTCCCAAGGCACTGGAGAGAGGATGAGTGCCGTGCAGAACCAAGTGCCTTGTGTTGATCACCCTCCCCGCAATCCTTGCCACCTCCACTGATTCCCAAAGGATTGACTTAAGGAGTCTTGTTCTAACCTTTTCGAAATTCCTTCTGCTCTGCTGTTGATGTTTGATTCAACATTGCATTTACATACTATAGCGACCTGCACACAGGATAGTGTCTCATGGCGCTGTTACTTGTAATGTGTTTTTGAGGTTTGCAGTTTCTGCATTTTAAGCAACTATTTATTATCCAGTAGGGTAGTCTTACAACAGGTGGGATAAAAGGTGTATGGGTGGTCACTCAACTCCTACCCCCATAACTGCCTCTGTTTGATTATTTTGTGCCTTCAGTCTCCTACCTATGTATATCTACTGGATATCAATAATAATAATAATCCTTGCATTTGATATTGTGCCATATCATGTATTCAAGGCATTCAAAGTGCTTTATTCAAGACAATCAAAGCGTCTCACAGAATATACTTAAAAGTGAGTTGACTATATATTTTGTGGGTGAAATGAGGCAGCCAATTGTGCCAATTTGTGTCCTACAAACAGTCGTGAATTTGGTGAATTTTTTTTAAGGGATGATTATCGCCGGAAAAGTGATCTGCCAGTCGACTAAAGGTGGTATCAACTATCTCAGGAATTTGCATATGTAGATGGGATCCAAGGAACGATGTTTGGATACTCTTTAAGTGTGGTGATGGTTTCTGCATGCTGTGCGCAATTGGCTACTGGTTTTGCCCACAAAATATACAATCCACTCACTTTAAATTTTGTGTATATACTGTATATTTACTGTACACCCTGTGAAGCGGTTTGAGATGTCTCGAAGACCTGACAAGGCGCTATACCAAATGCAAGGATTATTATTCTTATGTATATGATGCTATATAAGTGCAAGTTGTAGTATTTGAATACCAAAATGATTACTGCTAAAGTTTAATCAAACTAGGCCGTTGTCCAATATTGTACAATACAGAGAGGTACAGAGGAGTGGAAGGGATTTAAAAAAAAAGATTATTAAGATGAGTTACGCTTTGAACACTGAGCTGTGAGAAGAAGCTGCAGTCTGTGTTTCATTGGATAGAATGAATCAGTTGATGTGATTTACAACCTATAGTGATTAATTAAGTAAATCTTAGGGAAAATTGGTATGTTTTTCACTTACCTGTCACGCATAGCGGTTGTTGTCTCAAATGAATCATTTAAATGGAAATCTGGTCCATTCCTTATGACAATGTGAAATGGGTATGCATTTTTTAGTAAGCTGAAACCTAAAGTAATCTAGTTTGAGGTACACTTGGAGAAACTGAATGCTTCTTTCTCATTCCTACATCCTTATTTTCTCAATCTGCTTTCTTTCATAATATTGGTTTCAGAATTGTGACTTGTAAGTTTTGATGAGCATTATTTCTTTCAGGTCAACTCTAACCCCAAACAGAACAGCACAGTACCAAATGGTTAGTGACACTGTGAATTATGATATCAGGAGTTTTGGATCTTCTCTTCCTGTTAAAGTTATGGAAGCTTTAACGCTAGCTGAAGGTAATTTTTGTTTTTGACGCAATGATACAATGGTGTGTTGCATGAAAAAAAATTATTGCTCCTTATTGCCTCAAACCATCTCAGCAATTTTTGTCAAGTGTAATGATGGTTTTTATAGGGGAACATTGCAGTCAGTTATTCTTTCCAGTTTCTTCCTAGTTTTCTGGCTATAGTAATATTTAAAAGGAAACTATTTTCTACCATTTTGTCCTACAATCCTAAAGTTATAAAAGAGATGGATATGTTTTACTGTGACCTTAGTTGTACATTGTTAATGTCTTGCTCTTTAGAACTGCTTGTTGGAGGCATTTTGACAATTGCTGAGATGTTTTGATGTATAAAGATCAACTAATATGTTAGTTATTTTGGAAGGTAATTTATTTACTTATTACAGAAATGAAGCCATTTTAGTATGAAAGTATACAAATGCAGAAATTACTAAAGTTTTTTTATATATCCTTTTCTAGAGGATGAACCAATAAGTGTTAAAATAAGTGAAAGTGGATGGACATGGCTAGTCTCTGGTGAAAAAGTGATTTTCTGGAAGATTGGACAGATGTCTGTTACTAAGGTAATAAACTGCACTACACTTATTTTTCTTTGTATAGAAAATGGTGAATTTTATTTTAATTTTTCATGAAAATTTGATAAGTCAAGGAGCGGAATGAGAGGGTGCTGGTTCAGGGTTGCACAGCGGTAATTTCAGGACAGATACCCAGAACTAGAGGATAATTGACAACTGGAGCAGATTGCCAGTTTAGAATAGCTGTACTGATGATGATGATGGTGGAGTATCAGCTAAAGGCTGATCTAGTGCATCACATACTCTTCACTTGAGAAGTGAGAGTTGGATCTCCGCGGCCTATACCTCAGACTTACCAAACCAGTGTGCAACCCAGGTGTCAGGTTTGACTCACATCTGGTCCCTGACCAGGATTGCCTTCTTCCACCTTTGCCATTGCCCACCTCCAACCATACCAACCTCCAGATGGAGCTGAAACACTCGTTCATATGTTTGTCACGTCCTGACTCGTCTTCTCAAATGCCCTCTTTGCCGGCCCCTGCAGCTCCACTGTGCACAGGATCCAGCTGATCCAAAACTCTACCGCCCACATACTCATACGTACTAAATTCTGTACCCCCATCACCCCAGTTGTAGCCAGGCTCCACTGGCTCCCTATTCCTGAATGAATTGATTTCCAAGATCCTCACACTCGTTTTCAAATTCCTTCATGCCTTGACACCTCCCTACCTCTCCGACCTGCTTACCTCGCAACCCACAACCCACTGCCTCTGCTTGACTGGCTCGGGTTTTCTGCATGTCCCTCGAGCCCTCCGTTCCACAATTGGTGGCTGAGCTTTCAGTCACTACAGCCCAAAACTCTGAAACATTCTTCCTCTATCCCTCCTCCTTGCCCCGTCCTTCCCCACCTTTTCGACCGTATCCACGATCAGTGTTGCGTTTCGGAATGCTACCCTGTGTGAAGGGCGCTCTATAAATCAAGCTGTACAAATAGATCACCAAAGCTTTTTTCTATCCACCCCCTACAAAAACATCTACAAGGTTCTGAAATAATAGTCATTGAGCAATATAAACTGTTAACTTTATTGTCAGAAAGTGGTTTGTGGCCCATTATTCTTGGCTTCTAGATTGTGTTTTTTCAAAACTGTTTTAGAAAGGAGGAAATAAATAACATTTTAATGCAGCTAAATACAAAGCAAAAGAATTGATGCAAGGAATATAATGTCTCATTGGAACAGTATCTTTAAAAGGATAGTTATTATATGTATGCTTGCATAATAAAACATTTTTGTTGATTCAACTTAATGTTTTTTAATCCAACAGCTGTCTGTATGTAAAGAGTTGCAGTTACCACCCAGTGAATGTCTGTTTGTAGCAGATCTAATCGCTGTATCTTATCAGAATGAAAGCAGTTCTGTACAGGTATGTGTTGTTGATTTATATTAAAAGTAATTGGTGGCAATGGGTATGCCTAACTTTATTTGGAACTACAGTAGCTATTTATTGCATTTTTTTTAACAGCAATAACAAAATTACATTTGTATAGCACCTTTCACGTCGGGAGGATGTTTAAATATCTGAATTACAAAAGTATATCAGTAAGAGCAACAAAACTTTGCACAATCTTAAAATAGATCTTATATAGAACTATAGTCTTTTCATATAGGTATTCCCCCATATGTTTAATAGCCTATAAAATACCCTATATCTGAACTATCTTGAGTAGCTTGCCTTTTGCTTCTTGTGAGTTATGGGATTATCCTAACCCAGTGAAATAAGTACACATCCTCAATGTAGATCTTGAGTAGTTGGATTAAAATGCCTTTTCACCTTCCTTCATGATATGTTACTTAAGGATATTATCAATCATGATTGAAATGGTCTAATGGTTTCTTCTTTGCATTCTTTTACAGTCCTTGTCCGTCATGGCAGCCTCCAGAGAAGGGACAGTACGATACTGGCCCAGCCTAGCACATGAAGGATCATTCACAGAGATAACTGTTGATTTGGGTGGAAATGAGTGTGAATTTTTGATTGCTATAATGGTAAGTCATGGTTCCAGCAATCATTAAAGTAAGTGTTTGAAATAAATCGATCCAGCTTATTTTTTGTAATATTATGTTAGTTTTATCAATAGCAACATTCTTACATTTCTAGATTTATTTTCAAAACTTGGGGGATGTTCAATTATTCAGAATGCTGGCATGGGGTGTCCTCCTGATGCAAAAGATGCTGTGTAATTGCAATCTGTTGTTGTTGTCTTTAGCCTCCCTACTCGCATGGGGAAGGCCTTGCAAGGCCAAATGTGGTGACGTATGATACTCAAGGAATATAAACACTGGAATGAACTGATTCAACACAGACCAGGAATGAAATTGTGAACCTTCTTGGTCTGTCTGGTTCATTATCTCTGCTCTGCATTTGCTCTCTATGAGCGTTTCGGGTCATAAATTTTTGCCTGAACCTTTGAATCTCATTTAGCATATTCCAAATGCTTTGAAACCTAGCTAACAATTCTATGTTTTCTGTAATTCTAGGGAGGTGGATTTATTTTGGCTTCCCATAGCAACCAGTTGTTGCGATTAACACCAGATAGTTCAGGCAAAGTGAGTCAGCGTCCTGTGCAGCAGAGTCAAGGCATGCTATCGGGATTAAGTCGCAGAGTCTCATCACTTTTTGGTATTTTGACACCAACTTCAGATGTTGTGGTAAGATTTTACTATACTACAGATCTACACAACGCTGACTGGAATATTTCTTAATGTATTTTAATATATTTACATTATTGATTTTGTTCCCATAAGAAAATCTATCAACTTATTGCAATAATAAAAAAAATGTTTTATAAGTATGTATGGACTCCAATTATATAATGTATTTAATGTATTATGTGTTATAAGGTGAAATTAACTCTGGTAAATTTACCTTCCCCGTGACAGCTGAAGAGTATATTGTGGGATGAAGAAAATGAGTGCCTGTATACACTTACTTCTTCCAGTCTGAATAAATGGGAAGTGGATGAAACATCAGAGCGACATGTTCTCAGTTGGGATTTAAACAGAGGTTTGAAGGAATATCTGGCAGATGCAATCTGGGTAAGATGTAATGTCAGAATTAAGACTATTTTAATTTTATGTGAGTCATGTGCTCCGTTTGATTCGCTCCGTTGTTGATGGGCAGAATCTCTGCCGTGCCTCCTTCCTCCTCACCTTCAAAATTCACATTTGAGACCCAGTAACTGTGCCTCCCCCCCACCACCCCAGCTCAGACTCCCAGTTATCCATGTGATTTTGAAATGTTCCCACTCTTTTGGGATTTTGTGTTTTCAACCTTTCCCCATCTCTTCCTAATTAGAAGGTCTGAGCTCTTTCTAAAATCTACTACCACCTCCCACCCACCTCCAAATCTAGTACTTCATGTGGGTTGGCAGTATTCCAGAGCACTACTGATACATCACTGGCTGGACTTGGAAGGGCAGACCAGTCACTGAAGGCAGGAAATCCTCCCACTCAACTCCTGTTAACCCTGCAAGTCAAAGCCCTAATGGGTGGGGTAGCCCTTGGTGGACAAGCAACGGGAAAGCTTGCCAGACAGTGATATCAATGACAAGCTATGTGATTTTAGCTGGTTGGACTCCAGCAAAACCCCAACACACGCTCTAGGGTCCCCAAGCCTTGGCTCCTACCAACATAAGCCTAATGCTTTCTGGAATTAGGTAAGCAGGATGTGCCCCTCCAGGGAGAGAGTGTGCATTCCATTCCAACAATCTATCTCTGGAGTTTCCACGTGTAGGTGGGATGCAGGGAATTCTGAGTTTGATTTCGATACTTCTAATCATGGAGATGGGTTTCTGTGTCTGTCAGACATCCGGCTGACCCTCTCCCCCTCAAATAAAAAAGCTTAAATGAAGCGTAATTGCTGACTTTATGTTTTATGCCAACAGTTTAGCTCCCACTGCCGGTCACTGGCATGACTTCTGAATTGTAGTTTGTTTTATGGGGAGATGAAGGAAATTACTGTTAACCTTGCACATAAAGCACAGTGGTGATTTTTAAAAAACTTTTGTTAAATTTTAGGGTTTAGATGAAAATTTTGAAGCTGTTAAGGCTGGAGTCAAAGTTCGTTATCTGGATTTGCAGCTGAGCAAGTAAGTTATTGTGTATTGCTTTTTAATTGATGGGCAACATTCAAGTTTGAGCTAACTTTTCCATAGTAGACATTTCCATATTCTCTTAATGATGAAGGAATATCTGGAATATTAAGAGAAGAATGATTAGTATGATACCTAAGATGATCGATTCAGTTCTCATTTTCCATTGCCAGGTGTGTCACCTTGGCACAAGATCAGTCCCAATGATTGAGGAGAAAGGAAATTGAGGAAAAGAAATTTAATCATAGAATTATACAGCACTGAAGGAGGCCATTCAGCCCATCGTGTCTGTGCCAGCTCTTTGAAAAGTGCTATCTAATTCAGTCCCACTCCCTGCCCAGCAAACTTGTCCTCCCCGTAAGATTTGCCATTTTGTACAAATGCAACTTAGAAATGTCTCAACAGTTACGACCATCTTCAATTCCTTCCTCAACACAAAAGAGGCAAATTACACACACATGGTTTCAGATAAGTTTACTAACTGCAAAGAACCATTCAAAGCACTGTGTAGTTTTCTTTCTATTTGGGAAAGAGTAAGATGAAGAATAGCTCACTGTGAGAGTCCCGGCAAAATTGCTTTCTGTATATAATTGTGGAACCACTGACTTAGTGGAACCACTTGGGAGTTACAATACAATATAATACAAATTCAAATTTATATAGCGCCTTTCACATTGGAGGATGTGGCAAGGCGTTTGACAGTGCTGGCTTGACAGTGTTACAAGCATATTTGACATTTTGAGGGCTTTGGTGTAACTCCCTATAGTAAGTAATATTTAAGTCCAGCTTTACCTGTTTCAGCTTCGCTTGCAACCAAACGATCCAATATGGAATGTAGATTGACACACGGACAGACATTTTGTCTTTATTAGTATAGATAGATTATTATATAAAATTATATACATAACGGGGAGGGAGAGGGGGAAGGGCTAAACCCCAGCCCCAGGTGAGGCCCCAACTCGAGCCCCAGGCTTCACCCTCCCCGGCTGGTTGTTGCTAGGCCGTGGTGCGGAGGAACCCGGAAACCCCGTGGCCTTAACGAGCAAACTCCGACATGGAGCCGCCCAGGAGCAGCAGGAAAAGCAGCCGAGCGGCTGCCGACAACTCCGCTCGAGGCAACTCCCACCTCACTGCTGCCATCTTGTTTCCGTCGCTTGGCTTTGCCTTAGTGCATGCTGTGTGCTCCGTGACGCATGATGCCACAGCGCCACTAGGAGTCAGCGCGGCCACCAGGTGTAACTGTAGTGTACATGTAACTGCCATACATGTGTGATGAGATTTTATTTAATATAACTTATCAACGATAGGATATCCCCGAAATAAATATGCCCGTGACACTCCCCCATGCAAGACCTTTACGCTGAGGTATAAATCATGTCTATGTCAATTGGTTATTGATTCTTAGTGGATACACAGATACAAAGACATTACGTCTTTATTAGTATAGATAGATGACTAGAAAGGCCTTGCATATTAAATCCCCCAAATAAACTTAGTTATTCGCATCATTGTTGCTGGTTGGACATTGTTGTGCACAAGTTGGCTGCTGCATTTGCTTACAAAATCCATTCACTACACTTTATAGTGTATCCTAGAAGTGTTTTGATACGTTCTTGCAGTGAGAAAAGTGCTGCATGAAATACAGGGGTTATTTATTATTATAGTATTATTTATTATTATAGTATGACAATTTTTTTAAAGGGAACCTTTATGTTAGGAAACTTTTTGTCTTTAAATTATTTTACTTTTTTTTTAGGGATGGTCTTGTGATTTTAACAGCGACATGGAATTTGAGTGATGAGCCTTGCCTGATCTACTATACTTTAACCACTGTCCAGGATACAGGTTATCAGATATCTGATGACATTAGATTGGAGGTCACTGAATATGCACCAGAGTATCACGTAATGTAAACTTTGTGCTACTATTGTAAAGGACAAAATACTCTCTCCATTTGGTTCTAACAAACTCTCAGTAAAGTTGGCATATGTGTTATGTAGTATTGGAAATTAGGATTGCATCCTCAAGGTTGTACTACAGTTATTATTGTTGCTTTTAATTGATTGTACTATACAATTAGAATTTTTCAGACTGTATGACAATTGCTTCCGAACAATTAAACCCAATGAAAAATTAAATGTTTAATTCCCCACTATAGATAAAACGTCACTTGCTTTTTTCTTCACCCTGCTCCATCAGTCAGACTGAGAACTGATGACTTGTTCATCAAGAGATTAGGGCCTCACGTCATATGGATTCTTCGGACTTTCCTCCATACTTTTCTTTTTTGGAGATGTATTTTAAGACCTGAATTCAGAATTTAAAAAATTGCAGAAGCTAATGGAAGAAACGGTATTTGTAAGTTTGAAGGAGAGGTTTATCTTTTAATGCACTTTGTATTGTATCTGAACATTGTATTGGAACATATTCTCTGTCAAATGACGATGTTTGACTAATCTTGGATTACTTCCTTTAGCCAGGTGAAGACCTACCATGCAGTCGATTTCTGATACCTGAATTTTCTAATCCAGCTGCTTACTTGTACTCTTCTGATATAATTTTTGCATGCTGTACTGGAACTGGGAGGAGCTCCCTGCCACAGGAAAAAATAGTATTGAATACACCAGGTATAGTTTTCCTTGAAACATTTCCAATGTATAAAGCATGACCAAATTTGATTTGAAATTCGTATTCTATCATATTGACATGCTAGTTTGAAAAAGATGCTTCAGTGCAAGCAGAGGAATTGGATCCAGGTTGGACATTGGTGTCTTAACAAGTTGGTGATTCCAATTATTTCTGAATTTAACCCTTAGACCGTCGACAGGTCTGTGAGCAAACTGGTTCTGTACTCTTAATGTTCTTGCTGGGTCATGGATACAAATATGGTCTAATGAACCTATTGTCCTGTATATAGGAGTCCTGTAGCTCAGTGGTTAGAGCACTCGCCTCGCAAGCGAGACCTAGGTCCAATTCCCAGCAGTGCAAAACTTTGGGCAAGTTTCCTTATTCCACACGGCTGATAATAATCCATTAAGAAAAAAACCCAATGATAATTTGGTCACTCAATCCATGACTGTTTGTGGGACACTGCTGTGCGCAATTGGCTGCTGCGTTTCGCTCACAAAAAATACACAGTCAATTCACTTTACAGTATATTCTGTGAAGCTCTTTTGAGGTGTCTCAAAGACATGAAAAGCACTATTATCAAATGCAAGGATTATTATTAGGTTTCTTGCTGTACTTTCTAGCTTTTTGTTTGTTCAGTCTGTTCTGTTCTCTTCACAGAGAGTTCGCACTCAGAATAGTGTTAGTGTTGGTGATTCTGGGACGGGTAACAGAAATGTCAGTGATTTGAGGGAAAAAAGGGTCCAGTCCTTTGCGGCCCAAACCTTAAAATATTGCGAATTTTTGAAGTGTATTAATTAACTAAGTGATTTGTAATAGTAAGTAGCGTACCCTGTATGGAAACCTGGCAAACCTTATGATTCCTTGACCTCTGGGATTTTCTCATTGGTTTTACAGGTGATGGCATCTTGGGTGCTGGTAGCTGTGCTGGTTCACCAGTCATCTTCTGTAGAAATAGTGGGCTCCTTGCTATTGGTCCTAAAGAGAGTGTATCTACATTGCCTGAAAACATCGAAGATTCACTGGCCTTGGCTGCTTCTGAGGCAGCACTTGAGGTATGCTTCCTCCAGTTTCACAGTATTAGGTTTAATTGCTTACATATTTAATCCAAATGTTTTTAGCTGTAAAATTTTAATTTTAATGTAATTATACCAGAACAGTGTAAACTGCTTCCTTCCTGGAAACTACTGCCAAACGTCAACTAGTAATGCTTTAGACAATGTTAAAAGTTGACCAATTAAATTCTATCTTTTCCCACTTGTTCCCCCAATATTTTGCATTTTGGATACTGACAGTGCTCCTTGTAGCTGTTGCATTATTGTTGATTTACTGAAACATAAAGTCTATATTTTGATTGAATGTATATTGGGATTAAATTTAGTTTTTTCTTCCTTTAAGAGTGATGCAGGGCAATCCTCTTCCAGAATGGATGTTGTACCACACGAAGATAAAACAAAGCTGTTGAAAACTGCATTTGTGCTGTTTTGTAGGTAAGGTGAATGCCTTTGGTCAGAGCCATGACCCGCTCTGCCTTCCCTCACCTCCGTAACATTGCCCAACTCCGCCACTACCTCACCCCTCAGGCTGCTGAAACTCTTGTTCATGCCTTCATCACCTCCAGGCTCGACTATGCAAACGTCCTGCTTGTCGGCCTTCCCACTCCTCCCTCCACAGGCTGCAGATAATCCAGAACTCTGCAACCCGTGTCCTCTCCAGCACCAAACTTCGTGACCCCATCTCCCCTACTCTCGCCCGAATCCATTGGCTCCCTATCCAGTTCAAGATCCTGGTCCTTACATACAAAGCCCTTCATGGCCTCTGCGAACTCCTATTCCCCTAACAATCCGCCCGTTCCCTCCGCTCAGCCGGCTCTGGCCTGCTCCATGTCCCCCGACCACCTGCCCCACCATTGGCAAGAGAGCCTCTGTCCCCAACCTCTGGAATTCCATCCCCCAGTCACTCCGCCTCGACCCCTCCTTAGCCTCCTTCAAGCCCCACCTCAAGACCCTCCTCTTCGACCATCCCATCAGCCACCCCCTTTCCCCTCCCTTCCCCCCCCCAGCCCCAGCTCGGGGTCTGAAATGCTGTACTCTGTCCAGTGCTTTGGGACGTCCTACTGACGTGAAAGGCTCTATACAAATGTAATCTTCTTGTTGTAAGGCATGTTGTAAGGTTCAAAATCGTGATGCTAATTTCAGATGCAGGAGAATCCTGTTATAATACCTTTCAATACTGTGCTACATCACTTGTATAACACTTGAATTCTTTACTAAATAACATTTCCAATAAAAGTGGATCATTTATTCATATTGTGTGATGGTTTTAACATAATGCAGTAGTGCAGCCTCATGTTTTGGTCAACTTTGCATTTTAGACCAAAATCCCTGTTTAAAACTAATGTGTTATGTACACTGGAGAGGTAGATTGAAGCTGATTAGGTTTTTGTACACTGTGTTAAACTGAAGAGAGTTTGTTTTTCTGATATAACATAATTTTATTGGTTTAATGACAAATATTGAACCCATTCTGCTGCTGGTCTAAGCATTCCTTTGTTTATTTTTTCGTAATTGTGACATACAGAAAGGATGTCATTGGTGCACAGACCATGTTGGAAGACATGTTTCCAGAGGAACATGATTTGGAACAAGATGAGGACCTTAACAGTGCTGTGGCACAGATTAGCCTTGATTTGATAAACGATTATCCTGCATGTGACCCACGGTGGGCTGAGTCTGTACCAAATGGTAAGTAAGGTTTTGCCTAGTTTTACAGGAATGTTTGGGGAAACGATGTGTCTTTTCAAAAACAACACACCACATCAATATCCCCAGCTGTCTCTGCACACTGCATAAGATATCTATATCTGTACCTTCACTATATCAGTTACACAAATGGTTTCTTTTGCGACCAATTGGATATAATAATAATCCTTATATATATATTCCAGAAGCACATTCTACTTGTGTTGGGATAGCAAAACAACATACTTTTTATTCCCAAAAAATCATCATTGTATTTCTACTCTGTCATCTCTTGCTTCTTTCAGTGACATTAGTGTTCTGAGAATGATGGACAAACTTGATTTTCATGCTGTCTTTTTTTTGGAGGTGGGAATGAGTGTTTGGAGGAGTACACAATTAGGTTCCATTACATTATTACTACTGTAGAAGGAAATATTTTACTCCAGAAACAGTTCATACAGTTTAGAAGAACACATTGTAAGGTGATTATTTGTACATTTACAGATGGAGGTCAATTTAGCAACACCTCCCTTCTGCTCCTTCACCAGCTGGAAGATAAATTGAAGGCATATTACTGTTTCATGGAATTTCTTCAGGAGGTAAGTTGTGTTCCATTCTGTAAAAACAAAATAAAATAAATTCTGCATTTCTATATTAATTTCTTTAGCAAGAAATTGCTTTGATTATCACTACACTTGGACTTTAGTGTTTCATGTAAAATAGGTTACATGGAATTATGTAAAAAAATTATAACCCAGTCACTGGTTATTTGGCCCAAGTAGTCTGTACCAGTGTTCATACTCCACATGAGCTTCCATCCCTCCTAATCTCTTTTCCCATAACCCTCTGTTCCCTTTTCCCTCGCATATCATTGTTTCCTCTTAGATGTTATAAATATATCAATGGTTTCTTAAATTTCTTTTACAGGTTGGATTAATTAATCGTCTTGGCACGGTTATGGTACGAGGAATGCCAATGGCAACTCGACTTCTGCTTTGTGAACATGCTGAGAAGCTTTCTGCTGCCATAGTACTTAAAAACCATCACACCAAGTTTCCAGATCTCGTTAATGCTGCTATTATCTGTGCTTTGAGCAAACAAAATGAAGGTGTTCCACAGAATCTGACTCCAGCAGATGTATTCTTTAGAGAGGTTTGTTTTTTCTTGCATTTACTTTCTGTAAGGTTATTGTTTTTCAATGGTATGAGATGTAACTTGAGCCGATTTTATTGTAAAATACTGTTGAATGAACTATTGCTTAGATCTGTGTCTTACATAACTGTAAGATGTCTGTAACTGTTTGTGATGTCTTCTGTTAATTATTTACAGCATGAGATAAAGCTTGGTTCTATCTAATCTTTGCATTTGTTGTTGTGCATATAATGTTAAGATGTTTTAAAGTGTTTTAGAAAGCAAACATAATTGTCAGGTAAGGAGAATAACATTTCCAGGAGTTTGGATATACCCTTTGAGATTATTATATTTATTCTTCAGAAAGTATATTATAGTTCAGTCCTGCCTCCTGCCAAATCTATTCTTTATTGTCTTATTGTTGGGTAATCTGTAGACTTGGATTACAGTAGGGCAGGAACTCATAGCTTCAATTTACTCAGATTACCTGTGAGCTACAATTTGCTTCATTGCCTATGGCTAATTCTTCATGTCTGAAACGAGTAGTGGGGCATAACACAATACAAAATTACATTTGTATAGCGCCTTGAGAAGAGGGTGATCGAAGGCACAATCAAAGAAGAGGGTCTTAAGATGGGTAACAAGTACCAGTGGTGTTGAGGGCCTTGAAGGTGAGGATGAGGATTAATAAGTAAGGTGGTCAGGAGCCCAGGAAAGATGCTTGGAGAGTAATAATAATAATAATAATCCTTGCATTTGAAATAGCGCTTTTCACGTCTTCTAGACATCTCAAAGCGCTTCACAGAATATGCTGTAAAGTGAATTAACTGGATATTTGTCGGCGAAACGCGGCAGCCAATTACGCACAGCAGTGTCCCACAAACAGACGTGGATTGAAAAAATGACCAATTTATTATTGTTTTGTTTTGGAGGGAATATTATTAAGCGTGTAGAGTAAGGAAACTTGCCCAAGGTTTCGCCCTGCCTGGAATTGAACCCAGGTGTCTCACTTGCAAGGCGAGTGCTCTAACCACTGAGCTGCAGGACTCCACAAGTCTCCATACACTTGACAGATTAGCGTACACAACGCCAGGTTAATGTGTCACCTTTTTACTGACTTCTGAAGTACATTATTCTGAAATGCACCCATTTTATAAACTATTGTCCAATTTCTGTACAGGTATCACAAATTGACTCTGTATTTGAGTGTTTGCTTGAAGAGGAGGAGCACTTTCTGGAAGAGACTCCATCCACCTCTCTGGAGTGGGCTCAAACAGTTGTAAATGTAAACCACGTCTTGAAGGTATTGCTATTTTTTTTAAAAAGAAGACATTTAGTTGCTGCAGTGTATGTGTTCAGTTTCTCTAGACGTTGTACCTAATCTACGGCTGATTTGGGAAATGGTAGATGCTGAGCAGAAACTGGGTGATTCTCTCAGATGGAAGGAAAATTGTTAGCCAGTACACTGGGAAAAATTCCCTTCTCTTTTTTGAATAGTGTTGAATGGGACTGTTAATGTCCATCTGAACAGGCAGATTTGATTTGACATCTCATCTGAAGGTCAGCAACTCCCAACAATGGATATTACTGCACTGTCAGCCTGGACATCAAACTCAAATCCGAACATAGGGCTTGAATCCACAATCTTCTGATTCAGAGTTGAGTGCAACTAAGCCTGACTGACATGTAGTTGATGCGTACCAGCACATATTTTGAATATAGAGTAACTGTAATGCTCCTGACTGTGCTCTGGTAACTCAGCACAGGATGGACGCTTCATGGTTTGCATAGCTCAGTACAACACAATGCTGTATATTTATCTCCAGAGTTATGTGAACTACCCTCAGCATATACCCACCAATTTGGGGATATTTTAAGACATTTGGATTCTTTTGGTTCCGGTACAGGATATGTTGCAGGCAGCTGTCCACTATCGACATAATAAATGTTCCCTCTACAAGTCTGGAGCAGAGGTGGAAACAGAACCTGAATGTGTTCCTTGGACAGGTAAGGAAGACGGCATTGACACGTTTGTACATTCTGCAATGTATTTAAGAATTATTCCTTGCCAAATGTGTATCCTAGATTACAATTTACAGCTTAATCTTACAAGCATCTTTTTACTTTGTTCATTGTTTACATACTTTGTTTTCCTGTTTATATTGTAAAGCTTTCAGTGGTCCAGGTGGAATACGGAACGTGATTGTGCGGCAGAATGATATCATTCTAAAAAAGGTGTATCCCCATGTGGACACTTCATTGCGGAATACTCTCCTGGAGCAACTAGTAGCCCTGCTTGATTTCTACCTGGATGGCTATGTGTGTCAACTCAAGTCTGTCGACAAACCTGATAGCCAGGAAAGATACAGTAAATTGGACATGGAATATACGCAAAAACGCTCAGACCTTCTATCACCTTTACGTATGTAGAAAGAATTATTGTTTTAAAGTTTTCTATAATTGCATTCAAGTTTAAGTGGAACTTAGATTCTGTGACATTGGTATTTTGATACAAATGTATGATTTGGGCGACCAGCAGCTTACAAACTGTCAGCTTCCTGGTTTGGATCTCATTCCGGTTTGCTGGTCTCAGCCATGGCTGCATGGGGAGGTTAAAATTGCCCCGATTTGGGAGGATAATATCAGCCGGGTTTACTGGTCTTAGTCTGTCCTCAGCACCCTCTGCTAGTATGCATGTTTAGCAGCCAGGTGGGGACAGGTGAGGCTTGGCTATTGCTGCCTACAGTTGTTTGGTCTGCCAATACTCAACACCTTTCAACAACATTGCCAAAGGAAATCATTTTCAATATTATTAGCTTGTCAGTTGTATGACAACCTAGTTTCTTAGAACTTCAAAATCAGATAGTAGTTTTTTTTATTAAACTGCCAGATAAGCTTCAGATGAGATGTTGCTTCCAATAATGGCTGTAATAAACACCTCAAGAACACATATTGCAGAATTTATGCAAGTATTTCAGGGTTCCAGCACATTTGCTCACAAAATACACCCACATCACTTAAAGTCAATCCACTTGACAGTATATCCAGTGAAACGCTTTTGAGATGTCTTGACAATGTCATAAAGCACTAAATCAAATGTAAGGATTATTATTCTCCCCACTACCTCACATGAAAATGATGGGCTTGTCGTGCCCCTAATGATGGCACTGACTAAATACTTTGTTACTTTCAAAGAACATTCTAACAATATGTGAACTGCACTTGAATTCATAAAAACTAATCATAAAATGAGATCTTAAAATCTTATTTTCTAGTGGGGTATCTCATCTGACGCTTATAGCTTGATTTTCTTTCATATTAATAAATATAGCAACTTTAATTTTATGTTTTTAGTTTCTCTTGGACAATACCAGTGGACTGCTGCACTGGCAGAGAAATACTGTGACTTTGATATTTTGATACAAATGTGCGAACAGACAGACAACCAATCCAGGCTACAGCGTTACATGACCCAGTTTGCAGATCAGGTAGTTTTTCCTCTGGTGTTTACGTTGACCTTCAATATTATCTTGGTGCTGTATATTTTATATTTGTGATGTACAGCAAATTATGTGTCATCCTGCTGGGAAAATACTTACTAAGCTTCTAGCAAACCTGTAATGAAACATTTTTGCTTTTTAAAAAAATCTCATCAGAGTAACACAGCAATATGTAGAGCACCACTTCTGTACAGTTTTGAGCAGGCTTTTGATTTCCCATTTCAAAATTTGAGCCTGTTTATCGCTGTCATTGTTATATTTTCTCCTACTCTTCTGAGTGAAAGAGGGGAAAGTTGGAGGGGTTTGCTCAATGCCATTTTATGTGTTTTGTACACGTGATTTAACTTTGGAGTGATGTTTATTTTGTCAGCATGGGCAGTCTTTTATGTTTATTGACGATCATTCAACACATGTGGCTACTTGACTGACTCCCAAGTGAGTACCATTGACCTCTTTGGTGACCATCATAACACGTGGATCTTAAAAATGAATCACAAATGATGATGAGCCCTGATCATTTATTTATCCATCATTGCACAAATTTTGTTGTTCATGTATCTATTGTAAAAATAGAATACACATTGGAGGCCATTAAGCCAAGTTCTGGGTGATCTAGTTTGCATCTTGTGGATTATGCAATCATAAATCTGATTTTGTATTTGGAAACAACAACTTGCACTTATATTGCACTTGAAATAAACTTGCAATCCGGCTTATTTTTTTCAAGTATAATTCAGAAATCCACGCAGTTCAAACGCTTATTTTGTTAAATCATGGTGCATTTAAAAATTGTTTCAACTTGGATCAATACAAAGAGAGGAGAAGCTAATGCAAGTGCCTGGTTTCACAGAATTTTTCAGACTTCCTATTTCGATGGTATATGGAGAAGGGAAAACGAGGGAAGCTTCTGTCGCCACCAGTCTCCCAACATGCACAACTCGCCAATTTTCTTCAATCGCACGAACATCTTAGTTGGCTTCATGAGATCAATGTCCAACATTTTGAAAAGGTACCTGCTTTTTCTGTTGTGATTGACTGACCAAATATATTCTAGAAATTTACTAAATTTACACGCAGCTGTTCTGAATGTCCTCTTCTGGTAAATTGAATTCCTCAGTTGGTCTGTCTTCAAATTCATTTTTTTTTTTCTGTGTCAGTCTTTGGCATCTTACTGGAACCAATTATTTTTTCTTGGTTTAATGGGATTTAGCATAAATAAATAACATGATAATCAGAGGGATAATTTTGGCGTGCTCATTAGAGGGATGAAATGCAGGTCCTATTCCACACTTGATTCTCAACTTCTGTTAGATGGATGTTTCCCACAAAGGGAAATATTCTTGTCAACTTGGAGCAATACTGTTTTTGGCCTTAGCTGGAGTTATTGCATGGTGTAAAGGAATCAGAAGAATACAAAAAATTGGTTCCCTCAAATCTCAGCTCTAAAATGTTTGCTTGTTTTGGGTTTTATCTAATCCAGTGAACTCCATCTATGATGAGAATGCATTTACAAATGCGAGTGTAAATTAATTTAATTCTTGCAGGCTCATGAGACATTATTGAATTTATCAAATGTGGAGGTGCGTTGTTTTGCAAAGAAGAAAACCCTCCTGAGCCTCAGTAAACTTTCAGCATTTGCTTCAGATGTCCCTGAGGACTTTTTGCAAGAGAAGATGGAGGGTAAGATCTGGGTAGTTAATGTACTTTTGCTATTCCTGAAAGAGGTCTGGTTGTTTAATATCATGTTTTTTACAATATGGTTTCTCTGTTGTATATGATTTACAAGAGACTTGAAGCAAACTTGATTTATTCAGAGTTTCTTGTAACTCTATAGATGCAATCCGTAATTAGCTTTCAGAATCTCTGCGCATCTTTGCTTCTCAAATTTTCAATATTGCCTTTAAATATTACTTAATTTTTATGTTACTTAAATATTACTTAAATAAAGTTTCACTTAGTGTGGTAGGAATTTCTAGTTTGTTTTAGATATGTTAACATTAAAGTGAGTCAGCATGTTAATACTTGTGAAATGGAAAATTTGTATCCTGTTAGAACTATCTGTTCTATCGGTAGCTTGTCCTGAGTCTTTTTGAAATATTTTAGTGATGTGGTCCGCCCCAGGCTTGGCACTGAATTATCAGCTTAGACTATAAGCTTATGTCCCAAGTGGATCTTAAATCCATAATTTTCTGAGAAGGGTTTAAGAATCTACCAATTGAACCAGGCTGACACCTCGAATAAAACTTGGTGAACAAATAGTATGTAATGTAAGTGCTGGGGATCTGTATTCCTCTCTGACTAACCAGTTCTCTATGTTGTATTATTATAAGAAATGAATGAGCAAGAGCGATATATGCTTCATCAAGAGACTTTGCCAAAGGAACTGCTGGAGATGAAGATGCTCAATATGAATACCATGCCGGTCCTATCTGCTTCTCAGCTCATCTATGTAAGTGTTCCATCGAAGATGTAAATGTACAACAGGTTTATCAGCCCCTGGAGAAAGGAAAGTTGTATTGTCCTGGAGATATTCAAACATTAAATATTAGTGATGTTTAATAGCATTAGCTAGTGCCTGTAATTATTATTTGCCAAAAATAAATATTTAACACTGTATTCAGTAAACTACAATGAGCTGGACGGGGTGTCTTTTTTGCCATTCAACCTAACTGTTCAAATTAATTTCTGTAGCTTTACATCAGTGATGAAAATACAAAGGCCAATGAATATGATTTCAAGAAAGCCCTAGATCTATTGGAGTATGTTGAAAAGGTAAGGACTTTCCAAACCTAGCACACCTAGGCCTGAATAGAATGGACTTTATGCAGAATATGGGGGCTAGTGAACATGGGACAGGGAAAAAATTGCCTACGAATGCACAAGTCACTCCAGTATAGTTCTGTGAAGCACTTTGAGGTGTTTCAATAAAATTAGGCATATCAAAGACATGGTGCATATTATTTAACCCTTCAGAGTTTTTGTCAAAGTGACCATAGTTTGTTAACTAGACTGGTTACTAACTTTTGATGTCATCACACTTTACCGTTCCGTTTTTTTAAATAATATTTTCACTGAAAGCTGTAATTCATGATTTTCCTCAGTGAATCTTTGCTAGATGATACCAAATGCAAGTATTATTATAATGATGACTTGTCATTATTTCTTTACCAATGTTTAGAATAACAGGAGATGATCAGTCTGATTCATAAAATAATTGGTTCAGTCAGTCTGACTAGGTTTTTTTTTCTCTCTGTTGCTCCTCAAGGAGGAAGATCTTGACACGGATGCCCTAAAACTTGAAATCTTCTGCAGAGCTATTCAGCGAAACAAGTGAGCCGTTTTTTTTTGATCATTTCTTTAACTTTTTTTAAAAGTATTTGAAAGTACTGCATGTATATTGATAGATCCAAGATGCCAAATGCAAATGACTGTAAACATAATTAAAAGTTTTACTATTTCTCAGTGTGGCAATATTTCATTTATGATTCCAGATGGTCTTCTGATTTAAAGGATGACCCTGTTGAAGCTGCAAAGGAGACAATATTAATAAGGATTCTAGACAAATTAAGGAATGAAGGTAAGGCTAACTTTCTTCAGTGCTTTAAAACATCACAGTTACTCCATTTTACTCAATGAAGCGCTTTGAGATGTCTCAAAGACGTGATAAGGCGCAATATCAAATGCAGGGATTATTATTATTAACTATTAATCTTTTAGCAAAAGGTGAATTGCAATAGCCCTGTCCTGGGGTTTCTGGTTATAGTCCGTTCCCTATATTCGACCAGCACTTCTGGCTTGATTTTGGTTGCATTGCTAAATATGCCCAAAAGTACTAAAGCTCTACATCTAATGGGAGGAACCATGTGATGCCATCATGTTAAAAAAGCCATCAATGAATATAAAAATACTAAGCAAAGTATTCACTATATACCTAAAGTTTATTCTGCTAATTTAGTTTAATGGGTCTGTTCAATTAATTGTTCAGCAATTCTCTTCAATTAAGTGTTTTAGTTTGTGTAACAATTTTTAAAATTTGGTACTTGAACAATCAGCACTAGTCATTGTTCAGTGAGAATACATCAATTTTAATTTTGTCTCATCGTAGGAGTTCAGCTTAAAGATTACTTGCCACCGGTGAAGGAGCTGCTGAACGAAGATTATCTGGGAGCCCTGAGACTAAATTCATACTTTGAATTCCTCTTGCAAGCAAATTACGAACATTACATAGCGTTGCAAACGTGATTGTAACTTTTTGACTTCTGTCCGTGCTCCACTGGCTCTTTTGGATGACCAAACTACAATCATTAAACTTTTATATCATATAACATTTTATACAGTTTGAAATGTAATAAAATGTTCACATCCAATTTACTCAGAACATGCACAAACTTATTCCTTCCCCAAGATGGTGCAGTGCTACTGATTTGCAAGATTCAAGGTGTATCAATCTAGCTATTACAGTACATAATACAGCTATATACAGAAATTACTGTTCTGAGGTATGAGTATTCTTGTTTTTTGCCCTGAATTTTATGTATCCTTCACATTTTGATAACTAACCTTAGTCAAAAGAGAATGCATCAAATCCAATAAAACTATTTTATAATGCCTGATATACAGATTCTTATTCTGCTCTTTAGAACTAAGAAAATTGCCATTTACTATTAATGGAGCCCCATCTTGACATAACATAACATGTAGGAGCAGGAGTAGGCCATTCAATCATGGTTTTAGTTTCTCCAACCAGGGGAAACAATCTCCCACTATCTACTCTATCATGCCCTTTGATGATCTTACAGGTTTCTATAAGATCCCCTCTAATTCTTCTATATTCTAGAGAATATTGGCCCAAATTGGTCAGCCTATCCTCGAACTCATCCCCTTCATCCCTGGTACTAACCTAATAAATCTACGCTGCACCCCCTCCAAGGCAAGTACATCCTTCCTTATATAAGGAGACCAAAACTGCACACAGTATTCCAGGTGTGGTCTCACCAGGGCCCTATACAGTTGCAGCAAGACATACCATTCGCCTTCCTAATTGTTTGCTGCACCTGCAGACTAACTTTTTGTGATTGGTGTACAAGGATATGCAAGTCCCTCTGGACGCTAACACATTCTTATCTCTCCCCTTGACCAAATTTTCACCACAGTAAGGTGCCCATTAAAAACCAGAGCTACATCTGATATAAATAACTTTAATTATACTATACTTCAAATTACAATGTATAAAAATAGCAGATTATGTATAAAAATACAAATTATTTCATTTATTGCCCAGTATTTTACAATGAAATTAGCATTCCCAATCAATTTGAAATACTAAAGGAACTATCAACTATTGTGCAGCAGAGAACTGCTTTATCCACAGACCAGAAAACTGCAGGTCCACATTGGGCACGAGATATAGATATAAAGTTAATGCAGAAATGTCTGAAAACTGTAGTTGCATGGAAAGTTGCCAGGAATATAACTTCTACCAAGTGGCATGAAATGCCAAGATCTGATACAAGAACAGGGAGAGAGAAGTCAGATATGAGGATATGTTTGTATTTCAAACTCAAGTGTTTGAGAGACAGTGAGAAACGGGTAGAGAAAGCTAATACTGTATTCTAGAGCCTGGCTCAGTTGGTAGCATGCTCGCCCCAGCCAGGTTGTGGATTCAAGCCTCACATGGGACTTGGAACTCATATAGTCTAAGCCAGTGGGGCCAACCCAAGGGGGTGTTAAGAAATGGCCGAACATTCACACTAGTTTAGGTACGTATGTGTTAAATCCATATTTTGTTTCTAGTAGCTACTGAGAAGCAATATTTATAGTGTGGCCACAAATCAAAAAGTTGATCACTGCTGGTTTAATCTGACACTACATACATTGCTGGGGGTGTGGTGCATTGTCGAAGTTGCCACCTGGACATTAAAGACCATGACATTATTGNAAAAAGGAGTTTTTCCTTTGTCCTGGGCAACAATTATCCCAATGGCTGTTTGTGGGACACTGCTGTGCACAAATTGGCTGTCATGTTTGTCCACAAAATGGTCACTCCCCTTTACAGTATATCTTGTGAAGTGCTTTGTAACATCATCCCAATGTGAATGGTACTACACCAAATGCAAGAACTATTATAATTTATATAATTCTTTCACATTGAGAGGACATCTCAAAGGCGCTTCACAGGATATACTGTAAAGTATAATGGCTATTTTGTAGGTGAACGCAGCAGGTAATGTGTGCACAGCATTGTCCCACAAACCCTCCATGAAATGAAAGACCAGGATAGTGGGAGAAACTCCATTCTTTATACTATATGTATAGCAATAATGTATCTCCTGATTGAAAAATGTGTGTTCAGTATTGTACATGTCGGTTTTCATGTCCACAATAAGAAGTCTGATTCTACATTGGGCTCTTGTCTGTAGTTTGATCTAATTAAGTTAACGCATTCTCAATATGTAGGTAAAGTGGTTCAAAGTAAGGTGATGCTTGTAACTGGATCCAATTTTCAAGTCAGCAGCAGAATAATACAGTACTTACTAGTGGAAATTAAGCCTCCCACACCACCTGTGAAAGGTGTATGGGATCAATAGAATATCAAATTAAACCCAGCATTACTTGTTGAGCTATAGTTTAATTTAGATAAAATGTTTACGAAAATTTTGAAATGTCAGCCTGTTATACACACGGACCTTGAACAGATTTTCCACTTTAATATGAAACTGCTCATGGATAAAGGATTAAATGTTATCAGCAGAGAAATCCTGTTTCCAGAGAAACTCTGTGGTGTACTCATTGCCATGATCACAGCTTTCTTCACATGTGTACACAGCCAGTGTCCCCCAATCGATGCTCTCACCAAGACTATCAACTTTCAGGTAGTAAAGCAACTGGGGCATTATCTGCAAGATGAAGGATAACACAATGTCAAAAATACATCCTCAAATGGTTCTCAGTCAATGGAGTATTTTATCCATTAACTGTTTATTGCAGCTAATGTGCAGTGTCTCGTTCTCCATTAACTTTTTTGTACTATTTAGGCATTTCATGGGACATTGCTATGCACAAACTGATTACACATTCTACAAATAGTCACAACTTCACAGTAAAATCCTGTGAAGCATTTTGTGACAACAACATATCAATTAAAAGTATTACTATAGTCTACAATACAACTTCACATTGCCATAGTTCTGACCAGTAAAGACACTACCACAAAAATGATGTTAGGAAGATTTTCAGGAACGATGAGAACTTCCATAACTAAATTAATAAATGAGTATTCTCCAAATTGGTACAGAAAGGTTGTTCCGAATGCCAGCAGGTTCACAAATGCAACTGCTGACTTGAGAGCCTCAGAAATTGGCTTTCGAACAAAATTAAAAACCTTAGCCTGGAAATTCCACACGTATCAAGTCAAAATATTCTCACATTACATGCCACATTTTATACCCAATGTGAACATTTTTCTTCATTCACAATTACTGTTTCAAAGGAGTGTGTTGATAAATACCACTTTAAGTGTAAACCTTAGGTTTCCTCAATGTGTTTTTGTAAATTTCAACTGGTTTATCTTTAATAGCAAACACACCATTGCACAATTCTCTATCATTTATTATGTAGCCCTAATCTAGTTGTGATTATACTTTGACAGAATACATACTTGAAATTCAAATATACGTTTAGCACCACATGAGCAGTTGGGGATATCCGTATCTTTGGGAATATTTTCACCAGACACCCACAATGGACTTCCTCCTCTGCAGTAGCGGAGCACCTAGGAGATGAAACATTAGTCATGGTCAACACAGTGCTTGTTCAATGTATTTTGAAATTCTATCAAGCTCACTAAACCAATGAAAAAGTGACTTGCTGTAGCTGTCTTCCTCTATCAAGGCAGATAAAATAAAAATAATATACAGAGCATAGTTAAATACAAGGTATGCTCTTTGAGATGTCTAGAAGACGTGATAAGGCGCTATATCAAATGCAAGCATTATTTTACTTTAAAGCATACAAGAAAATGCTTTGTAACAATATTAGCACTGAATTAATATCAAATTATACCGAGAAGGTTTATATTTGTATTATCACCATTTATCTATTTATATTCCAGAGGAGCATACCACTGACATTTCTACAAGATGTAGGCATTAGCACTAAATATTTCCAAACCCTAACCCAATCATCATGTCTGAAATAAAGCAGCTGAATGTCTGCGATCACCTTTCCCCGGTTTCAGTGTCAAGTTCTTCCACTGTTAAATGCTCCGAGACACTCTCTCATGTGAAGAGTTCTACATAAATGCATGATGTTTTTGCTCACTTTATATTGGATATTTAAAGTCAATTGACACTATTCACACATTGAATGAACAGTACAATTGCAGTAAAATGTTTAAAACCTCTACATCCGGTGATTTGGATCAGCTAATTATACATTGTTTTCTTCTCTGAATCATTAACTATTGTATATAAAAAAACATTTATTTGTGGATTGTACAAATATATATAGATATAAACTCACTTTAAAATATATTCTGTGAAGCTCTTTGAGACATCTCAAAGTGATAAGGCGCTATATTAAATCCAAAGATTATAAACTGTGTTTGGGGGAACACATTAATCATTTAGAGCACTATAGCTAATCCAATGTCTGAGTAGATTTAAAGAACTACTTGGATATATTCCTGCCATTGCTGAAAATATCTGGCACGATACCTGGGCCTGCATAGTGATCTTAAGGGGTCTAGGATATATATATATTAAATGTACATATATTTGTAATTGTTTACCTGATCAGGCGCTAGTGCAATCTTCTTCTTAAATATATCAAAGATCTTATCTTCTTTCGTCTCGTGCTTTGCCATAGCCTCCAGTTCCTTATCGTCCATGGAACACGTCACAGAATCTGAACACAACCAGAATATTTACATTATTCTAAGAACGCTCTCTATTCTTCATTTGTTCATATTGGTTTCTCTTGTCAATAGCATTATAAAAGGATATTTTTATTGCCACATTAATATTAAAATCTGTGATTTGGAATGTAAAACTGTATGAGTTAAGGAAATTGAAATAGCATTAAACCATCCCCTGCAGAGTTGGATTTCGATGTGACCAATATCGAGTCTTTAGAACCTGTAAATCTGACATCGCCAGTAAACATTTCAAATTGAAAGTTGTGAGGGAGGGGGTGAAAGAAAGGAGCCTGCAGCATACATGCTCGGTTCTCAACACAAACTAATCTACCCTTAATTTTCTCTTCTACCTATTTTCTCGGATTTTTCAAAACTTTCTATTTTAATTTTGTACCGTAGAGCAGAATCCAAAATGTAGGGTAGTTAGACACTAGACTAGGCTAGGTTGTAATCCTATGAGCTTTCTATTACCTGGTTCTATGTGCTTTTTATGATCTTCCGACTTTTGATCTTCTGCACCTTCAGGAGTTGCAGTTTGTTCTTCCTCCAGTTCCATCACTAGTTCAAACTCTGGGAAAAGGAAGTTGGGCAACTGCACGACATCTTCTCCTTCACCTGTAATAAAACTCTAGTTTAGAAGGAAATTGGTTGGGTCCCTAAATTTGATTCAGGTCTCTCCCCATCCCAATCCACCTCGGAAAACCTCATAATGTTACACCCAACTTACTCTTCTATAGAAGCTGTGCTCTCCGCTACCTTGCCCACTATTCAGGAGAGCCTTGATGCAAAATATTAGCAAGGTTTGACCCAGAGACCATCATAGCCAAATCTGATCCCAGCCAACCCTGTCGTCCAAACGCGGTCTCTGGATAGTGACGGGGCTGAGGGTTAAAGGCAATGCCCCCCCCACCATACATAAGGACAGTTACTATAAGGTTGTCTCTGCTACTCTTTGATCAGCCGGGACATTACTCTCAGGGCCAGGGCTCAACCTCTAACATAAGGTGACCATACGTCCCTGATTTCTAGGAACAGTCTGAGTTGAGGGGGAGAGGCTTCAATCAGGGGGACAGAATCACCGGGGGCAGTCAGGTTTCAGTGAGTCCAAGAATGATGAAAATAATAATTCTTGCATTTGATATAAAAGTTTTCACGTACTCGAGACGTCTCAAAGAATATACTCAAAAAATTCACAGAAAATACTGTAAAGTGAATAGACTGTCTATTTTCTGGATGAAATGTGGCAGCCAATTGTTCTCATCCGGGACAGGGTCATGGATCATGAGGGCTTTATTTAAGAGGGAGCCAAGATTTTGGAAAGAAATACGAGTTGTTGAGCTGGTGGAGGGAGGGCTTTAGGTTCTGGGGGAGAATTGACTAGAGGGTGGCGGGGAGTTGGGAAGGGTAAGGATGTGGATGAAGGAATGGATGTTTGCCTTTCGGAGTGGGGGGGGAGGCCGGCTGTTTCCGGGAGAGTGGGCGATGGGGCAGTTGGGGTGGCTGGTTTGGGGTAACCATCGCTGAGAGCTACGATGGGCCTGGCGGAGGATGCCCAGGTTGGAGCACAGAAAGGCAGTGATGGGTCCAGGAGAGTGAGAAGGTGAGGAAGACGGTGGGAGAGAAGGACTGATTGGAAGTAGTGGAGTGTGGGGATTAGAAGGGGGAGCATTTTCAGGGGGAGGGGGCGGCTCGGCAGCCAAAATGCGCACGTGGAGACTGGGAGCAACAACAGCAACAAAATTACATTTATGGAGCTCCTTTCACGTCGGGAGGACGTCCCAAAGCGCTGAACAGTCAGATGTCGGGGCCCGAGCATAGGGGAGGGGTGGTGTAGGGGTGAGGGAAGGCAGAGAGGTGGGAGGGCGACCAAAGGCACAGTCGAAGAGAAGGGTCTTGAGACCGGCCTTGAAGGAGGCAAGGGAGGAAGCGAGGCCAAGGGACCGTGGGATGGAGTTCCAGAGTGTGGGGGCAGAGAGGCTGGAAGGGCAGGTCGGGCGGGAGACATGGAGCAGGCCGGAGCCCGCTGAACGGAGAGAGCGGGCAGGTTGGTAGGGGGTCAGCAGGTCAGGGGGCAAGGCGATTAGTGGGACCTGGTCAGCCCGCAGGCGTGGCGGGGGCTCGGGGAGACCGTCCGCACAGGGGAGAGACAGAGGGGATGGCACTCATGTTTCTGTTCTAAAACAGATACACTCATCAGAGAAACAGCCATTAATCCAACAAGTTTCCCAGTGCCGCCAGCAGCAGGAATTCTGGTGAGTTACATTTGTTATATGTGTCCCAGTATTTGATTACTATTAATAGTAATAACAATCCTCGCAGTCGATGCCTGATCTGTCGAAATCGTGTAATGGTCTAAGTCGTACCTCAGCCGGAGGTCCACGTCGCGAGTTTATATTCCGCATAAGTTTGACATAACTCAACACTTTGCCCAGGTTTCAGTCAGCGCTTCGGGACGTCCTCCCGGACGTGAGAGGCGCTCCGCAAATGCAGTTCTGTTGCCGCTGTCGTTGTTGTCGCCGCCGCTGCTGCTGCTGCTGTCGTCGTTGTTGTTGTTGTTGTTGTAAGTCGTATTAAATGCACGGTCCCAACTGATACGACTTACGTGAACGTTTGCTGCGTGGGTGACCGATCAAGCGTAGTGACTGTGCATTTTGTGGGCGAATGAGTGAACACGGTGGACCCCCCCCACCCCCGAGCCCCCTCCCCCGAGCCCCCCCCCCCCTCTCTCTCTCTCTCACCTGGGGGCCGCTGACAGGCCTCCCGATGCCCCGCTCTCCAGTGGGCCGCCTGGTGCTCTCTGCCGCAGTAGTGAGCCCGGCGGCAGCGGGAGCAGCTCTTGGGGGCGGCGGCGCCGCACACGCGGCACAGCTTGAGTCGGGCCTCGGCCCCGGGCGGCGGCGGCGGCCGGGCCCCGGGGGGCGGGGGCGGGCGGGGCGGGTAGAAGGGGTTGTGCCGCGGCAGTTGGCTGCGGAGGGCGAGGAAGGAGCGGCGGCCGCAGGCGGTGCGGCGGCGGCAGCAGAAGAGCAGCAGCGCGCGGTGGAAGGCGCGGGGGAGGGGCCGCGGGGAGTACACCTGCAGCAGGAAGAGCAGCGGCTCCCCGCAGCCGCCACACCGGAGCCGCTCGGGGCCCGGCAGCGGCCCCAGGCTCAGCCAGGCCGGCCGCCCGCCCACCTTACTGGGGAACTGCGAGCTGCCCAACCACCCCGGGCCCGCGGCCGCCTCCACAAACCCCAGCTCCACCCGCCCCGAGCCCGAGGCCGCGGCCTCCCCCTCCTCCTCCCCCTCCCGCCCCGGGATGCCCACCGCCGCCTCCTCCCCCTCCCGCCCCGGGATGCCCACCCCCCGCCCCGGGCTGCCCACCCCCCGCCCCGGGCTGCCCACCCCCCGCCCCGGGCTGCCACCGCCGCCGCCTCCTCCATCACCATCACCATCCCCGACGCCGCCATTCCCGGGGAAGCCGAGCCCGGGCCACGTGTCCACCACAAATCCTCTTCCCCCCGACCAGCGGCGGCTGGTGATTTTGGTTCCGGCCGCGAGCGAGTGAGTGAGTGAGCGAGTGAGTGTCTGTCACTGTCTCTCCGGCTGACGTTGATAGACATTGGGGGCGCCTTTCACACCCGGAGACTCTCTCCAAAGCTCCTCACACAGGAGCAGTCAGAGCCAGAGCCAGAGTCGGGGCCCCCACAGTCACACATGGCCCCCAAGCCACCCCCGGGGCCCCGCGTGACTAGTTTAAGGATTTCAGGTCTTTCCAGGAGTCTGTTGTCTGTCGCCTCGCCGACCGCCGCAGACTGAATTGCCGGCGGACTTCAAGCCGATAATAATAATAATAATAATAATAATCCTTGCATTTGATATACCGCTTTTCACGTCGGGTGGACGTCCCAAAGCGCTTCACATAACACACTGTAAAGTGAATTGACTGTATATTTGTGGGCGAACGCGGCAGCCAATTGCGCACAGCAATGTCCCACAAACAGTCGTAGATTGAAAATGACCAATTTATTATTGTTTTTGGTTTTGGAGGGATTATTATTAGGCTCTGTGTGGAGTAAGGAAACTTGCCCAAGGTTTCGCCCTCTGCCTGGAATTGAACTCAGGTCTCTCGCTTGCAAAGCGAGTGCTCTAACCACTGAGCTATAGGACTCCTCCAGATGGTAAGTATGAGTAAGCATCTTAGACGCTTTGAGGGGAAGGAGATCGCTTTCTGGACAGATCGATGCCCGCGAACGAGCAGAACGGAGAGGAGCGGTAATGGAACTCCCTCAGGAGAGACCAAGGCCAAAGGGACCCATCTTTTAGTGATTTGCCGTTTGGCTAACGAGGCAAGACGACCCTGAGAAAAACATTCAAGGACAGGTCCAGAAGGGACTTCTTTCTTCCTGTAATCGTCGTTGCGTTGTCCAGCTTCATCGAGCGGTTTAGTCGGGTTGAGCTTTTCTAGCTCTGTTTGGTTTTCTGTTCACCACTGAAGAAACGAGGAAGGTTATGAAAGAAGGCAGTCTGGAAGAGCGATGCAAAAATCTGGCGCTCACAATGGGTGCTATTTATCCATCTGACATAGCACTTGAAATTCGTGCGACCGTGGACACTTATGCGGTAAACCTTTCCTCCACACCACTTGATATGCTTCATTATATTTACAAAAAAAGACTTCTAGGCCTTTATCATATTGTCTGCATTGCTTTCAGATTGCTGTTGATGGTGCCTGTGACAACTGCAATTGCATCAGACAAAAGAAGCTGTTCCCGACCGAAATTGATAAAGGACTATTTAAGGTCAACTGTGTTGCAAGACCATCTAGTTTCTGAGTTGTCATACAACTCATATACTGAATTAACATCGGTGTTTCAAGACCTTTATAATCGTTCAATGTCATTTACTCTTGCTTTATTTATCGCTTATCAACATTTTGTCAACTATTTTTATATTACCTATTGCAAACGTGCCTTTTCACGATCGGACGCGAGCGGATTTGACACCAGATTATGTAGGTAGTATTTAGTATCTTCGTCTAGTAAAATGTAGGGGTCCGAAACTGAACCTTTGTAAGGGACCACCGCAAGACATACGCCACCCCTGAGCAAGCTGAGGGGGTGGGAAGGGGAGGCATGACTGAAAGCAGTCAAAAAGGTATATTTTGAGACATGCCTTCAACAAGGGAGAAAGGGAGCAAGTCAGGGACTCTGGGATGGTGTTCCAGAGAGCGGGGGCAGAATGGCTGGCAGAAAGTGGATCGAGTTCAAGAATCTGTCCCATCTTTAAATCCATCTACAGTCTTTATTCCTCCCCACCTCTGTGTCCACCTCAAACTTGAGCAAACTGGTAATAATAATAATAATAATAATCCTTGCATTTGTAGTTCCCTTTGCTCTATCCATTTCCACCATTGGGGGTTTGGATACTCCTAAACATGGTTAAGGGTTTCCACATGTCAGACAGAGGTTCTGCAGCTCAATGTTAGAGCACTCGTCTCGCAAGTGAGAGACCTGGGTTTGATTCCCAGCAGGGCGAAACCTTGGGCAAATTTTCTTATTCCACACACCTGATAATAAACCCTCAAGAAAAAACAACAATTATAATTTGGTCACTCAACCAACGAGTGTTTGTGCGACACTGCTGTGTGCAATTGGCTGCCGCATTTTGCCCACAAAATATAGTCCATTCACTTTACAGTATATTCTGTGAAGCGCTTTGAGACGTCTAGAAGATGGGAAAAGCACTTTATCAAATGCAAGGATTATTATTATTATTATCTGGCTGACAAAACTTTTTACAGAAAGGAAATTTCCCAAACGGAATCAGCAATTTTGCATTCCATCATCCCAAGTTTGCCAATACTTCTCACTTAAACACTATGCAGCTAAACGCAGTGGGTGAAATTCAAGTGTGAAATTATGGGCAGAAAACTCCCATTTTCACTTTAATCACAGTCCAGGTCATAAATATATAAATTATTTATTGCACTGATCTGTGCAGACTTACACGTACAAATACACTCTATACAAAAATATGAAAGTACAGTACCTGGTGGTACCTGAACAATTAAAAAAATGGAATACCCTGAGAACAGGAACAATAGCCTCCAGACAGGTAAACAAATCACAAGCACGAAAAGATCACTACATGCTCCGGCATTACTCAGAACAGCATAAACACAATCAAAGGAATATTATTTAGATAAATAAATCAAGCACATGCTAGACAAACTGAGCAATGGGCAAAACAATATCGCTGGGTCTTCAATAATTCAAATGTCTGCGGTGATGATCAGGTTTGTTAAATGTAAGATACTGCTATTTTCAGACTCTCACTACTCATACATTCACAGCAATGACAGTACATTTTATACACTTGCAAAAATGTGGTACCTCTGATCCTACCAGACAAGCTCGCTCTCTCAGTTGCCTGGAAAACAGTTAAAGTAACAGTGTGGTAATTGATCCTCCTTTAGGGTCCTATGTTTGTTTCTAAAACAGATGTGCACAATTTCTTCATGTGAAAAATGGAATATTGCACTGGTAGCGCTGTGTTTCTCGGGGTTTATGCAACAAATGAATAAAAACCTCAATTACAATTAATGTGTACTTGTGTTTGTGAGTTGTATTCACAAAATAAGCCCAGTAATACACTTACAGCATGATTTTTTTCAGTTAGTGTCTGTGCTGGAGCACGTTCTGTACTTTATCACAGACTCATTGAGATTGTTTTACAAACAAATTTGTGCATTCAGATCAACACTGGTCTATGTTGTCGGCAGGAAGCGGGCATTGCTCAGGACCATGCAGAATAGCACCGCATGTATTCTGATACCCAAGGTTCCTGAGGTCTGGAAGGTGTTTTTGCTGGAGGTTCCGGACGACGAGGTGGACATTTACACTGGCGCTCAGCCGAACGTGCTCGCATCTTTTTTTCCACCTGTCGCCTGTTCTTGGCACGAACTGCAGAGTCGTAAATCTGTAAAATAATAGGAAAGTTCTCTACAACCTTAAGTGTCCATTTTCATATTGTTTTGATGGCCACAAATCAGACAGTCACTGCACTTTTCAGTTATCCTGTGAAGCGCTTTGGAACGTCCTCATGTGACAAGTCCTATCCCAAATGTAAGGATTATTATTAGATTGGTCCTGGAAAATTCCAGATACTAGATTGACTAGGTAAACCATACTGTGGTAGCGCCTTGGGACGTTCTCCCGTCGTGAAATGTGCTATATAAATGCAATTTGTTGTGGTGGTTAGATTAATAACTTATTCCCCAACGTCAGAAAAATGCTCCATACTTCAGCAAGGCTACATTTTCCAACTCCAACACTTTGTGGCCTCTGTGGGTGAAGCTGCCAATGAATGATTGAAGAATCACTCAAGCAACTAACAGATACAAATACATCCCCTGAAAACCTCATTATGATCAGAATCCAACTTCAGAGGGAGAACTGAATACTGGACACCTAGATGTTGTGCTCCCTGTTAGAACAATGTTTTCCTAACAACTCAAAAGCCAACAAATATACCTGCAATTTCCTGATCAGAAACTATAACCATTACCATCAAACTATTACCCTGATTATTGAAATACAGAAAAAAATCTTTACTGATCATTTCACCCATACCTGGAGTTAGATGGATGTTAAAGATCTCAAATCAGGGGAAAGGGGGTGTTTTACCCAGTGTCCTAACCAACAAATAGGACAATTGCTGTGCACAAATTGGCTGCTGTGTTCGCCCACGATATATAGTAATCTTGGGAAGTGCTTTGAGATTTCCTCCCAAGTGAAAGGCACTAAAGCAAATGCAAGGATTAATTTATTCAGGACGGAAGAAAGACTCACCTCTCTTGAAGTTAATGCATTGATATTGTATGTCTTCTGACAGCCCACCTCACCGTCTTTCCCTCCCCAGCCATACAATGCAAACGGAGGTTTGGTTTTCTTCACAGTATCTTGTGCTGCTGCCAGCAGTGCAGTTCTTGGTGACTTTTTCAGGCCTCTGCTTTGTGACGCCTTCTTAATAGCACAAAGACCGTCAAGAATGGGCTGAACAACTGACGTGTTCTTTGTCTTAGGTTTGATCTGTTTGAGGTTTTTACCTTTTTGATCCGCTTCAAGAATCTTTTCTTTTTTTTCGAGGTGAGGGAAGGTGGGGGGGAGGAAGAAAAAGAGGAAAACAATTGTTGTCAACTAGTAGTTCAGGTTTTCCATTGTGCAAATATCCCAACTTATCTCTACCAGTGTCACACAAAGAGTAAACATTTAACGTCACATTGAGAGATTCTGGTCCTAGTAACATAGACGTTCTCCCTATATGGGTGACTCAAACACTTTCAAGAGTAGTAACAACACGTGACGGCCCTGTCAATGGGTCACGCGTGTGATAATGACAGGTCGGCGCTCTGGTGTATCTGCCTTTAATTTCCTTAAGTCGTGGCTCTGTAATGGCCACAGCACAGAACAGACAGATGTCTGATGGGTGAGATCACTCAGCCGACTTGACGCCAAATCTACAAGATGGTAACATCTCAGCTCGGCTCCCACCCCCAGGTTGGGTGCCAAGCCAGGACTGTCAAGAGCCCTGGGATACCTCCTGATGTGAAAGGCGTTATATGAAACTGACCACCTGCTCCCTCGACCCATCCCTACCCCTCTCCTTACCTCCCAGCTCCACCTCCTTGCCCCCATACTCACAGACATCATAAACCTCTCTCTGTCCACTGGCACCATTCCCACCCCTTTAAAAAAAGGGCGTCATCACTCCTATCCTTAAAAAATCCTCCCTGGACCCATCCCGGCTCTAAAATTACCACCTCATCTCCAACCTCCCTTTCCTCTCCAAGATCCTGGAATGAGTCGTTGCTTCTCAGCTTCGCTCCTTCCTCTCCTGCCACTCCCTTCACGAACCCCACCAATTGGGATTTCCTGCCGCCCTCAACTGTCTTTTCTACCCCACATCCGTGCCATGACCCACTCTGCCTTCCCCCACCTCCGCAACATCGCCCAGGACCGCTGAGGACCTCATACACACATTCATAATATAAAGGCTCGAGTACATAAATTCCCTGCTTGTTGGCCTCCCCGACTCCTCCCTTCATAGGTTGCAGATCATCCAGAACTCTGCAGCCCTTGTCCTCTCCTGCACCAGGCTCTGCGAACCTATCCTCACTCGACTCCAGTAGCTTGCCATCACACAGAGTATATGGTTCAAAATCCTGGTCCTCACTTTTAAAGCCCTCCGTGGCCTTGCTCCCCACTTACCTCTGTGAATTCCTAAACCCCTATCAATCTGCCCGCTCCCTCCACTCAATGGGCTCCGGCCTGCTTCACGTGCCCCGCCTCACCCGCCCCACCATTGGCGGATGGGCCTTCAGCCACTCTGCCCCCACCCTCTAGAACTCCATCCCGCAGTCCCTCCGCCTTGCACCCTCCCTTGCCTCCTTCAAGTCCCGTCTCCTTCGACTGTGCCTTTGATCAACCTCCATTCCCTACTGCCCTCCACCCTCCTCAATCCCGACTCCCAGCTCGGGTCTGAAACATTGACTGTCCAGCGCCTTGGGACATCTGACATGAAAGACGATGTACAAATATAATTTTGCTGTTGTTAACTCTGTATTTTATTTTATCGTATCTCTATTTTATCGAGTGTCCGGCACCTGTCTGGAGTGATGAATAAAGCCACCATATTGCACCATGCTAACAACACTAATAGAAGCTATATAACAACAACAGAAGCTTTACACCACTGTATTTAGCTTAGAGTTATATTAGCATGTGCTTTGCTGTTAGAGACTGGGCTGATCTGGTGTCACTATTGCCAGTCACTACATGTCCCTCCTACATCGCTGTTCCCTGAAGTAGATAGCTCTGCAATGCAGTGACCCTGGGGTCAGCTGATCTAAGAGCTCCCTCAAGTTTCTGTCAGTATTGGACCTCCTGGACCTCATGTGGGTGAGGTCTTACCTGAGGAACATGGTGGTGGCGTGAGATCACGTTTCAGACAATTGCCCCTGACGCTGGCTCCTTCGGGCGCTGGAGGTTCTTTCTCACTGGGTTTGGGCTGTGGCTGCTCAGGTCGAGGTGGCTCAGGCTGAAGTGGTTCTGGCTGGGGTGGCTCAGGCTGCCTTATCTCTCTTGCTGACTGCACTGGTTCTGGTCTTGGCTGCGTGGGTGGCTGGGGGACAGGAAGAGCGCCCGTCAGTGCCACGCACACTTCTTCCTCCTCCTTTTCCTGCATCTTCGGAGTCGAATCGCCACTGCTAGAGGTGGAGCTATCCTGCCAGCCATCCCACAGCCAGGGGTTATGGGCTTGCTCCAGCAGCCGTCGCATGTTGCGGTAATGCACCATGTCCAAGTAGCAGCTGAAGAACGTGTCCCACTTGGGCTCCTTGAATTTCTTCATGTACTCACTCTTGATCCGTTTAGCTACCATGATTCCACAAGTGACCACACTTTCCACGTGCTCACCCAATCGCCCTCCTCACGCTTGCGCACGCAGGTCCTCACAGGCACCTAGGTTTAACCCCAGCCATTTGCCAACTCCTCTGTGCTAACAGAGGACACAGCTCTCTCTCCTGCTGGCGTTCTGGTCCCTGTCGTGCCTGTGCTGTGGGGGGAGGCACGATAATATTTGATTTGGTGAGAAATGAAGGGTATTCAAAACATTGCTCAGATTCACAGATTCTAAATAATAGCACAGATCGGAGAGGTGGGGAGATAGTAGGATGTGGTGAAATTTGATAGTGAGGATCTTGAAATCTGCGACATTAAATATAGAATGGTCCCATTAAACCCTCCTTCCAGCTCTTATCAATCTACTCAACAACAACTTTTATCTGCAGCGTGGCCTTCATGCGGGATAGTGTCTTGGGACTCATCAGCCCCTCCTGGTAAAGTATGAATTCAGCCAGGTTGCTGTATCATTGTCATGCATTTATTTTTCTTTCTCAATGCAAGGATGGTGGCTTGAGGCCCCGACTCTGGACTCATTTAAGAAACCGTCTGATGCTGCAATGGGAAGACATGGGTATATGGGTGTGTATTTTAGAAGCATGAGATTAAATGACTTGAAAAGTTTTTTTTTGCTGCACCTCTCTGTGACCTGAGTGGCCCTATTGTTCTCTGTTGAATTAAGGGACCTGACATTCTTACCCACGAGCTGCAGAATCCCAGGACAGCGTTGGATTAATCAGGTTTATGATACGCTGAGAGTTGGGCTGAAACGCCGTGAGATTTGTTCTGTCCTATTCTGGTGATGGAACGAAAGCTTCTCCGTGTAACAGTGAGAGGTTCTGTGACCTCATTAGGGTCAGTGAACATTCAGATCTCGCTGTAAACTGGCCTCAGTACAGCTGAATTTATGGTCACAGAAGGAAAGCCTATTGTGAGCACAAAATAATTGCCCCCAAGCAAATTGAAGAGGGTACCTCTGATTGAAGTACTGTATCTATCAGTGAAGTATCTGCACCCTTGATGCTGTCAAGACACTGGGCTAAATTACTACACAATTGACTCCTGAAACAATGTGGGAACTGCGCCACTTTTGCGCCCTGGTCTGGTGTCAGGCAAATAGCAGCTTGACACAACCTCTTTCTTTTCCTGGTGTTTCCTCACCTGCCCTAACTTACTCCTTTCACAGACATGAACACCAATCGAAGCCTCCGAAGCCTGTGGTTCTTACCTTGTTTCTCTTTACAGTAACCCTAGCTGTGAAGCTCAGCATACTGACAGTTAAATGATTCCAGGAGTACAAACCAGGTGTATTCGAAAAACACTGACATTTATTAAGTTGTGTATTTTTTGAACATGTGGCTCACACAGAAACAATGGGTTAAATCTTTTGACTCTTTAAGAAGAGTCATTTCATTCCAAAAGACTGGTCGGTGGGTCGAATTCCACAGAAATAACATTTGAATGTGCAAATAAAAGCTGTTTAATCACAGGGTAAAAACATGTCTTATTTTATTAAGATAAACATTCTTGTGTCCAATGTCGGATTGATGTTCAAATTCTCACCCTGGCAAGAGAGTCAGCTGTGCTCAAGCCACCGGGACTTGATTGGGCTGATGCTAAAATTTAACCTGATCAGAAATTTTGAGGCCTACAATAGAACCTGGAGGTGTAATGTTATAAATAAACAGCCAGAACATCATATACCTCCAGCATTAAAATAAAATAGGTTCTCCATCTATGCAAGTTACATATTGTCTATCGAAAACCAACAATCGAGCTCGATTTGAACACTCTTCACTTAAAAGTGCCTTGTGCCCTAAACCACAGCTGATATTTACTATAGGTGGTTCATCAGGCTGGAAGAGAATATCCATCTAACGGCATACACGTTTTCCTTTTTTTTAAAAAAAACTAAACACGTTTTATTAAAGAGAAAAATTGTTTTTTTTACAAGTGTAAATGTAAATCGTCAAATACCTTTTTGCGGACTGAGTTTCTAAAGAATTCCTCTTGTGGCCATCTGTCATCTTATGTGTTTACAACTGACTTTCTCATTGCTTTGCACTCTCTAGCACCACACAGTGGCATTGCTTTGGGCAGCAAGGTCTGTTTCCTGGTGATATTGTTCCACCAGTGTCTTAATAAGACTTAATGTAACAGGGATGCACACGATCTCTCTACATGGGTGCCTACTTTTTTGCAATGCCTTCTAATTGAAGAACGTGACACTAACAACAACAACTTGGATTTATGTAGCGGCCTCCACGCCGGACGGTGTCTCAGAGCGCTTCACAATAACGGATCCTGGTGCTGAGCCAGGGGGAGGGGGAAGAAAGTGATCAAAGGCGCGGTCGAAAAGAAAGGTCTTTAGCCGAGACCTGAAAATAGGAAGAGAGGGCGAGGCGAAGGGAGTGAGGAAGGGAGTTCCAGAGCCTTGGGGTGTAGTGGCTGAAGGCACGGCTGCCGATGGTGGAGCGGAGGACTCGGGGGACAAGGAGGAGGCCAGATCCGGTGGAGTGAAGGCAACGGGCACTGTTGTGAGGACAGAGGAGGTCAGAGAGGTGGGGGGTGCAGAGGAGTGGAGGCATTTGAAGACAAGAGTGAGGATCTTGAAGTCGATCCTCTCTGGGACAGACAACCAGTGCAGTGGGGCAAGGACTGGGGTAATCAGGGAGCGGAGTTTGCTACGCGTAAGAATGGGGGCGGCAGAGTTTTGAAAATCTGGATTTTATGGATGGTAGTGGAGGGGAGACCGGTGAGGAGGCATTTGAATAGTCCAGCTGAGAGGTGACAAAGGCATGGACCAGGGTTTCAGCGGCTTTCGGAGAGAGGTATTGGCAGAGACGGGCAATGCGTCGGAGATGGAAGAAGGTGGTGCTGGTGAGGGACCGGATGTGGGGGAGGAAGGATAATTGGGGGTCGAACCTGACGCCTAGGTTGCGTACGGGTTTGGAGAGTTTTAGGAGGAGGTCGGGTAGGTGGAGGAGGTGAGAACCATGTGATTTAAGACGCTGACGAGAGCCAAAAAGTATGGCTTCCGTCTTGTCAACATTTAGTTGAAGGAAATTTGTGTTCATCCTGCTCCTGATGTCTGACAGGCAGGCGGACAGAACATCAGGGGACCTGGGGTTGCAAAGTGACGTGGAAAAATAGAGTTGGGTGTCTTCTGCATACATGTGGAAGTGTACCCCATGTTTGCAGATAACATCCCCAAGAGGGAGCATACAGATTAGGAAGAGGAGGGGGCCAAGGATGCATCCTTGGGGTACCCCGCAGGTAACCGGGTGAGAGCGGGAGGAGAAGCCGTTTGTGCAGATGTACTGCTGGCGGATTGTGAGGTAGGACTCGAACCAGGCGAGTGCGGTCCCACTAAGTGGATGACGGAGGAAAGGCGGTGGAGGAGGATGGCGTGATCGACTGTGTCGAAAGTGGCGGAGAGGTCCAGGAGGACAAGGAGGCAAAGGGAGCCCTGGTCACAGATAGAGAGGATGTCGTTTGAGACTTTCACAAGCAGAGTCTCTGTACTGTGGGCGGAAACCAGACTGGAGGGGTTTGAAGAGGGAGTGGGAGGAGAGGTGTGCGTGGAGTTGATTGGTAACAACGCGTTCTAGGACTTTTGCGTGGAAGGGCAGGTTAGAAATAGGGCGGTAGTGGTTAGGAATTGAGGGATCTAGGGAAGGTTTTTTGAGGAGGGGCTGATGACATCAGTTTTGAGGGGGACAGGGATTGATCCAGAGGAGATGGATTGGTTGATGACCAGTAGTGGGCAGAGGAGGGGGAGCTGGGTGACCAGCAAGTTGGTGGGGAGGGGGTCGAGGCAGCAGGTGGTGGGTTTCATTGAAGCGATGGTGGGTGAGAGGGAGCAGGGAGAGGTGGAGAGGAAGGAATGTAGGACGGGGTCGTGGTAGGAGCTGATGATGGGGAGGGTGAGGGGGATGGAGAGGGGGTGGTGGTGGGTGACAAGAGGCAGGAGGATGACGCTGCCTGGCGGATATTATATATTTTGGTTGAAAAGAAGTCCATGACCTCCTCGCACTTGTCATTAGATGTGAAGATTGAGGAGGCCTGAGGAGCGCACGGAGGAAGTAGTGGGTGGTGGAAAAAAGGACTTTGGGATTGTTTTTTTGCCTCCAAGATGATGTTGGAGTAGAAGGCCGTTTTTGCACAAGTCAAGGAACGGTGGTAGCTCAAGTCACAGTTGGTGGTGAACTGTCAGGCCAGTAAGAGGAGAACGAGATGAGGAAGTGGTCCGAAATGGCCTTGTCCACTATGCTCAGGTTGGAAATGTCAAGGCCATGGTGATGACACTAAGACTGTAACTTAGAGCTAAAAATGTCTTCTATGGTGAAACAAGAGAGCATTGGGATTAAAAGATCTGCCTACGGTCACCTCCCCTTTCTCCATGATTTGCCATCAAATTAGACCATTGTTAGGTGCTCCAAGACACCACCCCATATGAAGGGTGCTATATAAATGCAAGTTGTTGTTGTAATAAACTGGTGAAACAGGCTTGGTAGGCTGAACGGACTTAAATGAGTCTTCCTATTTGCGGACTTCCTATTTCCTGTATCTTCCTATAATGTACGGTGACATCTAATATTTTAATTGGGCAAATCTGTGGTTGTTTGCCGCCTTGGGCACAGATTACTGTGCCTTTTAAAGAATAGTTATCTGTGTTTAAAAGAGTTTGGAATTTTCTTTGTTCTGAAACTTACCAATGACTGATGCGATGCTGTAATTTGTGTCAAAACATGTCATAGAAAATAGGATCTCATCATTGTGTAGGTCATTACCTCAATGAGAATGATGCAAAGCTGCTTAGGCTATCCTCTGTTATCTTTAATCTTTGCACGTGGAAGATTCCAGGCTAAGTAAAAAGTAATTCAAACCCTGTGGTGAAAGAGTAGTGTGCTATCCCACTGCACCACCCAGGCCTCTCTAGATTGGAACATATTAAAGAATAGGTGCTCAGAGTGAACGGTTTCTCATATTAACAACTAATCACAGGATTGAAATGACCATCCTTAATCCATCAGTGCTTGGCCAGTGTGAGGGTGTAGACTGTGGGCATGAGGACCATCTGACCAGACAGGCAGAGACTAATTACTACAGGGGAAATTTCCCATTGGACAAGTCCTCCCCAACTGAGGACAGGATTCCAACAAAGTCTGAGAGGTCAAGGCTGTTTAAAAATAATCTCACAGTGTTATTCACATCTAAAATCAGAAAAACTAGTTGCTAGTTCCTAATTCTGCTGCTTTGTTGCCATATTCTACCTCGGGCTCTGGATGCCATGAACAACCATAGAATTGTTTTTAGGAATTCACAGCACAGAAGAAGGCCATTCAGCCCATCGTGTCAGGCAAATGTCAATCTCCTATCAGCCAGTATACTGACCAGCAATGGGACCGCTGGGGCCTAATTCACCCAAACTAACACTTGGCCCATCTTTAGCTGTTCTGGCCTTTAGGATTATAGTACGAGGATGACATTTAGCTAAAGAAACAGATCTTTTTCTTCTTTTCATAAGCTGCAAAAAAAAAACAAAGTGGACTGGGTTAGTAACGATACTTCAATCAATGAGACTCTTTTAGATTCTTGTCAAGCGCTCCGGGACACCATATAAATACAAAATGTTGTTGTTGTGGTCATATAGTGAGACTGGTTGTTTAGTGATGCTAGTTACGTAGTGAAGCTGCTTATATAATGAAGCTGCTTATGTAATGAAACTGGTCTCAGCATAACAATGTATTTCCTTTCACAACGATACTAGCCTTTGCAGATAATTGTTGTACCAAGCTTAACGGAGGTGCTATTTGAGGTTGATTTAAAGTCATCTCTTTCCTTTAAGAAATACTGAAGGTTTGATCTAGGACTGTGTTCTCCTGTAGACAAAATCAATATCCATAGCATAAACCTAACTTCAAATCCAAATCTCAGTTTGGGAAAAAAATTCATACTACTCTGGCTGTCTCTTGTCCGGTTGACCCATGAGTGGCATTGACCGTATCAGTGCAATTACATTTGTATAGAGTCTTTCTTTACATATAGATGCAAAAGGGTGACTTTGGGACAATGAGAAAGAGAATTGGAGCATGTATGTTTGCAATGTTTGCTTATTATAACAGAGATGTTTTCATCAAAATATGAAAAAATATTATGAATAATGATGAACCTTGCATTTGATATAGTGCCTTATCAAGTCGTTGAGATGTCTCAAAGGGCTTTACAGAATATTTTGTAAAGTGTTCATATATTAATACAGAATATATTGTAAAGTATAATATATTGTAACATATTCTTCTCTTACCCTCGTTGGTGCAGTGAGTCTGAGCTTTCTCTGACACTTTCTCCGAGCTCTCAGTTGGACCTGCTGCAATTTTGTTTTTTTTCCCACTTTTCCTCTTTGTACCCAGGCCTGGTATCAATACACATGACTCTTCTTGAGTCAGCAGATATTTTGCTTCTGGCTTACTGGGGAACTGTTCCGGGAAAGTTTTGTAAACTTATGTTAGTCTAGAAAGAGTTTTTTTAAAATAAAGCATGTACAGTGTATGATTGAGGGGAATCCCTCTCATTTAAAAACTCCCCCTTTTATCATAGCCTTGGCCTTCTCTTTTTGTGTTGTGTCAATACTGTTTTTGTGCAAGTGCTTGATGAGATTGGGAGAACTTTAGGGAACAACAGAGGAGGACCAAAAAATTGATCAAGAGGGAGAAAATAGATTACGAGGGCAAACTAGCAAAGAACATAAAAACAGACTCCAAGAGTTTTTACAAATATATAAAGAGGAAAAGGCTAGCGAGGGTGAATGTGGGTCCATTACAGGCAGAGACCGGAGGAATTATAATAGGGGACAAAGACATGGCAGAGTCATTAAACAAGTATTTTTCTACAGTCTTCACCGTAGAAGACACTGGAAACATACCAAAAATAGAGGACCAAGAAGACAATGTTAGCGAGCAACTTAGGGAGATTAACATTAGTAAAGAGATGGTTCTAGGTAAATTGTCGGGTCTTAAAACCGATAAATCCCCTGGACCGGATGGCCTGCATCCGAGAGTTTTAAAGGAGGTGGCTACTGAGATAGT